ACGGGCTTATATACGGCCTCGCGTATAGCCTCACGTAATGTATAGGTGAATGCCCGGAGCTCCGGCGCATTGCTCCGAGCTAATTAGAACGCGGTGAAGGGGTTGCAGGGGGGGGGTCGTACGAATAGCAAAAAGGCATCGTACAAATAGCAAAAAGAGGTCGTACACGTAGCACTGGCCATTGTAATTCGGCGATATTGTGTAGTATTTCGGCTGCCTAGGATGTATTTAATAATGGACGGGGCGGTGGCGGTGGTGTCTAATATTTAGCATGCAGATGTGCTAATACGCGATTAGGACTATATAGAACTAGGCCTATAGCTGTAAATCCTGCCTATATATTATTCTAATGCAGCGCTGCCTGCCTAGCCTGCCTATATAGTAGCAGGAATTTGTGTTTATTAATATAATTAACGCCGCCGGCCATTATCTATTTAACGCCGCGTCCGTAGGCCTGCTTTAGCGCTGAGAAACAGCCTATATTTAGGGGCTAAAGTAGATGCGACAAATGCGACGGCATATAGAGGACTACTATCTAATAATCTATACAGAACTAATCAAATTCGGGGTTAACATAGCTGCTATGGCCGTCCAGTATAAGTAGCTAATGCGTGCTAACTGTGCGATCCTTTATATGTTTATAGAATAGATATAGCCAGGTTAGGCCAATTTTATTTATTATCCAGCCGTTTTTACTAACTCTAATTAACTAGTCTAGTGGAATAGCCTAATACTAAGCAGCTTAGTGTATTACAGCCCTAAAGATAACAAGCGGTGGAATTACACCCCCCAGCGCGTTAATGCACTTAATAATTATAACCTACTCTTAATTACCTAGCTGTATAGTCCTAGGCCGGCCGGCTCTATTAGTTCCTGTAACAACCTATGCAGTTACAATCACGCCTATCTAAAAGCCGGTTTTATTAAAATTCCAGGTATCTTTATTAAGAATACTGTATTAGATCTTAATATCTTAAACGCGCTTAAACTAGGCGCGAATAAGTACAGGATCTTTATGTCACGGTATTGACCGCGACACACCGCTATGCTGCGAGCACAGCTGCCTGCCAAGCACACTAGCAAACTTTGCGTGCGCCACATCCTGTATATAGATCTGCCTCTGTCCTGCCTGCCTCCGACTCTTTGCCAATTCTCTTGAGCTATCATGACAGCTGTACGTAGCTATCCAGATCGTTCCTGATGCCTGCTCATCTAGTGCTCGTGTGCGATACATCGTCGTCGTGACACTTTACACTTAGCACGCTGGTAGTTATACTTGCAATTAAATTGTAATTTTAGGCTATTATAACGGCTAATATATTTCCGTGCCTAATTCTTGCCGACAGGGTTTAAAGTAGCTGGCGACGCATTCTAGGCAGCTAGAATAGCACCTATCTACCCTACAGTCGCGATCCGGGGCGGCATACTGCGTTAATCTATTAATAGAATCCACTGCTTAAGAGCCTCTTCTTATACGGGTGTAAGGAGTTAATTTTTGGGTATAGAATCGTGTTTTAATTTGATGCTTTTAGCGCGTAGTTAGGCGGTGCTTCGGGGCACGTCGTAGGTGGTGGTAGCTGCTCGGAAACTTGGAATTTGGCCCTGCTTATGCGCCTGGATAGCTAGAGTAAGCCTACCCTCTCGAAAAAGGGCTTCTTATTGTTGTGGTGTAGCTATTAAGGTAGTAGCTACGTGACGCGCCGCGATTTGGGTGGAGTGGCCAGCTTAGGGGTATGGCCAGCTTGGGGGTGGATTACGTTACCTTAATATTCCGCCGATGAACCCCATTCTATGCTTCATGGCGTTGGCTTTTGCCATCGCAGCCTTATCCAAGCTATACTATGCTCGCTGCCGGAAATGCCCAGTAGCTGTCAACTATCACTTCGATGCAAAAGACCGCTCGAAATACAAAGGTAGGTATTTCAAACTACGTAAGGTGTACCTACCAGCATTCTAATAGGGAGTCTAATCAGTGGAGGACTACCGGCCTGGATATCCCCGTTTCACAGCATTACTAGCTGCGCACCCAGCCTTCTAAAACTTTCGTCGGTTTGCCAGAATGCGCATGCGCCTCCTCCTTCTCAAACAAGACGAGATCAGCATTCTCGAAGAGTCATTGGACAAAATTGATGCCGCTGAAAGTCGCGATTTTTTTCTTGGTTGTGGCCGCAAGGACCGGAATCCTGATAGACAGGAGGTGCTGCAAAAGTTGGGAACCGCCCTCGGAGAGTATGGTATGGCATGTCGGCTCTTATTGACCATAACCTATGCTAACAGGTTAGACTTGATGATGGAGCAAAGCCGCCGCATATTATCCTTTCCACAAGCCACCAGCCGCGACATGGTCAGCTTGAAAAATTGGATTGAAGGCGTTGGTAGCATATCATCTTACGAGACGGCATATTTGGGTCACTCGGCAGATCAAGTGAACATCACTGGCTCAGCAGACGATGCTGTCACAAGTATTGAGGCAACAGTGGAGGCATGTCTTCTGGGGATTACCTATTTTCCACGACAGGTACAGTCAGTCAATTTGCTTGGATCAACTCAACGTTCTCTAACGCTCCAACAACTAGAACCTTTCCAATCTTCTCCCTCGGTACAAATCGCCTATAACGAAGGATAGGAACATGTTTATCCTCGGCCCCGGATTCCGAATGTTTAGCAGAGTTCTGACGACCTGGGTAGCCGCTATCATCTTACTGGTACCCGTGATCATCCTTTACTTGGTCGCCAGCCCAAGAGCCCGACTTGTAGTTATTGCACTTACCACTGGCTTCTTTCTTTCCCTTGTATCTGTATACACAAAAGCACGAACAATCGAGGTCATAGTGGCTGGAGCAAGGTGAGCTAGGAAACTAGAATAGCCGTAAACCCGCTAATTCAGGTACAGCTACGCAGCAGTCTTGGTCGTCTTCAAATCTAGTAACAACGGTATGAAGGGAAACTTAACACCGGACTGAGCATTGAATAATCAATATGAGTAATTCTACCCTTAGCTATTTTAACAGGTTTAATGGTGTAAGAGGTTGATATTATTGTGTTCACATTACAGCTTATTCCATCTCCAAACCCCTCCCCCCTCACGTGCTACTATAAACCCACACAAACTCCTTCCCCGCCTCCCCCAACGCCATCCTCAACAGCCCTTCCCTCCTCCGTCCCCTGCGGATCCTCCTTCCCATCTTCCGCACTGCCCCATGCCTATACGGAAACTCCACCCTACTCGGTATATATGCCCTTCTTTACCGCGGGGCGCTTCCTAATCCTTTCCTACTATCTATACACCGCGGGAGACTCTTAAGCTCGATACGGGCCACCGCGGAGGCCTTAATGGTGTGGTTATTTGGAGTGCTTCGACGGGTCACCATGTACCTTAGTTAGATCACGGCAACCTTCTAATTTAGTCTGCCAGAACTTATGTTAAAAGACCTTCCGAAGTTAGATGATTAGAAAGCGTGAACATATAACTGAAAACACGGAAGAATGTATTGCCTGTTCTAACTAGCCAAATACGTACAAGGGTCAGCATGAAAACTTTCAGAAAACTGAGGTGCAAACCTCAAGATCCTGCGGGGTTTGATGCTGGATCGATGGGAATATATACACAAACTATCGATCCATAAATAAGTAAGACCAATCTCTCGAGCAGCTACGATAGCATGCTGGTATGCCAAGGGAATGGTGGCCCAAGGGATACCAGCCTTACGGTCTTCATAGTTTTCTAGGGTCGTCATGATCGGACGCTTATGAGGAGGGGGCCAGCAATGCGACAATGCAGCATAGTAACCAGTAGACCCATGGGTCTCAATGAGACGAGGGTCCCTAGAGTTGCCAGGCCAAATGTCGAGAATGCGTGTGGGAAGCACCGGAGGAGTAGTCTCATCGACCAGTGCCCTTGACAGAGTCTCCCTGCAGATTTGATGATTTTGCACACATGTCCCAATCCAACGTCGTAGGAGGGTGTATGCTTCAGGGCAGTTTGACGATGGTAAAGCTAGTCTACCAATGACATCGCAGCTCAGAGCTGCAGCACTGCCTACATTCGTCTCAGCTATGAAAAGGAGAGGAGTGGTTGAACAGGGTTGCTGTACCTGGCTGCGCGAACAGTCGTACAACGCCAGTCAGAACATCCTCCTGGACAGGCACGAAGGCTGTGAAGCCCCTGAGGTGCCATGCACTGAGTACACTCTCTTCCGGAAATGACCGTCGAAGAAAGTCCTGTTTGGGTCGCAAGTAGATCGGTGCATCGATCAGGTGTTCCTCGAATTCAGCAACATCCCATTGTTCCTGGGGGCTGGCAGAGGAGCCTTTCAGCCGCGGGAACTTTTCATCTCCGTTGTACTGCACTATCGAAGCTCTAATGATGGCACACAAGGGGCATGATTGCTTGAGTTGGAGAGCGCTCTGAAGGTGAATCATGCCTCGCGGCTTTGACACGCTGTTAACCAACCCCCACCAATTGGGCGGATCTTCGAGGTCTTGGATCAGTACTTCCACACTAATGCTGCTGCAAGCTGAACACAACGCCATATCTATCACGACGGCCGGGGAGGCCGGGCGCAAAGAGGAATGTGCTTTGCAGGAGACAGATTGCTGGATCACTTTTCAGATAAGGCTTTTCAGATAAGGCTGACTGAGGCGCCTCACACAATTCTGACGCTGAGTAGGTGTTTCAATCGAAGCACGGTACAAGTCGACTGTTCATCAGGGGCGTAGCACACCTTCCTGACATCAGCATGGCTTGCACAAGTGCGAGAATTCGAGACGTGAATGGTTTGCTACCGACTGAGAGGATAGACCACGAAAAAATAAAGAGAGACTGGTCAGATGATGACCGGAAAGGCTGACGGCAACAAGCGACTGGTTCGTGGAAGAAGCTGGAGGCACGGTCGGATATGAGCGTACTCCAACACCTACCTCTTTGGTCGTCTCCTGGCTGTTGGCTCAGCTCCAGCCTGGCTGCAAGGCTGGAGGGTCGTCTGTAGTGGCCGGGGCTGCCGCAGAAGCTGGTGAGATTCACATCTGGCATGCAGGCACCGAGGAAACCAGTGTGTCAGCGGGCAGGAGGATCCGACGAGTGCATGAAGCGGCGCGTCCAGAGCGCGATAGTGTTGAGCTGGCGTTGATGACGAGCAGCCGTTGGGGAAGAGCGGCAGACGGTGAGTGGAGGGCAGCGGTAAGGTTCGTCTCCGGCTGCAGGTGCCGGTTGCAGGGAGGCTCTCCACAGGGTTGCATCCTGCAGGAGCCCCGAAAATCTTTTCTAGACGTGTTCCTTGGGAGCTTCTAGCGCCGCAGCCCCTGTCCGCCACAAGGACCAAGGAGAAGTCGTGGGACAACGGAATTGGACCGTGCTCAATACTTCGACGCTCTACCCACAACAGCATATTAACATGACACCAAATGTGGATTGCTGGCCTGTCCTACCACTTATGTACACATCCTGAACGAATTAGAATGATCTAGTCTGGTGGTGTCGAGAAATCAGTCACTAAGAGTGCTGATTTAGCGTTCCACGAAGCCCCAGCAGCACCCCAGCACGCACCCCGGAGCCGCCCACCATCGACCCAAAACGCATCCTTTCCGGCTTCGACGCCCACGGGTTACCGCCCACGCTGTCCCGAACGGCCAGCGCTCCGCCTCGACCGACCGGGTGGTCAGACCACGTCGGGTGTGCCTGAAGGCAAATAAGGCGTCTTCTCGGGACGCCACTTGCGATGTGGGCGTGTGATAGGCCCCGAAGTCGCCACCAGCCGTGTCTCTGGCCTCAGCAGCGCGCGCAGGCCCGGTTTTGCGCTCCATCTCGACCGTCACGGCGGGCGTCTGCCCGTGCTCAGGCTACCTCACATCGCGTTGGCTCCCATCTGCTACCCTTGTGAAATCCTACCGGCTCGAGAGCCTAAAAGCCTTAAAACCCGCCGAGCCCAGTACCTAGCCTCGTCTTGTCATTTGGCTGACGGGCTAAATGCTACATCGTCCTACGTACCATACTCATTCTTACGTCTTATAATCATTCATCTATTATTCTGAGCAGCCGCATTTCTCCCTGCTGGCGTACGACTCAATACCTCTCCGTCGACATGTTCCGGAACTTCTCCTTTGAGGCGGCCTCGCGGCATCCCTCAGACCTCGAGCTCGAACGCGCCTACATGAACGTCTCACCAACTTCTTCACCATGGCCACTACCATATATATCAGAGCCGCCCGCCGTCACGATTGGTGAACTATCACAGCGATTCAGCCAACACACTCTCGAGGTGGACCCTAACTACAATCCTAACTACGAACCAACCTCCTACTTCGATGCACCTACATCCACTAAGCCATACGCCCACGACGTAGACTCCGCATACTCGTCACGACGACCATCGTACGCCCAGGCGTCCTACAACGGATTATCGCCCGCCGCGATACGATTGCAGCGGCAGGCCAACGTGAGATTGCAGTGCAATACCTCACACGTGAAGGACATCTCGTCGCTGGTGGAGCGGATGATGGATAAGGGCGAACAATGCCGGATCTGCACGCGACCGCGCTCGAACGCCGGGCTGTCAGCGACGTCCTCCGACGAAGAAGAGGATACCGGAATCGAATCGAGGCGATCTAGCGCGGCCACCCTCGCGTTGAAGTACAGGCGGTCCGGAGAGCGGCTGGGCGGTCAGGCATGCGTGTCGAAGAGCGTGCGACTCCGGAAGAAGAAGTCGCGGAAGAGCCTGCCGGCTAAGGCGTGATGTTGGAGACTGATTTCGAGATGCATTGCGAAGGCGTTCAAGGTTTTTGGTTGGCTTCATGGGACGCGTCACATATACCACTGGAAGGGGGTCCGCAAGGCGGTACGGGGAAAACAAAAGTCTGGGTCATCTCATTTCGGCGCTTTATAGGGGTCTAGGTGTCTCTTGATGGGACTATCGATGGTCGATAGGTAGCGATGATGCTCCCATAAGGGTTGAGGTCAGCTGGGGTTTAGGGCTCGATATCTACCACCACATATTAATGGATTGTAAATATGTACATACCCACAAATTCATCAACCCTGTTCCATACATACCACCGCCTCTCCCAGCTTCGTCCTTAGCGTGTGTTGATCGATCCCAACGATCGCGGACTCGACGATCAAAAATTCACGTGACCGTACTCTTGGCAAAATAGTTGCGGACATCAATTCCAGCGACACCGCTCTCTGCTCCTATGGCTATCGTACGCAAGGCTGGCCGCCACCTCCTCACCACGAGGTCCGTCCACCTCGACATCCACCCGCGGCCCGCCAATCTCAGCGAGAGCCGCGAGGTCTTTCGCGTGCTGCAGGGCTTCGGAGAAGTCGACGTCTACAAAACGCTTCGAGTGCGTATAACTACCCACCACAATGCCCCGATTCCCCGACACTTCCTGTTCCTACGAAACAAGTGCTGAGCTTAGTTGCCGGGTACATAGCACGAGAGGCCCGTCGGAGCTCCCAATTCCGCGTTTGCCATCTACCGGGACCCCGAGGCCGCGCAGAAGGCGCTGAGCGCGTCACCGATCCGATTTGCCCTTGAAACCGTTGTGGAGAGCGAGGCTAGAGAAGATGCGGTATGGACATCATCGGAAAAGGTAGAGGATGAGGGAAACATGACACAAAATGCGCCCGTGAAAGATGGGGTGGAGGAGATCACGCGGCCGAGCTTGCTGCTCAACCAGATCCCGGAGCAGAGACAGGTCAAATTCGGCCACATACCGCTCGAGCACACTTCGTCTGAAGCTGCGGAGGAAGCGCAAGAGCAGAATCAGGCCCCTGAGAAAGCTGCGCTCAAGGTGGTGCGGTGGTTTCACGTCAATGTCGATCGCACACGCGCGGTATATCAGGATTATGTGGAACGGCAGCCTTTCTATTCGGACTTCTCGGTCGCGAAGTCTATGATGCAGGAGGATCTGGCGAAGAGGGTGCCGCATGTTGGGCTGAGCGATGTTACGATACGCGACGGGAATTTTCACAGAACCCCAATCAAGATTTTGCAGCGCCGCATTAAGGAGATATCGAAGATTAAGACGTTGAGACAGTTGTGGGATGAAGTACATGAGGGGGAAGAGACAGATAATGTGGTCAACACAAGCAGGGAGAGAGTGCAGGAAGAGGGGACGAATGTTCATGGAGGGAGGGCGAACGCATGGGGAGCACAGACAGGACACACTGAACAATGGGGGATACAAACAAGTCCGAAGTGAAGAAAAGAACGATTCGAGGGCGTTGCGATGTTGATTCCGGAGCGAGCACTGGCCATGTGACTCTTCCAGGCGACGGGAAATTTCTGAAAAGGCATCGACTCGAGCTTTTGATATGGCATTCGTATTCATGCAGTATAAGTAGGCTCTAACTATAGCAAATGGTAAGCACTCTATGGATCGCGATCCATTCCAGGTTGCACGTGACCTTACAACGGCCACCACTGAACTCAAGATAGACGTCGTGCTCATCACTGGTACACATCCCCAATTTCTTGTGTCCCAGCACACCACTAGACTCCCCTTACTGCTTGCGAGGCTAACGGTGCCAACGAACATCCACCAGACTTGTGAAATCCCTTGAGTTCGTTCTTTTAAATCATCAGGGCTCTTCACCGAAATATCCGCTAGGACTGTACGACGCATATTGACCTCTGCGGTGTCTCTCCAGTGCTTCAACTATTCCATCCCGTTGTTTTAGTTCTAGGAAGGAAGCGATTTCTGTTGGGTCCCTCCTCATCCGCTCAATCCTAGCTCGCAATTCTCTGAGGCCTCGTCAGGTACTCATAGCCCCACTGAAAGGGCTATTCCTACTATCTTGAATTGTACTTCAATCCGAAGCTCTTGGTCGTAAGCCTAGTGTTTCAGAATCTTGCACTTTTCTCACTTCTACTCCATCTAAGCTTCAATGCTTTCGCTATGTTCCAGCATTCCGGCTGCCCGCAATGGCTACGTGGTTTGTTTCTAGCTCTTGGAGTATTGAAGCTGTAACAAATGGACTTACGTACGAATGAAACCGATGGGGCAATATTGCCGACAGAGTTCAGGACTCGCCCGAGACGCGTTTCCTACCTGAGTCTCGTCGTCACCAATGAAACAGGAGCCGAAGAACATGTGGCCGGTGCGCAGAGCGGCCTAAACAACTCGCGCCTCCACTGATAGTTTGATCTTCGACGGAGATAATCGCCAACACGAAAGGACGTTAAAGAAATGCTGTCTGTTATGCTGTTGCTTATTTTCAGCGCGAATTCTGCGCATGAAGCAAGGCGTACCTCAAGCCGCGACCGCTTACTCTCTCTACGTCAATCCTCTGTCTTTTCTGAAGAAGCTAGCTCTTCGCAATGACTGGCTCTGATAGCCTGCTTCATGAGTTCATCAATCTCCAATTGCCTCCGCGTGAAAACTACTCCGCATTTGGACACACTTCATGCCCCAGCATCCCCATTAGGACCCATCGCTCTGCTGACCCGAGTAGCGCCGCATCGGATCATCCGTAGGCTTCCCTTCGTGGCCTCAAAATGACCCCCATTGGCCCAACACTGTTGCAATTGCTCTTCGCAGAGCCCCAGGAATCCCATCGACCACTCCTCCGCCACATACCAATCTTACCATCTCTCTCGACTGCCTTACTAGGACCGTCTCGCGCACCTCGCCGTTTCCTTGTCCATGTCCTTTTCCACCACAGCGCCCCGCGCTCAGTGCCGCCGCAAGCCCTCGCGCTCCGCCGCACCGATCCTTCGCAGACATCTCCCGCGGCGTATCCGGTACGGTTGGAGCTCTCCATGCAGCATCTAGATGCTCGCTCGCGGCCGCCGGCAGCCACCCACTCACGCACCAATCAACGGCCAAGGACGCACAAAACACGGAGCGAGCGAGGTGAGACTGGCGGGCATAGGCAAGGCCCAGGACTACGGGCCTTGCAGGCCCCCAACGCCGAAGGAGATGTGCAGCCCGTTGGAGCCATCGACGATCGTAGGCCACGCCTTGCTTAGGCGCCGCCTCACCACAAGGCGACGTCACGACGAGCCCGGATCAAAGCCAAATCATAGCTACCCGAGCTGCAGCCGCCTTTCTACTTCATCCTACTGCCCGTGTGCGCGAGGGATCTTGACAGGGTGGCCTATGTGCGCTGGCACTGTGCGGCTTGACTGGCGAGCGGAGGGGGAATAGGACACTGGCCGAGGGTACCGATTTTGTGGAGAGCTTTCTCTTTCCCCTTGTGTGCAGGAGTCTAGATCGAGTCCATCAGGTTATTCCATCTCTCTCCTCCATTCTTCAGAGCACGCGAGTTGGTGACGCTTACGCAAGATCACGGTGCGCAGCCGCTCGACTCTGAAAACGCGTTGTCCTACACATTATTTTCGTCTGGGTGGGCTATCCCAAGCCAGCCGCCACAGGTGCGCGCTTGCCCTTGGCGTTCCATATGCTTCCGCCTCCTCTACCAGCTGACTCGCCACGCCCTCCCGTCTCTCCCAAGCCGTCGCTCTGTCGTGGTTCGCACCGCCCGATCCCCAGGGTGTCACGCCTTTCCGCTGCTCGACCACGTTGGCACGCGTGTACAGTACAATCGGCGTCGAGGCATTCTCTTCAATCTCTGCTCGCGCGCGGTGGGTGCCGGCGCTCACGAGAAGGAGAGGGCGGGCCTCTACTTCGTCCGTTGCGAGGCTGGCTTGCTGGCCACCCCGCGCTCGTACTCTCTCCTCTAAAGCTGTGTCGCCGTCGTCATGCGGGCCGCTGGATCTCCAAGGCAGCCAGCATCGCCGCCCGGCCCGTGCATGTCGGCGGGCGTGTGCAGGCGGCGGCGACGCGCCTTCTCAGCGGCCCCTTGGGGGTGTAGACAAGACTTCCCTCGCGCTCTCGGTCTTCCTGCTTCGCGAGGCTTGTTTTGCTAGGGCCCACGACAGGGCTGAAGTTAGGCGTGGAGTTTCTTCGCTGAGGGAGGTGGGAAGATGCGGGCGGGTGGGGAAACCTCTTCTTTAGGCGCTGCTCGCATATGGTGGAGGACAGTGTGGATGAGAGGGGAAGAGAAGTCCTGTCCTTCCACCCCGTGAGGCGGCCTCGACGATGCTGCGTCAGGTGCCGAGGACTGGTCGAGTCGGATGACCTTCGTTGAGGTAGACAGAACAATGCGGTCGGGTGGGGAGGCGGCTGCTTGGTCGCTGCTCGCGCGCAGTGAGTGATGACGTGGGTGGGATGGAGAGGGATGGCTTGTCTCGTCTTGCTGCCTTGCGAAGACGCGCTGTGAGTGCTGTGCTTGATGCTGAGGTCGGGCTGAGATGCCTGCTGAAGTAGATGGGACGATGTTGGAGGAGGGGAGGAGGCGTCTCTACCAGGCGAGTCTACGCGAGATTGAATAGCATGATGGGAGGGGAAGAGAAAGTTGAAGAGAGAGGGGAGAGAGATGGAAGAGGTAGAAGTCGCAGGGGGGAGAGGGTGGAGGAGGAAGAGGTGAACCCGTGGAGAGGGATGAGATTTCTTAAAGGAAAGCAGAGATCTTCTTCCAGATCCCACACCAGGTGAGACACTCGATGAAGAAAAGAGTTTGTTTGAGTGACCGAGCCCCGACCACGCCCAAGTCCGTGATGCCCGCCCCATGTGTGGCACCCCCGTGGAAGAGGCGATGCAAGCATCGCATTCCAACCCGCAGCGAATTGAGAAGCTAAGCTCCCCGGCTGAGATCCCCCAGAAGCCCACTGAAGTTTGTTTGAGTGACTGAGCCCCGACCACGCCCAAGTCCGTGATGCCCACCCCATGTGTGGCACCCCCGTGGAAGAGGCGATGTAAGCACCGCATTCCAACTCACAGCGAATCGAGAAGCTAAGCTCCCCAGCTGAGATCCCCCAGAAGCCCACTGAAGTTTGTTTGAGTGACTGAGCCCCGACCACGCCCAAGTCCGTGATGCCCACCCCATGTGTGGCACCCCCGTGGAAGAGGCGATGTAAGCACCGCATTCCAACTCACAGCGAATCGAGAAGCTAAGCTCCCCAGCTAAGATCCCCCAGAAGCCCACTGAAGTCCGAAGACCTCGAATCCCCCAGAAGCGAACCAGAGAAGTCAACACAGAGCAGACGAAAGCCAAAGCCAGTCGCGCGCATCAAGACAACTCAGAAATCCCCCAGAAGCGAACAAGAGAAGCCGACACAAAGCAGACGAAAGCCAAAGCCAGTCGCGCGCATCAAGACAACTCAGAAATCCCCCAGAAGCGAACAAGAGAAGCCGACACAAAGCAGACGAAAGCCGAAACCAGTCGCGCGCATCAAGACAACTTAAAAAATCCCCCAGATCCATGTGGGCGCTTGTGGTGATCGCATACACTGCCCGTTACGCCCCAATCCTACGGCCCTACGTTCGAAGCGGCTACCGTAATCAGACTGAAAACGCCGAACGTGGACTCCCACCAACGCGGATGTTGCAAGCAGCGCTAACCGCTTGAACCTCCATTCTTCTTCTCCGCAGCCCAGAGGACGATCTGAACTGCGTGGCCAACCGCGCGCCGACTCTCCCCCAAGCACATGGATGATACCAGATTGATATCGTGCCGCAGCCGAAGCCGCCACCTCGACAGTGAACGAATCTCAGCCTCGGCAGTGTGGGTTTGCGTCGACGGCGGCCGGTGTCGGGAGAGCTCTCAGGCAAAAGCTGGCCAAACTCATGCAGCGCTACGCTTGTGGTGTTAACTCCTTTGGAGCTCCTGGGAGGTAGGTGTTAGCGGAGTGAATGTGAGGAAGCAAGTGCGAGAGCGACAGGTGAAAGAGTGGAATGGATGGAGACAGGTGAAAGAGTGAGATGGATGGAGACAGGTGAAGGAGTGAGATGGATGAAGACAGGTGAAGGAGTGAGATAAGTGAAGACAGGTGGAGGAGTAAGATGAGTGAAAGCAGGTGGAGGAGTGAGATGAGTGAAAGCAGGTGCAGGAGTGAGGTGAGTGAAAGCAGTGGACGATGACGCAAGACAGGTGAGACCTCGTCGCAGAGGGAAGGGAAGAGGACGCGACAAGCCAGCTAGAAGGACGGAAGAGGAATCCAAGGGAAAAGAGAGATTGAGAAAGGAGAGACCGTACCTGAATCGGCCCCACAGTATACACAAGAGGCACTCCGATCCCCCACCTCCGACAAGTGACCAAGCCCACTGGAAAGTCCAGGTAGCAAGGTGAGGAAGGAAGAGGAGCAGAGGGCGGCTGGCCTTTTGTAGTCGGTCGAAGAATCGAAGACGGCTAAGCGAAAGCGCGCTAGCCGCTTTGGGCAATCACCCGTGGACGGCCCGGGCAGCCCCTCACACGCTGCGTGCCCGCTGCGTGCCCCTTTCAGTTGCTTCTTGTAACTACTGACGTCAGGTTCCATGGAAGAAGTTTCCACAGGATTCCACGGTGTGCCAGGCAACAGTGAGATGGTGCAGCGTGGCCGTGAGGCCCGTGGGTTCACTTCACCTGGAGTGAACGATATGGCGGTTCTAGTAGGGTAGAAGTCTTTGAATTGGGAGGGATGGAGATGATGTAGCCAAATGCAGTGAATACAATGAGGTTGAAAGAGGTTACAACCCTACTAGGGCATCTCACCATCCATCCCATGTTGCATGCCCTGCTCATGACTTCTTTTGCCTACTGACGTGCAAAATCCGCCTTCACAACAGCCCATGGTGTGTTTCAAAGCGGGAAGCGGCGGGATAGTAGGACTGTTCATAGACTTCCAGAGAACGGAGACAGTAATGAAGACAAGAACGATGATACGGCCTTACCCATCTACTAGCCTAGATACCCTTCAAATGGATTCATCTCCTAATGGTTCGGAGAGGCCACCAGCACCGCAGCGCATGTCTGTCTCTTAGCAAGACCGTGGATAGCACGCTTCCATCCTTCAGTCTCTCCCCTTCCTCCCATCTGCCTCCTCAAAGGCCGTCCGCCATGCGCGCCTGTAAGAGTCCAATCTCCTCGCCGAGCATGCTGTCATGGCCGCAGCGCCGTCTTCAGCAGGGCCATGAACGGCAAACTCCCGCCCAGGACATTCTCGAGGCCTCCCACCTTCGAACCTCCCCCTCCTAGCTGGCGCTCCTCCAACGTCCCTCGTCTCCCGTTCTACCGTCTCCTGGTCGGCAATCCCCGCGTTTTCTAGGTCCTCAAGCCTCTCGGCCGTCGAGGGGCGATTACCGTCTTTGCAGGCATCGGTGTCCGTCCGCCTCGCGCAGCAGGTTCTCCTCCTCCTCTTCCACCCACCCTATTCGAGGAGCAAGGACGGGCTCCTTCAAACACTTGAGCTCCCACTACAAGCCCGGCCCCGGGAGACACCTCCTCAAAGACGTTCTTTTGGATAAACAGAATCGTTCACGGGGAGGAAGCGAGGAGAGGCAAGTGGCCGTGCCACAGGCTTCGTGGCGGACGATGGCGTCGTCGGCACGCAGGACCTCTGTTACATGAGCGGCGTTGTCGAGGCCTGGACTGGAGGGATTGATGGGAGGGTGTATGGCTCGCTGATCATACGGCTTCATCCCGGGTAAAGGATGTTGAAAGGACTGCACAGCACAGCAAAGATATCGGGTTGAGCGCGGAAACGTAGAGCGATACTGGGAGAGAAACGCTTTTTGTGCAGGCGAATTGAGAGCGAAGAGAGGATAATCAACGCGCATAAGAGCTGAGTTGAGCACGGAAGTCGTGAGATATACTGGGCGAGGAGCGTTTAATCGCAGGCGGATGGAGATCAAAAAGAGCAGTATGAACGTGCATGAAATCTTACATGAATCTATATGCATTTTATCTACTGTTTCTCTTTGCTTCTTGGTGACAATAATTGGTGAATGAAGTCCTTGCTTGTACATTTCTTGCATGATACCTAATACGACATGTTCATCCTTGTTTATTTTCTATTGCGAGTGACCTAGCTAGCTAGCTCTTTCTAGTGACAGGGTTTGGCTGCTCGAGTTTTGATTCTTGGGGAGCGGTAGACCCAGGCGGAAATGTTGCCGGGCGACTCGATAGCCGTCCGAGGCTCTGCTGATGATGTCGCAACACTATCGCTCCTACCAGCGCAGGCTTGAGGCTTCAAATTCGCCATGGAGATGATATAAAAAACCCAAAACTAGGGCCTCGTTTCTAGCCAGCTCGTGTTGGGCCTGTGCGGCATGGGGCATGGTGCTGGAAGGCCGCTGGCGGCGCGCAGGGGACCTTTTACCTGCCTTTCCACACGCGGAGGCGTACTCCTGTTGGCGGCATGATCACGTAGTCCCCAGCCTACGTAGATGTTGAGCCTATGGATCAGGCCATGTTTGTTGGCGGCGAGGAATTGTTGACGATGGACAGCCCTTCGTGGGTCCGGAGCGTTTTGACCTTGGTCCAAGTCACGATATGGACTGGATGGGGCAGAGCTGTGCATGGTGTCCGACTATAGAGGTCGTTTCGACTTCCGATGGAGGGATACTACTGTGACCTAGAGCGTGTTGGATGGATTTCGACTGGTGCACTGCGGCGCGGATTCGTCTTCTTGAAGGTCTCCTCTGATACCACCGCATAGCCTGTTCTAAGACGTTTCTAGCGGCTACGATATGCTTATGTCAAGGATGACTCCGCTTGTGATAGTCGTTGTGCACAAAGCTTAGTTGCGAGATCAGTGGATCACTGCCTTCGTCGTGTGTAAATGCAGGAGATCGGTCCCTAGATTGGCGATGGGCTTCCGGCCCTGTCGATAAACTCTCAGTCCTGTATATGAAAAGCGACCGGTTAATGATCGCTTTCTGGTTTCGTTTGTTTCAGCCAACGATGGAAGGAACGGAAGACGAGGGTCGATGATTTCCCGGCGAAGGGCTGTAATGGACTGCGGGCGGTACCTCGAGGGTATCGCGTCGCTTTGGTGGTCGCTTGATCCCGCTTGACTCAGCAGTGGAAACTGTGGCCAGATGCTGCATCTCGAGGGACGGGGTGTTAGTCGAGCTGCCTTCAAGTGCAACGCCTTCAATACCCAGGCCAGAACCAGACCCCATAGTCATGAAGCTGCCTCTCGAATTCTGTTTCCGGAGGGAAGGAGTGAGGTTCCCTTCTGCATCGCGGCGAGGATTGTACGACTCCCTGATCTGGGCCAGCGCAGGGTTCCGGTGCTCCTCGCCGGGGATCTCGGGGAAGTCGACAGCTCGGCCACGCTTGAATTCGGAAACGTCGTCGTGCGCTGCGGTGCCGAAGTAGTTGCCGATGGAAGTCAGCATGTTGGCGACTTTCTTCCTATTGCCCGCATCGACTCGCTCAGGTTCCTTGACTACGTCGCTATCGTTGCTGTCAGCGCCTCTGCTGCTTGGTAGGTGGTCATCGCTCGGTGGAAGCTGCAAAGTCGGTTGTCGTAGAAGCCCCTCGCCGTGATGGCCATGTGAACAGTTGCAGTGATGTGTTCCAGACTCTTGAACCTTTTGCTTTTTCACGACGTCCCCGTTGACAGTCAGCAGAAGCAGTGACCCGAGTGCCGCCATCACAGTACCAGCAATCGGAGCCCATTGGCCTGGAAGTCCGTCAGCAATGTAGGATGACGAAGATAGGTGAAGACTTACCGATAGCAGCGATGGGCTCCGTTTGATATCGAACTTGAGGGCTGAAGAAGTTCCTTTCGCCAATGATGAGGATAGCAAGGACAGCAGCACTGAATATGGGAATTTCGACTCCGTTGAGAACCTTTCTGATGACGCTGTTGACACCCATCATGCGCCTCTCGGTGGCGCCGTTGGTTCCCTCAATGACTCGGTCGATTCCCTCATCTTGGTTTTCAACAGCGCGGAGCTTCTTCCAATTAATTTCGACGATCCTGTTCCACATAGATACAAGGGAAAGAATGGCTGGGATGCAGCATGCTGCTGCGAGGAGAGTAGCGGTGTTGAAGGTAAACTTGTCCGGCGAGGGGATTACGTAGATGTTGTTGGCTGAGCCGTTTCGTAACGGAGAGAAGGGGCCATCATCGACAGTGCAAACGAGGCCGCAAGAGTCACCGTAGGTAAAGTTGCTCGCAGTCTGAAGAACGTGTTTGCCTGAATCGTCGGTGAAGCATTTGTGCGACGTGCTCCGATAGAACTCGACCGTTAAGCTCAACAGGCCTGAGAGAAGAGTCAGAAATATTTGGTTTGAGAGGCAAGACTAGATACTTACCAGCCAGAACAAGACCGGTCCACAAAAATATGGTATTGCGGCCGGGATCATAGAAGTAGGTTCGAGAGAGCTTGACTGTTACCGGAGCGGCCAAGATGCCGATGGAGCATAACTGAAAAGCGCCGAACACATCCATGTCGACAGCGCCTGTATTCGAACAGTCAGCCTTGAGGTTGCATAGCGGTGTGACAATAGACCTACCGTCGATGTGCATAGCCGCGAGAACGATGCCGTGGATGGCGGCGACGGCAGGGAACAGCAACGCAGCGGCTAAGCAGGCGTTCTTCAACCATTCCATCTTTCTTGCCAGCACGCAGGCGGCTACAAGGCAGTAATAGAGGACTCGTGAGCCTGGCCCATATTGGCCTGATACCGGCCAGGCGCACACAACGCGCAGCGCATCACTAGTAGCATTCGTAGCGTTTGTATATGAAGTAAAATTGGTGGCAGCGCTTTGAGCAACGAATGTAGTGAGGAACGAGGCTGAAGAAATCACTGGCATACCTCCGTCTTCCACAAAGACGATGGTAGTATGATGGAATAGAAGGGGACTCGCTGATATTAATGAGTTGACAGAGAGACGTCCGCGGTCGCGGGAGGCATTGTCTGGGCGACAGAAGACGGAAGCTGCTCGTGTGCTCAATTACTCAGACAAGGTGCCAGGCATCAGCCTCTGAATGGTGAGGCTGTTGGCCACTGGATGTATGGTGATGGCGGTGGCACAAGGCGCAAGATGGGGTTCGTCTGGAGGCCGCTTGGCTGATGAGGGAAGCTGGCAAGGCACGACGGTCGCGCGTGCTACACATGAACAGCCGGTGAGGCTGATTTGGCCAGTCGGCAGGCCGGGATGCTCCACGCCGCGGGGAACAGAGAGGACACGGGCTGCAAACTGTGTGGCTGTGTTTTGGTGTGGAGAGACGGGCTAGCTGCATGAAGCATGTCGTTGTTGACGCACAGGGAAAGATATGCGGGCGTAGGAAAGCAGACGTGGAGAAAATAACAGATATGGATATGCTGAACGGTGGGAATGGCCTAATGGTAGGATTGAAGATGTAAAGAAGCAGAATGGAAGGAATTCAGCCCTAGAAGCTGTGGATCATGATACCGCGCTAGCCATGTTTCCAAGTATTATATCCCCATCTCGCAGTATACTCGAGCTACTTAGCTTTAGATGGCTTAGTGCCCTCGCAAGTGCTTATTCTCTGGTCAGGATCAGCGGTGGTCAGGCTAGCTGTTGCGCTAGCTCACCGGAATCTGAGGTGAGGCTGCAGATCCCGCCAGTTCTCCCTCCCTCATCGTCAGCCTGCAGGTTGCTGCATCCATCAGTCGAGTCCCCGTCTTGGCTGGTGTTGTTCCATCTTCTTTGGCCTCCTTATCCTCTCGCATATTTCCCTCACTGCAGGGACCATCGTCGGCGTCAGACGTCTCTAAATCTACGGAGCACAAGAAAACCCGCAGCATCGCGCTTCGTCCTAGTGTTTGCGACCGTCTTGACAAGCCCAACACAGCCTCCACCACCCATCCAGGCATGCAAGGCTGACCCTCGCCCCACTCTCAGCCCTCTTGGCAGCGCATGTCACCGTAGCCGTCTGAGCGGGCAGCTGCCATCGTGGAGAAAATCCAACCTCCACGTCTCCATCTCCAGTCGCAACCTCAATGCCGTGGTTCCAGCAATCCTCCAGTCGCCCGCAAGTCTGAAAATGGTAGAAACTTTGGAACAGAGCCTGGACACCAGCAAGATCAAGTCATGGCGCTCCATCGTCACCCTCATCGTCTTCGTCATAACCAGTGAGTTCATCCAGCAAGCATCGTGTCCCGTGCGCCGAATAATCTCTCAACTCTGGCACAGATCTTGTCGTCATTTTTCCATTTCATGTTCCATGTTTTATCCCTCGAGTAGTTTCGAACGCAGTTCTGGATACTCTGAGTCGCTTGCGCATAATATCACCCCGGCAAGATCGCTCCAACGATGACAGGACCGGGAAAACACCATTTTTTGTGCGACTAAACTTCCCTTTGAATTTTGTCACAGCTCCCTTGATAGCTGATCTGTTTCTACTTGCTCTCTTGGCAATTGGTAGAAAGGAAGTCCACGATGGAACCATTGGGGCCGACAACATCTCTCCTTACGATATTATGCTTTTTTTCATATCCCTGGCTTACATCGCCATATCCATTGACGCCTCCGGTCTGATTAGATACCTGGCATTCAAGGTGCTTCAGTGGGGCGGTGATGCCGGCCACAGACTCTACTTCTACCTCTATGCTTTCTTTTTTGGACTCGCCAGCTTCATTGGAAACGACCCCATCATCCTGTCTGGCACCGCCTTCCTGGCCTATATGACGCGCGTGTCCAGCAACATCATCCACCCAAGCGCCTGGATTCACACCCAGTTTGCCGTTGCCAACATTGGTTCCGCCATCCTCGTCTCCTCTAATCCGACCAACCTCGTCCTCGCTGGTGCTTTCAACATCAAGTTCATCAACTACACGGCCAACATCATCATACCTGTGATATCCACTGCTGTTGTTCTCTTCCCGTTTTTACTCTACATTGTCTTCAACGACGAAGATCTCGTTCCGTCCTCCATCAAGATGCACGAGCTGCCGGACGAGCTCAAAGCCAAGAAGCCCGTCAACCCCAACATCCCTCACGCCCGGGGAAATGCCGAGGAAGAAGAGAATCTCGCCAACGACGAGGATGAAAAATTGCTTTCGCTGGAAGAGATCATGAATCCATTCCTGGACAAAGGAGGCGCCGCGTTTGGAGGCGTCATCATGGCTGCCACCCTCATCACCCTACTAGCAATCAACGCTTCGAGCGAGAAGACCGGTCACAAAGCCGCATTCTGGGTGACACTACCCGCTGCTTTTGTTATGTTTGTGTGGGATATTGGCTTCGGATGGTATCATCGACGCGAGACACGTGACATTGCTCACAAAGGTCGACAAGAGGTTGAACTCGCGCGCGCCGAACGTGCTATTCGGGAAGAGGAGGAAATTACGCGGTTAGCTCATGAGAAAGAGCAAGCTGCCGCTCTAGAGCAAGAGAAAGCTGGCTTGACTCAGACGTACTCGCCGGAACCCCTCGAGAAGCAGAGCGGCAATGGTGATGAGAGCGACATCTCTATATGTCCGCCCCAAGAGCCATCGGGGATGACTCCTAGCATGGATATGGACAAAAAGAAGCGGGAGGACGACCTCCAGGCGCGGATCTCACGTGAATTAGCGCTCCGGCAAACTCGTGGCCGGTCGACCCTAGTCTCACTCATCGGGGACGCCTACCGGTGGTCGCAAGAGACATTCCCTACCCCAACGACCGTGCTCGCGCATCTGCCACTTGCTCTCATCCCCTTTGCTTTCTCCATGTTCGTCCTCGTACAAGGTAAGTCAACGGTACCAAGTTTACTGGAATCCAAAGCGCTAACGAGCATCTAGCACTGGTCACCAAAGGCTGGGTCCAAGTCTTCGCCTACGGCTGGGACCACTGGGTCAACAAAACTGGTACTGTCGGCGCAATCGGTGGCATGGGCTTCCTTTCCGTGATCCTCTGTAACGTAGGTCTTCCTCTCTGCCAAACCCTCAAGCCCCCGAAACTCATATGTCTTACCAAAACTAGTTTGCAGGTACGAACATCGGCACCACCATCCTCCTTTCCCGCGTCATCCAGGCCTGGCAAAACATCCACAAATTCAACGGCATCCCGATCACTGACCGCATGTTCTGGGCGACCGTCTACAGCATGGCGCTCGGCGTCAACTACGGGGCTTTCAGCGCGGCGTTTAGTGCGTCGCTTGCTGGGTTGCTCTGGCGGGACATCCTAGCCCGCAAGCATATTCGTGTGCACAGTCTACACTTTGCGCGCGTCAACCTGCCTATCATTGCTATTGCGATGACAGTGGGGTGTGCAGTGCTTGTGGGGCAGGTGTATATAATCAGGGATAGCGAGCCTTACGATGCGTCATGATCCTTGTCTTAGCGGAGGTATAGTGAGCATATTCGTACGATTCATGAGCGATTTACCACCCCTGGATTGGAATAGAGTTTCCAAATGTATAGAAGTCAAGCAAGCGAGCATTGTTACGTATTCATATCAAATACCACGTCAAAAGCCTTCTCGAGTTTTGTTTTCGTTATCAGACTTCAGGCAAACGGTTCTACCTCTTGGAACACTCATCTTGTCATTGTCAAGCTACCTGTTGGTATATCCAGATTACACTCTTAATGCCATCTGATGTCCCGAACACTCTATGCTCAACGACCGCTTTTGTAAGTCCCACCCCTCTAGACTGGCACAGCCGTACAGCTAACGGAGCCATCACAGCGCAAAAGCCGCCAGAGCTATTCCGACGAGCCCCGCGATTGAAAGCCCAACCGCCTTGCCACCACCTCCTTTGCTGGTTGACGAAGCCGCCGGGCCCGGAGCGTAGCTGTGCGTGACCTGGCCAGTCGGCGCCAGCACATTCGTCAGCTTCTCCAACCCCGCCGTGATGGTAAGATTATGCATCATAATCGACTCCCGGGGAAGAAACATGGTGAGCCCCGTGTCCGTGCCCGAGCTGAGTGTGCAGCTTCCGGTCGTCGTACCCTCGTAATTGCATAGCTGGGTGGCGTAATCGGGCGAGCCATCTTCTTCAGTAGTGAAAATCATACTGTACTCGTTCCAGGTCGGCCCAAACGTTATGGTGTCGGCCGAAGTAGGGGAGCAGCTAGCGTTGCCGGTGAGCGTGCAAGTGAAGGAGAGGGCATAGGTGATGGTGGAGCCGTTGACGGCGACGACACTGCCCAAGCCAATTTCGTTGGAGCTATCGTCGAAGCCGTCGTAGAAGTCCGGGTATGCGGTCACGCTCGTCGCCGCGGGTGGCGTGGCGGTCACTGTCACTATCGCTAGTGGTGGAGTCGCCGCCACCCCAACTTGCTGCGTCGCTGTCCTCAGCTTCTCCAGCCCTGTCATAATCGTCACGCGGTGGAACACTATCTCCGACAAGGAGTACGTATGCGCAGCGGCAAAACTGCTGTTGGTGTTATCCAGCTCGCTTTGGGTGCATATCGCTTTCGTCGTGCCCTCGAGATCGCAGTGTTCGACCAACGTGTGGGTGCCGCCGAGGCGCATTTCGTACCATGTTGGGCCGTAGGTTACCGGGCGGTCGAAGCGATTGCATCCGGATGCGATGCCCGAGCAGTCAGTGTCGAGGAAGTAGGTGGTAATGGACTGGATGACGGCGACGACGCTGGCGTTGTAGGAGGCTTTGGTGTCGTCGGGCAGGAAGAGGGACGTCACGCTCGTGGATTGCGCGCTGGCTGTGGTGAGGAGGAGTGCCGTTGTAATAGCGTAGGCCATGGTGAAGACGAACGGGGAGTGCGTCGTGGGCTCGGGGTGAGCGAGGGATGCTATCGAGGTTGTGTTCTGGAAACGAGTGCCTCGTGCTAGTGGAGTAAAAGAGAGGGAATGGCATTGTAGGGGAGTTGGAGTGCGGCGACGGCAGTTCACGTGGATAGTGAATGACTCCACGAATATCGCGGTGCAGTTCCTTAGATCGGATTCGACGTGCCGAGATTGTATGTCGCGTAGTCATTTCTGGGCGCCCATTTCTTCCTGTGAGTAGGGGCGTGGAGGTAATAGCGCTCGTGGGAGTATACTCCGCTAAGTGTTCCTTTTCCGAGCAGCTTTGGCTGAAACATGGTACCACGAAGTCATGCTCAGCTAACCAACGGGGTGCAATAGGAGAAACCACATTTCAGCGCTCGGGAGAACCTCGTCGGCTCTTGGTTGGAAGGTTTATACTGATCTTAAAGCATTGAAAAATTTGGGGTCTCGAAGAGAGAGCGACGACGGCAAGTTTATGCTCCGAGGAAATGAAGCCAGAAAGTCGATCACGTACTTGGTTACTTTTGCAAGATCACCACTACTTTTTGCACGTTGGAACACAACGGGTGTTGGGTGTTTGAAGTCCCAAGCAAGGCTATTCACACCACCCACGTGATCTCGCGTCTAATGCACTTCATCTCCCCACCAGCCTCGTGTCTCTGTTGCTCCCCCAACACCATACACTCGCGTCCCGTTCCCCGTTCACTCCATCCCACACTCTCCCGGAGCTCTTCGCGCACCGTGTCGCTAATCATGCGTTCCTTCGCTATCCTCGCCCTGGCCCTCTCGGCCCTCCTGACGACCACGGCTACCGCGCAGTCCACAAGCTCTTCGTTGCCACCGATGTTTCAGCCACCTACAATGCCCGTGTCCTCGACTCCCAGCCCACCGCTATCACCTACGTCCTCGACGATCCCGCCTGCGGGCCCTTGAAACTCTCCTCCGAGGATTGCATCTCCAACATGACCGCGACTTACGGCCTGTCCTGGTATCAGTACGGGTATGTAGACGAGGAAGACCCGACGAGCACTGTCATTCTGCGCTGCAATCTGGAGGGCATGACGGCGGCGGTGTGCACGAATAGCCGGATTGCGCCGGGGTTGACGACGGTGCAGTGGGAAACGTTGTCCGGGGCGCAGTCGCTCTTCTGGGCTGTGACCATCACAGATTGGGTGGAGAAGCTAGCGAGCATCACCGCAGGACTCGCCGCAACATCATCATCGACTCCCGCGCCGACAGGGCCGACGAGCATCACGTCGCTCTTGTATCCCTACACCGACTACGAGGACTGCGCCGCCTCAGTCTAGGCTCCAGCGACTCGAGCATCACGTACGCCTTCGCTTCGTCCTGCACCGTCTACACGGAATCCGAGGACCTGGCGTCCGGCTCTCAGCTATGCCTCATGCAGCCCGGCGGCTTCACCGTGACCTGCAGCGCGAGCTTCTACGAGGAGAGCACGTCCGCGGCGGAGGACCAGTACTACTCAAGCCAGCGGTGTGGGTATGAGGGCACGGCAAGAGCGAGCTGTACAATGAATGTGGCGTCCGGGGATGACGGGTGGACGCAGCAGTACACCGCCACGCTTGACGCCGCGAATGTCACTCTGCGCGCTATTACGGTCACAGCGGGCTTGGAGAAGTTGGCAGCGGAGACAGGATCGAGGTCTGGAAGTTTGACGACTGCACCGCCGACGGGAACGCCGTCGGGTACCATCACTGGGACTGCAGCTTCGTCCACAAGCTCGGCTGGTGGCGACAAGGCGATTGGGATCTCCGTCGCTGGGGTTGCCGACATCGCGCTGGCTGCTTTCGCGCTGTGAGCTTCTCTTGGCGGCTTAGCTGTCTCCAGCAGGTTTGGGACTTATCAGCGTGTTGTTTGAGGGGAGCAGACCTAGACGGCTAAGCCTCTAAAAAGGCTAACCTAGAGTATTCGCCCATCTGCAAGTGTTTCAAGACAGCATGTACATGCGAAGACGATCAATAGCGTAGGTTGTGCAACCCAAAGGTTACGCTGTGGCAATGGAAAATAATTTCAATTCTCTTGTATCCTGTGATATCTGAAGCGAACGTCTCCAGTCCATCTAAGACTGACGGGCCGAGAAACAAAGGGTTGAAGCACGCATCTTCGGATTGATAGCAATCTTTCTACGTCGTAGCATCTTATACAGGGCATTCATCGTCGACCGATTTGTGGAGATTGGTGTTTTGGAGGTCGTGATACTTCGAGGTCGTACAGAGACGTTGTCGTCGACGGCGTGCATGATGCGGCGTAACATATCTAAGCCTCCCTTGATTAGGCATCCACATTCCCTCTTATAGTACTCCTTTTAATAGCTCGAGATAGTCATTGTTTTTTCAAATCAATCTCGCCAGCAGCTTTAGCCCGCCATTCTCTATGGCATTATCAGATATCCCGCTCGAAGTCATCAGGCATATCATTGAACAAGCAGTCTTGGCTCGGAGTACAAAACGAGCATTGAGACTGAGACTTGTGAATCGTGAGTACATACCGTTGGCAGTATATCTGATGAAGGTACACGTCTTCTGACCTTCGCACCTAGGAATCTTCGCTTTCGAAGTCGAGCCAGCAGTATTCACGACCGGAATCCTCAAAGGCATAGGCATTACGGAGATGCCCACTCGTATCTTCCACCCTTACCTCCTCCACCGCACGATCCTAGAAAGTCAGGACCCTCCATGGATTCGGCAAAGATCCGAGAAACCTGCGAGCTTTTGTGCAAGAGACGTGGCGTGCCATCCGGGGATGCGAAGACTCGCCGGAGCTACATCTCTGGGATATGCGACACGATCCAGGACGAGAACTTCTCCATGCCCCGCACGTGTATTGTCTCGACGGAAAGCGTTGCCGTCGCGGAAAACTCGAAGGAAGCCTTGAAGCGCATCTCCGACGAAATCTCGACTACGGCTATCCTGGCTGCCGCTGCTCAACTGGGTTTGCTGGACGTGGTCATCCAAGTTGTCGAAGATATGAAAGAGACATACTCGGAGTACCAAATTGAAGATGGATCTATCTTTGGTCAGCCGTTGAAAAACGCTGCAGCACAGGGACACTGTAATGTGGTCGAGTTTCTTCTCCAAAATTCCGTATGGGATTCGAAGCTAGGTCGGAGATCGCAGACATTTATCAATACCGAAGAGGCCGGAATCTACAACCGAGACATGCTTGACTTGGAAATGCAGCACTATGCACCATGCGCTTCCAGAGATTTCTACGCGAGCCTCGCGCCCTGGAAGGACGCTACCACAGGCATGCCGGGTAGAGAAGTCTTCGCCCAGGCCTTAGCTCTTCTTGAAGAAACGAGGCTATATGAGGATAAGGTTGATGAGCATGGCAGCATTTACGACTTGTGCTTAGGGCTGAAAGACGAAGACGTGGAACTGAGTAATATCCAAAAAGCGGAGAAAATAACGCTTGCTCTCCTTAGCGTTCCATGCTCGACGAGTTCTAATGGAACTTACCCGAGCGTATGGGTAGGTTGTTGGGAGAAGACTTCGAGAATCCTCCTGGAGGGAGCATGTCGCTCAGGAACACCGGAAATGGTCAAAAGAAGACAACTCACAATAGCACGTCAACTTCTCGACCATGGCGTCCCAATAGTCGCCCCCGAAATAAAGAGGGGCGCTCCAGCCCCGATCGCGCGAGCGGTCGCTTCCGAGCACATAGCGCTCTTCAAACTTATCTGCGAGCGGGGCGTCATCCCAGAAAATTCGCAGGAGAGAGCCGATATGAAGTTCCTAGCGCCGTATAAAAAAGAGGACTTCATCCTGGAGTCAATAATGGAAGCTTTGCAGAGCACTGGAGTCTCGACATCCAAGGAGGCATCTAGCAAGCTTCGACGAGCTGGCCCTAGCAAGCTTTTGCCGGACTTGTATAGAGCTATGAGTACACTGGTGCAGCCATGTTGCTCGGGTGGGTCGGCATTGCATGGCGCATATCAAGGAACCCCAAGCACACTTGGCGATTGGAGCGAAGAATCGTCGGAGCGCGGATCCTCGGGATCGCATGCATGGTAGAGCAGCAAGGCACAGGACTTTGTGTACTGTGGAGTGCTGAGACTGTCGCCAGCCCCTCACCAGGCCCCCTCCTTCAATCGGCACAGATAGCCTCTGTTTCCCCTGTGACACATCAGTTATTCAAATCATCAAGCTTCCACCCCTACGTTTCAACAGATTGCCAGTATAGTTGATGACGTTCTTCATAAGCACTATGGCACTCATCGGTGTGTGGTCGAGGAACACCGGCCGCAGGCTCGGGCAGGGAGAAGTTTGAAGCGAAGGTTCCGGTCACGTGCCCTGTTCGATCTCAATATCCTTGTGGCTTGCAGAATCTTGGAATCGTCCATGTGCCTAGATCTGTGGCTTTATTTGGCCGATGCAGGTGATCATGCGATCAGCAAGATAAGCGGCAAGGCGCCTACTTAGTTAATCTTGATTCATGATAGGGTGCATCTTAGTGATGCTCGCGTAGCCGGGGATACGGGAGAGATCATGATTGCTATTTATACAGTGCTTGCACACCTATCGGACCTCCACCCGTCGTCGGCTGTGGCGTCTTTAGCTCGTTCACCGTCGACGGCAACCTAGTGGCCGCATGTTCCCGCAGGGCCTCCATGCAGCTGGAATGGAAATACACCACTTTAATGCAGCCCACTGTGTACGTCAAAGCTGGGTTTGTGTGCAGAGGAGTGCAGACTGCGGCGCGAATATAAATGAAAACCTCATTATCCAATAGGAGGGTTGGACCCAGGTCCGCTCGGAGGGCAGCCACCGGACGAACAGCCACATGGGAGCAGTATATACAGATGGTGCTCCGTCTGGTGAAACTCGTTGCTCAGCAGTTACAGGGCTTCCGACAAAGCTATTGGCTCTTGAAATTTGTCGTCCCGTCATACATGCTGTGTCCTGGGGGCCAATCCGGTATCAAACCATTCGTTCTTTTTGTGCTTTTCCCGCTCCTCCCGCCCTACCATTCAGATACCACCGGCCAAAGATCATTTAAAGCTTGTCGATCCCAGGAGATCCATCAGAGCATTCCCTACACCGCAACATCATGGCGACCCGAGACTACAAGGCTCTGATTCCTTGCACCATCTTCTTTGCTATCTCCACAGCCCTGATTTTCACGCGCATGTACGTCCGTGGTGCTCGTCTTCGGAACGTCGGTACCGATGATGTGCTCTGCTGCATTGCAGGTGCATTCAACATCGGCGTGACGACATGTTTCCTGCTCAGTACGTAGCAAAACTCTTGCCGCAGAATACCGAGACTAATTGAGGAAAAGGAATCGAATACCAATACCGAGCGGTGGACTGGGTCCAAACCCCCTACGAACTCCGCATATCAATGCTGTCTTACTACCTCAGCATGCCTTTCTACCAGCTTGCTCTTGGCTGCATCAAAGCTTCCATCATTTTTCAGTACCGCCGCATCTTCCGGGATGCTCTTGGTTACGCCTATACCGTTCTTCTAGCCCTTGTAATATGCAATAGCACGGCTTTCTTCCTCATCATGACCTTCCGATGCTCGCCTATTGACGGGCCTTGGACGAACCGCTCAACGGTCTGCATGGATGTGATGCTGATCAATTATATCTTCATCGCGATCAACTTCTCGACTGACATCGTTTTGCTGGTGCTTCCGATGCGGATCCTTCGGGACTTGAATCTGGCCAGGGCGGAGAAAAGGGGCCTAGTCTTTGTTTTTGGGCTAGGGGGATTGTGAGTACCATCCGTGGTCCAACTATGCGCCCTTTTTGTAGAAAGGAACTGATGTAGTACTTACAGCGCCGCATTGACATCCATCCTTCGCCTTCAATATGTGCTCGCCTTGCGCAGCGATGACGACATGGCCTACAATGGGCTCCTTATGTGGTGCTGCATAGAGATCAGCGTTTCAATCATCTGCGCGTCACTTCCCTCGCTCAATGGCATAATGGCACGCCGATTCCCGCGTATCTGGCGGAAAGATTCGACATATCGAAGCAGCCGGCCGTCCACTCGATGGACTCCGAGACACCTTCGCGATAAGCTGTATGCTGCAACTCCTAAGGGTCAGGAGTCGACCGAACGAATCAGCGGTGCGATCACAGTTGTTGGTAGCAATCGTTCTTCCAGCTCCAAGAAGAAAATTGAAGTTACGACGACCTTCAAGCAGAGCGTTGAAGACAAGCCAGCTGGGACAAATACTGAGCCAAGAGCAGGAACCTTTTGCGAACCCGGTCTTGAAGGCAGGGAAGAGAGACATGATTGGTGCAAACACAATTCTTGGGTAGCTGGAGTTATGGTGGATATGACGGAGACTCGAGCCGAGCATGGTCGAGCGAACGGTGGACCGAGTGAAACTGACCTCGAGATGATACCCCTAGAGACGCTTTAGGAATAGCACTTCAAACTGGGACGGAGAAAGCGGTGAATCGAGCAGGGCTGAGGTAGAGATAATACCTTTGGGACCGGTTCAGTGATATTTCTAGTACGTCGAATTCGGCGTTGGTGGATTGGGCTCGGGACAATGCCCTTGGGGATAGGCTGGGGATAGTTCGTATTACTTCGAATTTGGCGTATGGCGGCAGGTAGCGTGTGAATTCCAACGCAGCTAATTTTATGCACTCAAAGTGTATCCGCATTCATTGGATACTAGGTGTGATGCCTGGGTTCTCCTGCATGCTTCGGGACGGCTGAGAGTGCCATCGGGCGTCTCAGTAGACACAGCTGCAGATTTCCCAGTATCGAGGCAAACTTTGTCGAAATTTGGAATGCTCAGCCAACTTCTAGGCACAGCTAACACAAGTGACTTGTTAAGCAAAGTTCCCCGCTCTAGACACATGCCTGTACCAGCCACGCCCCCTGCATCTCTCGCACACGGAGACGTGCTCCGAGGTACGAGGTAACTATATATTTCACCTGATGGTTAGGTCATACGCTCCAGGGATTCCGCTACCTCGGGAGCTGCGTTGATTTTAGCTTTCACGTTGCTCTGTCAGACGTCGAGTTCCAGCGACGCATATGGTTCTTTTAATCTAGTGGAACTATGAGCTGTGAACATATGGGCTTCTATTAAGACACGGCGATCAGATCGTGGTAGGAGTCGACGTGTGTATGTGAAGCGGAGGTGCGAGCTGAAGGTTTCAAGGGGCCTTCTTAGGGATGTGTAGCTTGCTCGAGGTCGAGCGCGCGGATGCCTGAGTAGTGGGAAGCCAATCAGCAAGTTTTCTGATGACATTCATGAACCGTGTACTTACGAACTGGTCTGAGCGCCAGAGTGTAGCGGCTTTCTTTGCTAGAATAAGCGTGTTTGGGGATGTATGCGGAGACGGGGAACGACGTGGAGTTCTGGGCGTGAGAGTATGACTTGGAAAAAAGCTCTCAGAGAGTCCATCACTATAATTCGAGCGCGCCGTCCTTTTCGATGATCTTCTGTCACATCCCAATCACTCTCTTCCTTGTACACCGGTGAATCGCACCTTGGGGTCTAGTAAGCGAGTGCAAAGTAGAAGGACGAGGTGGAGAATTTTGCAGCTTGCTGCCTTGTCGATCGGCGTCCCAAGTCGATTTCGGACTCTGTAAGCTCTCTCGCGTTACGTTCTCCTATACCCCGTCGTCGAAACTCCTGCTCCTCTTTCTGATCAGCAGCCTTCATCACATCCATCAGTCTCTAAATACGGTCAAACGCTATCCGAATGCAATGAAGAATCATGGGCGAAGCACCAGCATCAATGGCAGCACCCTTGTAATAGCAACCACTCGTCGTAGTGTGACGTAACGCGATGGCAAGATAAGAGAAATGCGGGTGAGTCAACTATCAAGTGATAGTATGCGGGATAATTGCAAGGACGACGAATTCGCTGAGAGATATCGAGGTCGTGGTGTTCGAGATGAAAGTCTCTCTCTTGCCAGCGGGACTTCGACATTCGGCTCATCAGTCCGTGTTTCCAAGTTTTTTTTATACCCAGATCGTGCCGTTTTCCAGCATCGGAGTACCATCGTCTCTCGATGGCGGACAAGTTAGACCAAGATACTTCTGGCAGCTGGTGAAAAGTGATGAGAACTCTTGTGTATTGCTATGTAGGAGGATGGGTATATATAGGCGTAGAGGCGCCAAGCCAGCTAAGAGAAGGAACCCTGTTGAGCTGAAAGGTGACTTATGCAAGCTGAGGAATGGCGCCAAGGATGCGCTAGTACAGTAGCGTATGGACGGCTGCCAACTTCGGAAACAGGTCCTGGTAGATACTTCTTCGTCACTAGCCTGGACGACTTCCCCAGTAACTTAGAACTGCGAGTAGTAGGGACTTGAAATAAACGGATGGAGCATGCACTTTGAGCTGAAGGAGGCTAGCGGGGCAAGGAGGAGAGGAGGTAGGACCTCGGGAATAGGTGGTTTGTGAGGCGTGGCTATTTTTAGAATTACCTAGAGTTAGAAACTTCATCTTCTATCCACACCCACGACCTCGTATCTCTGCACTAATCCTAACAATCTATTCCAACTCTCCATCGTTCGTCGGTTTTCTTTTGCTCTCCTCGTATGACGCTCCTCCGCCTGCCGTTATAGCTCTTCTATGGCCCTCCCTTCTTCAATTCAAGTTACACTCATCTTCGATAGCACAATCTCCAGCGACAAAGCCTGTCGGCACGTCGTACGGATCCGGGATCGGCACACGACACATGCCCGCATGGTAGACCGTAACCTCAGTACCATTCTGAACACGCGGAAGAACACCGGTCCGCAGAAATTCTTTTTCCATCCGGGTTGCGATTGAGGCGGGAACTATATATGTATTAGAAGAGAAACATAAGGGAACGGAAGGTTTACGCACGATTGAAGGTAGTATGGTTATCACCATGGCGAACGAGCAGCGCGGAATGGTCGGCAGTCTTCCAGGCGATTGTAGCCCATTCGGTTGGGGTGCTGCACGCGACTGAGTTTAGTACGAGTAATCGACAAAATCGGGTGAGTAGCGTGCATACCTGGCGTCAAAATCTGCGGTCACGAATAGCATCGGGGCTTTCAAGTGTAGTGTTTTGAGCGGGGCCACGGCGTAAGGCCAGGCGGCGCAGTACATGCGGATGTTCCAGGCGGCGGTTTGGCCGATTTTGTAAGTGTCAAGCTGCACGAGAATGAGGGTTAGTAAACTGGTTTAGACAGAGGCTATCGAGTGAAGTCTTGTTACCTTTGTACCCGCTTGAAGGGACTTTTGGAATCCGGCGAAAGTGTTGTCTCCGAAGTCTAGGTTATGTTAGAAGGCAGAGTCTTGTGGAAAGACAGGACGGTCACTCACAATAATCGCTGCAAAGATAAGGTATCCCTACGGCATCGTTTATAGTCAACGGCCCTCCTCCGCTAAGACTGCTAGTATTCCCCTGAGCCAGCTGCGCAAGATCTTGGTTTATGATAGGGAATATTGGTTGGTCCTGCAGCTCATTGTAGATGCCATACTGGAGAGCGAAGGTTTCCAGCGAAGAATTTTTCACAGCTGCAAGAAGTTCGCCGTAGACCTATGTTGAGGGATGAGAAAAACAACGGTTTATTAGGACACAATCCTCCACTCACCTTTGGGACACTGCCTCTGCCTTGCGCCTTGAAGGGACAACTCGGGTCGTTTTGGCAGTAAGCGTCTGCGCGGAGCAATGCTCTGTTCCCAGCTAAAATTCCAGTATTTGCTTGATCATCAAGGCTCTAACGGCAGCATTAGTATCGTAGAATATACAATTAGCCTAGCATGAGACTTACAAGTCCAGGGGCAACTACAGCGTCAAGTACGAAGTGGCCGACATGATGAGGATATTTGGCCGCGTAAAGTTGCGCTCGATATGACCCGCTAAACAAAGTTAGGGGCGCAACGGTACAAAGAGTAAAAGGCTATATACTATGAGAGCCCGATAAAATTGATCTTTTCGTATTTAAGAGCCTTGCGAATAGATTCGTGGTCCTGTATTACCTCGTTTATCCCGAGGAACTGGACGATACCGGGTGGAGAACTTAATTCGTCAAATGACTGTATTATTGCCTTGGACGCAGCTTTAGTAGCGTCGAATTCGCTTTGATTTGTTGGGCTATGGCCATGAGTTTTGGAGGATTGAAAGATGGAATGGAGACTGACTTTGGGACGAAAATGGAGCTGACGGTGTCGAGAGATACGTTGAGTAAGTTGGAGCTCCAAGTGCCGCGTATATCCATCACTGTAGGTAATGCATATTTTAGTATGTACTAATCACCAAGTAAAGATGTTAACATACTCATCAAATCATAATCTTCGAGGCCTGAGAAGTCGGGAAAATAGGGTCCTGTCTGGTTTAGAGCTACTCGCCATGCAGCTGCAGCGCCTGCATCAGTACCGCCGGGACAACTATAGGAATTGTCAGTCATCTACTTCAATGTCGAAAGTCGCTTTAGTTGCTGTTTACAAGAATATTACACCCTTAGGATTTGCAGGTCGGTACATGGCCAGGCCGAGAGTAATATTGTTGTTGACGCCAATAGGCTTCGAGTAATCCATTGGCACATTAATCCGGCCGCAATGGAGAGTTTGAGGAAGTGATGATAGGTTGACATTCGTAGTGTTGAGGAAAGTGGCTGGAGGTGGAACATGCTTGCTGCAATCCACCCAATCGATATAATGGGTAGAGGCCGCTCCCACTAGAACTGCACAGAGATACGCCAGGCGTAATGGAAGGTAGCCTAACATGACTAAAGTGTCGATTGGAAAAGGGTGTAGATAATGGATCAAGAGGAAAAGGCAGATCTTAGGAGTCGACTATTGGGGAACTGAGGGGGCTTGGCTTGCACTTATGGTTATGCGGACTTTCTCACCATTTTTAGAATATCTGGGGCTGACAGTGTGGAAATTGAACGAGCAAAAAGATTTATGCCCGGTTGGAAATCTTCGTTGACTGATAGAAAAGTTCTAGTTCATATCCGGATTAGAACGCGCCATGCATCTCTTCAGGAAGATTTTCTCACACCGCTCAAGTCTACCTTGCACTTCTGAGAGATGAAATTCTTGGATGACTCTTTCATCTAGACTACTCTTGCCAACTCCGGCGGCCTAGCACGGATATCAAGCCACAGATGGGTCCTAGAGAAGGGTAATGTTCCTGGAATTAACGCCTCAAAGGACGACCTCATGGTACCCCGCTTTAAGTAATAAAGCTTAGTGCCGGTGATCTTCAGTCCATAATTGGACTACTTCTGCGATCACGAGCTCTGATTCCATATTTCGCCTATGGCTTCATATCTGCGCAAGACTACCGGGAGTTTGACAGAGTCTGTACAGCATCAACCTTGTACCATGAGTTGAATCCCGAAAGACTAAGAGATTTCAACATACGGCAGTAAGACAAGCTATTCGCATGGGCGGGGCTTTCATCTGCCCGAGTCAGGGCAAATACCGACTGAAGTGAACGTACTGTGCCGTTACGAACCGAATAAACGAATGGATCAATGACTATACGAACGACCAACACTTAAACGAACAGTCCAATCAGAATTCAGAGGTCTGGGGCGCTGAACGTGTTCGAACTAAACATTCATGAAGGTAGGTCGCTTGTTAGTCAGCGGTCGCTTGTTACCTCAGCGAGCTCAGCTGTTGATTCTCAGTGGTTCGCTGCTACTAGCACACCGCTAATACTCTCGCTACACCACAAGCAGAACCAACGAGAATAACGTAGGTTCCGAGTGAGGTTTAGCGCAGCATGTCCGAAATCACAACATCTTGGTATCTCTGAGCTGAGGTAAGCTCGCTTGCGGCACCACCTAGACTCGGGTTGTAACAGCTACAACCTAGGATCAACAACTCATACGGTTCACGGTCACCTACGTACAGACTTGGAGTTGCTGGCATAGTAGCTGCCTACATGCCTAGCCAGTTACAACTTCTACAGAGAGGGGTTGGGGTACGGTGGCCTACCCTGCCTAATGCTGCCTACTGCTGCCTCCAATTAGTGCTTCTGCCTATGCATACAGTCACTTCCTACGTAGTATATAGTTTGGCCTTCGGGCCCCCGAAATAAGACAGAGTTCACATCAATTTTCAACCTGAGTCCTAGTCAGAGGGCTGTAGAATACATCAACACTAGACGAACAGTCGGTGACGGTATCCGTAAAACGTACGAGCTACATGCTTATTTGAGTTCTCACTCCAAAATAAAGACCAATCATTCCCGTATACTACAAGCCACAAGTTGTTCAACGTAGGGAATAGAGCTTCGAGCCTGAGAGACAAGCTCATGCAATCGGGTATAAGTAACACCTAATACCAGCGTGGTTAGTAAACCGGCCAATCCTCAATCAGATTGATGGCCGGTTTGTTAATACGTGCTTCTAACAATCCAATCAATCAATCTAGGCCCTTTTCAATCCTTAATCCGTCTAATTCGTACTAGAAGCCTCCCGCTTAGCCTAAAAAGGACAAATTTACGCTCCTTTTAGGGTTTAACTTGAATAAGTACTAATCCGGCCAATCAATCCATACTTATAAGCGGCCAGTCCAATCCAATCCCTATTTTTGTCCAGCTAGTCCAGTCCAGTTCAGACCCAAAATTGCAATCGGCCGGTTTACTAACCGTGCTGCCTAGAACTCCTTGAAAGCTTCACGATACTTAGACAACAAGTACCATCTCTGTTTAAGTCTGTCTTCTAAAACAAATCATGTCTCGCATTCTCTTCGTCTACACACTTACTGTTGGCATATTCGGAAATCTTGCACACTGCAAGCCCAATCCACGTTCAACAAATACATACGAAGAAAGCATTCAGCACTTTACGCTCCCCAAGCTGGTGTCATTTGCATAATTATTCAGCCAGACCATGCCGACAAGCATGCTTTTGGTCTCGACCTCATCTATTCCGACGTTGCTCCTTCTCAACTCGCTCATCAATTCCACGGCTTTCCCGTCCTCCAAGGCGACGTAACCCACCCTATCCCATCAAACCCAACCTCGGGATACGCCTCACTGTTCGGATGGATCCAATTCGTTAAGCAAGTTTCGAAAGATGGAGATGACGGGAATTGGACAATGGATCTCTACCCCTACGCGCAGGATATCAACACTCCATTTGGGTATTGGGGGGTCAACCCGTCGGTCTTTGATGCGCCAGCGATTGCACTAGTTGTGAATGGGAAGAACGAGGCGGTAGTATGGACTGCCCAGGCATTTCTATGCGTGTTGGACGATGCGGGATTCTCCAAGAATGTGTCGGCGATTCCAGGAACTGGTCTCACTTGGGGATTTGATATTGATGTGGACCATAAAACACTTCAGAAGGGCAGATTCTCGTCAGGCGGGCTCAAACAGTTTCCGTGGAATCAGAATGGCCTGAGGGACTTCCTCTGTTGTGGGAGTCGTTTCCAGAGTGGGCGTTCCATGATGTCTTGTGGAAATGAACTGGCAATTGGGGACAGCCTTCTCTCTCCAGTTACTACGTCCGGTGTAAATAGCAATGCTTAACTTCGCGTCAAGATCTTATTACTAGCCGTCTAAAAATGCAAGCCGTTGAGGCATCCACTAGACCTGCTGCTTATTTTCAGCCGCTGTGGCCATTCAAATAGATCTAACTATGGGAGTGATCGTGTGACAAAATTAGAGCGGAACTCAGATCAGAGTTTTGTTACCATTCAATAATTTGGTTCCCTGGAGCTTATAGCACTATAGTTATTCGTTTTTTACGCAGTCCAGAGGTTACAGTCTACAGGCCCCTGTCCGCATTTGCTCGCGCAACAGCAGTGCTAAATTAGTGAGCATAGTTCACAGCAATAACGCGCAGAAAGTGCAACTTTTCTCCCCGTTGTAGGCTCATTAGGTAGGAATTCTGTCGGTAGTCGTTGGAAACTCCGGTTAATAACTTGAATCCAATGCTCAATCAGCGCGCATCATGGACAGAGTTGTGAAAATTTGAGAGTGGGCTTTCTTTCCTCGTCATGGTGCCCAAAATTAGACAGAATGAACTGGCTTAGCATGTATTCGGGAGACATCGTTCTTGATCTTCTGCGTGTCACTGGAGTCACGCAGGTATTGAAGGGCACAAGTGGCTTAGAAGGCTGAGGCTGAAGCAGGTCGGCCGGCGAGATCTTCGACAACCTCAATCCACTTCTTACTACTGACGAAGGTGGCTTCTCTGTATAGTCCTTCTCTTCCTCTATTGCTGCTCCCAACCGAGTCACGTAACCTGCTGAATCTCTATCGCCATCAATAATCTATAGTCTTGATTCGGAGCGTGTCAACTTACACATCACAACGTTTAAATCTCTCTCCGCCTGAGTTTATCCAGCATCGGTTCACAGTGCTCAAAGCGCAGCATCACCTCTCCTCTTGATGGCAGTCATCGTCGTCTCCACTAACAAACGGCCAGTTGTGTCCTTAAATAACTGTCATCACCACTACGGACCGGATGTCACCAACCGCCACCATTGCACTACGCTTCCGCTACTTTGACATCACACCATGGGAAGGGAGTATATCCTTGAGTTCAATCCCCCCATACACCCATCTGCAAGGCAGGTTTGCACCCCAAACACCCGCCAAGTCCATTGGGGGCCCCGTCGCGAGTCTATTAATCCCCACCCGCCGCCATGGGACTGACGGACTTGGACGGTTTAAACGGTCTGCATGGGAAACCTTGTTTGCTCCCCTTAAACGCTCTGGAAAGCTAGAAGCGGACGGCGTCTTATACTATTAGAAGGTGTGCTTACACGTGCTTTGCTTTTACTACGCGTGAACTATTCTTTTCTCTCTCAATTTCTATCGCACATGCTCTAATATGTAGTACAACGTAATAAGAGATCTTCACTTTATTCTTCTTTTCCCTGGAGCACGTGTACTAGTACATACGTGCTGCTACCTTTCTACGACTCTATCCTAGTATAAAAGACTTTTAACTGTTAAATACAATGCCAACAAGGCGCATACCTGCGCATACGTGCTCTAATTCACAATTAGCGACTTTCCAGGTCATGGGAGGATCTTGGGGATGTTTGGTTTGCTATTACAAAGCAAACGTGAAGCGAATGGCACCGGATGTGATTCTCGGGGTGGCGCGAAGATGGGCATTACTTCCCCCTTTTGCAGAGATACACCACCATTTTCAAGCGTTGAAGCCTACCAAGTGTCGATGTTGCTGGACACTAAACCGGCAAAACGCTCTAGAATACCATCAGCAATCGAACACAAATTCAAGCGCCCCGACCCGGACCGCGAAACATCATGTTGGGTGGAGTGGGTGGTACTCCAGGCCACTGCCACCAACTTCCATGAGCACGACCGCATGCTGCTTTTGAACAGCCCACCCATTTCTCACGGCCGCGCTTCCTACTCCCACCTCACTCCATGCGGATCAACTCTCTCCTGGCCAGCTTTTCTACCCTCGAGAGAAATGGAGCTGGGGGATTGGTAAGCCCCACCTGCTCGTCACGTTCTCCACTACCCCCCTCAATCTCTACTTCCCTAGTGTTTCGATGGAGACTCCAAACTCTCCCCGATCGCTATCACGTGCCCTACGTGAGTCAGCTCAATTCCTCTTCCGCCCGGGGTATGAAAACCCTCCCCTTTCTTCGCGGACTTCGCTCGAGCAAGAGGAAGCAGAGGTTGGAGACACCGGGTCCATCAAAACCATACGGTAATCGATTTGATATTGGTGGTTCGGTGTGGAGGAGCAAAATGGACGCTTCATAACCCCCGATGTGTGGTGTCCTGCAAAACAAGCGAGTTACACCATTGATGGAGCTTCGGGGTGTTGCAGGACTCGGAGTTAGAGTCGCGCGCATGGGCCGTGGAGCTAGATAAAACCACGTTTCCAGAGCATCATGGTGTTGGGTGGTCTGGAAGCCGTGCACATAAGGCATTGCTAGCGATGCTGGAACTCACCAACGAACTAGGACGTTGTCTTTACGTGTATAGCTGAAGCAGGGGAAGAGCATCAACACCCAGAACTGCGGGCAACGATCATTCATGAAAATTGGAGAAGCTTCAGCAGCAGCATTCCCACCGACCTTCATAATTCGTGTTCTCAGCCGCCGGTTTCAATGCGCCACTTCCGGTCCGGCGCACTCCATTCGAGCGCCGCAAGGACTGTTTTGATGCACCATTCGCCTTCGACCTTCGCCGTTCAATCCGCTACTACCCAGAGCCATTGCGTACCTGCAATTCCGGTTTTACAAGACCCATTCCCTCCGCACCATGTAGATAGACTCTGGGTAGGTTTACTCCAGCTAAGACACTACCACTGCTAAGGAAAAAGGTTAAGGTCTGTTGACGGGAGAGAGATTTTATACCTAGAAGAAAAATTCGGAGGCAGCCGGCCCCGTGGGGGGCACGTGAGATATGTAAGGGGGTAACGGTCTGTAGGCTTCGGCGTTGAGCGCATTTGTTTCAGAAACCCCGCGGAAGTGGCTCTAGCTAAGGCGTAGTTAGTTCAGAGGAGCAATTGGTCCAGTTGTCTGTCTCTTCAACACGATGCAACCTGCAATGCTCGGCTGTTTGGGATTTTTGCTTCCTGGAAACTGTATATGAGATATTAGACGCCGAGCACATCCATGCCAAGGGAACACCTCACGATGCGAATAAGTTCACGGCCAAGATCCATCGGTGTATCTCCAAACCTTACGCCCTCACCCTCCTCCACCGTACAACCGTCACCTCAAATGGCCCACGCTGCCACTCCACCTTCCTCTCCACCTCCCCTCCTTCCCAACTCCCCCTTTCCACCCCAACGCATCTCAGCACAAACTCCTCCCCCATTCCAAACTCCCACGTCTCCGCACACCTCACCACCTCCTCCAGCTGCGCCTTCTTCGCTCTGAAGCTCTCAAACACCATCTCCAGCTCCTTCAGCCCCGGGAAATCGCGCGAGAGCGCAACGCCCCAGCCCGCAGCCGCCCCGTCTTCGTCTCGAGCGATCGCAACGCCGTCGAGCCGCCCCCTCTCCCTCCTCCTCTGCGCCAGCTCCCGCATTACCCCCGCCGTTGGCCTATTCTCTACGGAGCCCGCCCCAACGCTCTGATCCAGCGCGAGCCCGCCATCACGCGCGACATCCCCGGGAGCCGTCTCCCACGTCCACCAGTCCATGCGCTCGAGGCGGAGCGTGAGGTACTTGACAGGTTCCGGTCCCGTCAGGAAATTCGTAAAGCTCTGGAAATGATACCCAACTTCCAGGAACGTCTGCATGAGAGTGTAGTCGATGGCCTGAGCATGGTTGTGGAGGAGGTTTCCGAGCCTTTCCGGGAGCTGATGGGGACGCTTAGGGAAACTGGGCGCAATGTCTCCCTTCTTGGATGCGTTATTCCCGACGGAGATCGCGTTAAGGGAGATGGGGAGGTAGCGGGTTTCGCTGTAGACGGCGCGGCAGGTGAGGAGGAGCGGGAGAGCGATGTCGTGCTTTTTGCTCGCCCGTTCGGACTGGGGAAAGCCCCGGTGGAAGGGGTCGTGGCACGTGTTGAGGAGGGCGTAGGCAAAGACCTCATCGCGCAGTTCACGGGGTAAGCGGCTGAATAGCGGGCATTGCTGTTGCGGGTTTATGGTTTTGGTGGATTCAAGCAGGGTATCGAAGAGGTTGTCAGAGGTCTGTTGGATGTCAGCTGGCATCCATGAATTGTTTACGAGAAGTTCTGATGCTCACCGAGTTTGAAACTCTTCTAGAGAGTACGTTGAGCATTTGCTTCATTGCATGCGATTGTTCCCTCTGAGTTCGACGGATGCTTGTCCCGGGTAGAGGTCAGCAGTGGCGGGGTACGGGTGATACTTAAATTATGTAGTGGCTCGAGGCACAGCTCACATTTTGTAGCGGGGTGCTAAGAAAAGCCCATGAGAGCTTACCCCTGCATAGCGGCACGGCAGTTAGGCAGACACTTTTTGGAATACCTGAGCCTTGCATAGATTGCATTCCTTCAATTCCTTCAAGACTGTTCACGATCACCAGGCTCACGTACCACAGCGTTTAAGGATGGTATCGAAGCATGCAAAGGAGGGAACATGGAGAATAATATATATAGACACCCATAAGTGCATGAACCCGTAGTTACCATCTTGAAAGAAGATGACGAAAAATATTCCCTTACATTGACATAAGAAACTTTTTCTGGACTAGAATGCGGCGATGTGAAATATCAACGAATGAGACATAAAAAAGACGCTTGCCTTGCATCGTAAAAGTAAACTGAAAACAAATTTTTCCGTACTTCGACAAGAGAACGCTCTTCAAGATAAAATACGATGTGGTACAAAGGTATAGGAAAATGTCATCAGATGCGCCCCCCACATGGAACAGAAAGTTTAAAACAATGTAGTCGAAATCGGGCGAGATCGTCGGATATCGTGCCAGCAAGATTATGCCTTCTCTGGGTCGTTGATACCGCCGTTGGTGATGATGTAGGTAGCCTCGCGCTCGGGACAATCTAAGGAAGAGCGATTAGTAGATCGCAGAAATGTATTGATTGAGTCTCCCCATACCCGGAGAGTCCTGAACCTTTGCAACACGTTCTTCACCGCGGCCTTTACGAAGGAGGATTCGAGTGGTAGAGGCATGGGCGAGGATGTGACCGCCGACTGGTTTGCGACCGTCGGCACCGGCAAAGAGGGCACTGGCACCAGGATCACTCTGTACTTGGTTGGTCAGAAGAACGGCGATGTTGAAAGCTAGAAGATGTAAGCGGACAATATCTCAATTGATTCTCTCAAGTCTTGCTCACCTTCGGCGAGATGGGTCAGTCTAGAGAGGAATTGATTGAGCTTCTGCTGACGCTCATTGAGTTCTCCACGACCGACGTAGTCCACTCGGAAAAGGGAGATGATGCTATCGATGACTAGAAGGCGATACTCGTTGTTGACGAAGTACTCGGCGACCCGGTTAAGCAGCTCCATCTGATGCTCGCTGTTGACTGCTCTAGCATAACTGATGTTCTCGAGGGCGTTCTCGGGATCAACGCCGAAGCGTTCGGCAATCTGGGTGATGCTGGAAGGAGTCAGGAGGAAGCCAACGAGCATTGATTTGGAGGAGTGGTTACCGTTCAGGTCGGAATGTGCCCTCGGTGTCTGCATCATCGGTCAACGGGATTTTCTTCAAAGCCTTGGTAGAGAAACCAACCGATGTATGCCACCTTGCCTTCCGCACCGCCCATGTCCTATTTTGTCAGAGGAGTCGAGGTCATTCGACGGAATATGTATACCTTGGGAAGTTGAGCTATGACCGACATAGTGTGCGCGATCTGGGTCTTTCCGCAGCCTAAGTTCCATCAGACCCATTCACTAAGACATCCCTGAGCAAAACTTACGAAACTCTCCGAAGACCTCGCTGATACTCATCGTCTGAAAGCCTCTGACGTGGTCAGCACCCATCAATTCCACAAGTAGCCCGAGCCTTACCCTCCAATGATCGCATCGAACTGCTTGCTGCCAGTAGAGATCTTGAGCACTCGTTTGCGCTGCTGACCAAGCTCCTGGGCGGTGACGAATCCGCCTCCAGACGGCTGGCACTTCGCAATGGCATCCTTGACCTTATCAACCTTGATCTCAGAGAACCCCTTGATCTTGAGCAGATTCCGACGCGTCGCAGCATGAACGGACTGCCACTCCATCAGATTTCAAATTCTCAGTTCTATCATGGACGAGACGCTCACCGCGATCGTGTAATAGCCACTCGTCTTCAGCTTCGAGATGTCCACCGCCCCGATCCCGTGGGCCTGGATCGCATCGATGTCAACAATGAAGCCATCCTGTGGCACATTAGTACACGGTCATCGACATCTTGTCGAATCGGTGGCCTACATCGTTCTGAGAGTCGTCGCTCGCAACGGAAGAAGGCATCGTGAGACTCAGCGGAGCGGTGAGAGGTAAACGGTGGCGGGATGGGCGAGAGTGAGATGGGACGAGATGGGGCGAGTTGAAGCGGGTGCAGATGATGAAAGAGTTAGACGGGAAGAGATGAGATGGAAGGAAGGAGAGGATGGAGGTTGGAAGAAGGTTTGGTCATTTACGCCAAGCCGAGGCTGAAATGAAAAATGAGACTAGCAGGAAAAATACCATCGATCTTTTGGGAACGGCAACGCCTTGGGATAGAGCGCAAAGGCCTAGATATCGTAAATGTTACAACTGCGATATGGTCTTAATGCCAGTGCGTCAAGAGCCTCACAACTCTCCAGCCAAGATAAAGTTCTGCATTTGATGGAGTGGAAATATGCACACGAGAAGGAGAACAACTTCATAGTGAACCACATCCCTCAACAAGCCAACTGCATCGCGCCACAGGGACGAGAAGCACCAAGATAGACATGCCATTGGGTGCCAAACAACCTAGAAGTAAACAAACCACACCGACAGGCGCTCACTGCTCTACACACCATCCCTCCAAGCCTTTCCCAACTTTGCTGCTTGCCACCCTCCATTGCTTAGGCCTCGCCCTTTCCCTCATTGCCTCTATCCAACTGCCAAAGCCCATCAACAGGCTCTGGTGTCCAGACGTAGGCTCAAAAAGAAAAAGACAGCCTCAATCCAATCCGGTTCGAAGGTTTCCTGGGAATGCTAATTTCATGGGGTATCGGAGATGTTTATTCGTGAAATACTTTTGCGGGGTCGTTATAACGTGAAGAGATAATGTCGGGGCCAGTGTCTAGGGAGGAATGGCTGCCGCAGGCAAGGGAAACGATTGTGGATATGGGAAAAAATTGTAGCTGAACATGGGACAGTAGGTTCCGGGGACGTAGTAGTTGTCAGGAATTTTTCTTGCAATGTCATAATCCCGTGGGACACGCAAGATACAATCGGTTGCTGTGTCTATGCCACGGCCGGCGTAGGAGCTGGGGGTGCAACTCCTGCGCTGGCATTAGCAGCAGGCAGACCATCGCCATTGACCTCAGCTTGCGGGCATTCTCGGGAGATATGACCGGCCTCGCCGCATCTGTAGCAAGTCTTGCCAGCCGTGTTGAGGGGTCCTCCGTTCGGCGCGGTGCAGTCGCGTGAGATATGGCCAAGCTTGCCACAGGCGTAGCACTTCATGGCTTGAGCCTGGCAGTCACGAGCGTAGTGATTGGGTCCGCCACACTTGTAGCAGGTGGCCGGTCGTGGACCGCCAGCGAAACCTCCTCGGAAGCCACCGGCAAAGCCGCCGCGGGGGATCCCGGCCCCGCGTCCAATTCCAGCGGCACCTGGGTTCGGGCAAGAGCGCTGTCAAGTTGTCAGGGAAGGAATGTGGGTGAGCTTGGAATATCCTTACAGCAAGATGCCCGGGCTGGCCGCAGGAGTAACATCTTCCGCTGGTTCCAGCACCGCTCAGACGGAGAGTCGGGCAGTCAGCCTGGACGTGACCGAGGCCCTGGCAGTGGTAGCACTGCTTGGCTGTAGAGTGTGTTAACGAAGGAACAGTGTGTCTAGGCGTGATAGGAAGTCGTACTCTCGGTCGTGCGGGGGTGTGGGCATCCATTAGACTCATGGCCTTAGTTGGTGGTTAGTCTTCACTTCGAAGTTGGTCCAAACAGCTGGCATGTACCTGGTTGCTTGCCTGTAGTTGCAGATTAGTACTTGGCGCATATAGATTGGCAGTTCAGAGTAGCTCACAGTTGTAGCACAGCCTCTCAGACGAAGAGCAGACCTCTGTCGCAAACCATCAGTATCGGCCCTTGTCGCAGGCGCATTCGAGCATACCGGCGTAATGGCCGACGTTGCCGCACTTGTAGCACGCACGACGTGATAGGGACGACATTTTCTTTTAATCCTCCCGTGATACTTTATGTCCAGTGTCAGTGCCAGTACTTCGGTTGCAGGTGCCTGAAATTTCGGCCAAGTGGAGGAAAGGAGGATAGAAGCTTGTAGCTGCGAGGGTTTGCTTGCGCAAGTGGTTGGGGCCGTTCGGTGAATGGCGGACGGGCGGGCGGTGCCTGGAGGAGCTCTCGTACCTCTTTTCTTTCTGCAAAACCTTCTCCTGGGCCGGTCAGCGGGATGTCTCTGTGAGGCGCAGAAAGATGGAGCGCAGCCGGGACGGCGCAGAGAAGCGCGGCGGGCAAAAGGAGCGCGTACTCACAGTCTCCTATCCTTCCCTCTTCGCAGCTTCAACCTTCCGCCGTGCAAACAGAGTGCTGGGAGTTTATAGGGAGTGGTGGTCGAGGGCTGCTCAGGCGTGAGCGGAAAATGGGAAAGGCATGGGGCGACCCTTGGCCGAGGTGCTTGGTTAGCGTTGGAGCAAATTCTGCAGGCCACCGACCCGGCCTGTCGACGGCGACGTGGAAGCGCCCGCTGTGCTGGCTGTTCGCCACGCTGTCGTCTGGCGCCGTACCCGCGAGAGCCCAATCTTGGACTGATGCTGTTGGAGCGGCGACTTGCCGCTCTGGTCGAAGCTCTGCGCGCTCCGCAGTATTGGAGCTCTTTTTGGCCATGACCGTGGCAACGTGCTGGCAGAGGGCCCCGGAGCGTCATAGATGTGATGTCCTAGTTCCAGCTTTGTGTTCGACGTCTCACAGAGAGCCTCTCCCCGCCTCGGGCCACGTTCCGAGAGGGACCGGGACGCTGCCTCGTGCGCCACTCTACCGTGGTTCCTCGATCTCGATGAAGCCGCAGAACCTTGGACCCCAAATCCAACCCCAGATTGATGCCAGATCCATAGTCTGATTGGCGGGCAGTCCGGAAATTTGAGCGGCACAGCGGTGCGTGCTCGGGTAAGGCTGCTCGGGATCTGGTCGCTTTTGGGGCGGGATATCAGCACATGCAGAGTCATGTCACCATGTGGCGGGAGGACAAGTGAGAGTTGCATGCAGGAACCCATTGCGGAGCGGCACCCCAGACGTTGGCATGCACTGGTGCCCGAGGTGGTACTGGCCTAACCTGGGAGAGACATGACAACGGCCTGCTGTGCGCTCATGCAGCCGCTCCTGATTCGAGAGATTATTAGGTATTGTGCCATTCTTGCGGCTGTCATTGGTGGGAGCGCGCCATTTATGTGTGTATAATGGAGTGGTCGAAAGGGCGGTTGATAAGCAGTTAGAGACAGTAGCACATGTTGGATCTCTTAAAATGAAAACTTGTATTCATGTTGCAGTACATCTATATCCGTACGCCATGTGTTTTGGTCGACTCTCTTGGTCGCATCATTTGAATTCGTCAATCAATCCCGGCACCCTTCTCTGCTCTGCTTGCGCTAGACCTACTCATCCTTCTCGATGACCGCTGGTGCCTTGATAGTGCGGTCCTTGAGGAAGTCGAGCCCTTCGCCGCCCTACAACAAGATTGTTAGCAATGACTTTAGAAAAGGAACATAGTTGGCTTACGTAGCTGATTAACGGCGAAACTTCAACGCCAGAATCAGCATCCTCGCTTACAACCACACCACCTGCGGCCTGCACCCATTTAGCACCCTGCGTGAGGATGTCCCTCTTGCTAGTATCCGGGTCGTCCTCGCCAGTACCTCTAGCGTTCTTCAGCGGCGAGAACTCGTCCTCACGCTTCACCTCCATGCATGCAAATTTGTCCATCGTGAGGAACGGAAAACAATCGAAGACGAACTGTTCAAGCTTGATTCCGTTTGGCTTCTCCGGCTTGACAGTCTCGCCCTTCTCGGTATCTACGTAGGGAATCTTCTTCCTAGCAACGTGGTGAGGCAGCCTCTTCGCCCATTCTGGAATGCTCTCGAGGAAACGGTACGAGTAGTAGTGGTTGACTATGTTGGCGGCCCTGAACTTGAGCAGGTCATGCTTGTGAGGGTCTTTTGCCTCGGCAGTTGCTGCGTCGATCTCAGAGTACTCGACAACGTCTGGCTTGCCGTTCTTTTGCAGGATGAGTCCGACAGACTCTGTGGCGTTGCGCTTTCGGACGACCTTTGTTGCGATGTCCACGTCCTTCGACGCTGCGAAGCCGATGAACACGGGGTCGGCGACCTTGACTAGGCAGTTATCGACACAGTATGCGTGGATATGCTTGATGCCTCGCTTTTCCATGTCGGCGACAACGCCGGAGGAGATGAGGGCTTGGTAGAGCCCACCGTTTCCGTCTGGTGCGACAGCGAGCTATAATCCTAGTTAGTAGGCGGTGAGACGTGTTACTTTTGCCGAGAACGTACCTTAGACTTGCTCTCGAGCAAGATCTTGCCGTCATTGGAGATGCAGGGCAGCACGCCTTGCTCGAACACAACCACGTCTTCCTTCTCGAGACCAAAGAAGTTGTTCTCGCTCAAAAACTTCTCCGTAGGGCCCCGAGTTGGCCCGCTGGTCATCACGTACCAGGGCACAGTGACATGCTCTTTGCCGTGTTTCTTCTTCGCCAGTTGCTGGACCTTGTAGATTCTCTCGGCCTGTAGCTGAAAGAGCGACTTCTGGCTGGGCAATCCAATGTCATAGCATCCCTTCGGGGCACTGCTTCCCAGCCGTGTGCCCTGGCCTCCTGCCATTAGCACAACGGCTACAGTGTTATCCGCAATCAGCTCTAGCCCCGAGTTGTACCAATTTGTGAGGTCTTCGTCTTTCGAGTCAAGGATCGAAGAGGTTGCATTGTCTGGTAGCGGATCGAGGGTCGGCTCGGCGTCTTTGGCTTCAGCCTTTGGCGGGTTAAGGGCTTTCTCGGCCAGCTCGTTAATGTAGATTGGGTCGAATTTGGAGATCTGCTCGAAGAGAGCTGCTTTCTGGGGCGTGTCTAGCTCATCGTAGAACGCGAAGACCTGGCCTTGACCAGCCTTGTCGTACTTCTCCCTAAGCTCCTTGACCTGTTCTTCGCCAGGCTCTTTCACGCTGTCAGCGTGGCCAGTAAGGTGTAGCTTCTCAGCTAGAGTATTGAGAGCTTGCATGGCTATGATGCAACCACGGCGGGGTATATGGCTGAGGAACTTGGAATTGAATTGGGAAAAAGCAGAGGGAGAATACTCAGAATCTTGAGTTGATGATTGAGTGGAGTGGATTCCTGGAGGAAGCTTGTATTTATGGGCAGTCGGTGTCAGACAACAAGAGCTGAAGGCGGTTCGAGACACACCAACCCCTTGTGGTGGGGATCGTGGCGCAAGCTGAGCTAGAATGCTGCATCCGCCTTTCACCGTCCCTTGCGTCAGCACGAGCGTCCCATGCCAAAGCATTTTAGCGCACAGTCACTAAAAATAGGTAATCTAATTCGCCATCCATTCGCTGGTCTGGAAAGCTCTTCGTGAAATATACGTATTGTGTATATTGGGTGGCGGTGAAGCTCAATGCAACTTCGCGCTCTACAAAACTACCGTGTACCGTACAAATCTTATGCAGAATGTCCATTAACCTCCCCATTCACCGCAATCTCATCAGCAGATTTCAGAGATCTCGAAGGTGCTGGGTTTAAGATCGATGCCGCGTCGATCAGCCGAGCTGCTGGGTTCAGCTCCAGTCCAAACCCAGGCTTGTCGAGGTCCGATACATTGAGGAAGCCCTTCGCTGGGATGGGTTCGTTGAGGAAGAGGTCTCCAAATACTGGCAGCACCGACTTACCGTCGGGCGAGTTTGCCAGATACTCTTGAAAGGGCGAATTGGCCTGCGAGACGACGAAATGGTAGCTGTATGGTCCGCTGGCATGAGGCACAACGGGAATGTCGTACGCAGATGCCATTGCAGCAACCTTCAGCAATTCCGTCATGCCTCCCACCCACATCACATCTGGCTGGAGAATGTCCAAGTTGCGCCCTTCAATTAGCTTCCGGAATCCATACCTCGAGTACTCGTGTTCTCCAGTTGTGAACTTCATTCGGGGATGAGCACGCTTAATCTGTTCGAATCCGTCCGAGTCGTCGGGAGACAAGCACTCTTCCCACCAGTTGATGTTGAACTCCTTGCATGCCTTCACGACCTCGATGGTATAAGGGACGTTCAGGCTCATATAGCAATCCACCATGAGAGGGAAATCGGGACCAACGCTTTCCCGGTGCTTGCGTAGAAACTCCACGTTCTTCTTGAGGCCCTCAACACCTTCCCCTGGTCCATACGGAAGGGGAACTTTGGCTCCGAAAAAGCCCATAGCCTTCGCAGCAGCCGGTTCCGGGCCGGTACAGTAGAAGTCTAGCCTTTCCCGGGTGGCACCACCTATCATCTTGTATACAGGCTCGTTCCTAATCTTCCCTAGAAGATCCCAGATGGCCAAGTCAATGACCGAGATCACGGCCACGGGCAAACCCTTCCGTCCATAAAACATGGATGCCCGATACATCTGCTCGAACAGATGATTGGTGTCTCTCGGATCTGCGGGTGTTGCGTCAGAAAATGAACACATCGGCGGGGATATATTGACAGAAGTGGCACGTGAAAGAAAGGGAATGAACCCACCGGCACCGATGAGAAACCTCTCAAAGTGCTCTGCCACGAGCCAGCATGCAGGAGGCCCTCCAAACCCAGTAGCGAAGCCCTTTGTGCCATCAGTGGCTTCGAGCTCCACACAGAACGACCCCAGCACATTGATCCCCCAGCTTGTCCGGGACTTCCGATACTGCTCATACTGTGACATGGGCGTCGAGATCTTCGAATCTATCAGCCAATGGCCGCCTTTGACATTGTGGTAGTCTCCGCCGGAGCCGGGTCCTTGCGTGATGAAAGTTCGGATCTCCTTAATGGTCGGGAAGCTTCGTGCGCCTGAAGACATGGTAGAAGGCATTGTCGATCTGAGGAGATGTCCACGCAATACTTAGATTAAGAAAGGACTATGGAAAGAGGAAACAGTGGGCTGAGCTCAACGCGATGCTTCAGTATGGTGGTGGTTAGCACCCGGATACACGCCGGCAACGTGCATGTCTTTATATCGGGACAATGATGTCCTCTCGGGCAGTATTGCTGCGCTGCGATGAGCGGCGGATGTTACAGTTAGTCTAGACCCCATGGACAAGTGGAGGAATCACAACGATGCATTCAGAGGATTCTCATGCCATCCCCAGTCTTCGAGGCCGGACGGCAGCTGTCGAGTGCTAGCTCTGGCCGATCCCCGCCTACCTCGGGTCATCTCCAACAGCGAGATGTCCCGCGCGACGAGCTCTCCTCGCAAAAACAAAGCAGCAGTCGCCGCCATGGACTTGGGTGCCGTGCTCGCCGGCCACCAGGCCTACGGAAGCCCCGAGTCCAGCTCTCTTCCCAAGCTCTCGCAGCAGTCTCCGCCCGACGACGACGACCAGGACAATTGGAGTGGTGGTGAGGGCTCAAGTGCCGGTGGCGCAACGCAGAATGGCTCCTCCGGCAAACGAAAGCGCCCCATGAGCGTGTCTTGCGAACTCTGTAAGACTCGAAAAGTGAAATGCGACCGAGGACAGCCCAGCTGCGGGTGGTGTGTCAAGAACACCCATATCTGCGAATACAAGCAACGAAAGAAGCCGGGTCTCAGAGCCGGCTATGGAAGGGAGCTTGAAGCTCGTCTGGGTGCGTTGATCTCCAATTTCTTCCCCACAAATTCCCAGGACTGAGTCTCGCGATGTCTGATCCTTTACGGCTCACTAATCCTAGAGCCTTCAAAACTTCAAGTTTCGTTATAGAATACCACGGAACGATGCTAATGTGCATGTGCAGACCGGCTGGAAGACATCATCCAAAAACAGCAGAATCAAATCACCCAATTGTCACACAACAGCAACCCTCCATCCCATTCTTCTCCACAGCAGGAGTCGTCACTGTTTAGGAGTCCGCCGATGATACACACGCCCCATATTCCACGGCCTGAAACTGCCCTCTTCATACAGAAGCCTTCGACGTTCCCCTCGCAGTCTTCTTTACAATCCGACTTTGGGTACTCTGCGCCTATACCACAATCGCCATTCGAGACGGACCGATTCGCAGGACCATCGATACATCAGCCAATAGCACAGCAAAACGACAATGCCTTTCCGCCATACGATCTTCTATATGGCCTAGCCGACCTGTTCTTCAAGCACATCAACACGTGGTGTCCGATACTGCATCGCCCGACGACGTTGAACTCCCTATTCGGGCCTTCCAGTCTTGAAGAAGCGGACCGGATTCTATTGCATGCCATCGTGGCTACCACTTTGCGATTCTCGACTGATCCTCGGCTTACGCCGGAGAATCGCGACCGGTACCATCAGACATCCAAGGAGAAGGTTCTTCTCTACGGACTAGAAAACAGCTCAGTGAAGTCCCTTCAGGCTATGGTTATCCTCGCGTTAGATCTGGTCGGATGCTCGAACGGTCCTCCTGGGTGGAATTTGCTTGCTTTGATCACGCGTTCCGTGGTGCAGCTAGGCCTAGCGACCGAGTCAAGTTCACCGATGGTTGCTCCTCAGCTTGCGTCTATTTATACGTTGAGAGCGATGGTTCTACCAGAACCAAAAGATTGGATTGAAGAAGAGAGTCGCCGGCGCCTCTTCTGGGCAGTCTACATTCTTGATCGCTACGCCACCATCGCCACCGCCTTCGACTTTGCGTTGGACGAAAAGGAAATAGATCGCAGGCTCCCCTGTCGAGATGATCTCTTTGGCCGTAACAAGTCTGTAGAAACGCGATGGTTCGCGACACCTGAACGGACGGACTACGCTATGAACAAGGTAGAGAATCTAGGGTCTTTCTCATACTACGTTGAGATCATCGGGATACTCTCACGAATCCACAAGTTCTTGAAGAAACCGGTTGACATCACATCGCTTTCCAGCGTTGAGGTTTGGCAGACCGAATACCGCGACCTTGACCGCGAGATTGAAACGTGGAAATATAACCTACCAAGCGAGTACGGGAATGCTGCTCGACTCTTTTCTGCCTCGGGAGCAAACAAGCTTGCAAATAGTGGCTGGGTGATGCTTCACACCGCTTACCATACGTTAGTATTTCCAGCCCGTTTAGGATTTTCAAACTATATAGGAACTTCGACTGACCATGAACCAGTGCTGTAATTCGATTGCACTCATCTGCTGCATATCCTACCCACCGATCTCCAATCTTCACGCCATCCTTCAGTGCAAGCCAGCGATGTCTCAGCGCCGTCGAGAACATTAGTACTCTGTGTAGTTACGTGAACGAAAACAACATGTTGACCAAACTGGGGCCACCATTTGCATTTTCTCTTTGGGTCGCTGCTCGTGTGCTACTCGTTCATGGTTCTACTATCGACCACCAAGTCAACCCCTCAATCAACCTCCTCGTGAGCACTCTGCGAGAAATGGGGCGCTACTGGGAGGTCGGCAGCAGATATGGCAATCTGCTTTCACGGGTCCTACAAGAATACCAAGACTCACAGCGAGCACCGGCTAGCTTCAACGGAGAAAGAGTTACGCCATCAACTGTAAAGATTCTTGCAGACATGCGCCGCTGTGCGTTCGACTTGGACTTCCTGATATCCCGCCAACCTAAGCACGCCGCGACCAGAGCTCCATCCATCACACCAGCGCGGACGCCAGCTCCTAATGAGTTGGAGTATCTCGATGTTTTCGATTTCTTTAATATGCCACGGCTTCCCGTTTCGATGGACGGGCCCATGAGTTATGCCAATGGCGCTGTGGGAGATCAGTTGCAGATTCCAGACGGTGGGCCCAGCAATGAGTTCAACATCACGAATTTCATGGTTGATGCTAGTTCTGACTGGTTCATGAAAAATCAAACTTGAGTTAGTGCTTCACGGAAGACGCAACCCCTCAAATTTCCACAATGCGACTACTCAGTAGTCCCACCAAATGTAGTTTTGTCAAAATAGATACCCATGTTAGCATTTCACAAGCCGTCTTCTCACCAACTAGCCTCCAGTTAATCCCGTGCAGTCAAATCCTATAGTTTCTTTTCTTTTCCTCCCATACATCTGATCTACAAGACCGCGTTTATCACGTCGTTGAATCAAAGTCTACAATAAGGGCAGAGGGGTATCTCACACCTGCATGTTCGATCCCAGATTCACTCTTCCCAACGCTTACGAGCAGTTTTTAGAACCACACTCTTTCCTATTGTCCTATTCCACATGCGATGGAAATTGGGCATCCCTTGGACAAACCAGCTACTTCTCAGCTGAGCCACGCCTTCCAGTGGTATCAAGCCAACAAAAGTGGAGCCCGAGTGCCCAGGTCCACGGCTTAGTGGCATACTCTACCTGCAAAGTAGCCCTTGCCTCATTATCTAGAACTTCAACCACTCAACCCGGAACCTCGTCCCCTGCGACGCCAACGCCTCCAGCTCACTCCCAAGCCTCCTCCAACCTACCACCTCACCATCCTCCCCCATCCGATCTACTCCCTGCAGCTTCACATACTCCAACTTCTCGCACTCCTCATCAAGCCGCTCAAGCAGCGAAACCCAGCTCCCCTCCACCAGCACAATCTGCTCCAGCACGACAGCCTTCAAGCTCCCCTTGTGCGTCGTCAGGAGGTCCAGCAGATACTGCTCCGTCGCCTTGCCCTCCAGCATAACGCTCAAACTCTCGAGCTCCGACGGCGTCGCGAGGAGCGCTTCGGCGAGCGGCACGACGTCGCGGGCGAGCTCGGGGTGTAGTCGCCGCATGCGTGAGTCGGGGCCGCGGAAGGTGAGGTTGAGGTGCTTGAGGGCAGACGACTTGAGTAAGAGTGAGGTGAGGGCATCGAAGTCGTTGCACTGGGGTGTGGTAGAGAAATCAACTTGTATGCGAAGGGTGTGGAGGTGGAAGAGCGAGTTTGCGGGGTCCTGGAAGCGGCAGAGCAAGGGGATAGCGCGGAGTGGGGGAGCGTCTATCATTTCGGGCTCGCCCCAGACCTGCGTCAGTTCTTCCAGTTTCGTCCCGGAGGCTTCGATTGCGCGCGTGATTCGCATCGTGGCGGCGGTAGCCTCGCCGCGGTGGGATGCATAGATGCTGTAAGTCGTCGGCTCGAGCTTTGAAGCCTTTTCTTTCGCTTTCGAACGCTTGGGGAGGCGCGGGAGGATGAGCTCCCAGATCTTGTCGAAGAGGGCGCGGTCAGCTTCCTGGTCCAGCCAGCCGCGGAGGTGGGTCTTGTCCTCGCCGATCCAGTCTGCGGAGTCGATTCTGATGGAGCGAAGGCGAGGGAGGGCCTTGAGCGCTGCGGCGAACGTGTTGGAGCCGTACTCGGAGTTCATGAAGTAGAACTGTCCATGGCACGCTACTTCGTACTTCTTGATGAGCAGGCGGAAAGCGGGTATGCACTCTACGATGGAGGCTGGAATGAGCGATGCTATCGTCTTGAGGAAGCTGAGGATGCTTTGACTGCCGCCGCGCTTCTCGTCCATCACGCGAGCGTGTTGCCAGTTCTCGAAGCCGCTCGTCCCAAAGGAGAGATGGGTGATATAAGGGGTAAGCTGAGGGATAGAAGAAATGCGGGCTAAGTCTTCAATATCGTCTGGGATGACGCGGAATTGGAGATCACCCAGCAGCTTGCCGAAAGACTTCCAGCTGGCGTCCCACAAACCGCGCGATAGTTGACGTATGTTCAGGATATCGCGCCGAGAGGACATGGAGAGTTTCATCCAGGCATACTGCCGAGATCGTGGAGAGCCACCTTGTCCATTCCCTTTTGCTGGAGCAGGAGCTTCCTCCAGGTGTTCGACGATCATCATTCTTAGCTCTAGGGGAAGTCCGTCTAGAGTAGCGGAGGCTTGTCGTGTAGGTAGTGCGGACTGGAGTTCAGAATTGCTTCGAGGGCGCTTTGCTAGGCGGATAGGTACGGTTGAATCTGAACCTTTCCGCTTACGAGAGGGGGGCGAGCCGCCATTATCGTGCGAATCCATGGTGTCCAAATCGAGGGTCTGCAGTATGCTTTGAAGTTATGGGGGCGAATATGGACTGGTGGGTTGGGGGCTGTGTTGGAAGGGGGGAGAGAGATAGTGACTGCGAGACTGATGGCCACATCTAAATGAGTGCGTCGGCGTCACTAAAGGCCCAAAGAGTGGTGCATTCACCACCTTGCCGAATTCCACGTGAAGTATCGATCACATGACTTTCCAAAGCCCGTGAATGAGGTAGAAAGAGAGAGTAATTACTTTCTCGTTTGTATGCTTGGATAGTCAGGATTTCGAACGAAATAATGAGATGCCTCGTTTGCCTCGATAATTAGATTGCACAGTTGGTCTGTTGAGTGAGCTCCGTTCAGCCAAGAAGAAGTACTGTGTTGATTGCTAGATATTGAGAAAGGTAAGGGCCGGACTACTTGGTCTTAGTCAGCTGGTCCTGGTAACTAACTGCCTAGTTATTTACTTCGTCCGACCTCTTCAACCATCCTCCACATCCGCAATTAATCTAAGCATCTGACTAGTATGCTCTCCTCGACTTAACACGCAGCTGAAAGCTCCTCTGATATCATTTTCCAAAATCGGGATGACAGGAGATTGACGTGCGCCTGGATTGGTCTCTCCATCAAGCCCGCATACGCCGTCGCGTTCGGTGCCCATTCAGCTGCCAATACCAACCCCAGAAACGCAGTGTGGCTGGAAAGAGCCTGCCCTCGTGCGGGAGCTGACTGCGTATTCTTACAGCTGACCTAGTATATAGATTCACCAGGCGACAGCGGGCTGTCTGCCATCTCTAACCATGGTTAACAGCGCATCCGGCAGCCCTCATAACTCCTCTACGACGCAAGTCGCAGGCCTCTCGACGAGCTACAGCCCGAACGTGCTGTTGAATGCATAGCTTCCGACCACCACTCGAGCTCGGCGGCTTGGCCACTCGTAGCTCACACTTCCAGGACCAAGGCCCAGCTTCAAGATGTCTGCAACCATTGCGCTCGCATCCGATGCTACACCATACACCGCGACTCCTTCGGCGACACAAGCGGCATGTACATGGTTGGGGCACTGCCTAGGAGATCCATGTGTAACAGAGAATGATTGCGATAACGACTGGGTCTGCTCAAACAAGATTTGCGTGCCGTGTTGCCTTACGGGCGCCCCAACTTCCACAGACACGACGATACCTACGACTGCAATCGCAACCTCATCCACAACCTCCTCCACATCTACGTCAGTTCCTCAGCGTGGGCTTACGAAGGCAAATATAATAACAATCGGCGTCGCTGGACCCGTGGGGGTAGCTGTGATAGCAATGGCGATATATCTGATTTGGCGTGCACGTCGGAAGAGAAAGGGAAGACAGCACGCGTGGAACAACCCAGCGAATACATTTGGAAAGGCCGAACTAGACACAACGAACCCCGGCGCCGCAACAAGCGCAACGAAATATCCCCATGAGCTAGTGGTAGAGGAACCTCCTATTGAGATGCCTGAATCTACAAGCCCACGAGACCCGGATGCAATTGAGCTGGTGGAACTAGAGGGCGATGTCTCATACCAAGGAAAGGGGGATAGGAGGGCTCTTCCTCCCCACATCAACGAAGTCTACAACCCGATATCAGACACTGAGCAACCCCATCTACCGCTCCATCGCCTCTCGCCCCGAGCTCGTCGGTTTGAGGAAGTGGTTTCGCCTGACACTGTCAGTCTGGGGCAGCGCCGGGCGTCTCCCGCATCAGATCTGTCTTCTAGCCGTCCGATAATTTCCCCTCCGCAAACATATCGCAGACTTGACGATGATGATGTCGAGGAGCCGGTGTTTGATAGCCGGTCTGGCTCCGACTCCAGCTATACTCTGTTTCGATGGCCTACAGAGCGGTCGCCTGAGCGTAGAGGCCATGGATGATTCTGTAAATACGAACTCGATTCTATCAAGATTTGAAAAGTGGTCCTGTCCGGGTAATTTTTTCCCCATCGTATCTAAGCTATGATACTAGAATTCAAGCTGGTCTCTTGCTATAGTGGTATCCTTGCAGAAAGAACATCAGCTCCCGAATGTTCATTCCTCGTTACGACACTCAATCGAAGGACTGGGAGTAAGCTGCACACAACTGATGGGAGGTGACCTAGGTGGCCGGCTAGTAAGAGTAGTCACATGTGCACCAGTCAGAACGCTGTGGTCTCGGAATCTGATTCTAATTTCAGGATTTGGCGCTCGTTAGCTAGGCTCTAGCCATTTTTGCAGCTATTCCCACGGAGAGTCTTATGAAATTGGAATTCAAAGCTGCTAAACGCATGTTGAGTGGTTTTCTAGAAGAAAGCTAGCGTAGAATTTAGCAATTGACTTCGATCAACCTTCCCCTATAAGTCTAGCGCTATGGTGGCTTGCTGGAGGATCTGCCTCCCGCATGCAAATCGGCCACCAAGAAACAGATTGTGGGGAAGCGTGAGCTTGATAATTCCCGCGGCGACCGCCCGCTTCAGCTATGCCTCGGCGTGAATTGCATCCCTGGATGGTCTTTTGGTTGGGCGCCATCATGCCTGCCATGCAGAAGCAGCGGGGGAAGAGGCCATCCTCTCGGCTGAATCACCTCATCACACCTCTAGTTTCTACCCCTCTCGCCATCTCCACATTCTCGTGAGCCACGAGTCTGGGGAACCAACGGAAGAGGCTCAAGCAGTGCTCCACCGCGTCATTATTAGTCTCTGTTAATCACCTGAGCCACCGCATACCACTCCGAACCATCCGTGAATCCTCCCGCTGCTACCATGCTCGCACAAATCAACATGTACCTCTTTGCGGTGTGGACAGCGGTGTCACAATGGCCTATCAACTTGCTGGTAAGCAGTGTTTGATCCTCGGAAAAAATCTTGGGAGGTTTCTTAGGTAACTGCGAGGCATTGGGTTTCCCTCCTCCCTCAAGCGGAGATCTCATCTATTCACCGGCCATCATCTCCCAAAGCTTACCCTAGGCGGTCGCTTATGCAGGTCGTCAGCAAATCCCCGTCGTACCATCTCGTTGAAAGCGTCATCCCGAGTTGTGGACTGCGGGGATCTAGGAAGCTGCGGCAGGCGCCTTGTAGTGAGGAGCTTGGGTATATGATGTGACCCCTTCCTTCTGCGGAACCACTTCTCTTCTCTTTGTCAACAAGTTCTTCTGCTCGTTCAGTCCATCTTTTTCTTGAAACTCAAGGTCAATTGGCATCGCTGCTAGACAGTCGGATCTTGGACTCTTCGGGCCAAGCTTTACAAGCATGGCGCGGTCTCCTTCCGAGGTGGCAACTGTCTTGCTGTCTTCGTTTCTAATCCTTGTTTCTGGCCAGAGCTCGACAAGCCCCTTCCGGGAAATCTTCACGGTTCCAGCTTCAGCAGATAATGGTGCCCTCTTGATCCCAAATATTCAAGATCCGCAAGCGGTTGATGTGCAGACGGTTTGCCCGGGGTACACGGCATCGAATGTGCAGACGAACGATTACGGACTGTCTGCTTCCCTGACTTTAGCGGGAAAGGCCTGCGACGTCTACGGCACGGATGTGGAGAGCCTCTCTCTGAATGTGGAATATCAGTCTGCGGAACGACTGTCTATCAATATCAGTCCGTCTAACGTGGTAAGCATAATCTATCAAATAAGTCCACACATTCAAGAATCTCATAACTTTTAGGACGCGTCCAATTCATCCCACTACATTCTGTCGGAGCAGCTGGTCCCTCGTCCTTCGAGAGATTCAGACTACAAGTCGGACATCAAGGACCATGACCTGCAATTCTCATGGAGCAACGATCCCACGTTCTTATTCACTGTGACGCGGAAGTCTACCGGAGACGTGCTTTACAGCTCCAAAGGTAGTGTGCTGGTTTACGAGGACCAATTTGTCGAATTTGTGTCTTCTCTTCCGGAGAACTACAACCTGTACGGTCTTGGGGAGCACATTCACGGGTTGAGACTGGGCAACAACTATACGGCTACGATATATGCCGCAGATACTGGCGATCCAATTGACTACAACATCTACGGCAGTCAACCGTTCTACCTAGATACCCGGTATTTCGAAGTTGACTCGGATGGCAAGAAGACTCTAGTCACGAGTACCGCGACCGATCCATGCAAGAAATATGAATCTTATTCCCATGGTACATACCTTCGAAATGCCCATGGTCAAGAAGTCCTCTTGAGACCGGAGAACATCACCTGGAGGACCCTCGGTGGAAGTATCGACTTGTTCTTCTTCGATGGACCAAGTCAACCAGAGGTCACCAAGGCTTACCAGACCGGGGCTATTGGCTTGCCAGCCATGCAGCAGTACTTCACCTTCGGGTATCACCAGTGCCGATGGGGTTATAAGAATTGGACACAGCTCAATGAGGTGGTGGAGACATTCAAGAAGTTCGACATTCCGCTGGAGACTATCTGGACCGATATCGACTACATGAGCCAGTACAGAGATTTCTCGAACGATGAGAACACGTTCTCGGTTTCTGAGGGGCAGAAGTTCCTGTCTCAGCTGCATGCGAATGGACAGCATTATGTGCCGATCGTCGACTCTGCGATCTACATCCCGAATCCTAGTAACGCTAGCGACGCGTATGGCGTGTATACGAGAGGCAATGATTCGAACGTCTTCCTATCGAACCCTGACGGGAGCCAGTACATTGGTGCTGTCTGGCCCGGGTATACGGTCTTCCCAGATTGGCATTCGGATGAATCAGTGCCATGGTGGTCCAACGAGATGTAAGCTCACACATTCAGTAATCCGTATAGACTACTAATATCCGATTCAGGGTGCAATGGTACAAGGACATCCAGTTCGATGGCATCTGGATCGACATGTCTGAGGTCTCCTCTTTCTGCGTCGGCAGCTGCGGTTCTGGAAACGTCACTCTGAATCCCGTGCATCCGCCCTTCTCTTTGCCTGGCGAACCCGGAAACATCGTTTACGATTACCCAGAAGGCTTCAATATCACGAACTCCACAGAGGCAGCGTCAGTCTCAGCAGCTTCTTCGAGCGCCGCATCTGCTACTGCTACTGCTACGGCAATCTTGACCAGCTCTTCGACTACTCCCGATTATCTCCGCACGACGCCAACTCCGGGTGTCAGGAACGTCAATCATCCTCCATACGTTATCAACAACGTGCAAGGTGATTTGGCTGTGCACGCAGTTTCTCCAAATGCCACCCACCATGACGGAGTAGAGGAATACGACGTCCACAACCTCTTTGGGTGAGTTCCACCCTTCAAATCTACCGGACAAGCTACTCACACCACTACAGCCACCAAATCCTAAACGCAACCTACCAAGGGCTCCTCGCCGTCTTCCCCACCAAGCGCCCCTTCATAATCGGCCGCTCCACCTTCGCCGGCTCCGGCAAATGGGCTGGCCACTGGGGCGGCGACAACGCCTCGAAATGGTTCTACATGTACTTCTCGATCCCGCAGGCGCTGTCCTTCTCCCTCTTCGGCATCCCCATGTTCGGCGTCGACACGTGCGGCTTCAACGGCAACTCGGACGCGGAGCTCTGCAGCCGCTGGATGCAGCTGTCCGCCTTCTTCCCCTTCTACCGCAACCACAACGTCCTCAGCGCCATCTCCCAAGAACCGTATGTGTGGGCGTCGGTCACCGCGGCCACGAAGACGGCTATGCAGATCAGGTACTCGCTACTGCCGTATCTCTACACGCTCTTCCACGCCGCGCACACGCGCGGCGACACCGTGATGCGCGCGCTTGCGTGGGAGTTCCCCAACGACCCGTCCCTCGCGAACGCGGACCGCCAGTTTCTCCTTGGGCCGTCGCTCATGGTCGTGCCGGTGCTAGAGCAGGGCGCGGCGAGCGTCAACGGCGTCTTCCCCGGTGTTCCGACGACGGTGTGGTACGACTGGTACGGCCAGACCGCTGTCTCGGCGAAGGCGGGCGAGAACGTGACGATCGAGGCGCCGCTCGGCCATATCCCGGTCTATATCCGCGGCGGCGCGGTCTTGCCGACGCAAGCGCCGGGGTATACGACGACGGAGAGCAGGAAGAATCCCTGGGGGCTTGTTGTCGCGCTTGATGCGCAGGGGAGCGCGGAGGGGAGCTTGTATCTTGATGATGGGGAGAGTATTACTCCAGAATCGACGCTGGATGTCGAGTTCAGGGCCGCAAAGGGGAGTTTGAAGGTGCAGATGGAGGGGAAGTTTGAGGATACGAATGCGTTGGCGAATGTGACGGTTTTGGGGGTTGAGGGGTGCAGTGGGAGTGTTAAGCTGAATGGACAGGCGGTGACAGGAGCGAAGTATGATGGGGAGAGTAAGGTGCTGAGCGTTACTGGGTTGGAAGATTTGACGAAAGGGGGGGCGTGGAAGGGGGGGTGGGAGCTGAGTTGGTCGTAGACGTCCAGATCGGATGCAGAAGTTGGTAGTGAAATAAATTCCTTTTTGATCACAGCCAATTGTTTTTCTCTTTTGCACTTGGAACGAGTTCTTGGAGGACCTCTTGGGGTTTCATGTGAAATGGCAGGACGTGCAATGCGCGGGTCCGATTTCGAGGGCGGAGCCGGAGACGCCGAGAATGGGGATCCAAATCCAAATCCAACTCCAGTCTGGAGAATCCAAGCAGCTTCAGTGGGTCTGTTCTAAAGGCTTCTAGGGCTATTGCTGAGGTTCTAACTCCATGCTCTTAGCCCTACTGAGAGCCACTAGATCATTCAAAAGTTCCAGGCGACCTCTTCAACGCTTCTGCCTGCTTCTGAAGCCTCCGCTGCTGCTCCTCCACGCACTCGTTCAAGAATTTCTCTCCTAGTTTAATGTCCGCCCCACTAGCCTGCCTCAAAGCCCACGCGGCGGCTTCCAGATACCCAGCCTTGAACTTTGTCCATAGGCGCTGCTCTGTGGATGTTTTGGTGAGCGGCCTTGGATAGTAAGGGTCGTTCTCGAAAAATGCCTGGACTGCTTTCTTCACACTTTCATCGTCCCTGGAGATGGGGCGACATTGGTTGAAATCCAAGAGCCAGAGACGAATAGCACGTCGCTTGAAGTTGTGAGAAGTGACTTCTTCCCAGGTTGACCTTGGAGCTTTGCCGACGACGTCTTTGGCAGCGAGGGGGACAGGTTTTGGTGTTGGAGCGCTCCCAAGGACAAACTCGACATCTCTTGCGTCCGTCGCGACAAGCCAATGAAGAACAGCAAGTGCTCGGCCCATGTTTTCTGCCACTTCACCATACTCTTCAATGGCCAGCTCCATGATTTGATCAACATGGAGGTTGTAATTTCTGAGTTGAAACATTTTCAGTGGTCTTGATGTGGTTGGATCCCGACGACGCTTTCCCAGGTACACGCGAATGAGGCAGTCTCTATTGGTAGGCTCAGCTTTGGCCTTCTCCCTAAGGTCTTCTGGGCACCATGCATCGATGATAGCATGTCTGAGCTCCTTCGGAATTGGCAGAATTCGTTCCGTACACAGAACATCTCGAGGTCGCTCGACGCGGGACTGATCTGGGAAGCGATGGCGATGCAAGTCCCACCATTTCTTGTCATCACTCTTCGCAAACCAAAGACATTTGGGCACCTGAAGATTCTCGCTCTTGATGGGGCTTGCCATGATTTTTTCCCGGACCATTGTGTGAAACTGGTAGTCGTTCCACAGTTGACTGTCATCAGTTTTTGCCAGCTTTATCGCGTTCACTGTCCCAAGCTCTTCGAAAACTATCCCGCAAGTTCCAGCTCCTATGGACCGATACATTCCAAGGTATCCGCCCTTCCGAGCCGCTTCCATCTTGCTGGCGAAGGACGAAGTCGTCGAGATGATCGACCTGACGGAGAGCATGCGGGCCAGTTTGGCCACAGGCTTTTCGTCATGTTCAATGTCCAGTCTTTCTTCCAGAGTCAGAGCTACTAGGAGATCTTCGTTGAACGAAGGCGATCGTGAAGACTGAGTGCCGGTGCCGCTGACCTCGCGGCGCGATTTGGGATTCGAGGCTTGGAGAGGTTGGTCTGAGCCGAAGCCATGCTCAAGGTGTTTGGGTGGTGAGGACATGTTGAGGAGAGCGGTGTCGTGGATAGTAGTATGAGTGTTATGGTTGGTATGGTGGTGTTATGGACGGTAGGGTGAGTGTTGTGGATGGTAAGTCTGAAATTCAGTTCTGAAAGTATGTCTTTGTGATATGTGTAAAGTTCAGAAGAAGAGAGGAAGGTTCGTGGCCTTTGCATTTTGACTCAGACTTGAACCATGGTAACTTCACGTTAGGATAAGTTAGTATGATGAGTTGGTCGGTTGCACAAAACTCCACTTCGATGCGTTGGTTGGCTGCACAGACCTGTGAACCATGGGAACTAGGAGTGTTTCCAGAGAGATTTTGCCAGACTCACACGTGAATATCAAATCGTGTATTCTTACACTCTATACAGGACCTATACACAAGTCCTCTACAGATATGCCCCCACCATCTTCTCGAAGAACTTCCTTCCCATATCCCCTGTCATCTCTACACCCGTTTTTCCATCTACGTCCCTCCCCAGGACATCCTCAAGCACCCTCACTGCCTGTTCCTTGGTACCTTCAGGCTGTCCCGCAATCTCCAACTTCAAGTTCTCGCTTGCGACCTCGTTCGGTCCAACAACCGCAATGAAATTCCACCCCCTTTTTTTTGCTTCCCGGATCTTCTTCCCCAGTGATCTTGTGCTCGTATCAATATCCACAATTACGTTCGTCCGATCGAGAGGCAGTCGAGAATGGGAATCCAAATCCAACCACAGTCTGGAGAATCCAAGCAGCTTCAATGGGTCTCTTCTAACTCCACGCTCTTAGCTCTACTAAGAGCCACTAGATTACACAAATAGGCACGAGTAACGGACAGGAGGGCACAGGTAGAGCCTGGGTACGGTATATATAGTGAACGTGATTTCTCACACACACACGTGCTGTCTTAACAATCCATATGCTAATCTACATGTAGTGTAGCATTCCTCTCGTTTACGCGCACAGAAAAACCGCTCCCTTCCTAACATCTGGAAACCATGGTGGAGTTAATAGAATGACCGCAGCAACATAGCACCAACATCGACTACATGTCGTAGTTGTTGTGGGAGTAACGAGCAGTATGCTCGATGCCAACGTTGCAGTTGCTGTGGGCGTTGTCGTAAAACGCTGCTGTGGATGCGTTATACGGGCAGTGGGTGTAACAGCGGAGAAATCGCCATACAATGGAGAGGAGATTCGGGGTGTATACATGTGAAGATAATGGTGATGTATACAGGTTAGGGGTAATGGTGGTTTATAGCGCTTATTGGACCAGTAACGTGTTACCCTTTCCCTGTGATAGTGCGACTCATCATCTTCCTTACAGCATTTCACGTTCATAACCGTGAACATAACCACTTAATATTTTGATATATACATGATAAAGTGTGTAGATAATAGCTAGAATGCCGAACCCATGTCTCATTTCACGCTGGCGGTGTCCTCACATCCCTAGCTGGTAACTCCACCGGCGCCTCTTGCACCCTTTCCATACTCGGCCTATACGGTACATACCGGCCGCCCTGTGTCACGTTGGCCCCGCCCATACCCTCCGCAGCCTCATATCCCGGCGGCGCCGTGCCCCCACTCTCACTACTCGGCCTCATCAAAGTCCCCTCCCCTACCAGCTCCGCCTTGCCCGGCAGCATACTCACAGGCCTTGCCGTCCCGATTGGGTTGCCCGCGAGCTCAGACGGCGCCGGACCGTACTCAGCGGGCGCCATCTCAGACTTGTAGATTTCGGACGCTGAATTTACAGTGCCTGATCTGCCATCAGCGCCTGGAGCTGTGGCAGCGCCGGTCTTGCGGCGCCGGAGAAGGAAGAACGTGAGCAGGCCGATCAGGGCTAGGCCGACTGGGACGCCGACAGCGCAGCCGATGATGAGGCCGGTGTGGGAACCCTTTCCGGAGGTGGAAGAAGTGGTGGTGGTGGGAGCGGACGAGGGTGGGATGGTGATGAAGACGGTGGCGACGCCGCTGGAGCCGGAGGAGATGGAGGTGCGGACTGATGTCATGCCGGCGGCTTTTGATGAGGATTTTGGAGTTGAGGAACTCGAGGCTTCGGAGGACGCGGCGGCAGAGGCATGTTGGGAGGAGGAAGAAGACGGTGGAGACGGGGAGGATGTTACGCTGGAGGAAGCAGGGCCGAATGTATTGACGGTGGGCGCGGACGAGGGGGTTGAGCCGCCGCCGACGGTAGCGTACGCTTTGCCTTCGGGCATGTCGAAGTATTGGATGTTGTCGTCTGTACAGCAGTGGACGTGGGTGCCGTCGCCGTCGCAGCACCATTGGTCGTTGTGGTTGGAGCATTGGAGGAGGGCTTCGTCGCCTACGGCGGTGAGGTCTGAGGGAGGTTAGTGGTGGAAGTTGGAAAAGGGTGAACAAGCGAAGGTCGTGTAGCGCTTGATTGATGAGATTGGAAAGTGCCAACTATGTTCAAGATGTATCGCAATGAGGGAGAAGAAGGAAATGAACCCAGGGATGGAAAATCGACATGACCTTCTCGAACGAATCGACTCCTTAGCACCCATCGAAAATGCCATGAAGGATATAATCAACAAATTGAAAGACGTCTCATTGGGTCATCGACTCTCAATCCAATCAAAAGAATCAAAGAAATGAGCATACCATGTGTGCACACATTACTCGGACACAACGGACTACCCCATGTTTTGTCCGTACACCCATACCTTCCGTAGTAATCTTCTGGGGGATAATAGCACAATCCGTTATCCAAGCATTGCCAATTCTCCGGACAGCATGCCGAGCCTTCAGCCGTACTGCAGGGTTGGTCATTGGCATTTGGGGATACTTTACCATTGGGGTAGTCTGCGGATTCGGATTCTTGTCAGAATCCTTCTGGATTCAAGAAATACAGGTACGGGATGAGGGATTGGAGATCAGGATTCTTGTACTCACAGCAATCAGTAGCCCGCGCAATGCTCACACATAGCGCAGCGAGAACTGCGCGATGCCATATGGAATCGCAAGCCGGCATTGTGAAGCCTCAGCGCCGAGCGCGATTGAGAGAGTTGAAGTAAGAAAGCCGCCGTCCAATTCAATTCAGCGGAGTAGGTGAAGTGGCAGTGACGCCATAAGCCACATGCAAGCAAGGAAGTGGAGGCTTGTGCTACTCTGGCTTCGTTTCAACGTTCGAAACAGTTGCACCGGGAATGTCTTGAAGATCCTCATTCAACACGCGACGAAGGTCAAAGCTGAGAAAACATGGAAGAGAGACAACCAAGGATCAGAATGTGAGAAGGTGGAAAGTTTTGAGACTGAATAGAATACCATGAGACTAGCTTTCCCATCCTCTGCAACCGTGCCACTGCGCACCTAGTCTATCTGCAACTGTCCGAGGCAAAGAGTCCGGTGACATGGTGCCTGTGTGCTTGTCAGCTGGAGCCACTGACAAGCAAAGATTGGCTTGGGGCTCCGTCATTTTAGTATTTGGATCGTCGGATACGAGGCAATCATACTCAAGGGTGCAAGGCTGGTGGTTGAAGTGGGGGCGAGGAGATCGATGCTGAAACGCTGTTCCTGGCGCTTGTCTGCATGTGGAAGCTCCCTTGTCACGAGCATCATGATGTTACTACCTCCTAACTTCGAGCCACTACATCACCACCAAGGGACTAGGGGGATTTTGGTTGCTAGAGTTCACGCTTTTTTGTTTCCGTAGCTATCAATCGCGAGATTTTATATGTCCTCTCGCCACGTTGAAATAATATCGGTCTACTGAACTATCACGTGCGAACGCCCCAATTGCGGTAGAACATTCTGAAAACTAGTTGCAGGCGACTAATCTGACAGAGTAGAGGACGTGCGACTTCAGTGCAGCTCTCGGCAACTTAACATTGAGAGATATCTGCCGCTCCATCTTGGACTTATTTTCACTTCTGAGTGATCGTAATACTGAACCCTGGACCGGTATAAGAGAGATGCTCCAACCCATAGGATTCGGGTCTATCCTAAACTCTACGTAAGGTCAATTCTATTCTATGCCTGGGACGTTCCAAGAGAAAAGTTACACGGACGAAGACAAGGGCCGCATATTAGAGACGTTAGGGGAGGGAGTTGGTCCCTCCTCTCATCATTAAAGCCACTCGACCATTTCTGCCGTGAGAAAACTAGACGCTAAACTCATGCTCCATGACGGATTGAGATGGGAAGGCTTCATTTGGACTCTAGTGGATACTCCTCCGCCATGTCTATGGAAGATGTTGGAGCAGAGTCTTTTATATGGAATGTTCGGGAAGATCATATAATTTGTGGACAGTTCATATGACTGGTTGGCGACATGTGACATGCGAGAGCTGCTTAAGACAGAACAGGATAAGGTGGAGAGATAGGGATGCGGATTGAGATTGGGACGAGCTTGGCCTCTTTGGAATAGAAAAGATAATAAACGGCTCAGGCAATAGGGAATGATACTGCTTCATGCTGCGCTATACGCCAGGAGAGACCTCGCCAAACTTATAATTGAATATCAACATCGCGTATTCTTACACTCTATACAGTACCTATACACAATTTCTCTACAGATATGCCCCCACCATCTTCTCGAAGAACTTCCTCCCCATATCCCCTGTCATCTCTACACCCTTCCTTCCATCTACGTCCCTCCCCAGGGCATCCTCAAGCACCCTCATTGCCTGTGCCTTAGTACTCTCAGGCTGTCCGGCAATCTCCAACTTCAGGCTCTCGCTTGCGACCTCGTTCGGTCCAACAACCGCAATGAAATTCCACCCCCCTTTTTTTGCATCCCGGAGCTTCTTCCCCAGTGATCTTGCGCTCGTATCAATATCCACAATTACGTTCGTCCGATCGAGAGGCAGCGGGGCCGGGAGGCCATTCGGCAACGTCGACGCATTCGCACCGCTCAGTTGTGCTTGCAGTTTCTCGACGTGCGCGAGGACCGCAGGGTCCTGATTCAGACTGAGGATGACAAGCTGCCGCGGGGAGAGCCAGAAGGGGTAGCTGCCAGCATAATGCTCGATCAGCAGCGCCATGAAGCGCTCCAGGCTGCCGAGGATCGCGCGGTGGATTATCACAGGACGGGCTGATCCAGCCTCGAGCGTTGTGTCTTCTGTAGACGTCGAGGCGGCCTCGAGATCTTCAGGCGGTGCTTGGTACGATAGTTGGAACCGCTGCGGCAATTGGAAATCGAGCTGGATCGTTGCGGTTTGGTGCTCCTTCCCATTCGAATCGCGCAGGATGATGTCGATTTTCGGGCCGTAGAAGGCGCCGTCACCCTCATTGATGGACCATTCGCGCCCGCTGGCGGAGAGGGCAGTTTTTAGTTGCGACTCGGCCTTGTCCCAGTCGGCGATGCTGCCGATGAAGTTCTTTTCGGGGCGGGTGGAGAGGAGAAGCTTGTAGGGCCCAAGACTAAAGGTATCATAGACCATTCCCACAAAATCTAGCGTTCGTTTTATCTCGTCGAGGATCTGCGAAGGCCGGCAGAAGATGTGCGCATCGTCCTGGTGGAATCTCCGCACTCGCGTCAAGCCACTCAACGCGCCGGAGATCTCGTTTCGGTGTAGAGCGCTGAAGTCTGCATACCGGATTGGAAGATCACGATAGCTTCGCTGCTTGCTCGCGAAGATGAGACAGTGACCGGGACAATTCATAGGCTTGAGGCCGAACTCCTCATCTTGGCCAGGCTCTGCGTTCTCGGTTTGACCTGTAAATCCTCGCCCCTTCACCTCAAACATGTCCTTCGCGTAGTTCTCCCAGTGCCCGGATAATTCCCATAGCGACTTTTTGTATATGGTTGGCGTGACGACTTCCTTGAAGCCAAATTGCGGATATTGTGCGCGGAGAAACGATTGTAATTTGTTGAAGATGGAGGAGCCATTGGGAAGGAACAGCGGCGATCCGGGGCTGTATGGCGAGGTTAAGAAAAGGTCCTGGGTTTGGGCGAGGGTTCGGTGGTCAGTTGGGGGTGTGGGAGGTTCGTTTGTGGTGGGATTCAAGGTCGGAGGTGCTGTCTTTGGCGCGGAACAGGAGCACCGCCGAATTGACAGCGGGGAAATTCTGCTACGTCCATGTTGATTTCGTAGCCGTACGTAGCGCGACACGTGAGACAGGCAAAGTGGAGGGCGGAGGGACGGCATCGAGGTTGATGAGCCTGTGAACGTTGGCCGCGACCTTTGCTTGGCGAGAGGATATACTCCGTTTGAGGTTTAGCTTGATATCTTTCACCCAACATAGTTATCCACATTGAAACAATTCATAGTGCAGGTACGGCGGAGGAAACTTGAGATGTCTCATAAACCAATCTACTGTTCATAATTGAATCCCTCCAGGGTATCCTTCTAATCTTAGATTACAATAGATCGGATGTATCAAAGCGATGTGAGCACTCGACCAGTATATTTAATAGTGTGTCTGCAGGCATCATGAAAGTCTGAGTAGTGACATCCCTATTTTCCCTCATAGATATCATAACGAACGTATCCAGCATACTAACTCCCTAGATGTTTACCCCAACCGTAGAAGGACAATACCCGAATCAATCAACCAAGTTCTCCACCAAAACCCATACCATCTTCTCCGCGGCCTCCTCTCCTCCAGTAGTCCAAGGCCCCTTCCTACCCCACTTCCGTTCCCTTTTCTTATCCCTCCACTCTTTTCTCTTCTCCTGCTTGAGCTGCTTATGCTCCCTCTTCTTCGCACCGAACTCTTCTTTCATCTTTCTTCTTGCCCCACGGTCCAGCTTCCCTCCTGCCTTCAGTTCTCTCTTCCTTATTCTGAGCTCTTTTTTGAGCTCGCGCTTCTTGGCTTTCAGTTCCCGCTTAACAGCCCACCTTTCACGCTTCCCCTCAATCTTTAGCTCTAGTGCTGTTCTTTGCGCTTGTGCTTTGGCGATGGCCGCATCTCGCTCTCGGGATATCTCTTCGGATGACTTCTTCCCTTTCTCGGCGGCAGAAGCAGCCTTCTCGTTGATCTCGCGGACTCGATTCACGAAGAGATCCTCCGGGTCCTCCTCCTCGTCATCGGAAGATGATGATGATGAGTCGCTGTCGCTGTCGCTATCGCTACTATCATCATCATCCTCATCCTCATCCTCGGTTCCTTTCTTGAGAGGGTGAGCTGTGGGGGCCTCAGAGCCTACAACGCCTGTCTTCTGCCCTGGCTCAGCCGCTGGCGTTGGGATACTGAGATCCACTGGCGGCGTCCCTGGTTGACCATGCTCAAAGTTGGGAGCACGGTCCCTTAGCCGGGAGCTCCCGCCGGAGGCTTTCTTCCCAATATCTTCGCCCCAAGCTTCGGCTTTCTTCCCAATATCCTCACCCCACTCTTCTGCTCTCTTTCCGAAGTTCACTCCCCACACCTCTGCTGCCTTCCCAAAATTTTCTCCCCACTGGCCCCACCTCTTTCCCATCTCCCCTCCCCACTCTCCCCAGGACTGTCCTCCTCCATGCTGCCCTCGTGGCCCCCCACGCCCCGACCTTTCACCCGGTCCACCGGCTCCGAAGAATGGCATACCGCCTCGGCCGGGCAAGCATTGGCCTCTCATTGATGGTCCTTGGCCTCGCCACGGTGATCCTGCGCCCATCCATGGTGGCCCGCCAGGTGCCCCAAATCCGAGACCTGGTCCAAGCCCTTGGCCAAGTCCACCACGACCGCCCCACGGTTGGAATGCACCACGTCTACAAGGCTGAACGCCTGGAAGGCCAGCTGGGTGGAAGCTGCCAGCGGGAGAACCCGCGTGGTGGAAGCCAGCAACGGGAGGACCTGCGTGGTGGAAACCAGCGACAGGAGGGGCCGGAAGATTCAACTCACCGATGGGAGGGCCCCTGACAAAGAAATCCGCATCATCCACACTCGCTCTTGACGACGCCTCCGTCTGCGTCCTCACCCGTTCGCCCATCGCTTGCAGTGCTAGCATCGAACCTGAAGGTTCGGGGATATCGAGTTCCAGACGCTCAATCCAGGGGTACAGCGCGTGTGCGTGTTGAGAGGCATTGGTAGAGGTGTCGAGAGCGCTAGCTATCGCGGCAGCTTTTTGGCCGTGGTTTGCGGGAATGTTGAGGGATGAGATAAGGGAGGAGAGCGATGAAAGGCGGATCCGCAGGCCTCGGGGGGCGAAGAAGGCCTCGTTGCACCTAGCTATGTAGGTGTCCACGAGTGAAGTAGATGGAGTGGCGGTGTTGCCAGTGGAATTGGAGAGAAGAGATTCTGGCGTTGCTGCTGTAGTAGTACACAAAACGTTGAGGCCGTCGAGGAAGGAGGCAAACTCAGCGGGACGAATTGAGTGCGTGTGCAATGCTTTGGCGTAAGTTCGAAGAAATTGAGTTGAAGCGAGTCCCTGGCCTGCAGCTAGGGTCTCGGAGGATGGGTCCCGCATGGAAGGCTGTTGCCAATGGCCATGTCTCCCACGAGGCCCGCGTGATCCACCTCGCCGACCGCGATGGTGATGATGGCCGCCATGGTTAGGAGGGGTGGTCGAGTTGGCAGGATTGGGAGGTGAGAGGTCCTCTTGTGGTATTGCGATCGTACGAGTGAGCCGCGGAGCGTATTGAAGGTCTGCATCCGGGGCATGCTGAGTGAACTCCAGTGCTCGGTTCAGCAGCACCGCTGAAGGATCAGGAGGCGAGCTGGGAATTTGATGAACAGGGATATGAGTGCTTCCGGGAATTTCCACGACTGGAACAGTACTACCTAGCCCATCTGCATTCCTGGTGGGTTGAAGTGGCGCTGACTCCGGTATCGAGTAGTCTGGATCCGCAGCAGGATCAAGGACAAGTCTATGCACCTGAAGGTCGTTTGGATTTGGGGCTTGGTGGCCATTTCGGGCTTGCTCGAGTGCTTGAGCCTGCGCCTGCTCGTATGATGGAGGGAAGTCATCATAGTCAGGGCCACTGGGGCTGTGAAGTGGTGTGTGTTCGACAAGATCGAATTCAGAATCAGAGTCATCTGGAAAGGTTGAAGAGCGGGGCGTAAAGACTCGGTTCGATCGACTGTTTTCCGTCCTGGCGGGAGAGAGCGGTGGCTGAGAATGGTTTGGTGGGTTTGGTTCGTCCATGAGCGACGTTGAGCCTTTTTCAGCCATCTTCTAACAATTCAAAAAAATACTGATAAAGCGAAGATGACCAGGAGGGATGAACTGGTAGATGGTTGACGTCGGGATCGACTTGAAGTTGCTTGTAGCCTTGCGATGTGTAGGCAACGCTCAAGATGATAGTATGAGACCGGGAGAGTAGAGGGAGCAAAGGCAGTGGATGAAGAGATATTACTTATACTGTCACCTGGCTTTCTTCGTCGTCACGGTCGATGCAGCATCTGGGTGGGATTGGCCGTGGCGATGAGAGAAGGTTGTTGCCTTGCCTTGCCGCGTCAGCGAGCTGCTGTCCACCTCGGACTCCCGTAAAGCAACAAGGCCCGACATCTTCGTACTCAGCCATCGGCCACAATTAAAGCACCGGTAATCCGTCAAGCTTGATGCTTCAATGAACACTATTGCCCGCGATTCGGATCCATTGAGTTCTCTAATCTCACAGCCCAACACTGTGATGCCTCAGGCAGCGGAGTCTCCGTGAGATGCAGAGCATGCCAGATGGGCAAACCTGGGAAGTGCAGGGTATCCAACGCCACTCCGCGCGTACTGTGTACGTTCGCTAAGAGCAGTATCCAATCGTGATCTCTCTATGAATATAGACCTTAGCCTCTTGGAGAGTATTTGGGAGGTATTGCGCTGGCATTTCCGGTGACCTATCTACCTACCCCCTGCTCCTGCTGTCTCTCTAGCTGCCACAGACCTGTGAAGCTCGAGGTGTAGAGTAGGCTCAAGCTACGTACATATTCCACACATTTGGGTGTCGTGCGCCGCTATGGATCATCCGCTTATCGTAGATGCGTCATGATGCTCTCGCATCGTCCTTGGCACGCCCTTCTGTCAACCTCATTTAGCTGCTGTTGCATCCCTTCTTGAAAACCCCTCTCAAAGATACGCTCATTGATACATACTCAAAGATAGAATTAAGTGCAAATGTCGTCCACATCAATCTCAAAGGAGCTCTCCGGAGGTTGCCTCTGTGGTGCCGTACGTTTTACCGTTACCTATTCCGAAGACACGAAACGACCCATAACAGGAGTAAGTGGGCCAGAGGACACAGCGGATGGTGACTGACAAACCTCGCAGTGGAGTTCATCTTGCCAGGTGATATATCTCAGCCCAGCAAAGTGAGGAGGCGCTGAAAATTGCAGTGTACAATGTGCAGGAAGCATACAGGCAGCTTGGTGCCACAGATCTGCGCCTTTTCTACAGCCAGCATCTCGCCTCCATTCAAGGACAATCCGGCATACAAAACGTACAAGTCGTCAGCAACTGTATACCGCGGCTTCTGCAGTGCTTGCGGCAGCCCCATGACATTCAATGACGACAAAGAAGCCGAGTATACCGACATATTCGTGGGTGTCTTCGACGAGGACGTCCTCCTAGGGAAGCGGGATGAAGCCAATGCTTGGGAGGATGATTATGGACGCCATGTTCCCCGAGTTGGAGGCTTCGGCAAGGAGCTGGGTGCAGCAAAGGAGCATCTATACTTGGAGAACTCTATTCCTGGGTTGACTGACGATTGGCCGGGCAAGAAGTGGCTGGCTAATAGGCCTGACGGGAAGGCATTTACTGGCAAGATGTCCGACTTTGTAAGGCCTAGTTAGCTGAGAACGAATCTGCGTTGTTCGTCCATTGTAGAGCCATTGATGCAATCGAGTCTGTTGGATTATGACAATCGCCTACGGCAATCACTGCCGGTAGCAAACAGGGCTTTCGTGTCCACAATGTTCGCGTTCCACCAATGTTCAGCTGCTACGGCCTGAAACCAACAGAGTCTGTCCATATATGCCCCCCGCCGATCAGCCTTCGACAGATGCCGGCGTAATGACTCGGAGCGGGTGAAGGGTGAAGATAGGTGCGTCCAAAAGCTAGCGGCTGGCGCGTTCCGACGCTCCCAGCAGAACCGTGGGCGGCAGACGTCCGCGCCGCGCAAAAGGATAGCGCCAAAGGAGCAAAAATGGCACCCCTGGCCCGGCTTGGAGGTGCAGGCGGTCAGGACGAAGAGGCTGTGGGGGATGCAGCAGACTGAGTTCTGGGTCCTGTGGGTGGCCAGCAGCCGGCAAGAAAATTCGGTCTCGCACACCTTTTCCCCGCGTTGCCGCCGCCTGCTTGGATCGCCGGCAGGACCGTGGGCGTGTTTCCCTCCCAAGCAAGCCGATCTCGCCGTGCGACATCATCCTCCAGCAATTTTTGTCGACAGTGACTCTTACCTCCCATCCCCTTCAAAACCTCGCCGTCCCCCACCCACACTCCAACCTTTCTCCATCCCACCGCGACCACGCACCTCCTGCGACCTGCTCAATTACCCTCCATCAGCACACCGCTTGCAGTTCTCCGCAAGTGTGCCCATATCCATACCCATACAACAAAGGATGTGCCCTCCCGTCGACGAAACGCCAGTCAATGGCTCCAACGGCCATGCCAATGGCTCCAATGGCCACACTAATGGCACCAATGGCACGACCAACGGTACCAATGGAAGCCACGAGGGTTACTCTGCGATCCGCTCCCAGCACAACCCGCACCCCCACAACGCTTCGCCCTACAAGCCTGTGGGCGACTTCTTGTCGAATGTCAGCCGGTTTAAGATCATCGAGAGCACGTTGCGTGAAGGCGAGCAATTCGCAAAGTAAGCAGTCTCGCGAGCCAAACTCGTCTCATGCAAACAATTCCAGACGCTGATTGTGACTTCTTTGCAGTGCATACTTTGATTTGGAAGCCAAGATTAAGATTGCCAAGGCACTGGACGAATTCGGTGTAGACTATATTGAATTGACAAGCCCTGCTGCTTCTGAGCAAAGTCGGCTCGACTGCGAGGCGATATGTAAGCTCGGATTGAAGGCTAAGATACTCACCCATGTGAGATGCCACCTAGAAGGTATTTTCCCTCTTCCCCTCTTTGTAACCTAATATGTGTCTGACGCCTTAGAGATGCCAAGATTGCCGTGGAGACCGGCGTGGATGGCTTGGACGTTGTCATTGGAACGTCAAGCTACCTCAGGGAGCATTCACATGGTACAGTCCTTTCTGTAGATTCAAAATTGCCGCTTTAAAAACTAATCGTCCCAAAGGCAAGGATATGACCTATATCAAGAACACCGCCATCGAAGTCATCGAGTTTGTCAAGAGCAAGGGCAAGGAGATCCGGTTCTCATCTGAGGGTAGGTCGCATTCCAGTGTCCAAAAACCCACGAGGCAATTACTGACAGCACCCAGACTCGTTCCGATCCGACCTCGTAGATCTGTTGTCGATTTACAGCGCCGTTGACAAGATCGGCGTCAACCGAGTCGGTATCGCCGATACCGTTGGCTGCGCAAGCCCCCGACAAGTCTATGATCTCGTCCGGACGCTTCGTGGAGTCGTCAGTTGTGACATTGAATGCCATTTCCATAACGATACCGGCTGCGCGATCGCAAATGCATACTGTGCCCTCGAGGCCGGAGCCACGCACGTAGACACTAGTGTTCTCGGTATTGGAGAGCGGAATGGCATTACGCGTATGTTTGCTCTATGACGTTTTCGGGATTTCGGTCTAGCTGACATTGAGATACAGCTCTAGGTGGTTTGATCGCGCGAATGATCGTTGCCGATCGCGACTACGTGCTCAGCAAGTACAACCTCAAGAAGCTCAAGGATATCGAAGATCTGGTCGCCGGTATGCTACCTCCGAACACCTCTACGAAGAGGCCTGATTCTCATTTTTCTTTCTTGGAGGAAAGCTGACAAATGGTGCACATAGATCTCGTTGAAGTCAACATTCCATTCTCGAACTACATCACCGGCTTCTGCGCCTTTACCCACAAGGCCGGTATCCACGCCAAGGCGATCCTGAACAACCCGTCAACATACGAGATCCTAAACCCAGCAGACTTCGGCATGTCCCGATATGTCCATTTCGCCAGCAGACTTACTGGGTGGAATGCCATCAAGAGCCGATGCGATCAGCTCGGCTTGAAGATGACGGATGCCCAATACAAGGCCTGCACGGTTAAGATCAAGGCGCTCGCAGACGTACGCAAGATCGCAATCGACGACACGGACTCGATTATCCGAGCTTTCCACCACAATCTCCATAACGAGGAGGAGAGGACTCTTCTTGACGGCCTCACTGCAGAAGAGAAGAAGAAGTTCGCAGCAGCGGAAGCGGAACTCCTTGGCGTCAAAGAGAAGAGGGCGCTTGATGAAGCTGCGGATGCTCAGGCTGAAGTGCCCGCTGCTAAGAAGACACGGACGGCGGAGGTCTCGTGAAGATGATACCAAGAGACCCATCAGATTCTAGGGCGTACTTGAATTTTGTGCGAATCTTCCATTCCAAGGTGTTATCTTTTAGGGGGGGTTTGGCTTGGCATTTGCATGTTCCAGGTTTCGGAAAAGTCCTTTAGCCTGATATCTCAGGCATGAGCGAGGAAAACGGCTTCAGGCAGTTATTTATCGTCGAGAAAAAGTGGATGATTGCGAGGTACAGCACAGACATTCAGCTAGGACGAAAAAAATATACACAAAAGTACAGTCCACCTGGACATGAGGCGTGGCGTGTTTCAGAACGCGTCTTTAGTGCTCTACTCGAAGCCAGAAAGGTGATAGGTGAATATCTGAATATGCTACGAGGGAAAATTCACTTTCATACAGATTGCTACCTACCTGACGGAGTCTCTTGAGCTCCTTGTTCTATCAGGCCTTGTTCAACTGATATGGTCTCAAACACTGGCTTAGCAGCCTGTATACAGCTACACTAGCGGGCGTATCTAGATCCTCATTCTATGCATTCACTTCATGTGCATAGAGGGAGTTCCATCACTACCCGTCCCCAAACATCTCCAGCAACTGCGCGGCAGCTTCAGCATACATCGCGTCCTTTTTCGTATCCTGGCGCATAAACGTCGGCGCCTTATCCCACCCATGATCCACCCCTTCGATCATCCTCCCCCCAACCTGCTTCCCGAGCTCAACGAGCCGCTTGCGAAACGCTTCCCCCTCGGCGTACAGCTGATCCCACTCACACGTGAATATCGCAACCCGCGCCGGCAACGCATCCCGCAGCGTCTGCGCCGGCGCCAGCCCCGGCGACAGAAACGGCGACGTCAGATCCAATTTTTCGTGCGGATACAGATACGACTCATCAAACAACCGAAACAAGCTGTCTGGAATCGTCTGCTTCGCCGGCCGCGTGCGCGACGTGTTGGAGCGGCGGCGCTCGGCGCGCGTCTGCGCGTAGTTCGTGCTGGGGTAGAAGGCGACGATGCCCGCGAGCGCCGCGGCAGCACTCGACACGGTCTCCCCCTTCTTTCTGAGCTCGTCGAACAGCCGCAGCGCGACGGTCAGCGACAGGTTGCCGCCTGCGCTCGAGCCGCTGAGCACGATCCTGGACGCGTCCAGCCCGTGGGCGGCACCGTGGGCGCGCACCCATAGGATCGCGTCGACGCCGTCTTCGATGCCGGCGGGGTGCGGGTGTTCGGGCGCGAGACGGTACTTGACGCCGATGAGGACTGCGCCGGCGGCGCCGGCGGCGGTGGCCCAGCGCGCGTCGTTGTTGGGGGCGCCGATGGTGAAGCCGCCGCCGTGGAAGTTGATGACGACGGGGAAGCCGGCTGATTGGGGGGAAGGGCTGGCTGGGTTTCTGGGGCTGAATGTCTTTGGGCCGTAGAAAAGGAGGGGGATTTTATGCGGGGTTTGGGCGATGGTGGAGGGGATGGAGAGGGTGAACTTGGGCTTTGCGGCGGCGAATTGTCCGGCGGATGAGAGCCGGCGTTCGAAGAAGGAGAGAATGACGATGAGCGGGCGGATGAGGAGGGCTCTTAGTCGCAGCATAAAACGTGATGAAGCCATTTCTTGCAGGACCGCCGTTGGGATTATGGGAAGGAGGAGGACAATGGGGGATTCTTGATATGGGAGAAAGACCTCGTGTATTAAGAGAGAGCGTCTCCTCTCTCTCTAGGATAAGTAACAGGTAGTTTGATATCCCAATATACACCCAAGCAGTTTCCTTTCCCGTTCGGGGAACTGAGCTGCTCATGCTAAGACTGGGGTCCTCACCCTGCCTTGGAAGGCCCGTTTCCGGGCCCGTAGGCCTGCCAGGTTCCAGTTTTAGGGCCATAATTCTCGAGTAAACTTATCCTCAATGGAAAACAGCTTAAGGCTATTCCGTAATCTACGCTGCTTTATTATTCATGCAAGAGTAGCGCCACGAGTGGCCAATATTGAAAGGGGCAGAAGTAGTGATGCTTGATTGGACAGCCGTGAGGCCTATGTAGCTACCGTACAAGAAGAACAAGTTAAGGAGCTAATCCTAAGGAACGCTGCTACTTCATAGTTCCCTCCTCCGGAAGCTGTATAACCGCTAGGCTGCGTAGCCATGCTATCTCCCACCCATTCTTGATACGTAGAGAGTTGCGTAGACGACCTGTCGGATCGAGGAACCTGAAAGGACTGAGTTTGACCATATTGAAACCCTTTGTATCCATGTTTGGTGTTGAGTAGTGAGCTTGTTGGGCTGAAGAAGTGAAGAGGGGTCGAGGCGTGGAGGTGAGACGCAAGTGGACCTCCAATCCTTCCCGCCCCAACCAACTCACCTTCCTTCATCAATAGATCGGCATGTCTTGCGAATACTGCACGGGCTTCACCAAACTTCTCGGGGGGCCATTTGCAGATGACCATTACAACCACGCTCCGAGCATCCAGGCGCTCCAGAAGTCCGCCGATGATGGGTGTCAGCTCTGCGCGCTCATCATCGGCGAGTTCGAACACACCGGTGAACTCCAATATATGTTGGAAGATTCCAATGATGGATATCCGACCGTAGTTCAATTTGTCGGGCGGACAGCGGAAGGGCTCTTACATTATCAGCAAAATCCCTTCTGGAGAGAATTGACAGGCCTCCAGGTGTACTGCGGCGCGGATGGCCGCAACGATCAGTGGTCCTGCTCATTGTGCTTGTATACACAGCCAGGTACGGGCACTTTCGATTAGTGAAGAGGTTTTCATAGATATCGGGATTTTTTTCTATTCTCTAACTTGTCGTCCAAGTCCATTTCTTCCTTGAGAAGGTTCGAATAATGTCCAATTCTTTCAAAAGCCTGTGAAGGACCACCAATGAACCCTCATATCCTGCTCGTGGTTTCGCAAGTCTTCCTGTTATCTGAAGTCTCTCATACACGAAAGAGAATCTAGGAATCTAAGATCTTGACGACCTTTTATGTCCGCATACCTGTCGGTCACTGATCCAGGCACTTCACAGACGATGAATCTGCTCGGTCTAATATCATTGCTGGACGATCCGTCGAGCAGAACTCTGGCTCTGAAAAAAGTCTTGATCTACTGCGTGACTGGGAGTATGAGTGCCGAACCAACCATCCTGGATGCAACCTACAGTTCACAGATGTCGCACTTTCATCTGACTATACAAACCATCAAGCAGAGCCAGAGGAAGCTCCGCCGTCCAAGGGCCCGAAGTTGCCTTCGCGGGTGGTGAAGGTGGACGAGCAACGGCCCAGACTCTATGTTGCTGAAGACGGCGAGATTGAGAAATACCTTACTCTCAGGTCAGTCCTACGTCTCTTTCTCTGACCAAGCTGACTTATCCCAAGCCATTGCTGGGGCAAGACTCAGCCTTTCATAACCGTAAAAGAGACATTCGCTGCCAGAGAAGCCGGTTTCGACCTGGAGGACCTACCTAAAACGTTTCGAGATGCGATTACCGTAACCCGAAAACTAGGTTATCAGTATATCTGGATAGACTCAATATGTATCATTCAAGACGACTCACGAGACTGGCAGATTGAATCAGCTAAGATGGCTCAAATATATCAAAACTCTTGTCTCACGATTGCCGCCACAGCTTCGCCAGATGGATCAAAGGGGTGCTTCTTCGACCGGGGACCAGATCATGCGATTGAAATTCGATACACACCACGCGCACTATCGGATACGGACACCAGTCAGGCGACGTCCGCTCACTTTGAGAGCCTTCAGCTGAGTGGCAGTGGTGGAGAAGCGATTGAAACTGCCACATTTCGTGCCTGTTTTGTAGGAATATACGTGGTCGACCCTCTGCGGAAGTCCCCCCTAAATAGCCGCGGCTGGGTAGTCCAGGAACGCATGCTCTCTCGCCGTTTGATCCACTTCGCCTCCGACCAGCTCTTCTGGGAATGCCAAACCGTGTTCCGCTCCGAGGGCGGTGAATATAACCGCATCATTCCTGACCACATCCACGACCGCCTTACCCAGAACCTCCGAATTCTCGAGTTCTTTGGCCCGGAACCTCACCGCGGCCATCCCGCTTTCTCGTGGGATGCGTCACTCCTTGGTCGGTGGCTGCAGCTGGTGATGCAGTTCTCGCAGAAGCAGCTCACCAAGGAGATGGACGTCTTCCCTGCACTCGCGGGCGTTGCGTCTCTGATGAAGCAGCGACTTGGAGAGGCGTTTTGCGCCGGTTCCTGGAGATCGACTCTTCACCTTGAACTACTCTGGGTCGCGTTTGATGCCCCTCACACATCTCCGGCCCAATGGAGAGCGCCCAGCTGGTCCTGGGCAGCTCTTAATGGCGAAGTGGAGTACTACAGTTTCAAGCAATGGGCCGGGTTCCAGCCAGCAGCGGATATCCTTCACGTGGAGGCAGAGTGGACCAGTCAGGCGTTCAGTTCTCCTTTACGACCTTCAGCCCACATGGTTGTTCGGGGCTTTCTTGAGCCAGTGACGTACAATCCAGAGCCAAATGATTGGCGGTTACAGGATATTATTTGCTATGTTCTGCTCCCAGCGGACCAAACGATTGCAGCCACATATAGTCACAGTTGGGCGGTGTTCGATCGAAAACCTCCTCCTGTTGAGCGGGTCTTTTGGTGTCTAGGAATCTGCGTTGAGCGCACTGATCACCACTATTGTCTCCTCTTGGAACAGATAGGAAATCAGCCAGATGAATACAGGCGTATTGGTTCAGGGCGTCTGGACCTCGCGCCGGCAAAGTTTGGGGGAGGCCAGATGTCTACCATAAAGATCATCTAGATTGAACTTTATCTCCTCCTCCACTCTACAACATTTGACATATTTGATCTGGTCGGGGCAAGTCTTGGGAGGAGCAAGCCAGAAACGTGTCGAACACTGTAACCGGCAGGGTAGCTTTAACGTGTATTTCACGGTCTTATCATCCCTTTTCCTTGAGAGTAATTTACACTCCAATTCTGTACCCTGAACCCCCGACACCATGAATCAGGTGCTGGAATCTTATCCCTCAAAATGTGCGCAAGAGTGCTTCGATATCGTATCTGAGCCCCTCACACGATTCAAAATCAACAATGATTTCAACTTTCAAAAAATGTTCAAGACAAAAACTGCCTCGTTTCCGCCTCGCGTCCTGCAATTCCCTCACCCCTGAACCCCTGCTTGTAGCATTATCGTGACAGTATGTCACCAACTTGTGAGCATGTTTATCTTGAAAATATAACTATTTAAGGCGGGTCTATCTTGAGAGTGTAACTGTATAGGGAATATCCTTGTCTTAAGATGCTACTAGTTTAAAACTATAGCTAGTTATTGTAAGGCCATGGCCTTCTTAAGACCATGGCCATCTTGAGAACATGCCGTCTTACGAACGTGCTGTCTTAGGAACGTCCTCGTTTTAAGATGCCACCGTCTTAAGGCCATGCCTGTCTTAAAAACATGCCGTCTTAATAACATGCCGTCTTGAGAACACGCCGTTTTAAGGACGCGACTGTCTGCATAGTAGCCCCGTCTTAAGACTACTTCTGGGTCATGGCCTATCCGTGCTCGGAATAGAAGTGGCCCGAAAACAGGCCCCCCTCTAGCTCTGGCTACTACAATACCCTAGCGTTCTCGTTCTGATGGCACTTGATCCGACGAAAAGTAGGGGCAAAGAGGAGGAAGTTATCTCAGAGAGCTACAGATTTATGTTCGTGTTCGTTCGGATGGCCCAGCTTCGGATTGCCTAGAGCTGGCCCACATCATACACCTTTGGCGGGCGGGGCGATATCGAAGCTACGCAGGTGACATCTCAATATCTGGATGAGCCTACAAAGGTGGAATACCAAAAGGCTCCGTTGAACATACAGTGGCAGTCCAACACTGTCTGAGGTGGCCTAGTACGTTATCAGAAACTGTGAAACGACAGTACAACAGCTCACCAAACCACGCCAATTCTAGAGGAAGTGTGTACTTGAAGAAAATGAAGATTTAGAATAAATTCACGGATGCGTGACTGACCCTTTCCGTTGAAGGAAGCTCCAAGTGACAAGAGCTCCAAAATGGTCATAGCGCCATAAGTCCGCGGGGAAAAGTATTGTCTGCCTTCGCCACTGCCTCAGACCTCAACTCAAGACTGGGACATAGAAGAAGTCTGACACGACTGTGCAATCTGGTGACAATTTCTCAAGGGCTTTCAGTGTCTCGTAGGCCTGTGGGCGTTTCACCACCCTCGTCGTACGGACCTTGCACATCGGCCGCCTCGCCCTTCCACAGCCATCGCGTTTCACCGCCTGGGTCCTGCAGGGGAGTCCGACGGACATATAATTCCTACTCATACCTACACTACCGCCCTCGCCCAACACTCAATTCCTCGAAGCGATCGCCACCATGAGCTCTACTACTACCGCCACGCAGACAAACACGATCACGGCAGAAAATGTCCTGCGCCTCTTCCCTGAGGTCAACACTACCTTGATCGGTGCTGGAGCGCAAACGTCTGCCACCGACAATGACCTAGAAGGATACGATGAGGAGCAAATCCGGCTCATGGACGAGATGTGCATTGTGCTAGACGAGAACGACGTCCCAATTGGTAGTGCTAGCAAAAAAGTCTGTAAGTATACGATCTATTCAGCTGCAGCACGCGACTGTATTTACCTCTCAATTGTGCAATGCCTAACAAAATGCATAGGCCACTTGATGGAGAACATCGACCAAGGCCTCCTCCATCGCGCATTCTCGGTGTTCCTGTTCGACTCGAACAACCGCCTCCTTCTCCAGCAGCGAGCGACGGAGAAGATCACCTTCCCAGGTCAGTCCCGCCTTGGATACCTGCAATCTTCACGAATACAAGCGCTGATGATATGTTCTTTGGGATAGACATGTGGACAAATACCTGCTGCTCCCACCCGCTAGGCATACCTGGCGAGACTGGTGTCGGACTCGATGCTTCCGTTCAGGGCGTACGACGAGCAGGACAGCGCAAGCTTGACCACGAACTCGGCATCAAGGCTGCTCAAGTGCCCCTTGACGACTTCAAGTTCCTTACACGGATACACTACAAGTCTCCCAGTGATGGGAAGTGGGGAGAGCATGAGAGTAGGTGTTCCGGTACAACCTCGTACGGAGAAGGCTAACGAGGACCGCAGTTGACTACATCCTCTTCATCAAGGCAGACGTCGACATTGAGCCGAACCTCAACGAAGTGCAGGCCACCCGCTACGTCTCCCAATCAGACCTGAAGGCTATGTTCGAGGACAAGAAGCTCAAGTTCACACCGTGGTTCAAGCTCATCTGCAATAGCATGCTATTCGAGTGGTGGGATCACCTCGACTCTGGCCTAGAGAAGTACACCGGCGAGACGGAGATTAGGCGGATGTAGAAGTGGATAAACAGACAGTGCACTTCGGCTGTGTAGGGTTACTCGGCAGCGGAATTGATTCCTGTGGATAAGGCGCGGCAACGACGGAGCAGGTGGCACGGAATCCTTCGGGACGGCCTGCATGACAACATCCCTCATGCAGACGATAGCTATAACTGATGGAAATGGGTAATGCCGACACAAGTCGTGCAAGCCTGCCACAGCAATGGATAGCGATTGAATGACATGGTTTCTCAGTTTCATGCCTCCATCAATCAGACGGCCGCGATCTGTACAAAGGCTGCAAGGCGTAGCGTGCTAGTCATGGACCTACCCTTGGCTTTATCACCATGCATGCAGGCTATCGGTATGCCTTTTCGTGACCAACTGCGTGGGTTCTGATCAGCGAGCTGCACCTCCCGATGAACAGTTCCGCCCTGCGAGCCAGCGTATGCGAACAGCCGTGAACTGGCGACGCAGACGGGTGAAATATCCTTGCCGGCAGATCTGCCAGGCCTGTCATCTCTAGATTCTACGGCTTCGAAAGAAGGTCCCTCTCCACTTCCAGGGTCATGGTGAACGTGGCGCGCCGAAGAACCCTGTGCTCGGTTGTCCGGCTTTGTCTATTCACAGGAGGTCCTTCCGATGCACGTGACGCACCCCACACTTCAACACTTCGGGCGAGGCGGGCACCGACGAGCCTCCTGGAACTCAGACGACTGGCCAAGCGCTCTCCTGCAACACGAGATGCAACCTCCCACTCATGGCGACGCATGCATTGCTGGAGCCAGCTCCGTCTCGCCGGCGCTTCAATAACTCGCCCTGCCGAAGTGAAGCCAGCACGGTGGCCCGCTGGATGAGCAAGCTGAGAGCTGCTAGTGACGGACACTGGTGGCAACGAGAGCCCTTAAGCTGATCCTGATCAAGGTAGGTCCTGGCGGGAGGTTTGCATGGATGGCCTCCACCTTTGGCGCGAGAAGCGTAGTGGCCGTTGCAAGGACAGGCACTTATATCAGAGCCACCTCCCCCATTTCTGTACCGTCCTGCAAACCCACCAGTCTCACGCTGCGGAACCTTCGTCGTCATCACTTCGCTGCCCGTCACGTCCAATCCCATCCCACCCCCACGACGCACGGAAACCCCGCTGCAGCCGTCCTTGCCTGCCAGACCCCTCTCCGCTGCCTCCGCACCTCACTGCCAAGTCAGAGGACGCTTTGCTATCGGCTAGGGTCTTGTGACGATCCAGGAGGCACGAAAAAGCAAGAAGTAGCAGACGCACGGAGCCAAACAAAGCCCGGCCTGTGGTCACCCTACGCCGAAGTTGAGCTCCTCAATAAAGCCTCCAGCATCCTCCTGCTCTGCTTGTCTCCTCTGCATTCCGAACGAGCCGCATAGATCGCCCTACTTCGTGTCCCCCGTCTGCCATTCACGGCCGCCCACTTGTCAGCCCACCCATTGATGTCGGTTGATATACGTCAAGCCTTCACATCATTGCGATTTCCTTCTCGGGTCGAAACCGTCTCGAGATCGCAGTTGTCTAAAGTCCATACTGGGGATAATACCAGACCTGCGAAACCGAACCATTAAGCCAGTCTCTTGCATGCTCTTAGTCCTTTCGATTGATAAAGGTATACTATTGCCTATCTACTACTACCAACTAGCCTGGCAGTTCATACTACTCTGGCTCTTGGGACAGTGGACGCCTTACCACTTTTTCCTGCTTCATCGTCAAGACTAACTGTACCAGAAGAAACCAGACGCGTGAATTGAACTGAGCATCGCAGGTTGCCTCGCTTGTGAAATCCGCAGCTTTCGCTCAAGTGACGTTTGTGAAGAACGTTGGTTGGCGCTTGTGCCGTGTGTCCGTCGCCATCAATCACGCTGGCTCGATATACGACTCTCCCAATTCTTAAACGCAGCGGCAGAGCACACCAGAACACTAGTAGAGCGCATCACAAAAGAAGCAGGCCGCAATCATGGATAAAACAATTGCAGCTGCTGGCATCACCATCGTCGGGCATCAGAATTCCCATCAACAGCATCAGAAACCAGCCATGAGCGGTAATAATCCAAATGCTGTTCCTGTACCCGCGAAGGGGCAGGGGCCAAATCATGAGGGGAATGTTCCCGTCACTTTCAGAATTGTGCAGCAGAAGGGTCATGCGGCTGCTTCCCATACTCACGCTCAGACTCACGCTACTGCTGTCCCGGCGGCGGCGGGCGACAACGATATTCGCATTGTCAAGCCTGAGGAGTACAAGGAGGCGGCTGCGTGCCTGGCTGATGCCTTTGCTGAAGACGATGTCGCGCGCTACTTCATTGACGTCCCAGACCGCGAGCATTGGTCCGAGGCGGACAAATGGCAGCTCCATGTTGACATTCTCGAGTACGTGACTTACGCGCATTGTCTCAAGGGACTCGTGACTACGGTAGGCGAGGGCTATGGTGCCGTTGCGCTCTGGTAGGTCCAGGTTCTGATTTCCCTTCAATTTACATACTCCCACGCGGTAGCGATGCATCATGCTATGGTCATCTCATGTAAGGACTTTCCTAGATGAAGTAAGCTGACATGGCCCACAGGATGCCCCCCGGCAAAAACATGGACGACTTCATGACCATTCTCCGTAGCGGCATGTGGCGCCTGAATTACAGACTCTCTGCTGAAGGCAAAAAGCGCTTCTTCAACGAGTTCCTCCCCCTCCTCCACGATACCAAGGCCGGCGTCCTCGGTGACCGCGACGATACGTCCTGGTATCTTGTCTACCTTGGCACCCGCCCCAGCGCGCGCGGCAAAGGATATGCCCGCAAGTTGGTGGAGCACGTGACCAAGGACGCGGATCGTGATGGGCTGCCGTGCTACTTGGAGAGCAGCAACCCCGTGAATCCGGCGATCTATCGGAAGCTGGGATTTGAGGAGAGACGCAGGATTCACCTGCAGAGGGCAGAGAAGAACGTCGAGCTGGATATTATGGTTAGGGAGCCGGTAGGAAATTGAGGATCGAACGAATGCGCAGATACGGGAGGGGGATTGAGGAAGGGTCGAACACCATTCAACAGGTGAGGGACTCATGGTGTGATTCAGACGGATGTTCTTCTTTTGGCTCTTTGGAGGGGACGGAGATATTTCTTCAACAGAAATTGTGCGGTTATGAGGTTCATTCTCTTTCCTTGTTACATTCATTTAGACCACGGATTCGAGTAGGATGATATGATGAAATTGATTGAATACACGGCGCTGATTCCTACGGATGCGACCGTCTATCCCGTTATAATTGTCCCCCTTGTATGAGATCGGAAAGTGACGATGCAGTGGTACGAGTGCCTAGCACGGACGGCAACGGAAGCATGAAGATCGACAAACGGGGGTTTAAAGTGGGGGGGTTGAGGTGCACAAGTAGGGGTCTAGATTGTCAGGAACAGTCTAGCATAGAGAGGAGCCTGGTCCTGCTAATGAAAACGGTTCGAAACGATGCGCTGCAGTCGGCGTGGAATGAAACAGAATCGAGGCACGATAAGGCCCTTTCGCCGTGTCTGCTCAGCCACGCTCCCTATCTCTGCTGCGCTTCGAATCATGCACTTCTTCTTGGCAACGTGAAACGCTGTCACCCCAGTGTCCAAATTTGCCCACTCCTTTTCCACGGTCCGCACAAAGACACCTTGCTCTCCTGCTGAACCCAGACGAGTATATACAGTTTACACCACCACCACCACTGGCCTCACCCCTCGCTCCGATTCTACGCTCCTGCTATCGTGAGGATACGGCATCGCTGGCCCCCGCTTAACCACACCATCCGCCCCGCCTATTACGACGGCGCGTCGCCCTGCCTGAGGCTGCCAACGCATCTGCCTACAAGTCTATCTTCTCCCGAAAATATTTGCAACCTCTCGTCTCTTCCAACGCCCGGATGACGACCGTCCAACTCCAGCGCCGGTACTCCTTCACCAGCAGCACGGTGCTCGACGGAACCGCAGTCACGAACGCCTCAGCCGCGGTGCGGTCTCCCAAAACGATAGCGCTACAGCCAGTTGAGACGGCGTGTAACCTGTGCGAGAACCCGGGGGTGGGAGTGGACTTTGGTGAGTCTAGATCTAGGGCAGATGGCATTGAAGGGAGGAATTAGGCTGACATTTCACAGGACAAGACCGCAGGCCCCCAAAGCGAGACGCAACCCAGCTGCCCTCCCCTAACGCGAACGACACACAATCCCTACCCACCAAGATCACGAGGCTGGCACTGGAGCGGGACGCAGACGATGACATTGACAGCGGCTACAGCGACGACGGGGACGTGATATCCCCTCCCCCTCTCCGTCTCGAATCCCACGACCGACTCCAGCACCACCTCAACCTCTCCCAGACCGAACCGCTCGAACTGGAACCCTACAGCGATGCCCTCCCGCTTCTAGCAGCAGCACCACCGCCAAACCCACCTCACCTCCTTTCGCTGCCCCCCGAACTCCGCGCCCAAATCTACCGCTACCTCCCCGACACCCTCATCTCCTCCCGACCCCTAATCTACTGTCTTTCCACCTTCGCCGGCCGCAAGCAGCACCCCCTCGCCGCCGTCTGCCGCCAGATCCGCCAGGAGTCGCTCGCGCTGTTCTACGGGTACAACACGTGGCTCATCAAGCTGGAGTTCAAGATCATGTACGACGCCTTCCGGGCGTGGATCCGGGATCTGGGCGACAACGCAGGCGAGCTGCGGCTCTTGCAAATCAGCGTGAGGGGCAGGATGTTTCGGCCGGTTGTAGGGACGGCGGGAGGGGCGGGGAGCGGAAGCGGGACGGCGGTGTTCTCGACTGCGGCGAGCGCGGGGGTCGAGTATCTCTGCGTGGATGGGGATGCGACGTTTCGGATTGACTTGAGCGAGCGGTACGAGGGGGGCGAGGTGGAGGTGGTGCGGTGCGATGGGAGTGCAGCGGCTGGGGAGAGGGCGAGGGCGCATTTGCAGGGGTTGGTGGAACCGCTTTGGCGGAAGAGGAGGGAGGGGAGGTTGAGGGGGGCGGACTTTTTGGGCATGGTGGATTTATTTTTGGGATATACTGGGTGGTGGTGCTGACGAGGGCCGGGCTGGGCTTCTGTACACTTGCTTGGCACCGCTTGAGGTCCCCTGGTACGTTATCAAGAGTTGAGAAATGTTAGTTTTGACATGCCTGATAGCTCTCTAGGCCACCACCTCAGACGGAGTTAGAATATACTGCTACTTAATGCTTCAACGGAGCATTAACTCTCATCTCCTTCTTCTGCAGACGGGGCCTCATATGTCACAGGTCGCTAAGCAGTCATATGCCTCTCCTCAGTCACATTATCCCTACAGCATTAACATATAGGAAACCCAGCCCCCCTCCCCACCTTCTCCCTCCCCCCTTCTTCCACAAATAGTACCTAGGCAGGTCGATGGTGCCGTCTAAAGTGTCTTGAAAGGTCTCAAAACTACACCGCATGATGTCAAAAGCTCGATGGTCCAAATCGAAGCACGTAGAAACGCAGTATTTGACACATTCCTGGTAGCGTCTGAAGTACCTTCAAAGGGCTAAAGAATGTACCAAAAGATGTAAAGAAATGCACGTTGTAGACTGACCTCCCATTTGGGTGGTGAAATTGCGGGATGAGATCTGACACGTGATGGCTCTGCAAAATCTGCGCTAGTCCCAAAATAGGCTTTAAGTAAACAACGGGGGAAATCACCAACATCACCAATTCCCATTCCTTCTCCGCTCGACAACCCACCCACTGATCTGTCCAGTGGTGGACCAAACTCGGTCAACCATGGACGCCTTCAACCTGAAAACCGCATCCACATACATCAACAACCTCCTCCTCGCACGCGGCCTGCTGCGCGATGGCAAACCAATCGAGTTCGCGCGCCCCTCGAAGACCGAGGGCGGCAAAGAAGTTGCAATGGCACAGATCATAAACCTAGTACACGACTTGATTCTAAAACGCGACGTACGTATTCGCCAATATCAATCTAATTGAATTCTACCCACACCTCTACGTTTGTTGCACATGAAAGTCCACACTGACGCTGACCCTCCCCAGCGCGACCAAACCCACCACTCTTCCCTCGCCCACACAATCTCGACCATCCGCGCCGAATCGACCACCAACGCCCTCCGCGCCGAGAAACTCCAAACCCGCGTCGACGACCTCGCGCGCCAGCTCTCCCTCTCGCAGTCCCAGGAACGCGCCGCCCGTACCGCTTTGCGCACCGCGGAGTCCTCGGCCCGCTCCCTGCGCGAGGAAATGTTGCGCTCAAAGACAACGGTCGCGCAGGTGCGGACGGCGTGCGCAAACGACGTCCGCAAGCGCGACGTGCAGATCCAGCGGCTGAAGACGCACCTCACGGCGCAGCAGCGGGGGAACAAGACAGGCCTGGTGGGCGCGAGCATCACGATTACACCTGGGGCGACGGGGAAGCTGGGGAGTGGGCGGGAAGAGGAGCTCACGGGTGGACTGGGGTTAGAAGATCCGGGGTATGAATTACGACAGGAGACTACGGAGTTCCTCACGCAGCTGAGCCAGGGGCTAAGTGACGAGAATGATAGTTTGATCGGGTTGGTGCGGGGGACGCTGGGGACGTTGAAGGAGCTGCAAGGGATGGATGGGTGTGAGGGGCTGGAGACGCTGAGGGAGGAGGAGGTGGAGGCGGGTGGGATGGTCAGCGCGCTGCCGACGAGTTATGAGGCGCTGGCGGCGGATATGGATCTTGTGTTGGAGAATCTGAAGAACCTGCTCACGAATCCGAACTTCGTGCCGATTGACGAGGTGGAGTTGAGGGAGGAGGAGATTGTGAGGTTGAGGCAGGGGTGGGAAAAGATGGAGACAAGGTGGCGGGAGGCTATTACGATGATGGACGGGTGGAGGAAGAGGATGGCGAGTGGAGGCGATACGGTTAATATCGATGAGTTGAAGATGGGGTTGGGACTCAGTGTTGGGCTTGAGTCTCCCAGCAAAGAAGACATATCAATCCTCACGGACGGCGAGGAGGAGATGGACAGTGAGGGCCTCGAAGACATCGAAGAGGAGGGAGAGCCCTCCAGCCTAGAAGACGCCCCATCCCCAGAGCCGGCAGTCACAGACAAGACGACGAATTCGGATATCTTCAACATCCACCTGCAGCCTGCACAACCAGCGCTTAGGGAAGGCGACGGCAACATCAAATCCCCCCGCAAGGTTGCGTTTGCGCCCTCGGCCACCAGCGCACCATCCCAGGATGTAGACGAGAATGCGTCTGAGATCGACCTCGTCGGCGAGACGTTCAGCGGCAAAGACGCAGCGAAAGCAAAGTCACAGGCAGGAGCAGTCGGAAGCAGACCGCGAGTGCAGGAGTCGCGGATTCCTCGCCAAGTACGTTTTGACGATACTGCGGAGCTTGAATGCATGGCTCGCACGGTCACCCTTTCTTCACCCCTCCTCTCTCCAGACTCAACCACAGACCTCTATATTGACAAACTGCAGGCTCAGAAACGGCTGTCATCCCCACGGCCACACCCCGAAGAGCGCTCCCCGAAGCTGACAGTGCAAGACAAGCTCAACGTGGCCCAAGCCGAGGCCGAGGCGACGGCGCTCGCAGCAGGCCTGGTGCGCGCGAAGCCGGCTGCAGAGGCGCTGGAGGATGCGGGTGATGCACAGGCTGGCTCGCAGCATCGCCGGCGCAGCTCTCCACGCAAGACGCGGGTTGGCGGGCGCCCGAAGCGGCGAAAGAGCACGTTGACGCCGGAGGAGCTGCAGACGATGCTGGGTTCCGAGTAGTAGCAGGTTGGCAAACCAGGTCGCAGCGCAGCCAGCTGATATCGTAAGAGACGCTCGGATTAGCTTAAGGTTCGCCGGGGCAGAGCAAAATGCAATCTATCCAGCAGTAGCGGGGGGGGCTTGCGTAACTATTAGTAGCATGCAGCGGCGTTTTGGGTGTCTTTGGTGTATGGTCTCGTTTAGGCAGGCCAGGTGGAGTCTGGAGTGGATTGCGTGAGCGGGGTGCTAGCTGGGTGCAGTCAGTGCATAATGTACAGGTGGAGGTGCTGGGGTGTGTGGCGCGTAGGTGCGGGAATCACGGTGGGCTCGCTTTCGGGGCGGCTCGCAGGACATGGGTGGTAGCCGTGATCAACGGCTTCGAGAAGCGGTGGAGACGGGGCCTGATTTAGAAGTGTGGAATTACGAATGGAAGAAATGCTGCCATCAGTGCGGCTGTATGGGGTCGCCGGTATAAGGGCCTCTGAGACCCCGAGTGACACACGGTGTCGTCGACGGCGGTGCGTACAGCGGCCTGCCTGCTCGATATCAAATTGCACGCCCAATGGGAGACGCTGGCGGGACTGGAGGAAGTGGCTGGAGGGCATCGCCGGTGTGTCTTGATTCCCGCGATGACGGGCGGCGAGTGGAGTCTGGACACTCGCAATTGGGCAAGGGGAAGAGCGCGAGGTGGTTATCGCCATCGTCGAAGTCTGCTGCAGCGTGGTGGGCTGTTTTCTCGGTGCGGAGGCCTGGCTGCACGCAGCCGCTGGGTGGAGGGAGGCTGCACGGGAATCGGATGGCGGGCGAGTCGGGGCGATTGGGCAGAGCATCGAGGGGCTCGCATGGCAGACCCGTCCTCGCAGCACACGAAGAAAAGAGCGGGCAGCAGGCCGGCCTGGCACGACTGAACCCGCATCGCGCACTGCCCGAAGCGGCGGCGGACGGCAATAGATTGCTGCAGTGTGACACTCCCGCCCCATCACGACCATCCCCGCAGCCGGCACTGCCATTGGCCTGGTGTTCGCCCGCCCTGCACCGCTAAAGGCGACGCCGCGAAACGAAGAGCGCAGCCAATCGAGGCGGCAGCTTCAGGCGCCCGCTGCACACCACCCGAGTGCTCCACCGCCGCCTCGTCCACTCCCACGCCGACCTCAAGCGCTCTCGCAGCCCCCATGCACCAGCCCGGCCTTCGGTGCAAGCAGCCCTCAGCGTGACCTTGCTTGTCCGTCCAGCTAACCCGTCGCCATGGCCGGCCACCCAGTTTAAATAAGGCCCCGCCGCTCCCCCTCCTCCGACTCCTCAGCAAGCGTGTGAACTTCCAAGAGCTGTTTATTATTCGTCTTTTTGTGTTTCGTCCTTTTTCTCTCCCCTTTCTCTCCTCCTCCCCAGGCCTGGTGCCATTAATTACCACTACTCACTACCAATCCTTCTTTAATTCATGCCAATTGTCGCCGGTCGACTACCCACCCATACGAATAATTCCAGCTCTTTCTTGCTCAGCAAATCCAACACATAATCGCACTGCATTCACTCTCGGCATTTGCACTATCGCCTTCTTTCAGACACCAAACCAGCACGATATCGAACAACCTGTTTCAAACGACTACCGCTCTTCAGCACTAAAAGAAACTTAATATATACCAAGAACACCAACAATCTTCGAAATGGCAGCCATCCAGCTTAACTTTTCTCTCCGCACCTCGGCCAACTGCAAGACCGTCCACCTTCTCGGCTCCTGGGACAACTACGCAGGCCAGCTCCCGCTCTCCAAGGACTCCAAGAAGTCAGGAGGCTGGTTGGGCACTTTCCGCTTCCAGGGCCAGCAACTGAAGCAGGGCTCCCGCTACTGGTACTACGTATGTAGCTCCCATGCTCCTTTCATTGATTGAACCCCTCCACTGACTTCCTCGCCAGTACATCATCGACGGCTACCACGTCTCGCACAACCCGGCCCACGAGTTCACCGTCGAGCCCACCACCGGCCGCAAGCTCAACATCCTCGACATCCCCGGCAAGACCGCCGCGCCCGCCTCGCGCTCCGCCGCCGCCGCCTCGTCGCGCGAGTCCTCCAAGCGCCACTCGCGCCGCATCTCGTCCGAGATCCCCAAGGGCCGCGCGCTGTCGCCATCCAAGATCCAGGCCCCGACGCCCGTCAAGCCCGGCCAGGTGCGCAACATTGTCGCCGGCAACTACGAGCCCGCCACCGTCGAGGCGCTGACCAGCCGCTTCTCCCTGGCCACCATGGAGGACTCCGACGACGACAGCGAGTACGACTCCGATGACTCTTCGGATGTCCCGTCCTTGACCTCGCGCTCCTCCAACTCGAGCTCGCCCTCGAGCGTGTCGAGCACCTCGAGCTGCTGCACCTGCGAACGCTACGGCATCACCCGCGCTGGCGACCGCGTCAAGCTTGACTGCGGCGGCGCGCGCTGCGGCTTCTCCGACGACTCGGACGAGTGCTCCAGCGAGGACGACGAGGCCTACGAGGCCCGCCAGACCCGCCGCCAGGGTATTGTCGTGCGCACTTAAGTGAACCCCAAACCCACGTCAGTGTACCACTTGCAACAACACCCAAACGCCACACAGATCCCGTGCGAGGGAAAACGCTCCTTTTCGAAACACCCTTCTTGTCTATACTATTCACGCCTAACCTCACGGCCTTTATTACGTTACTATTAGTGCGCTCAATCCTGTCGTTTGGATTTTACCTCGAGACTTGTTCGATTTTTTTTTTTGGTTGCGCCACTGAAGATGGATATAATGAAAAGCGCTTTCCCTACTCTACTCACCTATTGCCGATCCACTGGTTGGGGAGGTACGGGTTGGGTAGGGTTGGGGGAGCTGCTGAAATGCCACACTCGTTTCTGGGACCAGAGATGAGCACTGGCAATGCCCCGCCATCCCCCGTCTTTCACCACGCTTTGGTAGATGGGGGGGGGTGGTCCCGGGGCTGGAGCGGATAGGAGTAGAGGAGAGGAGAGGAGAGGAGAGGAGAAGAGATTGGAGAGGTGGAGATGGGGTGTCTGGAGACCTGGCTGGCTGTTTGAGAGAATGGTTGGCTGGGGGGGACGGATGTCTGGGTGGAGGAGGATGTGGGCAAATTGCACGCCGGATTACTTCGATAGATTACCCAGTGCGGCAGTCGTGGAGGCGACGTCGTGCGAATGGAGTTTTCTTGCGTGCCAATTTTTGGGTGTTTTTTTGAGGCGTGATGTGATACGATGTGAATGTGAACGTGGCGAGTGAATTAAATTGAGTGAAGTGAATTTGTGAGATACAGCAGCATCTAAGCTGGCTCGATGCCTTGTCCAATACCAGATCCTAAAAGAAGCCGGATGGCTTTGACCAATCTGACACCTACCTTGCTGAGGTACCTCGTGCGGGTTGGCAAGCAAGTGTACATACACACACACACTCTAACTCTCGACTGATGCTGCAGACCTCCTCGCCGCTTTCCCCCTCCCCCCACTCCCTGTACATGAAATCCATGCCTCCCTCGCACATGTTGCTTACCTAACGCAACGGTATTCTTCCTCCAGTTATCTTACGGTGGGTATATAAACTCCACCCGCACCTAAACAATCACAGCAGGACCGAGGCTGTGGACTAGTTCAAACACACGCATCAGAGAGCTCATGCATGGCCTGCTCTGCGCGGGCTTGGTTGGATTAAAATCCACCGATAGGCCCCCCCTTCATGGAGGCGGGTGGGTTGGGTTTGGCGGGATCAAAATACAAACACAGAGCACGGAATGGAGCGAGTCCCGCTGGGCGGAGGAAGCTGCTGCGCTTCATTTGTAGTTGGGGATTGATAATCGTCTCCAACAGAGCTTGAGATTGTTAGAGCTCAAGGTCGCAGGATGGTAGTGAGGAAAGCCGTGAGTAGGGGGCCCGATATAGCCCAACCGAAATAGGAGGCACAGGAGATTTTGAAGAGATCTTGAAAGAGTGATGGTGCTCATCGATCGTTGAAGGGTGATGGACGGCGCAACTCGATCCTCCGTGTTTGACCAAACCCCAGAGAGGCACGCCCAGACCATTGTTAGTCTTGTGTTTGCTATTTAAAGAGCCATATCGGGCGTTCCAGATGACCTGTAGAGTAGAACTCGAGAAGTGGGTGCTTTTATACTCGACCCCGATGGATTTTTGCAATTGTAGCACGTGATGCTAACGTGAATGTGAACCAGATGCAGTACATAGTAGTGTAGGACTACGTAAGTGTCTAGGCGAACGCTACGGTACGGGAATAGGTAGACGTGGGTTCTCTATAATGAGATTAGATATAGGATCAAACTTCGAGTCCTTCGCGTGTGGGTCGTGGGTACGGGTTCTAAGCTACTGATGCTGACCGTGATGCTGATGAGATCATGCTGGACGGAACGGCCTGCTGTGGTGATATGTGGAGGTGATGCTGCAGGACTCAGCTGGGTAGGGGTATCGAACTCGTCACTGTAATTAAAACTGACTAGCTGGAAGTCGACGCGCAAATACCGTTCATAAGGTGAGAGCAATTGAGTAGTGTCCTTAAAGAAATAGTGGCACCGATATGCAGCCAACGAGATTGTAGGCAACAATCATTGAGTCGTAGAAATTTGATTTGAGCATGAAAGAAGAAAAGGAAGTCGTCCACACCCCACGCCCCATCTCACCCATTTCCACAACCCAGCCCCGGGGGCCCCCGCCCACGGATCTACCACAGCCGAGAAACCCGCGCTCCCAGCTCAGCATCGCGTGCTCACCGGAGAGATATTGGGCCTATCTGACATGGCCAGACCCCGCCAGCGCCAGGTAAGCCGAGACACGATCATCAGGGTCCGGAGGCTATGTCTCGCTATTTGACGTCCATTGATGATCTCACATTTCTCGTAGGCAACGTTGCAGTAAAGTGGTGGGCTAAGCGAAGTCGTGGATATACCGAATTTGGAGTTAAGTTGACCGTGCTGCGGATCTCCGGGTTAAGTGGGTCTACTGCTAGAATTAGAAAGGCTGCAAGCTATTTGAGTTGGTGATCTGCGGCCGCGAATCGAGTGAGACAGGAACGCTGGGATCTGGTCCTAGTAAACGAATCAGATTGTCTCATAATGTCGGAAATGTAGGCACGGCCGTTTGCCTTGTCCCATTCCAAATATCGCAACGTCCATGAACGCATACTCCTCGAAGGTGGAAACCCGTCGGAAAGCCCCCATGGCGGAGTCCACTCTGTTCCCGCCCCCGCCCTCACCCCAACAGTTACCGCCCCCAGCAGAGGAGGCTGAAAACCGCAGACTGGACAATGAAGGATCCGGAGCGTGCATATCAATATCGTGCGCCTTGTGGGATGCCTTCACAAGCAGGGGATTTCCGAGTACACGTCTATTATCGATAACATGTCTGCCTCGCCGCTCGACCCCGCATGCTGGATCGGGCTGGGACCCAAGCTTCCCCTGACAACAAGGCACAGCGCAGTGTTTCACCGGTTTTTGGAAGGGGTAGGTTGGAGACAGTTTCCTGGCTGGTGTATCTTTAGATCCTAGGAGGAGCTTGTGAGGAAGCGGAGGCGGTTCCAGGCGCAATCACGAGATGTTGGCGCGAGGCTCGGGGCTTGCCTCCGGAAACGCGTACCAGGGAAGAGAAGGAGACACGAGAAGATGGAGGCTTCGTCCGGAAATAGAAATAAAGCGATGCTTCTTGCGTCTTGAATATTGACAAGTTGTGAAGTTTGAGTAAGGAGATAGCAGAGCATCACGCAAGGCTCATATCTCCATCTCCCAATGAAATCGCACAGAACACCTCTTTCCGTATCCAATAAGAAAAAATCAGGCCAGCCATCGTAAAGCTTTACGATTTCCCTCGAATGAAGAGGGAATGATCTAAAAATAGACCGCAACATGCTTCATTTTCGGCGTCTTGGAAACTAAGCTTGCTGGAAAGCGAGCCAAGCTCCAGCTCCACACGGAAAAGAGGAAGAAAAGCAAACGAGGAATACGAATCTGTGTTCGGAGTCCGCCCAAGCAAGCCATCAAGAGGCTCTTGCAAACCTTGCTTCCCTGCAGCGCACATCGTCGGATACCCTTCCGACTCGCCGTGGATCTCTCAAACGCCGCGGCGTGGCTGAGGTATCAAGACCGAGTGCGCCTTACTTACTGCATTCTGGCTATCCGGCCTGTTTCGCCACGGAACCGCGTCGCGCTCGTGGCTTGGCTCTGCTCGCATGCGAAGAATCCGCGGACCGGCGAGCTTTGCGTACCGGCGAGGCCCGGTCAGGCCAGCCCATCGCGGTGTGCTACGTGGGGCATAATTCGGCTGGTCGTGACGTGGGGTTGAGGTGGTATTGCGCAGTGGAGTTCACGGTGTCAGAGCATCCTGATACTCACCGACGGAGCATGTTTGTAGGTTGGTGAAGGAGGGCCGCAAGAGCGGTCGGCCGCACCGAAACATTCGGTAAGATTGGTTCATGACGTAGTTATCCGAGCTCCCCACGCCAGGGTCCGCGACACATGATGGAGATCATGCAAGACATCCATGCAGTCGTGACTCAGGAGCCCAAACGAATGCGCTTGCGACGGCGAGGCAGCAACGGAGTCACGAAGGCCACGCATTCGACTATCGCAATGCGAACGGAAGGGTGCGGAAGCAGTCTTGTGATGCTGCTATTAGAAATCCAGTCTTGACCTCTGCCAGAAAGGGTAATACGCTACGCGCATAGCAGAACGCCCAGGTACGTACGAAAAGGATTTCGAGATTGCTGCGACTAAAAAAGCTCTACGTGAAACAAAAAACAAGGAGGCGCCGACCCTATGCACAATAAACACCCATAATCAATCCCATGACCCCGACCCCGGTTTGCTATGCTGTTGTCGTCACTTTCCCATGATCATACAGTCTTCAACCGCAGAAACGATAGTACCGTCGGAAAACCCGCATGCCATTTCGTTTCACCAATCGTAAAAAATAATGCCCCAGCTTGGTTGCCCTAGCCCATGCCCGTTTCAGAAACTCCTACGCAATGCCATGCCCGTGAAACACAAAGGAAATTAGGAAAGGTGGTAGTCGGAAGTGTGATGCGCAGCATCGGAGAAGAGCGCAGCTCGGGGAAGGGGAGAGGAGTGGTGTGTTGAGTGGGATCGACCTCGCCCTCAGCAGCGTGTGTGGTTGGATGTGGGTGCAGGTCTCCAGCCCATTGATGTGTCGAAATCGCGGTGCTGTCGCAGCGTGCGTATCGAGCGAAGAGGTGTAGTTCATCACCGGTATGCTGCAGGATCATAAACGCCGCTGCCGTATCCAGAGTCCGGTAGCACGCCGGCGCCTTGTGTGCTGGATCCGGTACTCGATGCAGCTGTGCTGTGCAGGGAGCATGCGTAGCCAACGAGGACGGTCTTCTCTTGGACGGAATGACCCCGTTGGCCGTACGCAGAACATGGATCGATGGCGTGCTTGTAGTATTGGCACCGGCAGACCGAGTACCGTTCAACCACTTGGTAACACATTCTAGAATCGGTTGCGGGTGTCGAGAGAAGCAGGAAGAATTCTCGGAGGATTGTCTGGAGTGGGGTGGAGTGTAGATATTGAGTACGGGAGCGCAAAAAGAAACAAATAGATTAGACGGCAATGAACACAAGGGGCGATGCTTGAGAACGAGGAAGGAATAGAGTATGGAAGCGAGCGGGTAGAATATATACTTGGGGTCGAGAGACGACGTCTTTAAGAATCGAGAAAAGGACAGCACGCCGTAGCTGCATCATGCAGGTCGTCAGGCAACGAGAACGAACCCATATGTAGGAACAGGTGGTGCACAGTAAGCGCAGGTGCTGCTAAGATATCCTAGCACAGCCATCATTTCTTAGTTCCCTTGGGGCATGGTGGCAGGTGGGTGGATTGCGCAGGTGTGGTCCCCCTCGGGCTGCGCAGGCGTGGTTCATTTTTTGGAGGCTCTTTCAGCTCACCATGCACCATGTCGCCTAGCGGCCGGCCCCATCGAGCTGTAGCGTCGTCCTGGCCCGCTTCCGCAGCTCCCAAAGGAACCGGCCGCGATGCTGGACCAGGCCAGCAGCGCCGGTGAGTGGTCGACGGAGGAGATTCGGTCGGGGAACGACAACGGGACGGTCAGCGGCCGCGCAAGGCGTCTCTGCCCATTGTAACCACAGAGAGCGCGCCATTGCGAGTGACAGATGGTCGCATCTGACATTGCTTCTGGAATAGAAAAAGAAGCCGGGGGCACGACGACGTTGAAGCGATTGCCGAGGGGCGCAGTGCTCGCTGACACCTGCACTGGGCACGCTTGGCCGGGTTGATCCGGGATTGTGCCCTCGATTGTTGGGTTTCAGACACAAAAGCAGGACCCTGTATCCCATCCTGGTGTTTCCAACGATGAGACGCGGTGTTGTGCAGCCTCAGCCGAACGCAATGGGTCTGATATTGACGGAACGGCCCTAGAATGTGATCGTCACGTGAGCAATTCACCGTCGCTAGTCCTGGGGGAAGGAAGGCGTCTGGCTGCCGCTTCGCCTAAATCTCTAATTCGAGCATTCCGCCTAATTATAGCACGAAACTGTGAATCCAGTCACAGAGCCGGCCGGCATGCCGCAAAGTGCCGCGCCAAGTTGTGCCGAGTCGACCTCTGAATAGTTGCTGTCATTGCCCGGAAAGAGCAGTAAGTGATTAGGAGATCTCGCCCATTGTGGATTATGATATCGCGTCGATCGCTGCATGTGCGCACTTCGAGGGCGGAAATCCGACCTGTGGCATCATTGCTGCAGGATCTAAACAGCCACAGCGATCCTGGCATGGATCTCATAGGGCTAGAGGGGTCGTCATCTGGGCAATGCTCCAGACAGGCCCACCATCACAAAAAATGGCAGTCCATCATGACACCGTTTGAGGTGGCCTAGAGGCTTTTCGGGACGGTCAAAATCGCAGCATTCGGAGATTTGAAGATATATCGAACCGCCTCAAACAGCGTCAAAGATATGTTTTTGGGACGAAGTCCACCTCATGAATAGGGTCTGGTTCAAGATTCCGCACCGATCTGGTGGACTACCACTTTTTGTGAAGGTGGGCAAAGGGGCCTGCCAGGGGAACAGAACTCGGCCGCTGCGTCTTGGCCACTCGTCTCCACATTCTTGTGGCAAATAATAATGGTGGTACAGACGCTTCTCTCGGAACATAGCCGGCCCAAAGAAAGCCTGTAAGCTGACACCGACACTCTGTATCATGCAGCCCTATGCGCGCACCCGTTCTTAGTCCACGTGGGGACGGTCCGCATGTCTCACCCTTCTACTGGGACGGTGGCTCTAATGCCATGTCCCCGCTCCATGGAGAAGGATGCGTGGCAAATACTGTGGTATGCGGATCGAAACCCGCGGCACGGTACTCTCAAAATGAAGGTCGGTCTGCGGCCGATGCTGATTCTAGCGGTCTGCAGTGAGCGATTTGGCCCCCAGTTGAGGCGCAATTCGGCATCTAGAACTGACATCTCCAGGGCTTAGATTGGGGGAACCGCGGTTAGGTGTGCAGTCGTAAGAGATACCGCAATATTGATTATGGTCTCGCTTTCCCAACCTTTAGATGTCGGACAGTCTGACGATTGGACAATAGAGCTAAGATGAGTTAAGGGCTTGCAGTAAAGACGTCACTAATCTCACCTATCAACCAAATCGCCTAAAGGCTAGGAATATTGCATAAGACATATAGGGTGGAAGATGGCGTACCTCTCACCTCACCGATAACCTGCGGCTGCCCCGGAAGCCGAATAGAACAGTGTAACGTAGGTGATGATGGTGAGCTAGTGCCTGTTGTGTAGACTACGGTCAGATGCTCGCAGAAGCGCAGCTCGCGGGGGTCCGGTCTTCCGCCTTAACTCCAGTAGATGTCCTCAGCCATGGTGTAATGCAATGGCGTTCTGCAAGGTCAGTCGTCTGAAGAAGTTGGTCAGAAGCTCCGAGCGTTGCGGTGAGGGTGCTCAAGATTCACATCCGGCAATGCTTCCAGCATATGAGAACTTTCACATCCGGCAATGCTTCCAGCATATGAGAACTACCGTTGTTCAGGACATGCAGATCTATAAAATTGCATCAGTATAGTAATCGCATCGGTCTTTTTTGAGCTCTTCATAAGCCTAGAGGAGATCGCACCTATAGATAGGCTGGTGTTGATACTGCGCATCGCTCACGGCAAGGTCCAAAGAACAACAGAAGCGAAGCTGACAGCATGGCGCCCATGTAAAAGCCTGTGGAACGGTGAAGGCAGGCGGATTTTCGAGCCAGATTGAGCTAGACAAGACAAGGGGCCGCTTATTGATCATGTCATCAATACCAAAGCGAGGAGATCGCGATCCAGATGATTGGCTTATACATTCTCCCGGTCGAGCTTATGACGCTGTGCAATGCCGGCATGGCATAGTCTGCTCGAACATACCCTTTTTGACTCAATCGGTAACTTTTACATGCAAACGAGGAGCATAATATGGTTTCCATATCCTAGAGTCGTTCGCGCAACAAGACGGTCCACACTGGGTTGATTTGAACTGCGAAGAGACATATGGTTGTACTGGAAAAAGTATGTATTGTGAAGAAGAACGTCCAGAAAAGACTATCAACTACTGACTGGAATCAGAATAAAAGGAGCCTCCACCTGGGCATTGGGTATCCGAACACCTAGTCAAAAGCCCACCCTTGCCCAAAACTCCTAATGAAGAAAAGGTCGTCGCCGACCATGGAAAAGAAAGGTCTATGACTGAAGGAAATGCAGTTGCTTTCCAACGAAAGGTCCTGAATCGAGTTGACGATTATAGGAAGGAGACAGTGTAGAGGACAATGGCACCCATAACCCAATAGCCACCAAATTCCAGCACGGCAGATCGTGGGCCGGCGGAGTCAGTCCCACCAGGCGCAGTAGTGCCGTTGGGCAGCGTGCCGTTGATGACGATGGTCATGTTGCCATTGTCATTCGTGACCCTAACGAGCGACTGATTCAGCGCCGCAGGGCTTCCGTTTCCGATGATATCCTTCATGTATGATGGGTTGGTGTTGTCGTCGCAGCCACAGACGCTGAACTCCTGGCATAGGCATTTGACGGGGAGCGTCATGTTCATGCCGTTCGGGTAGGTCGTATTATGGATCGTCTCGTTCAGGAACGTGTACGGGTGCGTGTAGGGGTATGCATACACGCCGTAGAGCCAGATGCCTGGGAACAGGAGCAGCGCTGCAGCCGGAAGGAGGAGGAGGGGCGTTAGGCCAAGCGGGGATTTGGCTCCGGCATTATATGGAGTCGCAGCTCCTCCTCCATAGTATCCACCACCGCCATACCGTCGTGGTGGGCCAGTTCCGGAGACGGTCTTTCCGCCTAGGTTTGAGTTCTTCGATGCGCCGGGTGCCTTGCTTCCACCACCTATGAAATGCTTGTTAGCTGAGTGTCGCCAAAATTACATGGCCAGAAAAACAACTCTCATCAAGGCTCTCTGGAAAGAACCCAGAAATGCTCCCAGAAAAGCTCTCAGAAGGACTCTTAGTAAAACTTGGCAGCCTACCACCTCCACTACTCTTTCCACCTCCTCCCCCGCCACCTTTGCCGCCTCCTCCCTTGCGCTTCTCTAGCGCATTACGTGGTGATAAAATCGCGTGTGCGAGCGTGTTCTCGGATGTCTCGGGATCGCGACGTGCGAGCGCGTTCGCGTCGGGTATCGAGACGCCGTTGACGGTAGCTATGCCGATGAATGCGTATGCGACGAACTGTGAGAACTTCATGGTGAAGATGGCTGTTCGAGTGTGTGATACGGGGGCGAGGTATAGTGATATGCTAATGAGAGATGTGTCTCGGGTGCGATTGTCTCTGCGTAAGGGCGTGTTTGGAGCAGTGTTTGAAAGTATGGAAACAGTCCTGGAAGCTGCCGATTTCAATGTCGTACCAGTGAGCACGTCAAGCAGTAATGACCCGCCAGGCCGCGTAGTGGGGGACAGCGCACAGAATATATGGAAGGGTCATCGCAGGAAATGGGGCAATGCCTCCCCCTTGGCAACCATCATCCAGCCTGGTTTCCAGCCGTGCCTCTATCCAATGAGGGCGCAACACACTTAAGCCAAGAGGAGTCTAAGCCGGGCCGAGAAGGTTGCAAAAGCTGGGGATCTCGGGCTGAGCCACACTGTGGCTCTAGGTACCCGCAACCGACCTCACGTTACCCAAAACACCTGCAAGTGTCTGCCTCGCCGAAGGTTGCCTGATTCTTTGTTCAGTAAAACAACAAAAAGGAGACCTTAGAGAAGTCTTTGAAGCGACGGCGCTCCGCCACAAGATCATCACGAGCTACCTCATCTCCACATATTCACCGTCTATTCCTACGGCAGTCAAGCTAGGGGATCCAATCGCGAAATCTCCGTTACTCATCACATGACTAGCTTCGATGACGGCAGCTTGTTCCAACGACAGTTCGTGACACCTGCCAATCGCCAGATAAAATCCTGGGTGGCAAGCTACACACCATGGCTGTGCCTTGGAAAGTAATATCAAATGACAAATGATCACGATAGGTTAATATCATTGCCGGAACTCCGCGTACATTTCATTTCTATGAGGATCCGAGTTGATGTTCAAGTTCAGATGGCGTAACGAAAGGCCGTCTTACACGATATTGCAGCTGAGCCCCTTATCATGTCTTCCCACGATAGTGCGCTTTTGGCGTTATCATACCGAGCTCAACACATTTGAGATTCAGCTCCACACAAATCTACGTTATCTCTACATGCTTCGACTGTTCTATAAGCATCGCATCATGAAACATCCGGTCACTTTTAGTTCGAATAACAGAAACAGAGCAGCATTGTCTCGATCGAGGGCTACCCCTTTTCAAACATATTTACGACATCAATTAAACCACTTGTTAGCAAGCAAGGAAAATAATAGAACAGCGTGACCGGATCGCATTGTGGTCCCTACCTTCGAGTTTTAGAGCTCGCCGCGGCCATGTCACGCATACAACAGTGGTAAGAGCCTTGAAACCTCTTTAATATAATATTGAAATCTACCGTTAAGAAAGGAGATTGCACAAAGTAAAGGCATCGGGCGGTATGCTTGAAGCGACTCGGCGTCAAAGCTTTCTAATTGCGTATCACTATAAACTTATATCACGCAAATCAACGCATGGAGTAACATTCTAAGCGCCGGGTATGATAAGGTAAAGGTAGAGAAGTTTCTTTATTGAATTAGCCACGTTCACGTGGAACGTACTGGTCTAGTAGTTCAGTTTTGGAAAAGAAAGCAAGCCAGGGCATTTGCCGAATGAATGTCGACTGGAGAGAACCAGATGGCTAAATGTAGCAAATAACACCATCGAATTCTGCGTCAAGATCTGGCCTAGGTTGCGGTTCAAGAAGTTGACGACACATGAGACAAGTTACAGACCAACCTAGTCTATCAATCCACCCCTTTAAGCACTCTGCACCAAAATTGTGTTTGCAAAGTATTGTCCGGACCGGTCGGTGACTATTGTCGTAATCTTCTTGACAAACGCTGCAGGTAGGATCTGCAGGATCACACGCCCGGGCTACAACGTCGAGGCTAAACGTTCCCGTATGACGCAAGTACTCGACGCTCGCCGACTCAGGCGAGAGACTTAGGAACGACCGAATAGCAAAGTCAGTGGGAGCCGCGTTCTGGATGCCAGCATCTCGAGCATATGTTATTCGTAGCCCAGGATGGAGGCCGGCGGGATCTGTGCCTTCCAAGCGGAGGAAACACTTCATTGCATGATGGGTGACCGTCTCGTCCATTTCCGAAAGGTGGCTACGTATAAGGTCAGAGTAGCCGTTGTACATCATGTCGCTTGAGTCCACATCAACGTAGGTATCAGGGACGCCCAAATTGTGTCGAATCACTCGCACGCGTTCTCGGACGGACTCAAACCAAGGCTCCAATTCTGCAGCGGATGGAAAGAAGTCGCGCACTCCCTGGTATCTGCTCACCACTCTGGCGCGATAGGTGCCTGCATCACGTCTTTCTGTGACGCGCTGGAACTCGTCGCTCATCAAGCGATCTGGGAATTTTTGAAAGGCACGCAATAGCTGCCCACGGAGCACCCACGGCTCAGGGATGTGAGCAAGACGTGGGTTGGATCGTTGCGCATCGAGCCTCAGATATGGCTCAAGGATGTCCAGATTCAGATCTAGAACAGGGAGCGCGTTTGCGGGGGGCTTGAAAGTATCCACGATTTGTAGTTCTGGGTCATAGACCCAAATTCTTGAGGAATATCAGTCCATGATCGGGTTTGTGCTGAGTCCTGGTTGTGTGGAAAGAAAAAGTAAGAGTGATGTCTCAGAAGGCTGCGAAGGCGCTTTAAGTATTCGACCTATACAATGTTGATGATACTCTTAGCATTCCCTTGACAAGATGCACTATGTATGCACGCAACATTGTAAACTCGGCAGCATATATGAAAACACTAGCTAGGCTACTTGCGAGTAATTTCACAAAGTTAGGGTAATTGAATGGAAAGCACGTAGACAGGGGGCACTGGGAGGATGGCATTCTTATCTGATTGCTCTATCTTCAAGGGTTTCTGGGAGAATATCTCCGTAGAGAGACACCATCTAGCTGAAGTACTTACATCCAACATCAAACCCAGTCATCTGATTACTGCGTGACATTGTGAAGGTGGCCATCAGATTTAGCGCTTATCCGAGCAACGGTGTCCTGCATTTCGGGTAGGAAACGACGTCCCGGCTCTGATGCAACGGGGCTGCTACCCAACCCTCCAAGCAGTCGCGGCTAAATATATGTTCACACCCCTTCGTTTTAACAGCAGTATGATTTTCGTCAAATTCATCGCGGCAAATGTCGCAATCCGAGCCCGCAGGAACCTCGCAAGGCTCCGCGGCGGCTTCGAGAGTGGTGTTGACGTTCCTACGACCGATGGTGACCTTGAACGCGTAGCTAGCTTGTGAGGGCAAGCTTCTAGCCGTCTCGATACCGAGCGAGACTGCGCGCCAATTCTGTAGACCTGCTTCATGGGGAGACCATAACTGTGGCTGGAGATTGTGTCTGCCGGAGGATCTCCGTTGTCCTCTCGTTCCAGTCGACGGAGGTAGCTCAACCCGTGGGCGTTGATGATAGCCTGGATCTCTTGCATGAACTCGAGTTCCCGATTAATATCGGCCGAGTGGTTAGGGTCATGGATGACTGCCTTGATTCGGCTTTGGACTGATTGGGTGAAGGCCTCTAGTTCGATTGCAGAGGGGAAACAGTCTTGAAGGCCAGGATATCGGCGGAGCAATTCGGCTCGGTAGAATTCCGTAGTTTTTGATCTAGGCGTAAATTCAGTCCGTACTAATGCGACGTTGTACAGCTGGAGAGCGCGTAGCAGTTGTCCTCGAAGAACCCATGGGTCCAAAGTCGGATTGTTGTCGAGACTGTCTTGGTGTACCTCAAGAGATAGGCATGCTTCGATTACGTTCAGATTTAGGTCTGAAGCTATGACTAGAGGAAAGGAGTCGCACGAGAGTTGGGGGGTATCTGGGTCCATGACTGTGGTGTGTCCTGAAAGTTGCTTGATGGAAGGAAGAAGAGTCGCTGTTGCGAAAGCGCTTTAAGTACTTGCTAGAAGTAATACTGGCAGCGAATCTTGGTACGGTGAAAGATATTTATTTTTGATTAAGCCATTCAATGTCCATAGCTAGAAATGTGTATTGTGAATGTCAACGTGTCCATTTTCGTGGAGAATATGAGGCTTTCACCGGTTACCCTAATTATTCTTGGCCCATGGCGAGAGAGAAGATGCCGATCTCGTAACCAAGAGAGCAGTCGATGCCCAGGATGCGGCATTAGTTTCCCTGGAGGCTCCTTTCATAAGGCAGGTACTCTTTTTAGACTTGTGTCCACTCGACTGGCACTGGTTGAGGTCCCTTGGGATATTATTGAAAACTGCAAAGCAATCGTTTTGGTAGACTTCAAAGTTCTCCAGGTCACTCCAGGCGGTGTTGGACTGCCACAGTGTGTTCAAAGGAGCCGCCTGAGATAGACGCACACATAGAGAGCTCTTGATGAATTGATATTGGATGAACTTGAAATATAGCAGGGATTGAAGGAGTTAGAGACTGATAATCTCCTCTCGTTCCCATTCCTATCAAAATAGGTGAAGATCAGTAGATACTAACTCAAGTAGATAGTATCGCTTGAATTCGTGACTTCCTAAGGGATTTAGGATCGCATGCTTACCGGAAATCGAATAACGAGCTTCGACAAGTAGGGCGCGGCGCGTGGCTATAGAATTCTCGAAAACCCTCTTCGAATTCTAGTTGGAGCATGTAGCATCGAACACTAACGATACATTACAACTCCTCCTTCGCGTTTCCCTCACTCAGCTTCGCCTTTAGCACTTGCTGATACTCCGACTGCCTGGCCCTCCGCTCCTTACTTCGTTCATACTGCTCGGTAGATTCCTTGAGCTCTTTCTCCCAGTCTACCTCTGGGAGAGCCGGGTCCACCCAGCTGAATGGGATGGTTTCCGTCATAAGCGACCTAAAAATGGGCTTCCACTTTTTGTTGCCTACAAGCTTGGAGCTTGCAACATGGCGACCGGCCCCAATGTCCCCATTCGGGAAAACTTCATTCCAGGCATTGGAGGCACCAGTGTTGGATCCGCTTACTGGGACCCAGGCTATGGGAGTTGGTGGGTGAAGCTTTAGGTAGGACACTTTTGAATCGCGGTTCTCGCGCCATTTTTTATAGACTCTCGTAGCTTCGGCATCCTGCTCAGGAGTTAGGGTGAGCCTGTAAGTTGCATGGTCCTGCACCTGGCTCGATGCTCCTCCCTCGCCATCGGAGATTTGGCGCCCACGCAGTTTCGGCGGAATGAATGTCGTGTCGCTGGCATCCTCCCTAAAGGTGGTAGTACACATTAGCAGGTGCTTACGAGGAACGTAGAGTAAGACAGATACTAGATCCTCTGTTGTCACACTTCTTTCAAGACCACTTCAACCGCATTCAGGACACTGATTGAATAACGACACAAACGCGACGCAAGTCGCTGTTCAAACAAGACTTAAGACGGTCTTGAACCACAAGTTGAGTGGTCTTTCAGGAACCCTGGCATCAGAGGATCTGGTATGTGTACTAGGAACTTACCATCGACCAGGCTTATCGGGCAATATGGCGAGACCATCCCAATATTTGTGAAGAGCATCGACTCGCTTACTGATATCGAAAGGCTCGTCGGGAATTGGTTTGCGATTGCAAGCGTACATGATGGGGTTACGGATTTCCGTCTCTTCATAAACTCTCCATGATAGATCGGTGCGCGTTTCCAGACTGCGCAACAAGTCCGAGAACAGTTGGTAGTCGTCTTCAGGCAGTGTGGTTGGTGTCAGGTCTTGCAGTACGTGCCCGATATAGATGACTAGAAATCAGTCTCAATTACTAGGTCATTCGATGTTATAAAACTCATCACTCACGCTCTCGGAGAACCCCGTCCTGGCTGGGAAGCAGATCCCGCCACGGATTGATACGACTCAGATCCTCCATCGTCGCCTCGGGCGCGTAGTCGGCCGTTTCCTTAGCGACCTCAAGAGCAATATCATAGCCGCCCTGGAGCATCAACAGAAATACATGGCCAGCCATGGCCCTCCTCAGCCACGTAAAAATCCTGCTGTTGGTAAGAGGCGCGAGAAGACTTGGCCGCTGTCCATCATTGTCCGCTTCCACTCCTGCGAGCTGGCTTCGCATCTCTTCGTACTCTCGTTCAGCAACCTCGTACTCCTCCAGCGTGAACTTCTCAAGTATTGTATAAACCAGCCAGAGGGTCGGATCCATGAGCCACCAGAGCAGCAGGTAGTATTGAGTGTTTACCATGAAGTAGGAGCTCAAGATCTGCGCTAAGACTCCGTCTTGCAAAGGCACATTCATTGACTCCATCATGAAGCGGTCCCATTTTCTCGCCGTGTACTTGGCGATGTAGGGCTCGATAGTCCAGAGAACTTGGCACAAGATCAGTAACAACAGCCGCAGGTCGGCCAGTGTCGTGTAGAGAAAGTGATTTCTCACTAGGCCGACGACCCCGTCATCTTCCAGCGACTTGCGGATTGTGCGAAAGAATCGGAAAAAGAGCGATCGCCGAGGAGCTTCCGCAAGTGCGGCGGGCTCCGAGGCAGGTGGCGTTGTTTTGACGGGTTCGTCGACAGTACTCATGGTTGTTGAGTTGGTGGAAAAATAGTTGGTCTACCACTGTAATTTAAGGGTACATACGTCACGTGATTAGATCTTTTTCATGCTGTCTAGAAACCTTTAGAGAGATGTTTGAAAGTCAATGGCACATTAATCATAGGTCCACAGACTCACGAGGAGGGCTTTATATATTGGTTAGTGGAAGTAGTTTCGGTACGGTGGGTTTCTCGCCATGCAGGGGGGAGGTTACAAAGGTACGAGACCCTGCTGTCGATGTCCTGATGTTCAGGGGGTGATGGAGGCGACGCCGCACTACTACTTCACCGCTTCCCATTCTAACCTCCACTCGGCACTAAAGGCCGTTGGTGCCTTGCCTTATCTCCACGCTTATTCTACCGCTAGATTTCGAGTCCACTGTCAGATAAGTTCTCCCTACTTTCCAGGGTCCTTCCGTTCCGATTTTCTTCCACGATCTTTTTGCCTACCTTGCACAAAGGAATGCAATTCACTCGACATAGCATAATACTCGGCATGGCTTTCTGCAACGATTTTGGTATCTCTTCATCTGCTTTATCGTCCAGTAGTAGTAGTAATTGCAGAAGGTAGTCTTTCTTGGTCTGTTCTATCATCGCTACGGGTCTGCGCCAACCCATGGTTAATATCAACATCTCTTTTTCCTCAGCATTCATGCCGCAACCGGCCCATCCTCTCATGGACCCCTCAGGCCTTTCGGCAAACCATCTCTCTGACTTGGATCCATTGGCCTTAGCATGGCGGCCAACGCTCCTCGACTCACCAGTCTCAGCCCCAGCATCCCCCGCGGACTCCGCCGTCTCTATTACCACGACACCAACCCCAGCCGCTCCCCTCTACACCATTCGTCAGACTCCCAATGCAGGTCGCGCTGTCTTCGCTACCCGCCGCATCGCAGCCAACACGCTTCTCTGCACAGCGAGTGACCTTAGCATAACCGTCCTTCTCCGTGATTATCGAAAAGAAGTCTGCGCCCACTGCTTCTTCTACGACCGCGGGACAACCCTGCCGCTTCGCGACCCTTCGACAAATCTTGTCTTCTGCTCACACCTGTGCCAGGAAACATGGCTTGCTCAAGCAGGCGACCTTGGCGTACAGGCGTGGACTGCTGCAGAGAGATTGAGTAAAGGAAAGAGCGGGGAGCAGAGGGACGAAGACTACGATATGGTGGACCCGGGCCTCCCGCGTCCTACCACCCAAGAGATAGCGGTGGCTTGGGAGACTGCCTCGAGTGTGGCAGCGCAGATCCGACTCGCGCGGGCAGGGATGTCAACGAAGAGCACCCGCAAAGCGCTCGCTGCGGTGCTGCGAGAGGCGGTCGTGCCAGACGTGCTGGCGTTCTGCGTATCCTCGATACTGGTAGCATACCAGTCACCAGAGCGCTGGCGGAGGATACTAGACCTGGTGCCGGATGAGAGGCCCTACCACTCCTTCGTCGACCTGGTTGCGTTCACGCGCTCATACCTACAGCTCCTCGCCGTCTTACCCACCGAGCTACTCCCCCACGCCACTCCGGAAACGTTGATCACGGCGTCCTCCCGTGACTCGCACAACTCTTTCGGTATTCGAAGCCTGGAAGATGAAGGCAGTGAGTTCTTCGGGTACGGGTGCTGGCCGAGTGCGAGCTTCTTTAATCACTCGTGTGGACCGAATGTGAGGAAGGAGAGGATAGGGAGGGAATGGAGGTTTGTGGTGGATAGGGGAGTGGAGGAGGGAGAGGAGCTGTGTATTAGTTATTTGAGCGGGGAGGAGAGGACTATGGGGGTGGTGGGCAGGGGGGGGAGGTTGCGAGGGACGTGGGGCTTTGTGTGTGCGTGTTGGAGGTGTATCGAGGGGGAGTAAAGGCTGGAGTGCTATTTCAACGCTGATGATGCAGTTGGAGTAGAGGAATAGTTGGGGGCATAGGCCCCCAAAGGTTGGATGAGGCAGTGGAGAGTTGGACAAATCTGGAAGTCCATTTCTAAAGAATCAACCAATTGCATCAAGCTTGGTCTGAGAGTAAGCGTTCTGTTTTGAATCTCCCCAGACAACCATGCGCCTCGTGATCTGTGAGCCTTAAAATAGCATGCCTCCGCATCTGAACCACGAAATGCTTGCGTTGCTTTTCGGCACACTGCATCATCCTCTTCCACAGAGTTGCATCATAGCCACATCAACAACGGTTCGGTGCCATCACTGCTTTGTCCCCAGACGACGATCACGATCGACGCCGTGTTAGCGACTGGGCGTGGTGTTTCAGACGGCGGCGTCCCGCCCGTCAACCCAACTCTCGGTCTCCTGTGGCCCTGTGGCCCTGTGGCCCCGCGCTCTACCCTATGACGTGCTAGCGAAGACCCTGCGTCAACAAAGGCAGACTAATTCACGGTGACGTCTGTTCCCTGGCGAAGAGCGGAAAATGGTGCCTCCGCTGGACAGGCCGACGACATGCCATACGAAGCAGCACACCAAATGCCTCGTCCCAGCTGCATCGTGAGGCCTCCATCCGGGCCCTACCCATGCCGGCCGACGTCGCCTGCAGGCTGCTTAACAACCTCTGGCCCGCCAACCCGCTGCCAACTTTCAGCACGCTTGTCGTGGCCTGCAGGACGAGAGGGCTCGGCCCTCTGCTAGCTTTCCAATCAGCTGAAGGCCGTCAAGGCCTCACGACGCGTCCAGAAAGGTCCGCCCTGACTGCAGCCTCCGGGTTACCCGTGCCGCGGTGACAAAGTGCCGCCATCGCCGCGTCTTGCGGTTCTGCTGTGACTCTCGTCCTCCACTTCCTCGTAAAGTCTGAGACACCTCACCTCTCACGACATACCAAAACACACCAAGAGTCGGCACTAGCCCTGCGAGCCCAGTTACTGACTAGACGACGCCATATCGACCGTACCCGCCTCCGCTACATTCCTGTCGTTCCACTCCCTGGCGCCGGGTGCATAATCGTCGCTCCAAAACACTCCCTTGGCGGACAGGTAGGGGTCGGATCAGCGCGGCACGCAGTGAGAGAGAACGCTGGCTGTGTCATCGGGAGTACTGCTGCTCTGATTTCTGCATACGGCTGCGCAGATACGGCGCCAAGGCCGCATATTCCTTGCTTAGCAGGACTGCGTGGTTGCGCAGGCCCAGGGCTCGCCATGGCCGTGATCGAGGTGAGTGCCCTGATCGTGGAATCCTTCTCGTCTGCATCTGCTCTGCGGCGTGGCGGGGTGGTTGAGGGAGAAAAGCCGGCCAAAACTGGTGCGCTCGGACCGGGCATTGCATCATAGCCTACCCACCATCTCGATTGCACGACGCTCGTTCTGCGCATCCACTGTCCACTACCACCCCAGAGCCGCGCCTTGCTCCTGCCCCCATTTCGTCACCAGCCTCCTTCTCCCATACACGTGCACGTCATTCGTCATTCCCTGCCCAAACTGACATCGGTGGCCAACCCGCCTCCGATTCCCAACACCACAGCTCTCGGCGTTACGCTCTTTGTAATCGTCACCTCCGCATAGTCAGTCGCTCACCATGGCTGCTATCCAGAACTTCAAGAACTTCCTGCGCCACGGCAAGCAGGCCCGCGCCGGCAACGCTCCGCACGGAGAGGCCACTACCAACGTGTCCAACGTCCACGCCCAGCAGCAGCGGTACGACAACCATGGCCACGCCCAAACGCACTACGCCCACAGCGATCCCAATGTCGTAAATCACAAGCCTTTGCAGGGCAACCCCGCCCAGGGAGACTACTCTGCTGCCGCCCTGGACAACCGGAACGTCGCCGCACGAGCTGGTGATGCCGCAGCACGAGCCGTTGGCGACCAACAAAAGGCAGCACAGCACAAGAACGCCGGCACCACGGACCGAAAGTCAGAGTATGATGCGTCCGTCCTCGAGCGGATTGTGGCAGAAGAGCGTGAGAGCAAAGGCAAGTTGCCCAAGTATCCCGGCCTCGAGCGATGGCAGCTAGTCGAGAAGATGGGGGATGGAGCCTTCAGCAACGTCTACCGTGCACGAGATACGACCGGACAGTACCCCGAAGTCGCCATCAAAGTTGTGAGGAAGTTTGAAATGAACTCCAGCCAGGTATGTCTTACACGCAATCCTCTCCATTCTTCATATCTTTATGTTGTTACCCGTATTCCTCTTCCCCTAAACTGTGGCTTTCTATCGGGACCCCGCCAACAACCCTCGTGTAGGGCGATAACCATCTCCATCCGGATTTCAAGAAGGCGCCCAAAACTGTGGAGGTGCGGCACACTCCAAAACGAGTTCTAAACACCAAGGACTTGGTTTTGGAACCTCTCCTTACACCCTGTCAGCCAGATTACTGACGTAATGCGCATACAGAGAGCCAACATCCTCAAAGAGGTCCAGATCATGCGCCAGCTCGACCATCCAAACATCGTGAAGCTTATTGACTTCTCCGAATCTCGCCAATACTATTACATCGTCCTCGAGCTGTGCCCTGGAGGCGAGCTTTTCCACCAGATTGTTCGTTTGACCTACTTCAGCGAAAACCTATCTCGACACGTTATCTACCAGGTAGCAAAGGCATTAGAGTACTTGCATGAAGAGGCCGGCGTTGTACATCGGTAAGCATTTTGGTGGTTTTCAGCATTGGTCATCACGATTACTGACGTCATGTAGTGACATTAAACCGGAGAATTTGTTGTTTTACCCAACGCCATTCGTCCCAGCGCGGAATCCGCAACCCAAGGGCCCCGATGATGAAGACAAGGCTGACGAGGGTGAATTCATCAAAGGAGTAGGTGCTGGCGGTATCGGAGTCATCAAGATTGCCGATTTTGGTCTGTCAAAGGTGATATGGGATAGCCAGACCATGACGCCATGCGGTACGGTCGGTTACACTGCACCTGAGATTGTCAAGGACGAACGGTACTCCAAGAGCGTGGATATGTGGGCAATGGGATGTGTGCTCTACACACTCCTATGTGGCTTCCCACCATTCTACGACGAGAGCATCCAGACTCTTACCGAAAAGGTTGCAAGGGGCCAATACACCTTCCTCTCACCGTGGTGGGATGAGATTTCCAAGCCCGCTCAAGATCTTGTCTCGCATCTTCTCACTGTCGACCCGGAGAAACGGTACGACATCAAGCAGTTCCTCAACCACCCCTGGATCCGGGAGGTCGAGGAACTCACCTACGCGGCTGCCGACGCCCCACCGCTTGCTACCCCTCTATACACACGCCAAAACCAGTTCGAGATGGGCCAAGATAGCAAACCTCTCCAGCCCAACTTTGGCTACCTTGAGTCACCCGGAGCAGGCAAGCGCCAAGACTTCCGTTCTCCCGGCGCTCTCAACCTCCGTGAGGTCTTCGATGTTGGTTATGCCGTGCATCGCCAAGAGGAAGAAGGAAAACGCCGCAAGAACTTCAAGCAGGGCTACCGAGGCGCAAACGCCATGGGCAACTCGCTCAACGCTCTTGATGAGCAGGAAGACGACGAGGCTGACGACTATTCCGAATCCGCGCCCTACAATCCCTCAACCCAGAACCCCCCTGCCAAGCTACCAAAGAGCCAGGCTGCAGACGTATCCGCAGTCGAGCAGAAGATGCGCAACACGAGTCTCAGTGCCGCAGCACAAGCACGGGCGCCGGCTAAAGCGGCACTGCAGGAGCGAGGATACGGGCAGCACAGCCCTGCCGTTGCGGCGGCAGCGAAGAGGCAGGTCAGGCAGAAGGGCGCGTTTGAGCTCAGTCTCGACAACGCGACTCTACTTGGCAGGAGGAAGAAGCCAGAGCCAAGTGGGTTGAGGGAAGGTCTGACGATTGGAGGGACCTGAGAAGTGACCGCTGCGTCGTTTCAATAATACTTTCTCTACTACCACTTTGGACTTGGGGATGAAGAATGATGCCGACGAACACAAGCAACTACACTCCACAATCCAGACGTTTACACTCCATGATCCATCTACTCTTAACCAGCAAGATGAAGGCCATCAGTCTCATCATGGGCAAGAGTCCCTCATTTATCTGGTCGATATGGACAGCTTTGGTTGCATGAAGGGATCCTGGATTCTGTCCTTCCCCTTTCCAAATTGGCCTTGGCTCTGTACACCCGGCGCCGGAATCACGTGCCATCTTCCTTGGTCTTCCACAGTCAGCTTTTCTTTACCAACACGTCTCTTTTCTATCTTCCCTTCTCCTTTGGTCATGGGTGGCTCGTCTTGGCTTCGATTCGGCTGCATCAGCATCTTTTCCTTTTCTTTGTTCCGTCTGTCCTTCCATCGTATGGAGCTGGGTGCTAGGGTGACTTTTCGTTTTTCGTCATGGGTCTCTCAACATAGGAAGCTAGGACGAGTGACGGGGGAATTAGGGGGCGGATGGGTTATGTATGAGATACGTAGCTAGAAAGATTAGATTGGGCCGCGCTTCTCATCCATCAATCTCAGCTCAGAGCAGGAAAGCGGTTGGCCTGTGTGGGGAAAAAGACATTGAAAACAAAAGGAGTGGGCCATGTGATTGCGATATGAATGCTATCACATCGTTTTATCACCACCTGTTATCAGTCGTTCTACATGTCGCATAAAAGTCGACCCCCCCTACTATTCCCGTCTACTAGCTAGTTCTACTCAACCTATCGCCCGTAGGCCCATCATTTGTGCGAAGACAGGTGCTGAAACGTTAGAATGAGGTAGACTCTGTACCACCCGCGGAGAACAACAAGTTGCATGCCTTTTTCTCTCCAACACCTCTCGCTCTAATCAAGCAAGAGAACGCAACGCACGGTCGACAATGTAATCAAAGCGATGAAAGTAATTTGTACGCAGTCTACGAATCCCAACCCCATCTCCCCCCTCCCTCGCCCGACCGCAAAGTCAGTCGCCACCCATCCCCATTCCTTTCTTTCTCATCCGAACCCCCTATAACCGAAAACTATTGAAGGCCCCCATCTCGAACAATACCGCCCCCCTTTACGGGTTTAGAGCACAACACATCCCGCACACCCCCCCTCCCCTTCCCCATCCCCATCCCCATCCCCCTCCACAGCCCCAAAACTCACATACCCATCGCCGCCCCCGACGCTGCAGCCGCCCAGACTCCCCACGCTCCCCTGGATCTCAAACGCCCCGCCACCGCTGCTGCTGCTGTGCAGGCCCCTCCGCTTCCGCCGCCGCCGCCGCCGCCCAGCCTTCGCGCGGACGGCGCCCAGCTGTGGCGAGGCCGGGGTGGTAGTAGTAGTAGAGGCAAGTGGGTACGGGGTTGAGAAAGTGCCGTAGCAGCCGTCGCTGCCGCCGAAGCCGAAGCCGAGTCCCGCACAGGTCTCTGATGTTGGGTGAAAGAGGCTGGCAGACGGCGTGTGCGCGTACGCGTAGCCGAGCAGCACGCTGTCGGTCGCTATACCCAGCCTGTGCGCGCTGGGTCTCGGCGGCCCAGCGAGGGACGACGAGCGCGAGCTCTCGGTGCCGAAACCGTGTCTGCCGTGCGCGTTGCGGGGCGTGCGGCCGCGTTCGTCGTTTTCTTCGCGCAGTGCGGCGGCGGCGTCGTCTCGCCTCAGCCTAGAAAAGAGCCCAACGGGGTCAGTGAATTTGTGTCTTCAAACTCCCCCCAAAAGAACCCGTCCCCGTCACCCATAATCTAACCCGTCAGTTTCTCGTAAATGCAAATATTTCAAATAGGTATATATCCCCCCCTCCCCTAGACTTCCACCTTATTACGTTTCCGTGTCGTGAGTTCTCTCTCTCTACCGCCCGCCGAAATTCCAAAAGGTTTTTGCCCACCCACCGCACCTCCCCTCCCCAACTCCCGCGCGCGTGCAGCAGGGCCTTATTTTCTACGTTGAAGTAGGCAATAGGGACTCACGACTCGGCATCCACAAATTCCTCGCTCCCGCCCGTCTCGCTGTCCGTGCGCACAAGCGTGTGCTCAATCCCGCGCGTCTGCTTCTGCTTCTGCTGAGGCGCGGGGCTCTGAGTGGGCACGAGCGGCTCCTGCAAGCCGGGGTGCTGCTGCTGCGCAACGTGGTCGGCATGGTTTGGCTGCTGCTGCTGCTGCGCCGACGCGGCCGTCGCCGGAGTGGCTGAGTCGCCGCCGAAATCAATAAGGTCTTCAGGGATGGACTGTTGCGGATGAGAAGGAGGGTGTTGGTGGGCAGAATGGGAGACGGATTCGCGGCTAGACTTGCGGCTTGGGATCGAGAACCTACGGTTTGGGGCTTCTTGACCGGGCAGGATGGCGGCAATATGGAGGATTTGTTTGGTTTGTTCTTCAGGGGTTTTGCCGTCGCTGTGAAACTTATTAGCTTTGAGGTGGTTAGGGGGTGAAAGGCAATTGTAGCAACTCACATCTTCGCGTTAATGATGAAGTCCAGGTCTTCTTCGCCCTCCTCGCTCCCTCCATGTCCACCCTTCACTTGTCGGAATAGCCGCGGGTGCCAGTCCACACCGTCGTCTAGCCGCTTCGCCGCCTCCTCGCGCTGCATATCCTCGATTCTTGACTTTTCGTCCGTAGCCGTGTCCTGGTCTCGTGCTTTGATCGCGGCTGTGACCTTTTGCCATAGCCGTTGGGACTCGCGCTCATCTTGCTCCGAGATTGGACGGGCTTTGGGCGGTGTTTCACGCGCGTGGGTCGCATCGAAGAGGAGTTGTTTCTTTCCAGTCTGTAGAAACAATGAGCATGTCGGCTTATAACACATGAGGGTGTTTGAGGGTTATGGTGAACTTACAGTGAGGTCTTTAATGTACATCTCCTCAGTCCACAGCCCGCTCAGCTCGTAGAGATTGGTATCTGTTTTCGTGTCTTTGATGAAGCCTCCGATGGCATTGTATGTGCCGCCGAAATACCCCTTCGTCTTGAACTCAATATCGGCGGAAAGTCCGGACTCTGGACACCGCACGAAGCTGTGATCGCCGAGTTCGTATTTCATTTTACCGAACAGTATGCCCCGCGCGTACATGTTCGGTTGCGTAATGAAGCTGGGGAGCTTAGTCTCTGTCTTATAAGATGAATGCTGCCGTTCATGGGTTGAACCTACTATCGTTCTCCTCGGTTTAAAAACCGCATGACTGCTATTCCCTCCATCATTGATGCCGCCGAGTTCCCTAGAAATTTGCTCCTGGGCTTCAGCGTCCCGTCAATGCGGATGTGGTGTTCTGGTGCCATATAAAAGTAAGATGACTTGGGCGGGTGATGTGACGTCTGCTCTGAGATGTAAAGTCCGCGCGTGTGATCCGGGTAGTCCCAGTAGCATGTGAAGGTTTCGCCGAGGATGGGGTTGAGAGGCTTTTTGACGCCACTATAATCCGTTAAGATCCGTTCTTTGCCCTCTTTTACCGACCCCAGTACTAGGACGTAGAGATACGTACGGAGGTTTGATGTGCCAACCACTGAGGTAGAATTTCACCACCGACACGAATCGCTCCACCGGGTCGTCAATCGCCGGCATCGGTAGCAGGGTCTCGGGATGGGCCATGAAACTGTGTTGTTGGATAAGCATGGAATCTCACGGTGGAGGGCTCGGAATATGGGGGGAAACGGCAGACGCACTTCGTTATGCGCTCCAGCATCGATCGCGGCTCCAGGATGAAGGTAGGTAGTGTAACGCGACTTAGGTCTGCGCCAGGGCGGAGTTGGGATATGATATGCGTGAGCACTGTGCGAATTCCGCGTCAGTCTGGAGCATTCTTTGGGGGAACATCATAGGGATGTGTAGGCGGTGGATAGTAGACGTACTATTTCCTTGATCCGCGTCCACGACTGTCTCATCTTCGTTGGTGACATTGTCCTCGCCGCGGGTAGAGTCGATGGACGAGCGGTTGCCTATAGCGGGAGAAAGGATGGTGTTAGCATGTTTATTCTGATTTTGGGCGAGCTCATGGAGTCTAGGAGGCGGATATACATACTGGTGGTCAGCGAGTGCCGCCTGTGTGCGTGGCCGAGAACCATGATAGGCGGATGTACGTGGGGAAGAGGGTTGGTGGCAGGATAGACTTGATGGTGTTGTAGTAGATGTCGTGGGCGTAGTAGAGCGGCAGACGTCGATACGTAAAGGTATGTAGGTGTCTCAGGCGGCAGTCGTCGCTGCGCAGTAGTGAGTTGAGGTGCGTGGCCGGGCAAAAATCTCTCCCGTCTCTCCGCCCTGAGAGAGCGATGACGATAGCGGGCACGGCGGGGATGTGAAGGGACCCGTGCCCACGCCTGGAATAAGCCCACCCACGGCAGGGGAACGGGCGTCGGGCCAAATCATCCTGCATGATAGACATCTTGGCGGCTGCACTTTAATATGCACTACGTGTTTGTTGTTGAATTTAGTAATACATATCTACATGGGCCTTCGACAAAACAAGAGCATGGCTGCGTGCTGTGAACATTCGCCTAGCCGCGACAACTTTGGACGCTTTCGGACGTATTGCCGAGCATTATAGCCGAAGACAAGCATTGCATAGCGGGAGTGCCGGAAATGAATGCTGGGAAGCTTGATTCTTGATGTCTACATTGACAGCTATCCAAAAGGACGCGTCATGAGCTTCATGTGTACTCCTTCATCTTCTTGATTTCCTCGCTATCCATGCTTATCACGTCCACATCAGCACTTGCGAATTCCTTGTAAACGTCGTGAAGAGACGTGGGGTCTACGGGCCTCGTAGCATCTCCGACCACGTATGTTTTGAAGCCTTCTTTGGCCGAGTCTAGCGCAGTGAACTTGACGCAGTAGTCTGTCGCCAATCCTACAACATAGACATCGGAGACCTTTGCGTCTTTCAGAATATCTGCGAGCTTGCTGCGCGAGACAGTCGGGTTGATAAACGGGTCTGCAAATGCCGAGTACATCTCCACCCTGTTATCCTGTCCCTTCTCGACGATGTGATCCACCTTGCTGCGATTCAGCTCCGGGATGAGCTCTGAGCCAGGTGTAGACTGCACGCAGTGATCTGGCCATAGCCGCGTTGTCTGTGTCTCTTCTGGGTTTAGAGGGTTCTTGATCGTGAATGTGGATTCGAAGGGCTTGTTGTTAGGCGGAGGGTGGTTCGAAGCGAACGAAATGTGGTCTTGAGGGTGGAAGTCTTTCGTTGCTACTTTGACGGCGAAAGGGAGGTTGAGGAGATGGTTTATGGATGATACTATGTCTCGACCTCCTTGAACCGCGAGGCTTCCATTCTAACGCGTCATTGTCAGCGAATTCTGAGGTCGGTGGAAGAACTGCTTACAGGTGGGCAGAAGTCCTCTTGAAGGTCAACTATCACCAGAGCTGGTTTGAAGGACATGATCGATAACGGGCTCCTTGTCTCCTTCAGGTTGAATGCACTCACTGGGTTATAGGTGGGCTGAATATCTGGGCTTTCTACGACTACATTTGTTTCATGGGCGTGGTGGAGCTGTCATAGATGGATGGTGGATACTTGGGTAGGGTGAATGAGAGTGGGGCAGCCTGAAATAAGCTAAACCATTTCTAGCGTTTTGCCCAAGTGTTCTTCCAACCTCATCCCTCAGGGCTTCCTTGAACAAAAGGGTGGTCGTCGACGAACCTGCGATTCTTTTCTTCATCATCTAGGTCGTATACACACTCAATTCAAGCTTGTTCACTCTTTCTTAACACCGCTTGAGGTCCTCAGGTACATTATCAAAAACATGAAATGACAATTATGACAAAGTTTATAGCCCTCCGGGCCATCTCAAACGGTGTTAGACTGCCACTTTATGTTCAACCAAGCCTACTCCTTCATGCTCTAGTGAGACTGTATCTGGGTCTGAAGTCAATCTTGGAGTCATGGAATGGTCACCGGAGGTAAATTGAGAAATGAGGAGCTACCCCGCAAAATAATACATCAAGTCAATATACGCAGGCGGGTGCCTGCAACTCAGTCTACAGGGGTGTTGAGGTATTACAGTCGTTTCCCCAAATGGGACGGCTGCTACAAGTCATAAGTATGTGCACACGCGTTTACCACTGCTTGGGGTACCCCCATGGAATTTTGAAAAATCAAGGCGCGATGTCAAGCTTCAAGGAGCGCAAACCAAACTGCCTCTTGGTAGCTGCTTTCCAGATGGGCTATTCCTCAAAGCGGTGTCGAGTGAGCAAGATTGGGGCTAAGCAGTGATGAATCCGTGTGCTTAGACTTATGATCTAGTGCTGTACTTTGCCAACAATTCCTTCGCGGTTTCAATGCGTGACTTACGAATGAGACCTTTGTCGGATCCTTTTTCGGCGATTTTCGAGAGAAGGATCGTATCCAGCTTCTGCCTCAGGTGAAAGCTCCATGGTGATCTCCTCTCAGCATCGTTCCACATGATCCTTCGACTGTTTCAAGGGCAAGAATGACGTAAAGGCTTGAGAAGAAGCGTGCAATAACAACTGTGCAGATTATTCAATCTATTCCTCTCGTTTCCAGTCTTCGCAGAACATAAGTACTCGTCCCATCCCATTCGATGCAGCTCCATTCCCAATCTCTATAAGTGTTTAAGACAATTCACCATGCATTCATCAACTCTTCTCAGCACTCTCTTTCTCCTCCTCGCCTCTACAGCCCTCGCCAAACCGGCCCCCGACCCAACTTGCTCGTTCGGGGCTTGGACGTGCGACGCCGATACTACTTCTATCATGAACTGTGGCGCCTCAGGCTGGGTCATTACGGCTATGTGCAACTTTGGGTGCTGTCGCTCTACGGGAACGAATGCATACTGTGGATGCTAAGTGACTGTGCCGAAGAAAGAGGTCGATGGACTGGATTTGGCTGTGGTAAGTGGAAACGTTCTCCGTAGAGCTGGGTGGTGGCTAACTCCGTCACCGACAGGACTTGGTTTGGCATAGTGTTCAAAAGATCCAGACTATTCCAATGTACATTTTTGTGAATACCGGATATAATCTCTCTCATCAGAGCTGTTACGTTACTTCTATTGATCTCGTAAACACCCGTGTCCAGCTGCGTGATTTCACAGAAGTGGAAAGAGGAGGTACAGATGCACTACAATGAATAATGTGAAACTTACTCCCAATGCCGTACGTATAAATAGTGGTCGAGCTCCATGATCATCTCTCCGTCGCTTATCTAGCGCCTAGTCGATTTCTATTCAGCTCCCTCAGTCAAAACTCGTTGAAATTAATGCATCCGTCAGCTCTCTCCCTTACCCTACTCTTCGCCCTGATCCCCTTTGCTTCACGACCCCTGTTCAACCTCGCGAGATGGCTGACGGCTGTAAATACGGGGAATGGGGATGCGCCCGTGCTACCGATGTCATACTGTGCGGCGCCACTGGCTATTGGGAGCTTGTGGCGTCTTGTACGCCTGGGTGCTGCGTTGACACGCAGGATGGAACGAATGCGTGGTGTACGTGTTGAGGGAGCGAAAGGGAGTGAGAATTTGGGAAGTGGGGTAGGCAGATTGAAAGAACATGAAGACGGGGATAGATGCTGACGTGTTAAATGGCGTCTACGTAGACTTTGAGAAGAGTACGTTAGGGATTGGATCTTTGCGATGCGGGGAACCGGTGGCGATGTCTGAAGCTTGGAATTTTTGAAGGAAACCGGGGCTTCATAGTAATTTTAGCATTACGAATAAGGGAGAAGTTCGGCATTTTGGACATATGGTAAACTCGCGAGGCTACCCCAGAGAGCGTCAACAGAGCGTATGCAGGTTGAAAGTGTATCCGTTTCTATTAGTACGTTGAAGCCCCATAGACAATGACATGGAAGTGTACGGATATCTATGGCAAGGCACTGTACTTTAAGACGCGGATTTCAGCGGCCTTCAGTCTTCATGATGTGAGGATGTCGCCCACTTACTGTTCTCATGATTCCCTCTCTTTCAACCACATAGCAACCTCTTCAGCACTCTTATCCGGAGGGAAGACCGGATACCACACCTTCACAATAGTCCCATTCCGGATCGCCAGCGTAAGACGCCTGACCAAAACAGAGTCCTCCCATTGAAACGTTGGCAGCTTTAGAGCTCCAACAAGCCGCAATTCGTCATCGGACAGCAGCTCAAAAGGCAGATGCAGCCGCTCCTTGACCTCCGTCTGATACTTCGTGTCTTGCGTGGAAAGACCAAATAGATTGTTCACCCCGTGTACGCCCAACTCGGCCTTCATGTCTCGGAACGCGCAGGCTTGCGGCGTGCAACCGCGGGCACCTGGTATAGCGTTCCACTCATCGGGGATTGTTTCGCCTGGAGCTCCCGTACGCGGGTAACAGAATAGTATGGTGAGGCCTGGGAGGGCGGAGAGGTCAATGGGCTCGCCGGACGTCGCAGTGAGGGGCAGCGAGGCGAGCTTGGTGTTGACGAGATGGGCGCAAGCTCCATCGTCTTGCGGGACGGGCAGATCAGACGGGAAAGTGGTGTCTGTAAGTCTTTAGCAGCTTCAAAGGGGCATCCTGCACGGAGAACTCGCTGACGGTACATTGTGACTTCAAAGTATTCGTACGCGTGGATGAAGCAGTGCAAAGACCGAGAACGCCGACGTCATGCATCTCTCGGATGGTGAAGCTTTCCCTGACGCGTGCTGATGTCGCGATGAGCGAATCACAGGCCCCTAAATAAAGCTGCTTACTATCACACCCCACCATTGAGCTCCCCTCCAGTTGGTGTTGCGCAGTTGCTCTATTTATCCCACCTCATACGTGCTTCTTCCATGTCCTCTCAGCGCCTTTTCCAATCTACCTCCCGACGACTCGTGCAGCTACAACAGCAATTCATTCAAAGAGTAACGTTCGTGACGAGCTCAAGAACGATGGCGCAGGAATTCAAGCTCAAGGACGTCACGTCATTGGACTTGAAGAACGGTGACAAGAAAGAGGTGGAAGTTGAGGGTATTGAGGGTGGCAAGGTGCTGCTAGTCAAGGTCAAGGGTCAGGTTCATGCTACCAGCGCCAACTGCACGCATTTTGGAGCTCCGTTGAAGAATGGAATCCTCACTCCAGAAGGCAGATTAACTTGCGCGTGGCATGGAGGTAAGAAGATCCACCTGTTTGCTTTGAGACGACGTCTCACAGCTTCATAGCTTGCTTCAGCGTCTCCACCGGAGATGTCGAGGATGCTCCCGCCCTAGACGCTCTTTCAAAGTATGACCTCATTGAGAAGGATGGTGCTGTGTACGTCAAGAGTGACGAGGCTACAATCAAGGCAAACCGGCGGGTGTTGAACATCAAGTGCTCTGCAAAGAGCGATGAGAAGGTCCTGGTGGTTGGAGGGTAACTCTCTCCAAGCCATGTCACTTCTAACAGGTCAATGCTAACGTCATGGATCAGAGGCAGCGGCACCATTGGAGCAGTCGAGGGTCTACGCGGCGGAGGCTTCACAGGACATATCACTGTCATATCGAAGGAGGGATATAGGCCAATTGACCGGACCAAGCTCTCGAAAGCCTTGCTGGCCGATGTCTCCAAAGCTGCCTGGCGATCCCCCGAATTCTACAAAGATGCCTCCATCGACATACTCGAGGACGAGGTAACGAAGGTAGACTTTACGAGCAAGAAGGTCTCGACGACATCGGGCAAATCATACGATTACACAAAGTTGGTGTTGGCTACGGGAGGACAACCGAACTGGCTGCCTCTACCAGGCCTGAAGGGTGATCTAGGCAATGTCTTCGTTCTCCGTGCTATCCCAGATACCCAAGGTATCGTGAAGGCTGTCGGAGATAACGGTAAGAAGATCGTTGTGATCGGCAGCTCCTTCATTGGTATGGAGGTTGCCAATTGCCTCGCCAGCCAGAAGAACGATGTCACCGTCATCGGCATGGAATCAGGTACTTGTCCTCCCCTTATTTCACCTACTTTCTCTAACCCCAACCCCCACAGCACCCATGGAGCGCGTCATGGGCACGAAAGTCGGCAAAGTCTTCCAGGGCCTTCTCGAAAAGAACGGAGTCAAGTTCTACCTGAGCGCCTCCGTCGAAAAAGCCACCCCCTCCTCCACCGACTCCACCAAAGTCGGCGCCGTTCACCTCAAAGACGGCACGACTCTGGAAGCGGACCTCGTCATCGAAGGCGTAGGCGTCAAGCCCGCCACCGCCTTCCTCAAAGACGTCCCCGGCCTCACCCTCGAGAAAGACGGCTCCCTCAAAACCGACGAATCGTTCGCTGTCGAGGGACTAAAGGATGTGTATGCCATCGGCGACATCGCAACCTACCCCTACCACGGCCCCGGCGGCGACGGTAACCTAACACGCATCGAGCACTGGAACGTCGCGCAGAACGCGGGCCGCAGCGTCGCGGCCTCGATCAACAACCCCAGCTCCACGCCCAACGCATTCATCCCCGTCTTCTGGTCAGCTCTAGGATCCCAGCTGCGGTACTGCGGAAACACGGTGGGTGGCTACGACGACGTGGTCATTCAGGGAGACACGGAGAAGCCGGCGTTCGTGGCGTACTACACGAAGGGAGAGACGGTGGTGGCGGTGGCGAGTATGGGGAAGGATCCGTACATGTCGCAGAGCGCGGAGCTGATGCGGCGGGGGAAGATGGCGGGGAAGAAGGAGCTTGAGGGCGGCGTGGATATCATGGGGATCGACGTTCCGGCTGAGATCAAGATCTGAGGGGTGGCAGGGATGGGGGCGTGTTGGAGATAGGGAAGGTCGGTAATGATGAAGTTATGAGACAAAATGAGAGATGACTGAGGTGATCGCCTACCTTTGTATTAATGTAATGAGGGTTACATTAGCATCGCTCTGCTAGATGCCATGGGTGCCCTCATATCTTCCATCGGCCACCATGAGGAAGTAATTCCTGGTAAAGCTAAAGCATCAAGTCTAGACGACGGCGAGGAGACTCAGTGCAAGCTAGCTCGTCTCTGTTTCATTGTTTCGGCGAGGGTGCGATTCGCACTCCCATTCTCCAACATCAAGTCGTGACGCTGCGAATCTAGCATATAGTAATTTCAGTCTGTAGGCTTCTCTTTCATTCGCATTATCCAGGGGACCTCCAACGCCAATCCCATTGCCACATCATTTCAGCTCCTCACCGAGCGGGCTAGAAGCCTTTGAAACAAGGAATCTCCCACGGGAAACACGCAATGCAACAGCGCCAGAATGCTTTGTAGATACACATCTATTCCTCCACAACCCTACAGCCTCCCATCTACAGCCCCCTCCCCGCAGTGACCTGCACCCACCAGATGCTATCCATCAACTCAAAACACACTTTCCTCACAACTAGAAACACACACCCCAGGCCCAACACCGACCAAGGATATCTGCCGTGCTCGCCATCAAAACACCCCTACACCAGTATTATGAAACCCACACAATGACCTCGACGCCAGCCCACGCCATGCATAATAAAACATCCACACCGCTAAAACTCACTTCGAGCTCCCGAAAAAATGATGCTTCTTCTTCTTCTTCTCCTCCTTCCCATACTTGATCCCCCCGGACCCGGATCCCGTCCCCGTCACATTCCCATTCGTCGGCCTCGGCGGCGCACCCGCACCACCAGAATTCAGCGTTATACCCGCCAACCCCGCTGTCGGCGGCGCCGGCGCCTTCGGTTTCGTCGCGTTGGGCGGGACCGCTGGCTTCGGCGGCTCGTCGCGCTCGAAGAGGTGGGCGGGCGCTTTCGGCTTCGGCAGCTCAGCTGGGATGCCCAAACGACGCTTCTCGACCGAGAGGTCGCCGACCTGGCGGACGAAGAGGGCGGGCGTGAGCATGTGGGATGTGACGAGGAAGACGTCGCGGGACGTCTTGGCTGAGACTTCGTAGCAGGCGCGCGACTCAGAGTAGGTGGCGCCGCCGGCCATGAAGACGATGACGCGCTGGCGGGGCTCGACGGAGCTGAGGCGAGACTTGGCCCAGGTGGGTTTCGCGGAGCGGAGGGAAGTGGCAGTGACGAGGTCGGAGGGATTGGAGGGGACGGCGTCCATGTTAGGTTTGGTGTAGGGGAACACGGTCTGGTCAAGGGTGCCGTGTACATGGGCCTCGAGGAGGTGTTGGAGGGCGGTGGTGTAGCGCGAGAGAGCGTATTCTTCGGCGTTCGCGGCAGGAGGGGGCTTGTTCGCGAAGATAGGGGGTGGGCCTGGCTTGTTGTCTTTTAGAGGCCTCGCGACGCGAGCGCCGAGGAGGTCGAGATTACGGACGACTTCGCCATCCCCGGGTGGTAGCTGGGCATGTGCGAGGAGCTTCATGAGATCAGCAGGGAGGAGTCCGTCTCTATAGAGCAGATAGAGTGCAATGAGCCGGAGTCGGTCCGGATGCGTGATACTATCTTCGTCAAGAGTGCGAACGATCTGATCTGCTACGTTTTTGGGTTTGCGGTAATCTTCATCAAGACCTGTGGCAAGGGTCTAATTGAGTCTGTTAGCTTCTCCAGTATTTGCAGCAGAATTATAGGCCTACCTGTTCCACTGAAGCTAGATCTGGTAGCTTTTGTTGCTGAAATAGCTGCATACACTCCTGAGCCATGCTTAGATGCAACGAATAAGCTTCCTTCATTTCTTGGAACTGGGGTAGTCCAGCAATCATGTCCTTAATGGCATTCAACCCACTCATCCCGGCCGTGTCCTGGGCCTGGTTTGTGAATTGTGGGTTCTCGTCGAGGAATCTTTGGAAATCGCCCATCAACTTTTCAATGGTGTCCTTCATATGCCGATGTCTGTTTTCTACCCATATCTTGTCCTTTTCACTAATCTCCATCTCCTTCTCCTCTTCATCTGGTCTACCTTCATTCATCTTCGTTTTGTATGTCACTTTCTCTCCTTCTTTGATTGGTAGTAAATCATGCGCCATGGCCTGGTAGGTGAATTCGTGCAATAGCGGAGCGAACAAGTCCATCGACCGATCGGTTATGTATAACGCTCCTCGTGGGCGGTTGGACTGGGGTGGGAAGTTCTCGTGGTATTGAGCGTACATATCTATCTGTTCCTGCACGAAGCGCGCAAGATGCGAGCAGAGCACACTCGCTTCGTGGGAAGGGTTGCGTGGGCGGTAGTAGCGGATTGTAGGGTACTCTCCTAGCGAAACACAGACAGCCACAATCTAGAGCGATACTGTCAGTGCTTGAATGGTTGACTGGGGTCGTAAATTTACCTTTTGTGCCAGATCTTCCATATGATTTCGCACTAGGTTGTTACATGCAGGATGAAACAAGACTGGGAAGCTCCAGGGGTCTCGGAGGGTGACGAGGTGCGACTCGCGCGGGTAATAGTCGATTTCTAGGACTTTGAAGACCCGTATCTGTTCTCGTGCCATGGCCGATCGGTCTATGCGTTCTCGTAGCGGGGGTGGCAGTACTGGTGAGGGAGGGACATCAGCTAGCCGTTAGAACGATGGGGCAAGAATCCTTACATGAGGTCCATATCAGATAGGATCCTCGATATCTGCGTCGCTCAAAGTCGGCCATGACACAGTCGACGATGTGCGGTTGAGCTGTGAGGAAATAGATGGCGTCCATGTCCTTGTTCATGGGCCGCCTTTCCTCAATTCGCTCAATGTCTGGGAACAGGTCAGGCACCCACCACAGGCGTAGATTTGAGGGCAGCCATACTGGTTATTTGCTCATTGAGAATGTCGTCCTCCTTTACAACGTTGGCAATGAGCTTCTGACTCGTCTCGTCGACAATAAGGACTTTCCACTGCAGGTGGGGGTCAGAAGGGCTTCTTCGAGGCGAGGAACGGGGTGGCTACTTCTCCACGGCCGGTGTTCTTGATGCAGTCGAGTATTACTGAAGACCGTATTAGCAACCGAAGCATTCGAGGGGGTATGGAGCTGTACGTTGGCGCTGGGTGTCGATGATGGACGCCCCCATGATGGACAAGCCTAGGCAGGCGTTTGGCGGCCAGACACTCTCAGCAGGGACTGTGCGGAGTTTTCGTTGTAGCAGCAGCTAGAAGTATCTGTTCGGCGAAATTTAGCAAGCTGTTCGTGGCGTAGGACGTGGTCGTGGTCGTGGAGAGAGCAGGCAGCGGAGGGGTGGTGTTGGTTCACTCTCGGCGAAGGCCAAACTCGCTCCGCGTCAATTCGATGATGGAGCCCGGGCATAACTTTTGACGTCGTGCCCAGCCTGTCTCTCCACGCCCACCATTCCCTTCTTTACTTCTTTGCATCTCCAATTCAATTGGACCTAAGCTGACGCCCACCCGCGACCACTCTGCGGCGGTCCAACTCTGCTCCCGCGAATTTGGAATGCGCCCCCAGGGGCAGAGGCCCGGCCTGTGCCTGTTCTGCACCTTGATATCAACTCCGACCCAGTCTCGCGCCCTCCCTCAAATCTGGACAGACAAGACCTCGCCACTCTCTGATATACGACATGCCTCCATCTCGTTGGGAGCTCGGCGCTATAGATCGTCGACAGCAGAGAAACGTCGTCCAACGCGGACGCCTGAGAGGTCTGGAAGGTCTGAGAGGCCTGTACTAGTCGCCCCTGGCAAGAGCTTCATAAAGCTGGCTATACCACCTACTGGGGTATCACAGGTTCTGGGTCACCGTCTGTCCGGTCTACAACAGAGCACTAAGTCATTCCAGGGCATCGCGCGAAGAACTCCCTATGGCTTCACCCCCTCGTGGCGATTTGGCGCCGATAACCCCCTTCATTTCAAAAAGAGAGTTGAGAACGCGCTCTCTACGATACAAGAGGAGCTGAGTGAGCCCTTGTTGCTAGACAGCCTTGAACTTGACAAAACAACGTTCTCAAAGATTTGGTCCGTGTTCCAAAAGCACATCTTATCCCTGGACAAAGCCACGAGCAAAGAGCGCAAGGAGGAATGGGATGCGTTGCAGAACATTCAGGGCGGGAATCGTGCCCTTTTGGATCGCTTGAAGTATGCCTTCTATGGGCATATGGTCGGTTCCAAATTCACCAAAGCGGAGCTATCAAACCAGAAACAGCTGGCAGATCTAAGGTTCCCCCCGGAATGGTTTCCGACTACTAGACAGATGCGGCGCACAATCCATCTCCATGTCGGGCCAACAAACTCTGGTAAAACGTACCACGCCTTACAACGACTTGAACAGGCTACCTCCGGCGTTTACGCAGGACCTCTACGGCTGTTAGCTCACGAGATATACACACGCCTAAATGCCAAGGGCAAAACTTGCGGCCTGGTCACCGGAGAAGAAAGAAGAATACCGGAGACAACAGGCGAGCGAGTGAAGATGTGGAGTTGCACTGTGGAAATGGCGCCCCTGAATATACAGATGGATGTCGCCGTGATAGACGAGATTCAGATGATTAATAGCCCGGAACGTGGTTGGGCATGGACACAGGCTTACCTAGGCGTTCAAGCAAAAGAAGTCCATCTATGCGGCGAAGAACGGACAGTGCCCTTGATCAAAGAACTGGCCGCTTCCATTGGGGACAGACTCGTCATCCACGAGTATAAACGTCTAAGTCCGCTAGAAATGATGCATAGGAGTCTAAACGGAGATCTGAAAAAGCTCGAGAAAGGAGACTGTGTCGTCTCTTTCAGCGTCATGGGCATTCACGCTCTGCGAAAACAGATCGAAAAGCAAACGGGGAGGAAAGTGGCCATCATCTACGGCAGTCTACCTCCAGAGACAAGAGCCCAGCAGGCGAAGCTCTTCAATGACCCTGATAATGACTATGATTACCTGGTTGCCAGTGATGCTGTTGGAATGGGCTTGAATTTGTGAGTAAGCAAGCATTTCAATGCGAATGTGTCTAATGTGTTTTAGGAGTATCAAACGAGTCATTTTTGAAGCTGCTTCTAAGCACAACGGGGTTAGTCACGTTCCTCTGAAGATTGCGGAGGTCAAGCAGATCGGCGGTCGAGCTGGCCGATATCGAACTGCACACCAAGCTACTGTAGAAGACACGGCCTCACTTCAGAAGCCGGATGGCTCTGCCACAAATGTCGATTCGAACGATGCGTCCGCTCTAAGCGTGATTGAAGGCCGAAAAGAGACTCCGCAAAGCCAACAAACCGTCGGCTATGTAACAACTCTAGAAGCGTTTGACCATCGAGCTGTGGAGTACGCGATGAACGCTGAAGCCGAACCCATTACTACTGCGGGAATCTTTCCACCCGCCCTCATAATCGAGCGTTTCGCAAGTTACTTCCCTCCTGGAACCCCATTCAGCTACGTCCTTCTTCGCCTCAACGAAATCTCACGCATCCACCCACGATACCAACTCTGCGCTCTGAAAGACGCGCTCCGTATCGCAGACGCTATCCAGCCAGTCAAAACTCTCACTATCGCAGACCGTATTATCTTAATCGCTGCACCGTGTGGTATGCGCGACCCGCTCCAGCGTGAGATGATCCTCGAATTTGCGAAACGCATTGGCGAACAAAGAACAGCGCCGCTCCTCGATATCACACAGTTCAACTTTGATCTGCTGGACCAAGAGCCAACTGGCAAGCGAGAGTACCTTGCTGCTCTCGAGAGCTTCCACAAGGGGCTTGTGTTGTATCTCTGGTTATCGTTCAGGTTTACCGGGGTGTTTACGCAAAGGGCTTTGGCAGAAAAGACAAAGAGCTTGGTTGAGAAGGCAATTGAGCATACGCTCTCGGAGTTCAGCTTCACGGAAGAGAGGCGTAATGCAATTACTAGCAAACGACAGGAACAACTGCTCCGGCAGTTGAAGATCCAGTACCAAGGAACTGGCCGAGGCGAGGGCAAGGAAGCTCAGGAGGAGGATGTTCAAGAGGAGCAACATTCCGAAGAGGATGCTCTAAAGGAGGGTACTGAATCCCAAGAGGAGCCAGATCTCCAAGAAGATGCTGTGCAGCAAAACTCCTTACAGGAGGGTACTTTACAGGAGAGCGCTGTGCAGGAGAATGCTGTGCAGGAGAATGCTGAAAATCAGCCTGAGCCAGAACAAGACGTTGACAACGAACCGCCAGATGTCAGGGACATCATCACAGACGAGACGTCCTTCAGGGAGGACACATCCAGCACTAGAGACGACTATGGAGAATACCCATCTCCGGAGCTTGAGTCGATCAAGCAACATCCACATCCCCACGCGAGTTAGGCGCCGTAGTGCCATTTCGAAACAGTCGCATTTCTCTTCGCATCTGCATGACAATTACCTGTACAATAAAACATTCTTGGGGTGGGGAATATCGGTGCATTGGCGGTGCTTTGGGTACACGGCTTGCACACTATCCATCACGGAAACGATGGTCGTAGAAGGTATATGTAGGTGTAGATGTATATCAGTATGTTGTATGCGGGTAAGAGTCACCAACCTATCACTCATAACGAAGAGCCCTCAATGCCATGTCATAATCATCTTACACTTTCTGATATATTATTGAAGTATCCTCCCTCAGGACCGATTCCACACCCTCCCCACCACCACTCCCTCAAAACACGGCATCCGCAACGTCATACAACTCCTCACAGCCCCTGTTCATAAACATCCGCCCGCCCGTCCCCGTCGGACGACCCACTTCCTATATAGAGGCCGGCCAAAGTGAGTGACAAGAGAAGGTTAGCATACACGCCTTGGTGATTATCCTCTAAGTCACCGCGGATAGCCAACGGGTCTTCTTCTACTGGTCGCCCTTTGATCCTGAGACGGATGATGCGTACCATGCCCGGCGTTAGGGCTTGCGTGATGGTGCGTATTGCTGTGTCCGGTTCGAGTGCGCAGATGAACTCAATTGCATGACGACTGACCGGAGAGCGCATGCTCTTGGGAGGTGAGTCTAGGATGCAGCCCCCAAACCAAATTGTCAACATCAGTATGACGCTCTCGGTTGAATCTGGTGCGTGGTCGTCCAAGTGGTTGGCGAAGCCGTGAAGTTTGCCTCGAAGTGCTGCCTTGGTAATCGATGAGTCTAACCTTGGGGGGTGCGGGGTTTGCCAACGATCACTTCCAGATCGCTGGTAGATTCGTATTCGTTGTCCGACGAGACCGGTACGACCTCATAGTTGGTACTGCCAGTCGAGAACTTGGCCGCTGCAGCAGATCGTCCAGGTGCGAGCTCTCTCCGACGTGGCTTCAGCTCGCCGTCACTGGCAGATTCGTCGTCGTCGTCCGACGGGTCCGGTATGACCTCGTAGTCGGTATTACCGGTCGAGAACTTGACCGCTGCAGATGAGGATTCGACCGCTACAGTGGGGACGAAATGCCGGTTGATTTTGCGCTTTGGGGTAGGATTAGTGCCAACGGTATTCGCCAGTTTTCTCAGTAGATGGTTTACGCGGGGCTGGACACTGTGAGAACTGGTCGCTCCAGCATCCGTCGAGTTCTATTCCGTGGAGGGCAAGTATCTCGGAAATAAAGAGTTAATAATGCAAGAAATCCAAACCATTACAGGAATTAACAGCAAAGCTCTTAGAGGGAGCCCCCTTTCTCATTTCAGCATTGACGAGCGGATATTATAGGCTGCAAGTCGCGAAACGACACGCGAAGAAGACGCGGCATACTCCCTACTGGGGATATTCGACGTTTATATGCCGCCTATATATGGAGAAGGCCACAACGCGTTTAATCGGCTGCGGAAAGAAACTAAAAAGTCTCTACGAAAAGACCAACCCAGAGTCCATGCCAATGGAGCCTATTGTAATAAGTGTAAGTTTCTGGAGGCTCTCCTACATGTAAATTAAACCGTGCTAACAGGTGCAAGTGGCTAGTATAGATATCTTACCAATAATCTATAGATATCTTACCAATAATCTATAGATATTGCTATAAATGTAAAAAGTTATAGTAGTTTTTAAGCCGCCTAACCTTGCTAACACGCTTAGGCGGCGAATATTGCTACTATTAATAAAGCTAGTAGGCATTAGTCGAGATCACTTCGTAAGAAATTGCACAAGGTCGACAACTCCTGCTATAACCTCTTAGAACGCCGCCGACAAACTATTATCAATACGCCAGAAACGATTAGCATCCGAATATGCTACTGCTGTCACGATAGTGCTACACGCGGAGATTAAGAGCTCAAAGAGGAGCGTTAATTAAGCTATGTACAGTACTAGGTAAAGGGTAAAGACCATGTGAAAGGAACAGGAGCTCGCGAATTTATGGGTGTTGGATCGTGCGTATGGCGCGGGATCCGTGCGGTATCAGGTGACGAGAAAAAGGGGGTGCTGGTTACGTTATGGGTTAGGTGTCACGGGTGATTACCGTGACAATACGCGATAACAGAGCGTATTGGGAGGGATATTACTATGTTCTGATAGAGCAGCATATATTCTAGGTATATCTAGAGGGAGACCTTGCGCCAGTACCTGGCTGGCTCGGTCAATATTGTGGTGATGGAGGCACGAATAGGAGAGGCACGATAGACAGGTGGCAATAATAAACGGCTGCCAAAATAGCCAGCTCGTAATTATTTATGGATGTTTCGAAAAGAGCGCCGCATTTTAAGCATAGCGTAAAATATAGTACAGTATCTAATACCTCCCTACGTAAGCGCGCCAAACCCTTATGCCAAGACACACTACGGACCCCTTCGCACGGATAAGTCCGGAATATATGCTTCTAAGGGCCTATTGCCTTAAAGCTTAGAGGTGTCTTCTTTTATCCTGAAACTATCGGTTTAATGCTCCGAAATATAAAATTTGGGAGATAGTTGTGGTGCAGCAGGGAATAATCGACAGTATAATCAAGAACGTCGTAATTTTTTAGCCGCACACTAGTTTCCTAGGGAGAAATGTCTAAAGAATAATCATAGGCTAATTATAACATGATGGAATCGCGAGGGAGAAAGTGGGATGCCTAAGTAATAGATTCATTGCGGCACAGGGGGGGACGTTAGTATTCTTCCTCCTTTGTTGGGTGGTGATCCTTGTTGCTGTGCCTTATCGTATGGTGCTTGGGGAAACCTAGGAGGAGAATTGAAGTTCTGAAGGTATGTTGTATTATAGCTTTGGTAGTGCTCGAGCCCCTCATTATTGACAACTTCAGGGCCGTGCGAGGCATGCCGGGGATCTGTCATCGCGATAGGAAAATGTGCTGAGGAAGTGGAGAAGGCAGGGAATACAAGGCCTCCAATATTTCCTATCTACCCCACAAATTTGGCTGTAGTATAGTGGCTGTGTAAACACAAGCGAGAGCATGAGGCAGCGGCTGGAGCCTTGAGTGATAGTGGTGTTTCTCTTCTCGAAGCGAGGAACAGTACCGTTTTGACGTGGAATTAAACAGACAGGAAAGACTGATAGAGAAGTGGAGTCGATCCGTTTAGAAAACAGTGAGATGTCTTTTTCATTTCGTAGAGAATGCCACAATTGCTGGTGACCATGATCTCTGCGAGGACATATGAGCTTATGGGAAAAGATGCGCTACTTAGGTATTTGAATGGTGGTGCATGGTGGCGCAAGTTGGTCAACCAAACAGCCTCGTCCATTTTCAGCCTTGCAAAGTTAGCCCTCAACCTATTCAATCCTTGTCCTTTGAATGCCTAGCCTAGCCTAGCTTTCCTTTGGCAAGCAAGAAGACTATGCGTTTGCTTGGGTTGAGCGGCGTATCTTTAAGGCGTGCCATTCTCGACTGAGTATAGTATACCTATATGTTGCTGCCTGAGATGCCCCAGCGAGTTTACTAGCTGCTCAAGATGACGGATTTTACCTCGCGTGGAGCTATGAAAGTACCATGAGGCAAGGCAAAACGAGGCATTGTACTTCTCTTTTGGCCTAAAAGCGAATTAGGGCTATCACAAACTACTCTCGCTCTTCTTCAACTTCTGCCAAACTTCCCAGTGCCTCTCCAAGTTCACTCTCATCAGCGCCGGCTCTTGACAAGCATAATGACCCTGCAGCATCTTCCGCGTCGCCACGTCTTCGTCGACCAGCCCTGCCGTAGCCCTCCTAGATCGTGGCATAATCATGTGCGGTGTAAACTCCTCCACGTGTTTCCTATCTTCCTCACTCGGCGGTGCGATCAACTCCGTGCAGTCTGAGAAGCCAGCCGGCTTGAACTCTTCGACATAGTGCGCTTGACGCGCTGCCAGCGAAAGGCCGTTCCCGAACTCTGGCTCCCAAGAGTCCCAAGCCTCTTGAAGGAGATTGTCAAAAGAGACAGCTAACTTGATTTCGACCCGCGGGTGCTGCTGGCATAGCTGGTGGATGAGAGGATTCACGTCCCGTATTTCCAAGGGACCTTCCCATATTTTCTGAATCCGAAGCTCTAGTTTTTCAAGTCGGGGAATGTGGAGTAGGCATGCAAGCTTTGCACGCCTCTCATCTGCCACGCTTTCTTGTTCGTAAGATTGATCAGAGTCAGATGTGACGCAGTTGGATGATGAATCTTCTATTATCTCGACGCTCAGTTGGCGGAGGAAGGCGGATGGCATCACGCCGCTACCCCATCGGCAGAAGCTTAGCGTTTGGTTGAGGGGGGATGATGATGCGATAGCGAAAGCATTGAGGCCATAGAATGAGTCTGCCATCTCGGAGGCGAGGAGAGGTCCCACCCAGCGGGACGACAGGTGATGTTCGGGGTCAATGTTCGGGTCAAGAGCGGTCAGATGAGAGTAAGCAAGGTTGATAGGTTGGGAGTCGGAATACGTGAAGAGGTAGGAGTAAATTTGGTCGCGGAGTTCACGAGGAAAGCGGAGAAAAATATGGATAACCGTGTCGAGAGTGCGTTGTTGGAGTTCCATGTGGGAAATCTTCTGTGGCTGAGACATCTTCGATAGATCAGGAGGTCTGGAGAAGCTGATATGTTTGTCGTTGTCGAGCTTGATGCCCGGAACGTGTCAATTCCTTGTCCTCGTTAAAGAGGAGAATACTGATTGAATGTGTGACAAGAAGGAAAATGACACAAAAGAGGACCGTATGAAATAGAGACGAAGCATAGAGTGAGATGTTGGTGCCTGAGACGCGCGGTCGTTGCACGTCAGGCCTTGGCGGGATGCCCTGCACCTGCTATCACATAGAGCTGACAATATGCAGATGGCGATGAGAAAAGGAACTGTAGGGGCGAGTAACGCGTTCGTCTTATCGTCACGTGATTATTTCTGCGAATTCAAACGACATAATGCCTCGTCATAGATATCCGTACATCCACTTGCCGCTGCGTGAGGAACCTCATAGAATTTCCAGCATTCCCAAAGAGAATAAAGTTTGGCATTTTAGACAACTAGTAACTCGCGATGCTACCCCAGACAACGTCAGCAGGGTGTACGGAGATTGAAAGTAGCATGAAAGTGTACGGATATCTATGGCAAGGCGCTGTATCGTGGAGAACCAAAGGCGAAACAAGGGCTACTACAATCCCTTTCCCGAGAGCCGATCTCATATGAAAGGAGATAAAAATATTTGGTTTTACAAATGGACTGATTCAGCAGCTCGAAACGCCAACCTCGGAGCTTCTCACTCATCACCAATTTCCCCACATTCGATACGACGGTCGTACCGGCACCTCCCACGCCAGCCCACGAGCCGAGAATGAATAACAGCTGCTTTTACCGCTGCAGAAGCTTTGTCTTTGACACAAGTTGGGGTTAAAATCTCTAATAGAATATGGCTAAAACCACTTCAACACTGACACCGCAACCTTTCAAGAACGAGCCAGCAACACATGCTACAGCGCCCTCTAGTGCGACTGATGGCTTCTTCCAAACACCTCCGAGGCTAGAGAACCCATTCCTCGAGGATGAGGCATACAAGCGGCTCTTCTCTTGTCTGTGTACTTCATTCCAACTGTCAGAAATCAAGCTAATATCACCAAGTCTATCTCCCCAAGCCCCTCCAGACTTCCCTAAGTACGCCTATAGCCCGATTTGGTGCACTCACTCTTGCACCATCTACCCTCTCCCACGTGCACAATGCCGAGTCCAACCCCCCGCGTTTGGTGTCCCATACCCCGTTTGGCGAGCCATCCAACACCCTCATCACGAGCCCCGGATGGCAAGCTCTGCAGTCCCTCGGCCTATCCGAGGGCATAGTCGCCATAGCCTACGAGCATGAGCAGGGTGCATACTCCCGCCCGCATCAATACTTAAAGTACATCCTCTGGCAGCCCAGCTCCGCCGGGGTGACATGCCCAAGCGCTATGCAAGACGGGGCAGCGCGATTGCTCTCTCTACACCTTGCCAGCAAAGATGTTGAGAGGAGCGAGACTGAGCGACGAGTCTTCGAGCGCGCGTACAAGCATTTGACAGCCAGAGACGCGGAGGCATGGACGAGCGGGCAGTGGATGACTGAACGTCAAGGCGGGAGCGACGTACGGAATACGGAGACTTTAGCTACCTACGCGCCTACTTTCTCCCCTGAAGAAAGCACCGTAGACACCGACGGTCTGCCTCTAGGCCCCTGGAGCATCAGCGGCTTCAAATGGTTCTCCTCCGCCACAGAATCCAACATGACCATTCTGCTCGCCAAAACGCCCTCCGGAGCTCTCTCCGCCTTCTACGCCCCTACGCGCCGTCAAGCAAAAGCCGCCTCAACCAGAGAACACGCCCCGAAAACCGAACTCAACGGCATCACCATCCACGCCCTGAAATCCAAACTCGGCACCCGCCCCCTCCCCACCGCGGAACTCGAGCTCAACAACACCCGCGCCTACCTCCTCGGCGCGCCCGGCACCGGCATCAAAACCATCGCCACCATCCTCAACATCACGCGCGTGCACAACTCCATCAGCGCCCTCGGCCTCTGGGCGCGCGGCCTCGCCATCTCGCGCGGCTACGCCCGCGTGCGGCGCGTCGCCGGCACCCTCCTCGCCGCGACCCCGTCCCACGTCGCGGAGCTCGCGCACCAGCACACCGAGTTCCGCGGCCTGGCGCACCTCGGCTTCTTCTGCGTCGCGCTGCTGGGGATCGCCGAGGCCGCGGCGCCGGGCTACTGTCCCTCCCCTCCTCCTCCCGCGGACCCAGCGACCTCCGCAGCGGCGGCGGCGGAGCGGCTGGGCGTGGCGGTGGAGCAGGCACCGCTCCTGCTGCGCCTGCTCACGCCGGTCGCGAAGGCGCTGACGGCGCGCGCGGCGATTGCGGGGCTAGCCGAGGGCATGGAGAGTCTCGGGGGTGTGGGGTATTTGGAGAATGAGGACGTGGGGGTGAATGTGGCGCGGCTGTTTCGGGATGCGAATGTGTTGAGTATCTGGGAGGGGACGACGAATGTCATGGCGGAGGATTGCGTGAGGGTGCTGAAGGGGAGAGGGGGGGCGGGGGCGGTGGAGGCTGTGAGTGAGTGGGTGGGCGGGAGAGTGGAGTTGTGGGAGGGGAGGGGAGGGGAAAGCGTGGTACGGGTGTGGGAGGGGTTTAAGAAGATAGTGGAGGAGACGAGCGTGGAGGAGCTAAAGGTGAGCGGGAGGGAGGTTCTGGCGACGTTGGCGTGGGTTGTGGTTGCTGTTTTGCTCGGGGAGGATGCCAGGAGGGATGGGGATGCGGTTACGGGGGAGGTAGCGAGGAGGTGGATGGCTAGGAGGATTGGAGTAGAGAAGAAAGATTGGAGGGAGGCCGTAGAGTGGGATCGGAAGATCGTGTTTGGCGAGGAGAAGGTGGGAGATAGGGCGAGATTGTAACGCAGTCAAAGCCCCCTTGAAGTCCTACATATACCGTCTACAATGCTAGAAGGATCAATAGCGCATGCCTAATCCATATGAGCAATCGAGTCTTGATGAACGACGCGATGTTGTAATAATATAGCTTCCCCTTACCAAGCAGACGCAGTCCACGCGCAGTAAACCAGGATCCCAAAACAGTAATCTCTAATCAAAGCACTATAAAAGGTAGCATACAAGCATACGCAACTCTACCTATTTACAATTTCTCAAAGCATGTTAAAGCACCCATCACGGCAGCAGAAACTCGTACCTAGATCCATCTCTTTCACATTCATGAAAGTGAATCGAGACAGCCCCAAGCACCGGCAGAAGAGCGTACACACCTACTACTCCCCAGCATTATAAACGCACAATACAACGAAGCCGTATCATCTTAGGATGAAAGAGTGTTGACTGACAGAGTCACAGACCTAGCATATGTCCACCTTGTTACGCCAGCCTGAGGTAGCCCAGACCAGCACGTGTCTCAATCATCCAAACAAGAAAGCATATTAAGGCACTTCAGACGGCAGCAAGAGTCTTACATCACACATGGAAAGCGCCAAAAGGAACCAGAAATCAGAGCTCCGTCTGCCAAACCGGCAGCAGAAAAAATGTGTATTTGTTACAACAGGACCCATAGATCCATGCATAGGTATATCCAAAACACCGTAAGACATCCAGGCCCAGTAATGCAGACCCCGTCATCCAGCCCAGTCCTCACAGTAGTCCAGTGTGTACGAGTTGCGCCATCCCATGCACCGAATGCAATGCAGTACCCACGCTATGCAAAACAAGTACAAAAAAGGAGAGGGAAAAAAAACGTGTATCAGAGGAAAATGTGTGTAATTGACGAGAAAACGCCCTCTTGTTCCAAACAAGTAGTTACCGTTTCCAAAGTAGTCTATCAATAGCGCTTTATCGCGCGGGCATCAAGCCCAGAAATGGAAGAAAGTTATGACAGGGCCGCCGGGGCTAGGCATCTAGGCGCTTAGCCGCGTGAGAAAGAAAGAGATATGTTGTAGAGAGGGCCGGCAGGGGGGCAATTAGACGCGGCCACGGAACTTGGCGGAATTGCCGTGTTGACGCATGTGCGACACGACCTTGTCTTCGTCGGGCACGGCGCGCGCGGCGAGGGTTGCGGTGCTGAGGGGAGCGGTGACGGTGACCATTTCGGTGACGGTGACTGTCACGACGTCTTCGGCGCCATTGCCGCCGCCGCCGATGCTGGTAGTGCCGGCGCGGTTCGTGATGGTGGGAATAGGAAGCCCTGCAACAGGGCTGTTAGTCATGGTAACAAAGGTAGAGATACCCGATGCGTGTGGATGAGCGGGACGATTGGTGATCGTCGGAATGTTAGGCATGCCTGGAGCACTGCCAGAAGCAGGGCTCGAGGCGGAGGAGGGGGTGGGTTGAGTCTCACCTGTAGTAGTAGGAGCTGCGCCAGTGGGCTGGCCACCTGTAGGTTGAGCCGGACTTGTAGCACTAGGAGCCACGCCGGTGGGCTGAGCACCTGTAGGTTGAGCCGTTTGCTGGCCACCCTGCTTCTTGAAGATCGTTCCGAGCTCGCCATCGGTGGGATTCGTGCTCGATGGCAGTGCAGTGCGAGACTTGAAGTCGGACACGGCTATTGTCCACGAATCTTGCTGGGCCAGTGTGAAGGACGGCTTGACATTCGTGTCGACTTTATCAACGATATCGACATCCATGCAAGAAGTGTAATACTCGTCTTTGCCAAGTTCATCGTTGCCATCCTTGCCGGGAAGGGTAGGCCATTGCCAGACCCAGTAGAGGGTGAGCTGTTCGCCAGTCTTGGCATCCTTCGGGATCTGGAAATCGGTCTCGCAGAAAAGGGGGAGACCGGCATTGGGTGTCGTGGCCATGCGTTGTACAGCGATAGGAAAGGCACTTTTTTCGTAACAGCGGCCGTCATCAAAGGTCTGCGCCGTAAGAAGTCTACCGTTGCCATCCCCACCCTTGCCGTCGGCAGTCCACAGCATGACGTTGGCGAGAGTCTCGCCTGGTTTTGGGTTGGTGGTGGCAAAGACGTAGTTTGTACCAGCCTTGTTGGGCTTGCCTTGTAGCTGCAGAGGCTGCGAGATGTGGCCATTCTCGGAGTATCTCATGGCGACATAGTTGCCGGGTGCAGTCTTCAACTTGGGGAATTTGTCGGCCTGGCCAGGCTTCTGAGCATCCGGGTTACATATGTTCATTTGGTCGGTGATGAACAGCCCTGTTGCGACGCTGAGGGGCAGGCTATACTTTTGATGGTCCTGGACGGCGCCAGCATTCGCGGGAACGCCCTTATCCATGAAGTTGCGCATGTAGCCCCACTCGCCAACGTAACTTCCATTGTCGTTGATATTGACTAGCTGCTCGATCCAGGAATGCCCGGCGACGTGAGTGGTAAGTAGAGCGGCAACCGCGATGCGGCCGAAGAAGGCCAGCTTTCCGGAAGTGGGCTTCATCGTGCGTGTGCGAGCGGGGGCGGTGCTCGATTTGTGTTGTATCTTGACCGGCAAGAGGGTTTGGAGTGCGAAGGTGGAGGGAATCTTTGTTGCTGAAAGTTTGCTTGCGCGCCGAAAGATGTAGATGTGTGTGACAAGGTGAAGAAGAAAAGAAGCGAGGTGGGGTGCAGAAGAGAAGAGATATATAGTGAGTCGCAAAGAGCATTATACACGCACAATAGAAGGTCCGCGACGGGGATTGGAGTGTGACGTTCTCGTCAAAGCCATTGTGTAGGGCTGATCACGCGGCGCTTTGTCCTTCACAGAAAGACATGACGAGCATTCTCAACAGCACAGCTGTACAGGAATCATTGTGAGGCGTGTCCCGGGGCAAGTGAAGGCTTTTGTACAGAGACTGAGTCGGAACTGGAAACAAACCGCCGGGACGACTGATCGCCACTGGGACTGTCGCGCATGGAACGAGGCCACGGCAGCCAATCGAGGGACTGTGGACGAAAATATCGAAACGGAAACGCTCATACCGCATCTGAAAACAAGCTTCTATTCCGACTGCATAGCGTGCGATCAGTGTTTCAGGCCTGGCCGTCTCCGTAGCCGCCGCATGGCCAACCGCCTCACACCACCCATCATGAGGCTCTTTCGCTAGCGTCTGCAGCGCGCGACGCGTGGGGAGACGATGGCTCGTTCCAGGCATTCTTATTAAACTATATCCCTACTTACTATTGATAGCCCTACCCACTATCGATTGCTGATACTGTTCGCAGAGCCGTTGGCGTTTGGAAGAGTCAAACGCCATGAGCAGTCAGTTATCCCCTCGACGACTCAACGATCTCGCATCACGCTCTAACGATGAGTACTCCGTTCCAGTATCATGCTTCACCAGCACCGCGTTTGCAACAGTCACCGCAGCAGACTCTGATGAAAGACGGGCCTCCAGGATTCGCAGTGGAGAATGCCACTCGACGAGTTGACGCGTCAGGGTGGTTTCAATGGAGTTGACGGCATACGCAGGCCGCGATGCTCGTCTCAAAGACGTGCGGGAGAGGGTTTTCTGAGGTTGAACGACAGGTCGTCGCGGTCTGGCCTGGCGCTTAGCTCGAAGTTGAGGAGGTGTCGTCGACAAGTCTGGCATCGTTTCAGGACATATTGGCGAGAGCCGGTTGATTGGCTGAGCCTGCAACCTGGCCCGACCACGCTTTCCAGGAATACACTCTTATTCCTATCTATTCCCCTGGGGGAGAATAGGATTGTTCGCAGCAGGCCGCGCGCAGGCAATATTTGGGCGAGTATAGTTCTCTTGATGGCGAGTGGATCTGAGGCCCCTTCCTGATTGCCGCTGCAGGACCATAGGCAGGTATTGCTCAGACTCCGATGATTTGCCTTGCATTGTATGATCAGGAACATTGTGCAACTCCCAGAGGAAGAATGAGTCTGCTGGACATATTGTAGTTCACAGCTCATCATCATTCACAAAGCTATCGTCATCATATCTGCGTGCTAATAGTGTACGAAAGTATGCATTCATCTGAATCCGTTCTCAGGAAAGTCCTGACTCATTGAGATCCAGCCTATAGGCTGCGACATGTCGTGATCAGTCCATGTAAGAGGTATATCCGTGACTCCGAAGTCCCTTCGCGCCAACGCTATGCTTCAAGGAAATAACAGGATGCAAAGAATCCTACTCAAGTTAGAACCACGCCAGCGTCCATAACGCCGGGTAGTTCGGCCACCGCTCCTGCCACTCGCCAAGAATCTCCGGGACCTTTTCATCAAAACCCTCTCTCGACTTCCCACTGCCGTCCCAACCAGCAGCTCCATGGATTTCTCGCTCTTTCGCGGCCGCTTCGTTCAGCCTGAGTGCTAGATCTAGGATCGCCCCACCACCAACACTCGCCTCCTCGTGATTGTCCTTGATATCGATGTTGAAGACGTGGACCGGCCGATTCAGCCGTCCTCCTTTATTATGCAAGTCCTCCAGCACGGCATCGAAGCAGCGTTCCTCGCATGTAATAATCACGTCGACGACGCCGGCCTCTGTGCCATGAAAGCCCTGGTCGCCATTGTGATCTAGCCGCGGCTTTCCAGGGACCCAGTCTTGGAAGCGCTCAGGGTACGATTTGATGGTGAGATTTCGCGCCAGCATAGGTAGCAGGCCGTTGGCGGCGTAGAGTTGCGGGTTCTGGGCTTGCAGCTCGTTGTGGATGGCGTTGTAGGTGATGCCGTTGAAGGCGTAGACGTTGGGTTCTTTGATGGTAGGGCCAGGAAGGCGAACAAGAGACCCTGTACCAAAGGAGATGGTCGGGAGGTTTGCGCTCGCGAGTCGGAGATGGGCTTCCATGGATCTTTGGGATGATTAGCTGGTGTGCTATGAGGGGCTGGGACTGGAGACGAGGGCTGAGGTGGAGGCGAGAGAAAACGAGTCCGGCCTCATCTTTAGAGTTGCAACACGTATGTGATAAATCATGGCAAAGCAGGCGTTTTCTAATAGGTTTGAAGGTGACGCTGTTTCTATGGAGTCGCGATTGTTGCTAAACGTACCTGTTTTGATTGCTAGCACATACCGTGCAGAATCGCAGCTTGAAGCCCTCATCCGCCACGGCGCCCGTCGATGGCTTCGTGTTGTTTGAGCCGACCAGTTCCATTTTCGTCGAGTCTGGATGCGCTTCGATGGGTGGCGGAGGAGGTATCAGAGCGACTCGACGTCGAGGGTCGACCGACATCGTGGCCAAAATACCGAGGAAGGTGCGAATGCACGGCGAGTCCCAGAGGCCGGAAGCAAAACCCCTCCGTCAGGCTGGAATGAATACAGAGATCTCTATAGCTGCTTGGCACGGGTTCGTCAGTCCAGTGTCTATGCCATGTATCCGGTAAGGCTAGCATCGTGCAAGGTCAGGGAATCAGATTTTGCGTATATTAATTTCAAGGTTGTCTCGGCATTTCAAAAGATACGACAGCTCCAATAAGGTGTTCATCATGGTAGACCTCTGGCATGTACGCGTCCTCGAGCAGAGACTCGAGGGCAGGCTATCAACGTGGCTGACTTACTTGAGAGGGTATTACAGGCGGTAGGCAGGCTCAAGGCACTGTGCAAAGGTGGCAATGACTGAGGCCGGGTACTATGTAGAATGAACTGTAGATATTGATGGAGGGGATGTTGCGGGAGGTCGGTGTGGAGTTGAGATTTCGTGCCCAAGCGTGCCAAGCTTTCCCGCGAACGACGCTAGGCCGGGAGTCGGAGGCCGGCCGATCACGGGACAGCAATCTCGGGATGCCGTCAACTGGAATGTCCCCCGAAGCCGATACGTAAAGGTGGGGGAGGGGCGGTCGCGGGCGGAGATGCTGCTTGTTCCTGAAGTCAATAGGCATCGTGGTGCTATCCACTGTGCGCGGCATGGGCGTGCGAGATCTGCTTCAAGTCCCAGAAATGCTCCCGCCAGGCCAGTCAGGCTCCGCGCCGGCTTCAGTTGCTAGACCCTGCGGCCCCTGTCGCCGTGGATCTGGCGGGTGGGCTCGCTGGAGAACGAAGGTTCTTGGACATGGGATGGATGCCGGGGGGAGCGTGGAGTTGCCGGTATCATCGTGACAATGCTCCGTCCCCGTGTTCTTCTTTCCCATTTATCCAGCCGACAGCATCGCCAGTCAGTGATTTCTTTGTCGATTCCAAAGGCCCGCGGTCTGGTGGTTGCCGAAGCGCGGGGCGTGCCCAGGTGTTTCAAGTCGGCCCCAGCACGGCCCTCCAACAGCGGATCTGTAAGATGCAGACGGCCAACGACGTGTCGCAGTCAGGCCCTCCCCAACGCTGTCCAGCCGGCTCCCTCTCCAGCCCGTCCAAGCTGGTGATAATTGCGTGCGCGGGCCGCTCCCTGAGCACACGGGCTTGCTCAGCATCCCTATGCCTTCACCGACTCGCACGTTGGGACGGAGGAATGCAAATGCAGATGCGAACTGCCCGCAGTCTGCTACCTCCGCGAACAAGCCCACCTGAAACGCCAATCGCCCTCTAGCTCGCCAGTTTATTATTAGAAGAACGTCGTGCAACCACCACACGCCGTCCGCGACCAACATCGCTCCCATCACCGCTCCAACATCCAACATCCTCCTCCGTCTGCCCTTCACGACGACACGGCCTGCTCCTCTTCGCCTCAGCTGCCTCTGGCACCCCTTCAGCCGCCCAACAGCCTGCCCCACGGCGACTGGGCAACTTTAAGCGCCCAGCCATTCCCACCCCCGGCCAGCGCTTCGGGACGGCGTTTTCCCAGCGAATATCCTCATTTCAGACGCCTGGCTGTGCGCGCCGCCGTTCGTTGCTTGTGCCGGCCTGCCTGTCTTCCAGAACCTCTGGCGCTGCTCTTCTATCGATTGGCGATCACCGTGCCCTATCCCCTCCTCCGCTTTGCGCCGCGGAGCCTCATCTCACCCACGCCCAACAGACCCAGCCGCCCGTCAGGTACAAGCCTCGACGGGCTGTGCTGTGATTCGAATACTTCAGCCCGGAAGCTGCAGCCTTTGCGCGCGGCCCGCTGCTCGACACCCTCCACCTGTCCATGACAAGCGCCCCGAGCCGTTTGCGCCTTTCCCTTCTCCCAAGTGCCCACTGCAACCTCAGGCGCGCCCCGAGCTGCATAGCATTGCTCTTCTCGCCATCTCCCGCTGCATAATCAATACACCTGGACGTCCATTGTTGCGAACCGCACCACTTCGCGACCCGAAACCGCATGTCCGACCCACCAAACTTCACATATACCCTCTCGGACGGACAAACAGCATTTGAGGAGTCGGAGCGCAGTCAGGAAGGGGAACACGTCCGCGGACGGCAAGGCCATACAAACATGGCTGCCGTCCTGTCGCCTCACAGCTCAACCTCACCTCCACCTACCTCCTCTCCCACTCCGGCGTTGCCTCCATTAATAACTTCGCCACCCTCCAAGCAGCGTGCTCCCTCGTATGCGAACAAGAGACTGTCGACCTTCTCAAACGCCTCGGCCGCACAATCTGTCCGCTCCAGCAGACCACAGTCGACGGTGTTTCCACTCTTCCATTCGAGCTTGCCATACTCCCTAGTGCGCGACTATGCATACGGCCCCTTACATCCACTATTCTACGGCCCGCTACCTGAGCAACCCTCAGACATATCCACGCCGGCGAGTGAAGTTAGTCGGAGGCTGTCAGATCCACCGCCGGTATGGGACGGAACCCGGGGGAGTTGGTCAGCAGGATCGTGGGAGCCTGGAGAACAACTGCCGCAGACTTCGTATGCGGACGGACCTCCATGGAGCGAGGACGAGGACATCCATAGCCCGGTCGTAACTAGCGCGCGTCACAAGAAGCACAAGTCGAACATAGTGGACTTCGACCAGACCCGTGGCCGGAGAGGCTTCGACCCTGGACCGCGAGGATCCTACTCGGGTACGAACCGTGACGGCAGTCAGATATACTATGTTAGCGAGCTTGACGAATCAGCTAATGGACCCGGCGGCGAATATATCACATATCCTCCGACCAACCAGGAGCAGCCCGCGCCATCGCTTACAGTACCTACTTCGGACTCGCGGCGCGATTCTCATTTTGCAGCATTGCTTCCTCGGCGTACGTATGCCGACGCAGAGTTGGAAGAAGCTCCCGGCTATGCCTCGGATGAAGAGATGTCTGAGACCTCCTCACCCGAGGAGTTTTCGCAGGACGAGAGCCGCTTCTCTCGCGACTACCAGTTCACGATTGCGTCGCCAGAGGAGGAAATGCATGGCAAAGCTGTTGCCTTGTTTGACTTCGCGCGCGAGAACGACAATGAACTTCCGCTCGTCGAGGGCCAAGTCATACTCGTATCTTACCGACATGGGCAAGGGTGGCTCGTCGCCCAGGATCCAAAGACAGGCGATACGGGTCTCGTGCCCGAAGAGTACGTACGCCTACTCCGAGACATCGAAGGCGGGTGGAGCGGTCTCATGAATGGTGACGGCGCATCGACCAACGACATCATGAGCCCTGTATCTGCTGGTCCAGAGGCCAAGACCCCTACACAGGCTGATCACCGGCGAGACTTGAGCGGCCACAACGCCATGGGCGAAAAGTACACCCCCGTCATTTCGACTTTCTCGACTAGTTCGAAGGACCTCCACCGTTATCCGCGGGACTTGCTCGGCACCCCAACGAATGCGGAGGGCAGCCCTTTTGCTAGACGCGCGAGCACTAGTGAAGAGATTAAGGGCGTCAAAAAGCCGGACTCGGGGCCCATGGAGGGCTTAGAGGAGACACCAGAGCCCGTAGAGTCGAGAAAAGATGAGGCCCGGTGACAAATTTTCGTTCAATCCTATTACGACGCCACGTTTGGACTTAGATGTTTCAAACCTGTCGCTGCATAACGACATGACCGCATTTCTGGCGTTTTCGAGTTCGTGTGAAAAACACCAACGAGAACCTCCCATCATTATGAAGTGTACCACACTGGCCTCTGCGAACCATACGATCGGGAAAGGCATCGCGCCTGTGGTCATCCTGATCCTAGTGGCTATCATCTTCTCTGGTTGTGTCCATTGGGACCGCATTGTGGTGGCCATTTGGGGCTTTTTCGCCCGGCTACGGGCCATTGTGGCCTTTCTGTTCTGAAGCTTCTCGCTCTACTGGCCGGCCGGTGATGGCTGTCTGAGCTCTCTCTTCAACACATTCGCTTCACACACCATGTTTTAACCCTGTTTTCAAAGTCTCCTCTTCTCGCACTTCTTACTAACTCCCTAATAAGAGAGTTCGAAGCGCATACATCCCGTTTCTTCACTTCTTGCATCTCGCTGCCATAAAGACCTCCACTTTCGACTGCCCTGTTTTATGTGAAGCCAGATCTTCACTTTTTGTTCTTGCTTTCTTGAATGCTGTTTTAGCGATGGAGGGGCAGTCATGTTATGCCGGATCACGAATCTCTGTTGCTGTTTGTCTGTCCGACGCAGAGGTAGTTTCACGCACGCTACGCGGGACGATGATGGGAGAGATGATCTTGGATCGATGGATCGATAACCTTGGGCTGCATTTTGCGGGGAGTGGTCTGCGCTGCCTTACGTACTTGTGGCATAGGGATGTTGACATCGTAGTGTGTATTTATGGTAAACTGAGCGCCTGTGCTAAGCAGGCTTGCTCGAAAAAAGAAACAAGTTCATGTCTCCATTTCGTCATAGCTTCTGCTGTCCTCATCACCTCAAATTAGCCCAACACGACACGTGATCAATGCAAATGAGATACAAACCTCACTTTCGTCATCTCCTCTAGCACCTCCACCAACTCTAACGTCTTCCACTACTCCCTTCTCACGCACAACACACTCACAAACTCACACTTACACCAGCCCATTGCACAAGATGGACGACATCTCACCGCCATCCCGCCGCACCCAACAAGCCGACTCAGAAGCGCCTCTCCCCCTCAAGCGCGCCCCAAACTTCGCATCCTGCGACCCCAAAGAGGCCCCAGTAAGCCCACCCCACCCCTCCCCTCCCATCACTCCCTCACTAACCCCCTTCCTCCCCCCCTTTCAGAACCCCCTCATCGCCTACCTCTCCCTCGCCGCCCGCGCCTTCGTCGGCAGCCCCGGCCTCACCCCGACGGGCCCCACCCGCTTCCGCTACCACAACCCTCTCAACAACCGCTGGCGTACGACCATCGATGCCGGCCCCCACCAAGTGGTCCCCCCCCCCCCCCCCTGCAGCAGCTTCTTCCGCGCGCAGCTGGGCGTGGCCCTGCCGCACAGCGTCGTGGAGATGGCCGTGCGCACGGCGGTGCGCAATGGACCGGCCTTGCTGTTATACCACACGATGGGGTTCCGGGAGTGGATGGGCGGGAGGGGGTGGAGGAGGCGGCGTTGTGGGAAAGGGAGGGGTGGGAGCCGGATGGTGTGAGGGAGGGGTGGCGCTGGAGGATTGAGGGGCAGGGGCGGCGGCGGGGGATTGGGACCAGGAGATGAGGGAGAAGACGGGGGCGATTGTAGGGATGTTGGCGGAGAGGCATCCGGATGGGGGGCCGGGGGTGGATGCGGATTGGGTGGGGAAGGTGAGGAAGGCGTATCGGATGCTGGTGCTGGAGGAGGAGTAGGGGGGGCGTTGATGGTGTCCTTTTGGTGGCCTTGAGCGCGTGGTGGGAGGTGGGGTTGGATGTTGGTTTTGACACGTTGCGATTCGGAAGTGTTTGGGTCGCTGGCTACATGCTCATTTGCAACGGCCAGGAGTCTCGCAACGAAGTTCTCGAGAAATGACGAGCAGAGTTGAGTAGCACAGTGTTGAAAAGAAAGTCACTAATTTGCAAGATAGAGTTCTACCGTATAATCACACCATCCATCTAAGCTCCACATCTACAGTACCAAGACGTAACTTTTGGTACCTCTTGCAACTGCTTGGGATACTCCGAGAAGTTTTCAAAACTCCTAATACGATGTAATGGCCAACATAGTGGAACTTAGACTACCTTTAGACGAAAATGATACTTGCTAGGTAGAGTATTCCTTACAGTGGTGTCAAGCGAGCAAGAGTGGAGCCAGAGCAGCGGTATATTCGTGTGCCCAAACTTATAACCTAGTACTATACAGTGCCTAGCGATAAATATCCGTACAACTTCATGCCACTGTTTGTGGGCCTCGAGTATACTAATCGAAACCCAGGAGCAGCGGATACACTTCCAATCTTCGTACACCCTCCTGTTAACGCTGTCTGGGGTAGCCTCAGAAGTTTACAAATTGTTCAAAATGCCAGCTTCTCTCTTATTTGGAATGTTGAAAATACTATAAAGCTCCTCACACAGCGGTAAACCAGTGTACGGATATCTATGACCAGGCATTGTATCACAGCATATGTGGGAAAAATACTAATTTGGTAAGTTAGATTTCTACCCTAACTATAACCACATCATCCATCTACGCTCCACATCTAAAAGAAGAAAACAAAAAGATTCAAAGCCCATAGAAAATGTCAAGTCCGTTCCATCTCCAGTCGTTCAACCAGGTTCAGAGCTCTTCGTCAACCTCAGCGTTTCTATTCGGGACCGCAACTATGCTCCACGTCCCTACGCCGTCTGTCTGCATAATCTCCGACTGTATATTCGACGCAAGCTCCCCCCTCCGTCGCATTTCCACCTCGAGACGACTGAAGAACCTCCACAAGCTGCCGCAAGGCGTCCCTCTGCTTGTCTCGCTTCGTAGCCGTCAACCCTAAGCCCACGTCCGCCGGCTGACGCGGTGGCGCCGTTTCGACAGGGTTGCTAGAGGTATTGGTCTCTCCCATATACGATGCGTAGTCGCGAGTGTAACTCTCCCACTCGCCGGAACGCGGCGTCTCATCAACAACAGCCTCCTCTTGGACTGCCGGCTCAGCAGGGGGGCTGAAACGGCTCGGTTGAAGTCTCTGCTGATACGCCGCGTCGTAATCCTCCTCCCACTCACCGGAACGCGGTATCTCATCAGCAAAGACCTCCTCTTGGACTACCGGCTCAGCAGGTTGGTCGGAACCGCTCGCTACAAGACGCTGTTGATCCGCCACGTCAAGTCTCTGTCGATCCGCGTCAAGCCTCTGTTGAAATGCTGCGTTGGAAGCCTCCTCAGACCACTGCGCGTCCTGATCGGTCGCCCACTCCGGCATCTCCTCTTCATCGATGTCTCCCCCATCCGTAAACCACTCGGGGACCTCCTCTTCGTCTTCTCCATCCGCATCCCACTCTGGCCACTCCTCTTCATCGACGTCTCCTCCATCCATAAACCACTCGGGGACCTCCTCTTCGCCTTCTCCATCCGTACGGTACTCCGGCCTCTCGTCTTCAGGTGTCCCATACACAACCCACTCCGGCAACCCTACCTCCACTGCACCCCTCCCCTCCTCCCGCCCTCCCCTCTCTAGCACCCCCTCCACACTGTCCCCATACACATACGCGAACATCTCGGCCCAGAAATGGTCGTCGCTGCCCAGCGCCCGCGCGAACGCGCGCGGGTGCTCCTCCAGGTCAACGTCCGCGAACACCTTGCCGGCGTGCAGGAGGCCGGCGAGGTGCTTGAAGTGGTCGAAGTACTTAGCCGACACGCCCATGCGCTCGTGGAAGTTGTCGGGGGTCAGGCTCACGAGGAAGTAGAGGGAGTTGGGGGCGTATGCGGAGAGGGGCGGCTGCGTGGCGAGGAGGGTTTGGAGCATGGAGGAGAGGCCGGCGCGGAGGGTGGCGGCGGTGGTGGGTGTGTGGGGGGGCATGGCGGTGTCCGTGGCGGTGGTTGCGGCGGTGGTGTTGTTGTAGAGAAGTTGGGGCATTTTGACTGCTTGAGTGTTTGAGCGTGCTGGAGTGCTCGAGGGCTTGGTTTTTGGTTGTCGGGTGCTTGAGAGTGCTTGAGTGCTCGAGTGCTTGGTCGTTTGTTTGCTGGGAGCTTGAGAAAAAGTCCTTGGACGCTTGAGTTCTTCAGCGTTGCTTGAGTTCTCAGGCGTGCTGGAGTTCTTTGGCTGTTGGGTGCTTAAGAGTGCTTGAAAACTTGAGTGTTTGAGTGCTTGAGCGTTGCTTGAGTGCTTGCAGCGTGCTGGAGTACTCGAGCGGCTGGGTAAGTATGTGTGTAAGTGTGCGAGCAGGAAGTCTGAGCAGAGAGGAAACCATCATATTTGTTCTAGAGCAGTGCGCTCTGACGCGACATCAGAGCGCGTTCGGGTTTTTTTTGGTACCGAATGAGTCTCGTCGTTGAAAATTTTCTCCGATATCGACGAAGCTGTTCCATGGTTCGTCAGGTCCATCATTTTGATACACCGACAAAATTCGGAGAATTTGCTATTGCTTCGGTAAGAGTTGTATTGAACTTTAGGATGCGAAAATAGGCTGCAAAGAAGTGGTTGCAACTTGACGATACTCCAGATCGTATGGTATTTTGATGCAGGGATGCCTCGTCATGAGTGGCACTACGTCCATGGAAGAATTACTTATATGATATACTCACAGCCCTAGAGGGTGGCAATACAGCATTGATTTCAAATTGGAGCAAGGCACTTCGAGTATCTTCGGCATAGTGCAGTTTGAACAAACTTTGTGCCTCGCACTCATGATAAAACACTACTAAGCACTTTGGTATATTTCTCTAATTTGCATCCATCATAAGCACTCCAAGACCTAGAATCAATTCTAGACTATCTGTGTCAATTTTTTTTTTTCGAAATAGCAGGCTTCTCCTCCGCTGGCTGGACATGCTTGGAGGTTTCGGGAACTTGTGGCCACAAAAAGGGGCAAGAGTTACCAAGAACAGTGACAACCTGCCGTTGCTACGTTATATTAACAAGATTCTGCGCGTAGTCCTGAGTAAATCAAGATTATTTAAATCTTCGTCAGAGTCTTGTAATTGCCTTGTGTTCGTCGTAAAGTCTTCAAATTAGGCGTGAGCAGACAGGTCTCTGGCAGCCCTTTCGACCCTGCGGGAGTGCTTCGATCTGGTTTTTGATGTTCCAAAGCTCTCCTCGCGTAGCTCAATCTCGTTCCCTATCCCTAGACCTTCTATCCTAAGTCTCATGAGGCTTGTCGCTTAGCTGTCCCGAGTCCTGCCCTTGCTGCTATCCTTCTGCGTCACCACCTAGCAACCAGTGTCCCCAACAACACCGTCATCACATGCCAGCTGCCGATGGAACGCGCTTCCATGACCTTCCACCGCACTTGTTTGCCAAGGTGCTAGGCACCAGCCTGCCCACAACCCAAGTATAAATACTTGCCGGCCCCCGCTCCGTCCTCCTTCGCTCCAACAACAACAACCACAACAGAGAGAGACAGAGAGGGGGCTGGCTGGGCTTTGCAATGGATGATGGATTGTCTCTTGGTCATCACCACTAACGTCCACCAAGTCTTCGCCATCTCGCCGACCATTTCACCAATGTTTTGAACGTGCACCGCCTGGTGGCATGGGAGGATATGGGGTTTTGTAAGTCCCATCCACCACCTCCCTCCATCCTGCCTGTACTAACCTCCTTCTAGTCTGAGGCTCCGGCCTCCAGGTTTGTCAAATTCCTCCATTTGAGTAACTGCTGCGCCAGCGCGACACCATCCCTCCCCGGGCGAGCAGCCATTCCCGACCAAGTCGACATTTTGGGGTCTCAACACCCTAAGCCGCGCGCGGGCCAGCGCCTCGTGGAGTCTCTGTACCCAGCGGAACAATCGGAGGCGTGTAGATTGCTGCGATGATGGCACCGGGGTCGCTCCTCCTTGTCGAGTGGTGACTTCTTATCTTAAAAAGCCGTAAGACTCCGTCCCAGGCACCTAGTAAAAACCTTCGAGGGATAGGGGTTTTCGCCTTTGCTTTCCGGCACTGGACATTTCTCTGGAGGTCTTGGGATGACGGATTGGCTGCGGACCTGGATCGACTTTTTCCTACCTACACTCCTCTCGGCTTGAGATTGGCTTTTCGACCTTGTTATCTTTTTTTGTAAATTTTCCCCCTCCCTCTTCGGTGGTGTGGTCAGGGCAGCTCTCTCTCTCTCTCTCTCGGTCTAGTGGTTGTAGTTCTTGTATATAGCCAATGAAGATTCTTCATCATCGTTCCTCTCTTCTACCTGCTGTGACTTCTTCCTAAATCAACGTGACATCTTCTGTCTTCGCTTTTACTAAACATCCTCGACTCTCGAACCACGCCCTCGTTCCCGACTAACGTGCTTTTGCCTCTGCCAAACACTCTCAGCTACGTGTGCTTCCTCGAACCGCCCCCCTCTACCTCTATCTCTCAACTATCTGGAGCGCCACCTCGCCAACACTCCCACGCCTTTCAATCCACACCCGCGCGCGCCTCAATCATTCCGACTCTCCACCCTCTCTCCACCCTCTCTCACATCCATCAAACCCAACTCCAATCCCAACCACCCCATCCTTACAGCAGCTCAAACCCACGCCACCCACCCCCCTCACCCCCTCAAAACCCAGCCCATCCTCCTCTCCGCCCGCGACGCCCTCCCTCGCTCCCCTCCAACCCACTCCTCCAACCCTCCAGCCCCCTCCGCACCACTACCCGCTCACCCCCGCTACTATGCCCGCTACTATGCCCCTCGCCACCCCAGCGCGGCCTCCATCCACAGCTCGTGGCAGGAAGGCTGCGCCCTCCCCTCCCGGCTTCCGCCCTCGCCAACAACGCCCAACGACGCCAGCAGCGCCAGCAGCGCGCACCAGGCGCCTCGGTCCGCAACACACGACGCTAGCTCTCTACGACGCGCGAGAAAAACACACGCTCCGGCGTTCGGGGGCAGCTTGGCGTAGGCTGACGCGAGGAGACGAGATAGGGCTCTGTTCGCGAGCCCCGGGGGGGGGGGGGAGATGCCAGATGCAGGCGTAGAGACGGAGGCTGTGCGTTCGCGACATCGCAAGCGGCGGAGTGCGGCTCGTTGACGGGCGGAGGTCAAGTTGCGGTTCGTTCTCGGGGTGATGACGTGTGAGGGATTGAGAGGGGGCGGGCGGGCGAGCAGTAGGTCTGGAGTTTTGCTCGGGGAGGGGGAATGCGGGCTTTGGAAAGGTGCGGCTGGGGACCGTGGAGCGGCTGGCATAGGCGGCGGCGAGGGCAGGAGAAGATGGTGGAGTTTGGGATGCTAGAGGTGGGGGAGAAAGGGACAAGAAAGGGAGAGAAAAAGTGACCGAATACCCAGAGATGAGGGAGTGGGTTCTCAAGTGACTGTGGGCAGATGAGGAAGGATGGCAGATGAATGGCAGATAGACGATTAGGATAGAAAGATGATACGATGCCTCGTCATAAATATCCGCATACTCAATTAACGCTGCGTGAGGAGCTTCGTGGTATGGTCAGCATTCCGAAAGAGAGGAGTTTGGCGTTTTGGATGAGTATGATTCCTGAAGTCACCCCAGATGGCGTTAGCAGGGTGTACAGAGATTAGAAGTGTATCAGCTGCCCCCGGTTTCTATTAGTATGTTCAAGGCCCATAAACAGTGACAGGAACATATACGGATCTCTATAACGAGGCACCGTAATGGGTAGATTGAAGCCTTCAGTTCATTTTGAAAGGTGCACGATTGATTCAAATATGATAATGAGAGGGGTACTCTTACACATACACAGGTTTGAATTAGGTACACTAATCTCAAGGAGCGGACGACAGGCGGCCTGACGAAGACCGTACCCGGCGGCATTACCCCAGCCGGCACCATTTTTAATCAAAGATTGATAAAGGACGCCGAAAGAACCCACCCCCGGACCCGGCCCACTGATGCAGATGCGAAAAGGAAAAAAGACCACAAGGGGCAAACACACATCAGCACACTCACCATCGCCAACTTCAACGCTCACGTAAAACCGCCCCGCTCTCTTGTCGTCTTCTCTACACTCACTCCGGCTTCAAGATTACCTGCCTTTTTAGGGAATCAATAGAATAAACATGAACATGAATCCACCGCTTAAATCACCAATAGTCCCAACACCGCAACCACAACGGCCAACCCGCTTCCGCCCATCCCCAGCCTCGCCTCCTTAAAGCCCGTAGCGCCGCTCTTCCCACCCCCATTCCCGTTCCCGCCCTGGCTGAATCCGCCGTTTCCAGTCGCAGCCGCCGTCGCGGCCGCCGTCGCGGCTGCTGTGCCCTCCGCAGTGCCCGTCGGCGACTCGGCCGCCGCAGAGCTGCTGACGTTGTCGTTGCCGCGGTTTCCGCCGCCGCTCATGCCAGGGACGGTCTCCTGCGTCGGCTGCGGCGCGTCGCTGCTCTTCTTGCCAGAGACCTTGGCATTCGGATCGTACTTGGGGTTCTCGCCGGTGGCGTAGAAAGACGCGAGGATCATCTCGTCATCCGTGATCTGGACCGTGTTGTTGGTGCCAGCGGCGTCGGTGTAAATGTACGAGTTCTTGCCCTTAACCTGGGCCCCTGGCGGCGGGTCGTAGCAGTCGACGGAGACTTCCTCGACCATGGCGTAGTAGTAGCCGTTCTGCATGAAGGGGGAGCTCCAGGAGATCTCGCCGCCGGCCCAATCGACGGTGCCTTTGTCATTGGTGGGCAGACCGGCGGGCCAGAGGGACAGCATGACACGCGAGGGGGTTTGGGGGTAGTCGAAGCGGTTGGCGGTGGCGTTCCAGGTGTCGGAGCGGTTGACGGTGCGCAAGGGGGCGTCGTCGATGATCCAGGTGAGAGAGTCGGGCTTCCAGTCGACGCAATACTCGTGGACGTTTTCGTTGGTGTTGGAGACGGTTAAATTTAGCTCGTTGTGGTCTAGACGCAGTCAGCATTGCGATGAGAGAGGGAACAGGTATACAATCGTACAGTTGGTGACACCCTGAGAGTAGTAATTGGATTGGGCGTGCTGCAGATCTACACCAACGAATTCAAAGTCAATTTCGTCTCGCACGCCGGACATCATGATAAACGCTGTGACGACACCGGCGCCGCCGCTGGTGGTCATCTTGGCGCATATCTTGCCGTACCAGACGTAATGCGAGGATTCTAGGAGCGTGCCGACCGTATCCTCGGCCATGGTCAAGAGGATCGCATCGTTGTAGACCACAGGCTTTCCGGTCGCCACCCAGTTGATGCTGGAGGCATCGCCGAGGTATTTATCAATGGCCATAACATCGTCGAGGGATTTGAGCTTGTAGTCTGTGCTCTGGCATGTGGGACCGGGCACGCAGGAATCGAGGGAGTGGGAGAAGACAGGATCGCAGCCACCGAGGCAGTAGGCGCCAACGCCGCATTGTCCGTATACTGTGGGAAAAGTGTTAGCAGAGCAGGCAGAGGGGTTTCTGAAGCGGAGGTGTGACGTACGCGAACAGCAGGGCGAATCTGCTGGGCAATTGCTGCCAGGACCACACTTTTGGGCACTGACGAGTGGAGAAGAGAGAAGGGCTGCCAGGGCAGCGATGGCCAGGGACCGCATCATGGCGAGACGCGTTGGAGTTGCGGGCTAAAGATGCAGGAAGCCGTCCAGATATGGCCCACGGCCGTCAGTCCGAAGAGCAGCGGTGGTGATGGGCGCTTGTCCAGGTCTTAGATTGCTGAAACGTCGAGGTAAGGTTTGAGCGAATGGTGTTAGGGACTCAAGGGGTTGTTCCCGGCGGAGAGAGCGATGGCTGTATAGTTAGTAGGCGCAACGGAAAGCGAGTGTGGGGCGAAGTATTAACAATGCATGGGCAAACAAAGTGCAACGACAAGATGTACAAGAAGAGGTTGACGAAGAGGGGGCTGCCAGCGGAATGCACAGTATCCGGGGTGGCGGCGAGGAATGGACGCCGGTCAGGTGTTGGAGGTGGAGCCTTTCACCCAAACCCTTTGCGGCCGTCCAGGGGCACGCCATGGGGCCAGCCCTGGCATCTGCAGCTTATTACACGGCTTTGGCGGCTGCTCGAGCCGTCGTTCTGCAGGAAACTATCCTCTTGGGCTGTCTGCGCCGGGGCAGCGCGCAAATGAGACCCACTGACTGGCGCGCTAGAGCCGTGATGGCCTGAATATCTCGTATTAGCATTTCTCAGTTCCATCGTACACGAACCGCTTCCCGCCGTGTGCGAGCGAACACCACGGCTAGACCTGCATAGGGCAAAGCGCCACGCCGAAAGAACCCACGTCGCACCAAAATAGATTCAACCTCACCACCATCAGGGCCCTCTGAGGGGCGTATGCGCCAGGGACATCGTGGCCCATGGGGGCGGTAGCTCTCAACATGCTCAAAACGAACTTGCTCCTCTCGCAGAAGTCGTCCTGTTGCTCTTCAAAGTCCTCTGAGACGGGATGGTTCGAAGAATACGAGACCCGCCCGCGGTCCGAACGCCTCAGAAACAGCCCCCAGATCCCACCTGCCTTTTGCGCCAATAGTATCCGTCTCCGCGTCTTGAAAAGTTTCCATGACGCATACTCTGTCAGCAGCACGACTTGGGGTGCAGTGTCTACATAGCACATTGTTCTGCGAAACCGACTCACATTGCCTATCAACCAAGAACGTACGCAAAGAAATCAACTCTCCTGAAAAACTCTCCGATTCAGGTCTTCATCAATGCCCACCCCCCTTCTCAACTGCAACTCTAGACTACACGCGGCTATATCACCATCAGTCTCGAGGTACTACGAGCCTATACTTGTACGCCTATTGAACCCTTCTTCAGCCCTGTGTCTCGTTGCAGGTCACACTGCGGGACGTTGGCTGCAAGACATCTGACAGCTGTGATAGTCACGTGGGACCCTGGTAGCACTCTTGTACATATACATGTCGTATCACCTTTACAGCAGGTTGTCGTTCTGAAGTACTTACGTTACTCAGGGCATCAGACGTCTTCCATCCCACTACGTCAAGCATGACTGTTGTACCACCCCCACTCGCCACATCACCACATCACCCACCATCTTGACTTGCCAACGCGCTCTTTTCCTCTCTCATACTCACCACTAGGGGCGGGTCGCTGCTATAGACAGCGTTGAGATGCAGTGACCGTCGATTGAGATGCCAAGCTTAAAGGAGTCGCGTCTTATTCACAGCATCAAGCAACCCTCCCTTTACATCTCTAGGTTCAAATCATCGCCTCGGAACCTATTGGCTCCAGATATCTCCTAGATGAACAGTATACAGACCTTTTTAGGAACACACCGATGACTCTGACGAATTCTATTAGACCCGCGGAAATCGAGCCGGATCCCGCGTCGCAAACATGGAAAGCACACATGTCTGAACGTGTCGTTGCTACGTCGTCGTCCCCAACACCTGTAAGTAGACCCTATTAGCTTGATATAAGCGATCAGAGACGATTCTTGATTACCAATCATGAGCACCGATTTCCAACGACAGTGCTCTCACGCCTGGGTTTGTACAAGTCTAGAGCCCCTAATGCCTCGTCCTTCGCCTCCTACTTCGGAGATCCTATATCTTGTTTCATACTTTCTCTCTCCTTAGACAGCAGCTCGAGCTTATTAGTGGCCCTCGTACGTTTGCATGTCTCCAGAAAGCGGAGGAACCCCCTCTACCATCACTACTCGCTGGCATGTCGCAGTCCCCTATCGATCATTCGGTGTGACGCCTGCTGCTACGTACAATAGCATGATGCCAACATCACTACCTAGAATCTCCTTGGTTGAACCAGCCAACACAGAGTTCAGCCCCACCAAAATTCTGATATAAGACTTCCGCATAATTTTGGCCTGAACAATGCCAGAACCCATCCATCCAAGCAAGAACCCGCATCAATAAAGAGCCTCTCTCAACTGACAGCAAAAACGACAACTGAATAGTAGATCAATCATACGTCTCTTTCTTCTACTCTCCAACAGCTTTGTCTCCTTCAAACTTATCATTGCAGTCGGTCAAACAAATTTTTCTGATATCAATCCAACCTTTGTAGACCTCTGCGTCCCTCTACAGCATCTATCTCCATTCGTCGTATTGAATACTCTGCGCAGCTGCTCGACAACCACTGAAGCCAAACCAAAGCAACTGACTGCCACTGTCCAAACCACGAGCCATCTATTTTCCGTCCTCTCTACCTGAAAGCGATCCCGATGTGTCACTCTTACAACTTCATCTGGAACTGCGGCCACAGCCAGGTCAGGCACGGCCAGTACTGCAGCCGCATGTATCAGCAACTAACCCGCATCGACCGCCCACACGATCAGCGCGCCGTCCCGTTTCAAGATAACTGTCGAATACTACCGCATCGCATCAACGACGACTGCCACGCGTGTAAGATGAGAGCAACGGCGTACGGACGGCAGCGGGGGTGGAACTATCTTGGGCCGACTGCATCGCGGCGGTGATGTGATAGCATACTTCGTACGCGGTGATGGAGAGGATTGGAAAAGGAGAGGAGTTCGCATGGATAGTTCCCCTTTGCAATCTACAGCGTTACTAGCTTTTGTTAGCACACGAGCGAGACAGATTGCAGGAGAGGCATACGTCGTTCTGATTTTGTACACTACATTCGATACGGGGGAGAGCGAGAGGGAGGATGGAGCGCCTACGTCTCTTGCTCAAACGTCTTGCGATGATATCACGACTTGCTTCAACTGCACGGCTTCAATCTACGTTCTTTTGTACTTGTATTAAAAAAAAGCCCTACGCGGTCCATGCATACTGCGGTCCCCTTCTTCAACACACAACCTCTCGGTCACCCACTAACCTTCTACCGGAGTCCGCGGCATATTCCCTCACATACCCCAATTTGGTGCGTTACGCACACAGTTTGCCCACACACCCACTGAAATGCTCCCACTAACCTCCCGCCACGCGCCCACTGCCGTACTTCCCTACACCCATCAAACCCCAGGATCTAATCCACCCACGTGGCGGTGCTACCTATCAAGCCTCCCCGCCTCACGCCAGCTAAAGCGGAGAAAACAGCAAGGTGCGTGTTACGCCAGATCGCACTCACGACCTGCAAATTGGGAAGCAGGGTAGAAAGATGGATGGCAGACTCTGCCCGCAGAAAGTTTGCTAAGCCATCACACACGCACACTGAGGCGAGGCTGATGCTAGGTTCTTGAATGCACAGAGGAATGAAAGCAGGGAGCAAGCAGATAAACGTGATTGAAAGAGCTGGTATTGAACGCTTCTCAGCGAAAAAAAGAAAATATGCACCTAAGTCTACTCTGCAATCAAAATTCCGATAACTCGATCGCAAAAACACAATGTCAAAATCAAAGATATGCCTCCCACCCCTCCCACCTCCAGAAACTGAATACAAGGCGCACACTCGCCTTCCCTGCTTGCACTCTTCTCCAGCTCACCACCCCACCTACTCCCGCCGTCACTCCCGCCGAAACCGGCCCGCCAAATACTCCGCCTCCCGCTGCCACCCCGGCTTCTCCGCCTCTCTGCGCTCATGCTCCTCCCGCTCGCGCTCGCCGTCCCTCTGCTGCTGCTGCTGTTGCTGCTGCCGATGGCGCTCTTGCATCATCCTTTCCTCCATCTCCCTCTCGCTCTCGCGCCGCTCCGGCGCCGGCGCTAGCGGCTGCGCGTGCGACTGCGACTGAGAATGCGAGTGAGAATGTGCGTGACCGTACGGATTCCCAGGCCCGTGTTGCGGTTGCCTGTAGTGTGCTTGAGATTGCGCTTGGAGCTGCGCTTGTTGTTGTTGTTGTTGTTGTTGTTGTTGTTGTTGTTGCTGGTGATGGACAAGTTGCTGCTGTTGTTGTTGTTGGGGATGGGGATGCTGCTGCTGATAGCCCTGCGTCTGGCCTTGTGGTGGTCCGTACGGTGATATCGGCGGCGGGATATGGCTCAGCGAGTGTCGATGCGGCGCCGGTGGTGCAGGAGCCAGTGGCGGTGGACCGCCTGACGAGGGACGCTGGATCATGTTCATAGCCCTCGGGTCCTGCGGTTGGGTGGGCGGGTACGCTGAGCGGTACATCTGCTGCGGCGCTGGCGCTCTAGTGTGAGTTAGCGACGGCGTAGGTGCAGGTGCGAGAAGCGGCATCGAGTTGCGGCCGCCGCCGGAAGGCAGCGCGGTGAGGCCGCTGCTGACGCCGAGGGAAGGGGAGTAAGTATGGGGGTGGGCCATGGGACTTGAGTAGGCAGAGAGGGAGGGGGAATGCATGGGGGCGTCGTGGTGGAGTTGGTGGCCGCTGGCTCGCGCTTCGGCGGCCTTGCGCTCGGCGGCGCGTGCTTTGCGCTCTGCCCACCATATAGTCATGCTCTGGCTGCGCTTCTCGGACTTGACGCGCTGTTTGCGCTTCTTGTCCGAATTGCTGCCGTTTGGGGTTGTGGGTTCATCGATGTAGTTGGAGCCGTATTGGGAGAGGGGCGTGGTGGTGATGTATTGCTCGGCGGTAGCAGGTACAGCTGTCGAGCCTAGAATAGAGTCTGAAGGTGGAGCTGTGGCTGGCTGAGGTGCGGCCTGGAAGACCGTTGACGAGGGAGGCATGACTGTATGACTGGGTGCAGCAACAGGTGTTGGTGCTCGGATCATGGGTTCGACTGCGAACTGGTTTTGGCCTTGACTTAAGCTTTCTAGTGTCATCGGTTTTGACTTTTGCAGACCGCCAAAGGTGCCTTTTCGTGGTCCCTTCTTGATACCGGCGTCACTCCGTTTTTGTAAGTTCTTGCTTCCAGGTGGTCGTCCTCGCCGTTTTGACGATTGGCTATTGGGTGCAGGACTTCCGTCATCTCCAGAGTCGCCAGAGCTGTTCATGATACTCTCACCTCTCATTTCACGGATCCGCTGCGGAAGCAGCTGGCCTTCCGTCTTTGGTCTTTTTCCTCGTCTTTCAACCTCTGGAGTTTGAGAACCCGTGATGGCACTGACGCCTCTCTTCCGTGCGCCTCCCCAACCAAATCGACGAGGGGGTGTTTCGGTCCCATTGCCTGTTTCTGTGCCGTCAAATCGCTGAACAGCTCGCCGCCGCCTCTTTCCTGCTCTTCCGCTCTCTTCTTCATCTTCGTCTTCCTCGCTAGCAGCCGCCGAGCCGAGCATATCGCGCGCCGCTCGGCGTTGCCTCAACTCACGCCCTCCGACGTAATCACGACCGAGACGTTGAAGAAAAGGATCCTGCGTTCCGGGCGCCCGTTTCGGGTCGTAGACGTAATTATAGAGCTCTGCTTCTTTCATGTCTTCAAACACTAATGGGTCGATTGGGATGCGACCGCCCGTGGCCGGCTTCTTTGGGGGATGAGCGTGGGGCGCGGTCTTTCAACCAGTTAGCTATGTCCACATTGCTTTGACGCATTAAAGGAGATAAGGCATGACAACTCACTCTGTCGTCGAGCATGAGGAACTCGTCCTGCAATGTCCTCAGGATTTCAAAAGCTCTCTCCGATACCGTTTGCAGAACCCAAGTGGGTCGGGTTGCAGGGTCACGTATCGTGAGGCTAGAAGTGATATCTTGGGTAGGACGCAATGCTTGAAACCTCTTCTTGTGAATCTCGTCAGCTTTATCCTCATAGACCAACTCGCTCAGCGGCCATTCGTCCAGAAACGCTGTCGGCAGGTCGCTTTCTGATAATTCTTCGTCGATAATCTCTTTCACACGCGCTGTTTGACTGCCCGCAGGAGTTGCGCTCCCAGACTCTCGTATAGTCGGAGCGACACTCTCTTTTCGCGGGGATGGATCAAGCCTTCGGGTCAAGTCGGCTATTGACAAATCACTATTTTGTTTCTTCAAACTTGGAGCTGGGGATGTTTTGGAAGATTTTGTGGCCGGTTCAACATGTATAGCAATTGCCGGCTCGACATCCATTTGGTCTGGTCGATCTAGCATCTCTGCATCGTCATCCCCGGTGCCATTGGCGCTGGCATCGGGGGACTCATCATCATCCATTTCCTCATCAACATCGGCGAGTGGAAATGTTGGTGCTGCAGTTCGAGTTGGCCGGGCTTTTCTTGGAGAGATAGTATTCTTAACCCTCCCTCCTCTGCCGCCCCTCCCACCTCGTCTTCCGCCACGCCCGCCTCGACGCGGAGGCGCTAGATTCACGCTTGGCGGCTCAGGACTGTCAGACTCGTCATCCGAGTTATCTTCTTTCGTCAGTGACGGCGGGTTCGATCTCTGGCCGGACTTTGTTGAATTACGCTCGGAGGTTGACTGTTGTTCTAAATGCACTTGGAACTCTTCAGTCAGCCCGGAAATGACGAGAACTGGTTTCTTGTAGGTAGCGGTAATCTGAGCAGGTGGTCCGCCAACAAAGATCTGATCATATGTGATGATGTTGGATGATGACCGAGTGATTTTGCGAGAAGATGTGCCAAGGTTGCCATTGGACGTGCCATTGACTGCAGACTTTGCGTTTGCAACATCTGCTTTGGGGTTGGATGCGGGTTTTGCTTTGCTTCGTGTCGAAATGCGAGCAGGTCCTGCATCATTCTTGGCGCCCCGTGTTGCTCCGCCACGCGTGGCTGGATTGGCTTTGGGAGGCATTGTTTAATGAAGGAAAGACCATGAAATATTCAATGGACCATCAAGAGGCCAAACTGAAACCAAAAGAGGATGCAAATGGTAGTTGCACACGGTATACGTTGCTCGTACCCTGATGGGCCTGAACCATGGAAAGGGTGAGCTCGGCAGTACAACCTTGGAATTGTAGGGAGAAACGTAAGCTTAGTGCTGCGGGGAAACGAGTAAATAAACAGAGAAGCCTGATACGGCACCGCTGAATAGCGAGCTGGAAGGAGAACAGCAGAGAGGGTGATGGACTGCTTGAGAGGAGCGTGATCTTTGTTGGCGCTGATGGATCGAGTTGCACTCAGCAAGCAAAACTTAGCTCGTCGCCAAGCACCAATCACCGTGCAGAGCCAGCCCTGGAGCGCTAAGCCTGTTTCGACATTATCAATACCTGGGTACCGCCCTGTGGAACGAGGTCATCAAAATACCTGGCACCCCTCACACTGCACATGCACGCACTACTCACGATTGTTTTCTCCACGCCCCAACTCTGAGTATACCCCGCACATCTATGGCCCCTAAGACTGTCGAGGAGCAGCTCGCCGAGCTTGAGTTTGAGGCTCAGGCGCCGCCCAAAGCGCCGCCCAAGAGCTCGACCAAGGCCAAAGCTGCTCGCGGGAGTTCTGAACGCGAGATTGACGCCCTCAAGGAGCTCGAGGAACTTGAAGCGCTCGAGAAATTTGAGAGACCTGAACCTGCTAGGCCTTCTAGTAGACCAAACACCCCCAAACTTCGCTCTTCGTCCACCACCAGCAGGAACCGATCACCGAGAAGGACGGGAATAGCTACGCCTTCGTCTACAGGCTCTACGCGCACGAGCGAAGATAACAAGCAGCAGCATCCACCACGCAAGTCTGGAGAGAGCACGCGATCCTTCCACCAGGGCTTCTCAGCAACCGATGAGGAGCCAAAGGCCGAAGCAACCCCCGAACCGGAGCCAACAAAGGCAACCGGGGGAGGCTGGTGGGGAGGTCTTCTCTCGACTGCCAGTGCGGCAGTAAAGCAGGCAGAAGCTGCCGTAAAGGAGATCCAGAAGAACGAGGAGGCGCAGCGGTGGGCCGAGCAGGTCAAAGGAAATGTAGGGGCGCTGCGTGGTATCGGTATGTTCACGTTTGGTCCTCATGTCTACGAAGGTTTTCGCTACTGACGATGAACTGCAGGGGGAGAACTTCGCTCTCGTGCCCTTCCTACCTTCACAAACATCTTGCACACGCTCGCTCCTCCCATCTCGCAGCATGAGCGCCTTCAGATCCATATTACCCATGATCTCGTTGGCTACCCCTCACTCGATCCTATAATCTACCAGACCTTCTCTACCGTAATGTCGCAAGTGGAAGGTGGTGACCTCCTCGTCATCCAACGCGGCTTAGAATCCACTCATCGCCGTGCCTCAGACGCAGGGTACACTGGCGGCTCGAGCGGATGGAACGACGGCCCATGGTGGCGTCAAGCTGACAAGCGGGACCTGAGCGTCGTGAAAGGACTCGTGGAGGGCACAAAGCTCGCGCGGGTAAGCGCAGAAGCTTACGCAACCGATTTCTTTGCGCCGAAAGGAGGTATTGAAGAAGCTGCGAAGCAAGCGACCGAGATCCTAAGCGAGAGCAATCCCGTTCGAAGCAGCGACATCTTCCTCAGCTTGCAGGCCATTAGCTACCCTGTGTCGGAGGATCTGTTTGGCGGGTCGGCTTCTGCAGACGCGGAGAAGACTGGAGGCGTGGAAGAGCCAAAGGAAACCGACGACCTAGTGGCGTTTGCCATCTATCTTTACGATCCTATTCACAGTATCACTTTCAAGACCCTCTCCCAAGGTTTCCCGCTCAAGTGGGTTGAATGGCTGGATGCTCACGCGCCTCCAACCGAAGCCGGCCAGGAGCAGCAGCTACCGGAGGAGATAATGGAGATCATCCAGAGTGGCGGTGTTGATCCTCGAGAGTGGGTCGCTGACTGGATGGAAGAGGTTATCAACTTGGGCGTAGGCGTCGTTGCGCAAAGGTATGTTGCGCGACGCATGGGCGTTGGTGAAGGAGGTATTGGAAGAGGAAAGGCTAGGGAGATGGTGGTAGAAGCAGGAGGGGGAGAGGCCGCGCGGGCTGGTCTCTGAGTGATTCTCTCCTATCTCAGTCACATAATTCGGCCGTGTCTCTGTTCAATTATGGTGCAAAGGCGTGTGTTTGGGTTATATTATAGGAAACTCTTTCGACTTGGAGTTGCGATATCAACGGGTTTCAATCGAGCTCTTTTAGTCCTTTCCGAGTTCACACGAAAGTAGTAATCAGCCACAATTTATCCTGTATGCAAGGCATTCAATGGAGACTTTCCGACCTAACAAAGTCGAATTGTATTTGCATAGAGGTAACGTGATACCCCTAGCGAATGTAACATGAAACTATGAAGAAGCTCCTCATCCCTTGTAGCAAATAGAGCAGCCGCTGTACGCCGAAGCAATGCTGACCTCAAACGCCATTCCCGTTCATTCCATCCGTGATTTTTCCTTGGGTATAAGGTATCAATCCACGCATCCAGATCTCCGCTCTCATCCCTCCATCCTCATCGAGCACCTCCAAATCTCCGACTTTCTTATGCTGTCATCTTCTTATCTTTCTTCCTATCCCCCCCAATCCTCCCCTCCCTCTTTCCACCCTTCAAAAGCTCCAAATGCCCCGCCTTCTCTGCCAGGTTCTTCTCTGTCATCGACGAGAGCCCCGCTGAACCCTTCTTCATGATGTTTCGTTGTGAGATGAGTTTCGCTTTCTTGGGCTTGATAACGCGGTTGCCAGTCTTAGGGCCAAAGGATTTGGTTCTAGGGAGAAAATGTGAGCTTTTGGAGGGCTATGAAATTGTGCAGAGGGCTGACTTCTTGGAGGTGGAGATTTTGTGCGGATTCTTCACTGCTCCTTGTGCCATGACAGCGGTTTGGGACAGAGCTGGGGAGAGAGGACTGCTGAGGCTTGAGTGGTGTGGAGGAAGTTCGAAACAAGGTGGTCAAAATTTGGAGATGCTTGGCAGAGCGCTCCGCGATTTAAAGTGGGGCATTCCCGATTTAGCCGCAGGACCTCAACGTCTCTGCATCGTCTTCCGCGAACCCCTTCCTACTCCCTGCTCTCCCACTTGACTAGGCTCATGCCCCTATTCTTCGAAATATCCCGGAAAGCTTACTACTAGTCCGTTAGCCTTCTAGGAGAGGCACGAATCAGCCGCCTCAATCTATCGTGATTGGAATTACTAGATACCTGATGGTGTCTTGCACGCGATCCAGTGATCTAGACGATTGAAGATCGGCAAAGCGCCAAAGTCCACCTGGGAAGATGTCACTTCTCACAACTTCAAGCGACGTGCTATTCGTCTCTGGCTCTTGGATTTCAATCAATGCCGCCCCATCTCCGGGGACGACGAAGGTGTGAAGAAAGCAGTTCGGGCCTTCTTCGAGAACGATCCTTACTATCCAAGGCCGCTCACCAAGACATCCAATGAGCAACGCCTATGGACACAGTGCAAGGTCGGGTATCTGGAAGCCGCCAGGTGGGCTTTGAAGCAAGCCAGTGGGGCGGACATGCAAATAGGAAAGAAATTCCTGAACGAGTGCGTAGAGGAGCAGCAAATAAGACTTCAGAAGCAGGCGGAAGCGTTAAAGAGGTCGCCTGGAAACTTTTAATGAACTGGTTGGTGGCTAACTCCATCGCCGATAGGACTTGGTTTGGCAGAGTGTTCTGAAGATCTAGACTGTTACAATATATATCTTTGTGAATAGCGGATATAATACTTCTTGTGAGAGCTGTTACGACGAAGTCATGGCCTTGGAAGACAGACTTCCTACTACACTGATCTGCGAAACATGAAGTACCTCAAGTGGTGCATCAATGAATGTGCGTCTCCCACTCCATTCCCCTTGAAATTCACGAAAGATGCCATCAACAGATTATGGCACCCAATATCGCATGCCAACAGCCTCGTTAACATACAATAAGACGTCCATTCCTTCTATCTTCTCCGGACTCGTCGAAGATAACGGCATCATCTCCATCGAGGCAGAGCACTATACCAGCTTTATGCCAGCTTCCGACCTCAACTACACAACTCTTCTTGGATATTACCGCACGCTCTCCGCAACCACTGTCTCGGATCCAGTTGCCCCCATCCCCTACTACCTCGACGGTTCCAATGCTTGAATATGGCTTCTACACGTTTACCCCGACTACCGCCGCGAAAGCCGCTAATCTTACTCTCATTCTCGGCGCAGGTCTTAACACAACCCCACCCCGCCCGCGCGCCTATGTAGTACAGATTGACGACTTCGATCCGCAGCGACGCGTTTACATCACCGATCAGCCTGCTGGTGCGTGGCCTATTGGATGGTACGACACAGTCGGACAAGCCGCGTGGAAGAACACAACTAGCTTGGCTGCGCTAGATAAGGGCCACCATAACATCAAAATCTAGCTGGTGGAATCGGGTGTGGTGCTGCAGAAGATTGTCCTTGATTTGGGCGGTGTTCTGCCGAGTTACCTTGGCCCGCCTGAGAGTTTTAAGGTAGGGTAAGATCAAGGTTGTGTTTGACGTCGGAGGTCAAAGATTGACACGTTACTAGATGAGATCGTAAACTTGTTCCATTTCCTAGCTGCTCCAATGTCAACCTATCCTTCTACCCGAACACGCTAGGCAAGAAAAAATTGGCACACTCCTCAAGTACTCTGCCTATGTGTACACCTGTTTACCAATGCAGGAAGTGCTTCAACAAGTTTCTACATGGCCCAAGGTAAAGAGCATCTATCTTCTTTCAATTCCTGAAAATACATTGAAGCAACCCAAGCAGTGGCTGACAGGTGTATACACCCTAGAATTAGAGTGCCACGTTTTTCATGCCCCGCGTGCCGAGACATATTCGGAACCGTTTACGCGTTTAGTTTCGACTATTTTCTAGCCCGGAAACTTGTTCCTCATGTCCCGACGCCTCTGTTGTACTTCGAAATTGCTGATATCTGTGGCGAGTGGCGCCAACGCTATTCATTGCACCTGTCTCACCGGAGGCAAAACTCGGAATTCCATCCCTGTCATCATCATATCTCCGTCTTCAATCCGAAGCATTTGCTCATTGGTTTTCACGAACAGCATGATGTGACATCATTTGCCGAGTACGAAAGCGAGCTCATGTCTGCCCTCTACGATCGTGTAAGCATTGAGGCTGACACCTTTTACGGCTTTGAATTATGTGTGGCTCAATAGTGACGATCCGATTCATCTATACTCGTATGCAGGAGTCCGTTTCGGGCAACGGCTGCCGAATACTAGGGCCGATGCAGTCTGCTGCACGAGCTGCCAACGCAATTTTGTAATCAATCAAAAGGTTAGTCTTACTCTATGACGCATTTATTAAATACATGGGCGCGGTCAGCCGTCTCTGTCCGGCATTAGAGGAGGCCTTCTCGTCAATTCACGTTCTATATGTGGAGCTTGCAATATCTTTCTCCTTCTCCGTGCACGTTAAGCCACTGCAAAACCCGACCACTAACTCATCACTCACCTAAGAAGATATTGAGCTCTATCATATTTTTTATTACTACTACAGTAATTATCCTAATCTATGCCATGCCACTTTTCAATTCTGTTTCCATTGGCTTCATCTTCATTGCCATAACTTACTATCTATACTCTCAAGTCACCCTATACCTTCGCCGTCGAGCTTTCTAGGCTAAACATGGCCGTCAAGAAGCCCGAATCAAGTACCCACTCAAGGATCACTTCTTCGGCATAGATCTCATCCTCGACACTATCCGCAACGCGAAGAATCACCGTCATCTAGAGGGTACATGGCATCGATACGAAAAGTTTGGCAATACATTCACATCCCGCCTCATCAACTGCCATACTGTCTTCACTATCGACCCTGAGAACATCAAGACGATTCTAGCAACCAAGTTCGAAGACTTCAAGCTGTCCACAATCCGCGTCGATGCTATGGTCCCAATTTTCGGTCACGGTATCTTCACCACGGACGGAAAAGCCCGGCAACACTCTCGTGCTCTCCTCCGTCCCACTTTCGCCAAGGAGAGCATCTCGAATTTTGATACGGCAGAGTGCCACTTCCAGCATCTCCTTCTCTGCATCCCAAAAAATGGCGCCACAGTCGACCTGCAAGAGCTCTTCTTCCGCTACACTATGGACACCGCAACCGAGTTTCTCTTTGGTCACTCTGTCCACAGCCAGACTCGGGCACGTGAGTCAATCGCCGCAAATGCAGAAGCCCCTGACGCAGAGTTCGTGACGCATTACGCTTATACGCAGCTTGAAGCGAGTCACAACGTCCGCTTGGGCCCTCTAAACAAGTTCCACTACAATGCCAAAGCGAATCTCGCGCGGGATAAAGTCTTTGCGTACGTTGACGGGCTCATCGATGCGCTGTTCGAGAAGCGCGCTGCTACTCTGACACTCCCCCAGAAAGAGGAAATGGTTGATAATGACACCGGGACCAAGGAAAAGTACATCTTCCTCGACGCTCTCGCGAATGAGACATCTGATCGCCAGGTCCTCCGTGATCAAATCCTCAACTTCCTTCTCGCGGGCCGCGACACGACCGCCAGCCTCCTGAGCAACCTTTTCTTCGAACTAGCACGCCGACCAGACGTATGGGCGAAGCTGCGCGAAAAAGTCAAGGCCCTGGAAGGCAGGCTTCCTACCTACACTGACCTGCGGAACATGAAATACCTCAAATGGTGCATCGACGAGTGTACATCTCCCAACCCCCCTCACTCAAATTCGCGGAATTGAAGCCGAGCACTAATCCCAACTCCCAGCCCTCCGCCTCCGCCCCGTCGTCCCCGCCAACACCCGCGAAGCCATCCGCGACACTTTCCTCCCGCGCGGCGGCGGCGCAGACGGCAATGCGCCCCTCTTCGTCAAGAAAGGCACGCAGGTGCTCTACAGCGTCTACAGCATGCACCGCCGCCGCGATTTCTTCGGGGACAACTCTGAGGAATTCCGGCCGGAGCGGTGGGAGGGGTTGCAGCCGCGATGGGTAAGATCCGGAGTTTCGCTTCTAGATTTAGGAAATTGGGGGAAGACTAGGCTGACTTTTACGTGTAGGAGTATTTGCCGTTTAATGGTGGCCCGCGTATCTGTCTCGGGCAGCAGTTCGCGCTGACGGAGGCGTCGTTCGTGGTCGTGCGGTTGCTGCAGGAGTTTGCGGGCATTGAGGCGAGGGATGAGGAGCCGTGGATGGAGCTGTATACGCTGGTTGTTTGCTCGAAGAACGGGGTGCAGGTGGGATTGGCGAGGGCGGAGAGGGAGTAAAGGGGGAGTGGTTCTTAGATAGTTAGGTATTCTTATTATTCTAATCTTGGAAACTTGGGGATGCGGGGATGCCAAAGGAGCTGGGGACTGCCTTGATTATTTCATACTATTCTATTAGACTAGAGAGATTAGGGATTTAGACGGCAAAGCAGGATTGAATGCTATTCCATCGCTGTCCGCTCCATTCGTCTCATCGTGTCTATCTAAATGACCTTCTAATTGAGCACATGGAGAAATGTTCACGGGTTTCTGAATATGCATGAAAGCATTGCATGCAGAAGTTGAAGTCTGTATACTATTCTAACACTGCATATAGTGCCTCAAGGCACTTTCAGAGCTCTGGACGAGAGCGTAGTCGACCGGTTCGAACAATCATCTATTCATTCGATTGATCTGAGCCTTCTAATTACTATCCAACGGCACTGGTGTAGTCTTTGGGCTGGAGAACGGTATGTGCACGGAGCTGCACGTGTGAAGGTTTCTTTCTATCTTTCTTTCTTTGTTGAGCTACTTGGTTTTGTTGTTCCTAGTTCAATGCCATCATAACTGTACAATGCTTTGGTTTTATTACGCTCTACACAATTCTTTTGGAGTCTTATTCGCAAGCTTGGATAGAACGCCTCCCTGATACCGATAGCGGGAGCAGCATCTAAGGTGCCGGTACTATGCGAGATTATGGGATTGGAACGGAGAGGGTTGCGATGGTTCGTGACGGACATATGGTTAGCTTGGTTCCGACCTGATCAATCGAGAGACTCCTAACATCACGGGCAAGTATGAAGATGACTATTGTGAAACAGGTTTTTGATATTCTTTATAGTGCTTTTTTCGTTTTCGCTGTAGATTAGTTGTCGGTGGTACTCTAAGAAACGTTCAAGACCCTTTCCTCTCTACACATCAACGTGTGCTTGTGAATACCCTCTTATCGCCTCTCCATGAACAGTCTGTCATGGTGGAAACAAATCAAAGTAGAACTACTTATCGCCTTGCTGATTAGCCAACATTTATCGCCCAGGGTATGTGACAGATGAGTGTCAGGTATCAACGACTCTGAATCGGCGCTGGAATCGTTGAAGTTGCGCAAGTAGAGGACCTAAAACTCGGGTTTTTCCAGAGTAATATCCCTAATGCAGACAAAGAACGAATCTTTCGGCATCTCTTCATAGAAATTCAAATTTCCGCCATATGGCTTGGGGCTCAGAGCATAAAGAGTAGAATCACCTTCGCCCAGCTCGATTCCCTCCGAGATGGTTGTTTGGGAGTCTGAGTCAGCAACTTCAGACTTCGAATCGTCGGTTTCCGTGTCGCTGTCATCAGAGTCTTGGTCGAAAAGATGGCGTTCCTTGGTATCAAAAAGAATCGACAGTCGCTCCTCCATGGCCTCTTCGCATTCACCACCTTCTTCTTCGCCACCGAGGTACCAGATCAGGCCTTTGGCAGATTGCCGGGGAAATGCGGACTGCAGCGACTTGCTGGCGAAATTACTGCCCTCGGAAACCGTGTTTTGAAGCCACTCGCTTTCAAAAACATCTTCAGTCATGCCCAAACATACACAACAATCTTCAACTTCCTAGTCAGTTAAGATGAATAGCTTGAACAGCATCTTCCAATCAAGCGAACAGGTCAAACCAGGAAAAGACGAAGCTTGAAAGGCAGTACGCTTCGAAGTCGGTGATACCTGGGCATCGACACGAAACATTCGAACCGGTGCGCAAGCTGCCAAAGTACACCACTGGTAAGTTAAAAACCCCTACTTGTTCCATGCTGTTTCAAAATAACCTCTTAAATAGCCCTATCTGCAAGAAGGAAATCACCAAGCGCTGTTATGATAAACTCCATTGGGCTTGGTGTGAAGTTCCCCTCAAGAATGGCGAGTTGTGTGGCGAACGATTCCAAGTCGTCTCACCCGGGGGCTGCATGAAGCCAGGACATGAGTACCACAACTCGGACGAGAACATTCGCCTCCGAAACTCACGACGAGAGTTAGATGGTGGTGGCATGCGGAAGAAGGCTCCGGATGCCGAGGACACTATAGACAAAGAAGAGCTCCCTCCCGTTGAAGCACCACCAGCGGAACCAGGACCTTGGTTGACATATTGGGAGAAGCCTGAGTTCCGCAAGAAGCCCCCTCCTCCAGCTCCGCCAGCTCCGAAGACTCTCGGGGAGAGGAAGCCTAAGAAGATGGAGAACACAAACACCTACGGCTCCTTCGTTGAGAGAATCAAGAACAAGGTCAAGGCCAAAAAGAATGCGGCGAACTGAGGCAGAGTTTCATCATCCTGGACCCAAGATGGTCTGAGAGATTCGATGGACAGTGCGCTCTATTCTATACTTGTGGGGTTCCTGAATGCCACCTATTTCTTTCTCAGCAAATTTGCAAGAACAATAGAGACGAACATAGCACGGTGAGATTTTCGACCTTTTCGGTTAGATGTTTGATTTTCTGGAGTTATGGAATGGGACCTCGAGAGGCAGGTTGGCGTTGAGATTGCGGAGGGTCCGTGCAATGGGCTTGCACATGATGCGCTAATCTTCAACATTGTCGATGGTCAGCTAGCTAGCTAGATTATACAAGACACGTTCTAATATTCAAGCTCATCGATAGATAATCGTGTGCATATTACGTGACGACTTATCAGAGATCTGCTCACAGGATTAGCATGGTCACGTGTCGGTACTTTCAATGGGGGGTTTCAAAGCTCTAGAGATCTTTTGACATATTGATTTCATTTCAGATAGAAGCTGCCGAGCATCGGAAGGTTCATTAACACTTTAGCTAGAATGGAGAGCGCTCAGATGCTAGAATGGAGAGCGCTCAGATCGCGGTGGGAACCTCCAGCATTGCATATACTGTACACGTCCAGCAAGTTCCATTGAACTATGTTCCGCTAATGGAGAAGTTAATAGACTCACTCATCTGCAAACATACGCTTGGTCACTTGATTGAAGCTTTGAAGTGAAACTTACTTGGAAACTAGCCTGAACTTAGGGGAAGAATTATAATGATATCTGACTACAAGATACATTAGTGCGATTACGTGTCTTCGAGGATGTGATGGAGTTAAACTTTTTTACCTTAAGAATCTCATTAGTTCTTTACTAGCAGTATTGCGCATTTTGATTATCTTCGGACAGTTCCAATTATCAGCGCTTGGCCAGGCGGAGGAGCTACCTAGCTTTATGCATAACTAGGGACCTGCAATTCCAAGTCTATATTATCAACTTCAGGCCCAAGACTCGAATAGAAAAGGGAATTTGAAACTCTATGGAAACCGAAAGAAAGCAGCGCTTAAAAATTCAAACCGCAGAATCAACACGCCATAACGTTTCGCAAACGCTCCTGAAGCGCATCCTCGCCTTCTTCCCAACCGCCTTCACCAAGCTGTGTGGTGAAGGTCCACGAATGGGTTCGTGGAAATGCCGATTCGAGCACCTTATCAGCCGCGTCGGCCGCACTGCCATTACCGTAAAGCGCATCATGGAGTGCGGTAAACATGGCGCTCTTCTCCGTGAATTTCGCATCCGAGTCTTCGCCAGCAACATCGCGCATGGCTTTTGCGTAGAAGTTCCGATATCGATCGAGTTCTTCCGGTGAAAGAGTATTATATTCCTCTCCGGGCCAAACATATTGCGGTTTCCAGTCGTGGCGAAGCCACATAGGAACAGCAGCCGAGCCAACACACCGGGGAACGGTTTTGATGCCGTCAAAGTCAATCAGACCGGTCACGTTGCCGTCATCGTCGATGTACACGTTCTGGAGATCGAGATCGGCGTGGGCGAGAACAAAGATTTCGCTACCAGTAGAGTCGTCCGCAAGGTCGGACTTGGTGAATGGCGGCATGGCGAAAGCCATTCGGAGAATCTTGTGAATCCCGCCTACTCGGTCATCAATGCGCGACATCGTCTCCTTCTCTTGCAGAGCTGCTTCATAATATTCTTTGGCGGTGCCGAAAGCAGGGATGGTCTTGAGCTCTCGGGCGATCCCCAAATCCTCTGGGTGATCTTTGATATCCTTTGGCACCCGGAAGGTGTGTGTCGGTCCAACTTCTGGATTAACATTTTCATCGAAATGGAGCGTGCCGATCTTGTCGAATTCCAACTTCCCGAACTCATTCATTGCTTTCGCAAGCGACGTGAGAATGTTTTGTCGGATCTCTTCGATGTTGTGTTTATGTTGGTACCAAACCTTGTGTACGGGCTTACCCTCGACAAAGCCCATCATGATGTAAGGCGCACCAATGGGATTACTGAAGGTGCAGTCGAAGCCGAGTATCGCTGGCACAGGCGCGTTGGTGTGCATGGATAGGTGAGCCATTGTGAGGGCCTCAGACTTCATGTTGACAGCGTCCTCTGGAGTCCAACGGTCAGCATGTCCCGTGGCTGGAACCTTGATGATGACCTTTTGGCCGTTGGGAGTTTCCACAATCCAAACGCAATGGAAAGTGCCTTCTTCCTGGTCTAGGATCGAGAAATTCTCCGCATTAAGCTGCTTCTCCGGATCAAGGACCGTGAGAGTCAGGTCGATCAGAGCTTGATTCGAAATGTTCTTGATCGGTCCCCAGTATCGAGGATCGTCTTCTTCATCCTCTTCTTCTACTTCGTCCTCGTCTTCTTCTTCGCCCTCCTCATCTTGATTATCAACTTCTTTGTGCTCTTCGACGGGCTCGTTTTCGTGCACTCGAGACGGTTGAGCATTTTCCGGTTCTGTTGGCGCTTTTCCGAAGAGGCGAAGAATGTTTTGCATTGGCTTCAGCTTCTTCGTGGGAGGATGCTCTGGAATGGGATGTTCGACCTTGGCTTCTTTCGGGCGCAGGCCAACTGCGCGAGCGCAAGTCCGACCGACCTCGCGCACGAAGTCGCGGAACTTACGCTTCTGAGCCATGGCTAGAGTGATGGCTGTGCCTTGAGTGGAAGGTGCGGTGGAGATGGTGGTGGGTGGTGAAGGCTCGGAGCTAGTGACCGATCCGCTCCGCAATGAGGGAATCTGCACTGACTTATGTAAACTTATGTAAGCGTGTGCAAGGTGTTTGAATATGAATTTGCTAACGGACGTGTGATATGCGTGGAAGGGTCATTGTTGAGGAAGCAAATGTGCTAGAAAGATACTTATCCCTAGAACTAGGAAGTGAAAGGGCTGCGTCATTCACGAACAATGATGCTTGATTTTAGATCAGCACCTTCGAGTACAATGCTTTTGAGCTATATTCAGGAAAGATGTCGGTATAGGGACGAGTGAAAAGGCAGATTTGAAAGACGTATACTTAGACGTTGTACAATGTGCAATATGCCACCACACTATCGCCAGCATTCATTGCTAACAATGTCTTGCTCGGAATTCACTTTCACGATAGGGGCACCACGAAGGTCCACATAAGTATTGACACGTCGTTGTACAAAAGAGCTCTACCACAAACCACTCAAGTGCTACTCACATACCCACCAAATTCAACTTCCCCTAAGCAAACTCAGAATCTCCCTAACCCGCAAACACGTCAATACACCAAACCCAAGCTTTCCATCATGGTCAAAGCATTGAAGTACCGGAACATCTTGACCAAGACTTTGAGGAACCAATCGCACCATTGTCACGAGTGCAAGGGTACGATAAAGGAGTCCTGCTTGAACGTTCATGTCAGCTATTGCACAGCCGATGGTTGTGGCGAAATCTATAATGGTAAACCGGGCTGCTTCGTCCACAAGTATGTGGATGGCTACAACGCGGATTTCTTCGAGAAGTTCACTGGGAAGAAGCCAAATACCGCGAAAATCACTACGGGCTTTGGCATGCGCCAAGAACCCGAACCGGAGCAAGCTCCTGTAGAAGACGAGAATTGGAATCAGGCGTCCAAGCCTAAGCGGAAGGTGTATCGACGTAAGCCCCGTAAAGATGGAAACGAAGATGGGGAAGACCAGAAGGGCGAAGAAGCTGGAAAGAACGGCCAAAATGGTCTCAAGCAAGCAGGCGGCAAGAAGGGCGGCAACTAGCCGTGATGTCCATTCTCGGACATCAAATCCTCATCCAGGCCTGACTAACCCGCAGGGATCCAAGGATTGCTACCGCACCAGCCCTCTACTCATTCCCGTAAATATAAGCTCTAATCGCCGCTAATTGAGCAACTCTAGATCTGGTGCCTAGATGATGGCGCAGAACCTCGATGGCATATGTTGACTAGAGAGCTCGACTACAAGGCGTTTTGATTTTGCTTACACAGAATTGGCGTTCAGCTTTGATCTTTTCTGCTGGCAGTAGGACTCACAGAGGCCTCAGACCATATTAGTTAGCTAGCATCCCCAATACTAAACCCCCCTTACCCCTCAATGAAGTAGATTCCTGCAATGTGATGTCGTGACAGAAACCTCGAGCTTGACTGCGGATATCTGGCCATCAGGTTCCTTGCGATGTGACATTGTTAATAGAATCGAGCGAAGCCATGACAGTACCATCGTGCGTGATTTACAAGTCTTAAGCCGGGATTTCGAAACGGGGCGAGCGATGCACTCGAGTTTCCGAATCAGCAAAGGTATTCAGGACCTCCTGGAAGAACCGGCACTACGGGCGCACCAGATAGCTCCAGATACGATAGTTTGAATCGAGTCGTCGGCTCTCTCAAACCTTCCCGCTACTCACACCACTGAATTCCCACTAGCAACCTAGAACCATAAGCGGTCGCAAGTAACCCAATCCCAAGGCCTTCAATTTGAACATACCTCTAACAGTATACGTTCATATTGAGAATCATCTCGCCCCATACTTGCGGCTCTTCAAAGCTGCCTAAACGCGTATAATAATATAGGGGTTTCGGTGCCCGTCGTAGTAGCCATACTAGCTCCCATACTTGGTTGTCTTTAAGCGAGAGCGTCTGCCCCTCACAGAGCAGCCATGCACACTGGGCGTGAAAAAAGTGGCATACTCATCAAGCACTCTGCCTTGCGTGTACAACTGCCTGCCACTGTCTGGGGTGCTTCAACAAGTTTCCATATAGTCCAAGGTGAAGGGGTTCTATCTCGTTCAGATTCCTCAAAATACCTTGAAGCACCCTAAGCAGTGTCAAATAGGTGTACACACAAGACAGCTTGCTGTAGAATAGGAATGCTACCTTTTCCATGCCCCGCGTGCCATGCAGCGCTGAAGCCAGCTTGGTTCACAACTTGGCGCTCTGCTATGCGGAGTTTATCTGTCTCGTGGCAAGCTGTATGATGGTTAGACGTATTTGTAGAGCTGGGGAATTAGGTACACGTAAAATTACATATACGTACTGATGACTATGGGACTCTGGTTCCTGTCGAGTGAGTTGAACGCTAGCGTGACCGACATTTCGATACCGAAAGAGCCGCTGCGTTGACGGCCGTATGCCAACGTTATAAGTTATATAGACTTGACTAGCGGATGGTGATAGCAGAGGGACAATGAAGGTAAGTATCGCTATCGAGAAAGAAGCTGTTGAACGGCCGCCTGCAACGACGACTAAGGGCATAGAAGGTCGAGGGACACTGCAATGTATTGTTGGGGAGCCTCGTGTAAGTGAATATTGCGAGAATTATGTGAAGTTCGCGTTGTTTGTTCGACGCGTCGCTCGTTGGTCGCGATGGGGTGAAGTGGTGATGATGAGGGGATGTGGTGTCCATGCACAGGTGACAGTACTAGGCCAGAGGTCTGGGCACACGGGATTTATCACTGCTTGGCTCTAATCTTGCTCACTCGACACCACTGTGAGGAGCGGCCCAGCTGGTAAGTAGCCAGGAAGTCAAGAGGCAGTTTAATTTGCACTGCTTGAAACTTGACATCGTGCCTGGATTTGTGGAATTCCCCAAACAGCCCGAGTGGTAAATGCGTGTGCACAGACTTATGACCTGTCACTGGAATAGCGATGGCGACAAAACGGGTGTATTATCCAGATCCTCTATTTCGTGTCAATAGAATAAGCATCGTCCACCAACCTGTTGACTTCTTCATCAATTCAGTTCTTCACCGGCAATATAGCTATTGCAAAGCAGCTCGCAAACATTCCCGCAAGTTCTTTTTGTACGCTACTGGAAGTTTCTATGCCGCCCAAAAAGCGGTCCTTGCGTTCTGCAGGAGCTGCCCCCAAACGTCAAAAACCTAAACCACGTCGCCTCTTGCCTCTTCGACGTCCCAATGCTGCTTCTAGGGAACTGTAAGCTCGGCTCATTCTCACATATGTCCGCACTGTTTGGGATTCGTCTCATCTGAGGTGCAATGCTGACTTCAGCTACAGCCGTGAGAGAATCGTCAGCGAATCGCCGCTTTTGCGCTTACCCGCTGAGCTACGTCGTCACAGCTTCGAGTTTGTCCTCGGCGGGGCTCTAATTCACATCCATCGCGAGGATGGGAAAGTGCAGCTCTATCCTTGCATTTCCACTATATCCGAAGACGAGGCATATGCCCAGTCCAAGGTGCCCTTGGACATCCGTACAGATGATGATATCCCGCCGTTCGCTGACCGGCACGACAATTGCACGCCATCTCTCACTCGTCTCGGAAGAGAACGGCAAAAGCTACGTCGTGTCCACCGTCATCAACCTTTACACCTGGGTCTGCTTCGAGTGTGCACTCAAGTCTACTATGAGACCGCACTTTTACCTTTCAACTCAAACGTCTTTGCGGCGAAGTGCGGACCATCACTATCTCTATTCTTAGCTAGTCTTTTAACACAACAACGACGGGAACTCCGTGCGCTTCATTTCGATATTCCGTGCAGAACGACTCTAGAGGAATGGAATGATCACATCACTCCAAATCTCGTCAAGTCGATACCTGGATTACGAGTAGTACATTTGGACATGGCACTATACCAAATCGGGAGGCCCATATACAACATCAATCGGCACCCAGCTGTCCAAGCGTCGGGATATGCCCTCTTTGGAGTTCTGCGTCTGCAACGCCTTCCACTCGAGAGGTCACTGTGGTGATTCGCGACACTCGGGAGGTTGATGATTACCACCCTGATTGTTGGAAATTCCATTTGGAAGGAAAGAAGAAGAAATGGACGCATGACAGAGCAAACACGAGGAAGACTGCTTTCGGAATGGGACGAAGCTGCAGAGAAAGAGAAGTCGAAAGATAAGGAGCTGCGATTCAAATTTGGAAAAGATCAGGTGTATGGACATGGCAGGCCAGATTCGCCTGGAGGGATAGCAGAACGTATGCAGGCCTTTCACAACATCAACACTCGTGAATTCTTCGATCTCTGGAGTTTCTGATATGGCTTTATCTCTCATTTTGACCTCTCATGCGTAGGTAGTTTATCTGAAATAGTTTCATCTGTAGAACCACATCTTGCGCTTTGCTAGACTTTTGAAATATAGTTATGCAATTGATCGATTTCTGCATGAACGCACAAAAGCGCCTTAATAACACGAGCATTCCACGCACAGAAACTGTCACGCTGGGCAGGGAAAAAGTGGCACACTCATCAAGTACTCTACCCGTGTGTACACCCGCTTGCCACTACATGAAGTGCTTCAACAAGTTTCCACATAGCTCAAGGCAAAGAGCTTCTATCTTCTTTAGATTTCTGAAAACACATTGAAGCAACCCAAGCAGTGGCAGACAGGTGTACACACGAGACAGCTTTTTCTAGAATTAGTGTGCCACCTTTTCCATGCCCAGCGTGACTGTCTAGACCTCGCCGGGCAGACACGCTAACATCGGAACGCGAAGAAACGCGAGAATACGATGTCACGTTATGCGCCTCTTTGCGCCACCCCAGGCTGCGAGCTGAAAACCTCTTCCCCAGTTGTTAAAATAGAGCAGATCCCTTGTATCAATCAGCATCACACACATCTGAATTAAATTCTCAAGTCAAGCCTCACAATGGCACGAACACGATCCGTCAAAGTCGCCGCCAAAGAAGCTGCGCCCGATCCAACGACATCCCTCGACCCACCGTCAGACTCCGAGCCCCAAGCTCCACCACCAACCTTCAACGGCCGTCTCCAACAATTCTCCTACGCGTCAAGCTCGACTCTCCAAACATTCCCCAGCAAAGCGACGCCAACCCCCCGCCGCCTCCCCAAACGCGTCCTCCCACCCGCCGACGATGCCTCCACTACAACTTCCCCAAAACCCTCCAAAAAGCGCCGCCAAAGCAGCAAATACGCCGCGCCCTCCAAATACTCGCACCTCACGCCCTTGACCGACATCCTCGAACCCAACCTCATCTGCGTCTTCGTCGGCACCAACCCGGGCGTGCAAACCGCGACGGCCGGGCACGCCTACGCGCACCCCTCGAACCACTTCTGGAAGCTGCTGCACAGCTCGGGGCTCACCCCGCGGCGACTGTCGCCCTCCGAAGACCGCTCCCTGCCCGCGGAATACTGCATGGGCAACACGAACATCGTGGCGCGGCCGAGCAAAGACGCGGCGGAGCTGAGCAAAGAAGAGATCGCCGCGGGGACGAAGATCCTGGAGGAGAAGTTCCGGCGGTACAGGCCGGAGGCGGTGTGCATCGTGGGCAAGGGGATTTGGGAGGGGGTGTGGCGGTGGCGGTATGGGCGGGGGTTTAAGAAGGAGGAGTTTGCGTACGGGTGGCAGGCGGAGCGGGAGAATATGGGAATTTGTGGGGAGGCGGAGGATGGGGGCGCGTGGGCCGGCGCGAGGGTGTTTGTGGCGACGACGACGAGTGGGCTGGCGGCGAGCTTGAAGCCGGCGGAGAAGGAGGCGATCTGGAGACCGTTTGGGGAGTGGGTGCAGAAGAGGAGGGAGGAGAGGGGGTTCAAGCCGGAGAGTGTGAGAGAGGGGGAGAGGCAGTATCTGAGGAAGATGGGGGGGACGGAGGGCGGGTTGTTGGCGAAGGGGAATGATGGTGACTGAGTGCCCAGGTAGTCGTTGGAGCGTAGAAGAGACTTTTGGGCGTTGTATTTTTGCGTGCTCATTGCCGGCAGCGTATGATCTGATTGGCAAGAAAGCAATCTAATTTAGAGATCTCTTGGAAAATTAGGCGAGATCAAGGGTGCGATCTCGACGAGGAAGCAAACCAGGGCAGTTACCCACGACGGTCTGTATCAATTTCATAGGTCTCTCCTTAGCTTCGAAAGCAAACCACCGACATGTGGTTATAAAAATAAGGCTCCATGGTCTTGGGTAATCCCTGACGTACTACGCTGCAGAGAAATGGTACAACTGCTATAGAGAGGCATCTATAGTGTTCTTTGCCATCTTTTCTGGTAAGGCAGAAGGCAAGGCGTGACGCAGTACAGGAACGGGTACCAGCCTCGACAAGCTAGGAATCTGTACAACTCACGACACATTCTGAGGTACTACAGTGCTGGCTAGCCAAGTCAAACGGAATACCTAAGGATGGGGGCCTGATTCTCAAAGCTCGGTGTCGGTGAGTGATGAAACCTCGGAAAGTCTCAGACACTCGGCATCTCAGCTAGAAATGCTGCTGATTCTATCCATCACCGTGCCATAGTCGGCATACTGATATGCTTACCGCTTCTATGCGCTCTTCGATAAGGTGGTTGATAAGGAGCAGCAGAGTCAGTGGTCTGAAGAGGTCAACAACTAGCGCGCCTGCCTCACTCAAGCAACGCACCTCCCATTGCCGCGTCACCCTCTCCTCCACACATCAAACACTCGGCTTCCTCTCTTCTCTCTTCAAACTTCTTCAATTCTCCATCTGCTCCTTCTCTGCTTCATCTGCCACGCGGCTCCCCTTTGCTCACCAGCCCAGAGATGGGTCCTACGCGGCCATCCTCGTTCGACAACCTCGTGAGCCTGACCAAGAGAGTGTTCCACCGTTCCCTGTACTTTGGAGACGACCGATCTGAGTCTTCTCTTGCCCTCGATCTCGGCCATTCCTACAAAGACCGCGAGTTCGACGCGCTCAAGTGGGGCCCTATCCTCACTATCCCTGACGAAGCTGCTCTCGAGGTTGCGCTTGCCTACCGGCGACGCCTCTACCCTGAGCTGGATGATACAGATGAGAAATTTCCGATCGCCGAGCCTGGCGACATCACTGCAACTGTCAAAATTCATGCTGAGGGCTTCAACAACCGCGCCTTGATTATCCGATACAGCGATGGATGGGACGTCTGTGTGCGCATACCAGCTTGCGGATGGGTAAGTGGTACTGCAACTCATTGTCATCGAAGTTCTCGTTCCATTGTTTGATATCGTATAAAACCGCACTTTCCTGTTATGTGTTTCCCTGCTTTGGCACCCCAACCATGGACGATATCTCGTTGATACGATTCAATCTACAGGGCCCCAACTGGAGCGAGATGCATGCGAAGAATTTCCTGTCGCAAGCGTGCACCGTCCGATATATCCGCGAGAACAGTCAGATGCGGATACCTGACATGCTGCATGTAAACAACACCCTAAAGAACGCTATGAAGGCGCCATACATGATCATGACGGCAGTCGACGGACGAGATGCCAGCCATGTCTGGTTTGAAGACGAGGGGCTGACACCAGCTGGGCTTGAAGCAAAGCGACAGCATATCTTGAAGACACTGGCGGAGGGTGTGAGTGCACTACGCCATCTCAAGTTTGACAAGATGGGCACTCTGCATTTTCCAGACGGCTTCCCGATATCTTTGGAAAAGCGCATTTCAACTCCATACGTCGGCGAATCTTACAACCGCAACTTTGGCTGGCTCCCAGACAAAACCGGAACGCATAAGCACGACGCAATCACTCCTCCCTACGCGACATCTCAGGAGTGGCTACGATACCGGCTCGATCAGTGGTGGAAGGAGACGTGCGCCAAGGACAAGAAAGGAGCCTCCGCCCAAAAGCATCACGAGCACAAGGGCATGTACATGCTCTACGCTATGATGTTTGACTACTTTCCGTTCGCGAAGGCCGATCCTTCCTCCCCTGAGCCCTTTGTCCTCGCTCCACCAGGTATGTTCACATCCTGTTCCTTACTTGCTACCTTTCGTGCACAAATGCGATCTGAATTTTGCCATGATTGTGAAGACGCTGACCAGTTCCCAGATTTTGACTGGCAGAATACTCTTGTTGCTGATGATGGCACAGTCACTGCCTTCATCGACTGGGACCGAGCTGAAACTCTCCCTATCTATCTCGGATGGCCCTGCTACCCGAACTTCCTCAGCGCCGACTGGCGAGTGATGTACGAGTGGCCAGCGAAAAATGTCATGTCGCCATCCCACCTCGCCAGCTACCGCGAGGACTACGCTAGGTACATGAAGGAAGCTTGCGGAGCAGATAGCGACGCGTGGCGCTACACACCCAAGAGTCACTTCTTCAGCGCGATCGAGTTCGCCATCGGCGATGGGAAGCTTATGGAAGAAGTTCTTTTCAAGATCCTGGAGTACCTCATCCCTCGCACCCGCAAGGATGAGCATATCCTGCGACTGGGCACGGAAGGGTATGTCGAGGCGGAAGAAGAGTGGTTGCGCGCAAAGTTCGAAAAACTTTTCGCTTGCTAGAATTGGACCCGACTTTGGCTACCTCGGGTATGCATGTTGCTCCTTCCCTGATCCGGGCTTCCTTTGCTCTGTTTCCGTTTCAACATCATAGAGCCGGCATAGCGAGCGAGAGCAAGATACCCCTTCCTTTCTCCCTCTCTTTGCTTTTTTGTTGACAAGCTATGGCTGGGCCTGGGAAGCGGGAGCCGTTGGAGGCTCTTCATGTATACTTCCAATGGCAATAGCATTCGATGGGCAAAGGAGCGGCTGGCTTATGATTGTGTGCTTTACGGATCCCAGAGTGCCGATAGCCAAAGCGCCCACGGCCCAGAGCACCGACTTTGCGGAACTGCCCCAGGCCCCAAGAAGGCAGGCAAAATGATCGTGATGGTATGAAAGGGAGATGCCCCTAGGTAGATGAAATCATACCTTTCCTTCCAAAAGCCTAGAGTCCAAACCATGATGCGTATGCGACCAAATACGCCACGAGAAGAGAGGAATACTCAGACATACCAGGCCAAGCATCGACTCAACACTCACACCGCCGACACTAGTCATACACTCACCAGCTCAACCACTCCCTTCAACTACCCTCACGAAGCCACCCCCCCTTCCCTCTACAACCCCTTTCCTATTCCAAACCCACGACTTCACATCGCACCCCTCTGCCGCCAACCCCACAAGTCAATGACCATGATCAGAAACGAGCTTGTTCGCCCATTTATCATTCATCTAACATCTTCTCTACTCCTACTCTCACTCCTCTACTCCAATCTCAGTCTCCCAACCCCACAGCCTCCCTCGCCCCTATTCTACAACCCTGACAAATTCCCTTCCCCCTCTCTCTCGCATCCACACTGAACCACCACAGAAGCCAGCCGTATAGCTCACCCCCCCCCCCCCCCTGGCCCCCCGGAAACGCCATTGAAGAACCCGATTTGAGATTAAAAGCCGGCCCAATGCGTGTATATAGTCGCTGAAACATAGATGTCACATGCTTCAAAGAAAAAGCGAAAAAACGCCGAGATTGGGACGCCCTGAGAGAAGTCGATGGACACAAAGAAAAGGGGAGAAGTTGGAAAATGTTTAGCTGACGGCCTTGGCCTCGCTAACTGGCAAAACGTAAAAGCCTATTAGGTGAGTGTCCGAGAACGCCCCCGCGGACGCTTGCCCGTACAGCGCTGCTGTGATCAAAAGACTCGAGGAAGAGAGATTCCGCAACAGGGCCCTGTCAAAGTGAAGTAAAATGCATCTTCGAAACGCCTTGGTCATAACGCCGCTGCCGGGTGGAGCAGCAGACTCGGCACCTCAACCCCCGGCGGCGGCGGCGACGGTTCCGCGCTATTCGGGTACTTGGCGCCCAGCTCCTCGATCTTGGGTACGAGTTCCGGGATGCGGAAGGGTTTGGAGACGACGTCGTCCTGCACGCACATACGCGTTTTAGCCGCTATTCTCTCCTCACAATGAAAAATGACGAAGCGAACTCACCATGCCCACATCCAAGAGCGCCGCAATCTGCTCACTGCGCGCATTCGCCGTGACGGCGATAATCGGGACATGCTTGCGCAGCTTCCCGTCCGCCTCCCACTGTCTGATGGTGCGCGTGCACTCCAGCCCGTCCATAACCGGCATCTCCTGGTCCATGAGCAGCACGCCGAGCTCGACGGCCTCGGGCCCGTTTTCGTGCCAGTAGCGCGACTTGCGCAGGTGGTCGAGGCACTCGCCGCCGTGGTTGGCAACGTGCACCGTGATGCCCTGGTTTTTGAGCTGCTTTTGGAGGACGCGTTGGTTGACTGGCGGGGAAGGAGGATATGTTTTAGCTGGGATTTGAAATATGGAAGGGGGAGAGGAGAAAACAAACCTAGGTTATCTTCGACAATTAAGACGGTGAGATGGGACCGCTTCTGCCGCATGTTGTCCACGGGCGTGCCCTTGGGCGCCGCGAAGTCTTTGACCTTGGGGTGCTCCTGTCGCGCCTTGGCGCGGGCGTCAGAGCTAGCGCGCGCGAGTGACACGTGCATGTTCTCCGTGGGGTCCTTGGGCGGCGAGGTCTTGCGGCATTTGACGTAGAAGGCGAAGGTGCTGCCGATGCCGGATTCAGACGCGACGCCGATCTCGCCGCCTTGAAGCTCGGTGAGCTCGCGAGATATGAAGAGGCCCAGCCCCGAGCCTCCGTACTGGACATGGGTCCTGGGGCTAGCTTGCGAGAAGCGCTGGAAGAGGAGCTTCTTTTCAGCTTCGTTGAGGCCCCGGCCGGTATCTTGAACGGCGAATTGCAGGTATACTTCTTCTCCAGTACCCCAGTCAACCCCTTTGGTCTGATCCGCGCGCTTGGATCGTGTGGGGAAGAAACTGACGGGGGAGTCATCGCTCGCTGAAGGCCTCTCGCGTGATGCGGACACCCGTACGGTGATTGTGCGCTTCGACTCTGTGGTTGTGAACTTGATTGCGTTTGTGGTGAGGTTGATGAGAACTTGGAGAACTCGTGAAGGATCCAGCTTGACCCAGTCTATGTCTAGTTGCTTGAAGGATTCGCTGATCACGAATTCCATGGAAATGTCAGCGGTCATGACCTCTCCTTCAAACATCTTCAAGGCTTTTTGCACTACCGTCAACGGCTGACAGTCCACGGGGGTCACCATGAGCATTGCTGAGTCGAGCTTCGAAAGCGTCAACACGTCGTCGACGATCCTTTTCTGATGCTGCGCACAAAGCGCTATAGTCTGAGCTGCGTCGATGTTGCTGTTTACAATGTCCGTTGGGATCCCCGTGTTTCCTGTGGACTTGAAGTCGCCTAGCGAGCTGGAAATCTCGTCGGCGCACTGCAGAATAGCACTAAGAGGGTTGCGCATCTCATGGCTCGTTATGTCGATGAAGTTCTCTTGTTGCCGCTTGAGCTCAACCGCCTCCTCCATCTTCCTTTTCTGGAATCCCTCAGCCCACTTCTGCTGACTAATGTTCGTGATGCTACCGAAGACACTCTTGAGCATCCCGGCTGCGTGCACCTCTGGAAAAGCGCTGAACAGGACCCAAGTATCACCCTTGTTGCCGTTCCTGTCTTCCCACGAGGCCTTGAATCGGAATTCGACGTTGATCGATCTAGTCTCTTCAACCAATTCTAACCAGAGAGTTCTGACTAGTGCTTGATCTTCCTCTTTGACCGATTCTATCCATCTATCCGTGCTATTAGTGTTCCTAGGCACACGAGAAATTTCATACCACGTGTCGTTGCAGTACGTGATATGGCCTTCAGAGTCTGCAATAAACAACCCTGCAGGAGAGTATTCTGCCATCCTGGTGAATCTTGTTTCGCTGTCCTTTGCTTCTTGAGTCCGTGCTGCGAGCTGTTCCGAAAGGTTTATTCGATCCTCTGCGGCCAACTTCGCCGCCTTTTGCCCTCGCCGTATTTCTTCTTCAAACAAGACTACCGAGGCCAGCGAAGTCGCCAGCTGTCGGGACAAAAGCTGGACAAACAAGGTGTAGTCATCGTCGTACGGTCTTCGGGGGTTTACGCCCATGACTAAAAACCCAAGTATCGATTCGCCAGTGGTGGGATGAATAGGGCAAACGACCACTTGTCGGCAAGCATCACCAAATCCGCGCCAGTCTAGTCCTTCCATCATATTCGCAGGGAGATCTCCAGTTCCAATATCGAGTAATACCGGCTTGTCGGTTTTCATAACTTCGCGGAAGACGGGCCCGAACCCTTCGTTCCCCTCCTTTAAGTCGATGTGATCTGGAGCTGCTGGATGTTCTTTGGGTACTCCTAGTACACCCTCCAAATAGCAGACTTTCGTTCCCAGAAGGCTGCTGGAATGGATAGACGAGCAATCGCTATCTGAATCGTCGGAAACAGAGTACAGCAGAACCATAGGAGCGTCGAGTTCGTTAATTTCTAGAGCACCGAGAACTTGACGCCAGAATCCCTTCATATCTCGCGCGGTTGCAGTGCGTTCTCCGACTTCCCGTAATGTCAGCATGCGCCTCTCGGCAATTTTGCGCCTCGTCTTCTCGAATGCGGGATTATATAAACCCATGACGCTGCCATCGCCGCCCACCATTGGTATTATCGACCAGGAAAAGTAAGTTTCTTCTAGATATTCGTTGCGCATGATGAATAGGCAGTCATCATCCTAACAAGATCAGCGACTGATTCCAAAAGGCACACAAGAAACGAACCTTCATTGTTGCCTCGCCCGTTAGCCTCGCATTCGCAAACACATCCCTCACTTCGTCCCAAATCTCAGCCCACGCGTCCTTGTAGCTTTGCCCCATCAGCGTTGGATGCTTCTGTCCGGCCAACATCACGTATGCCTCGTTGTAGATAGCTACGAGGTCATCTCCCCAATACATTGCTGCTGGATGTGGACTGGCCATTATCAGATTACACATCTGCCGAAGATCGGAGGACCAGAATTCGATTGGGCCGAGGGGTGTAGACGCCCAATCGATACTTCGTGCAAACTGGATATGTCGCGGTAGATTGTCTGTTATAGGGAGACGGGTCCAATCAAAGAAGCCCATCTCTTTAGGTACATTACTTGTGTCACTGGATAATGAGTCATTATTTATCGCTGATGTTGCTCGGGCTACGGACTCTGCAAACGAGGAAAATGCGGCAAGAGTTTGTGGGACTTCAGGGCCGCCGCTGGGATTGCCCCAGTCTGTTGCATTGAAGACGATATCGTCGATGCCATTCGTAGCGTGTTCAATGGTGGTTACTGGGACATTACTCTCTATTCCTTGATCATCTGCCGTGGGTGGTAGAGCAGCCGTGGAACCAAAATAATCTTGGGGCTCCTCGTTAGAAGTAGTGTGCTGGCCTACAGATCCTGAGGAAGGGTCCTGACTACTCGACATTGGTTCTTGAGAGCTAGAAGTAACAGTCCTGCCTTTGCGAGGCTTATTAGATGGCAGGTTGGGAGACAAGGAAGAAGAATAGCTGCCGCTGACCACTCGCAGTCGTTTTCTTATGGTCGAACATTGCCATATCATTCCTCCGTGCTCCACCGGGGGAGGGTGAACATTAGGGCTATCGCCCAGTGCGACAGTGCCTATCAGCCATCCCCGAAACTGTGGTGAAGCACTGGCAAGGGGAGTTGATGGCGAAGCCTCTGGCGATTTCCCGGTCACTACTTCAATTAGAGCTGGCGCCGAACGGAGGGCAGAGTTGGCGAAGATAATCTGCAATGGTCCTGGCGTTGAAGGCGCATCTCCGATGTCGACAATAAAAGTTGGTCGTTGATCTTGCTCTAACAATTCTACAATGCCAATTGAACCGAGTATGCGGAGGAGACCGCTCCTATCACTGTTGCTGTCTGGCGACGACGTGCCTGCAATGCTGTCCTGATCCCCACTCGGGACGCTTGTGAAGCCTGCTCCTGGTGGACTGAGCCCGCTGAATGTTCCCCGCGCCAACGTCACGGTTTTTATGCCCGTGTCCTCGCTCCGTGTGTTGCTCAGCATTCTGGCCGCGGCCTCTCCGCTGGAAAATCGAGGCGGGAGCTGGGGCCTCTTCCTGCCCTTGTTCGAGAAGAAGAGCGGCGACGGCGGCTGGTCGTTGGCGTTGACACCAAGTGGGAAGTTGAAGTGGTCTAGGGAGTACCGTGGGCGGGCATTGAGTCGACGCCGCTTGTGCAATGGCTCGCTCGAGGGTGTCTGGGTCGCAGGGACGTCGTCTGGATGCGATGGGTGCTTTCGACCCGGCGCAGACGGGGTGGTGAAGTGCCCACCGGAGACGGGGACAGCTGGGTGGGCTGATACCGTTGACGGCCGGCGACGGGCAGGCTGCTCAGCAGTGCTTGAGGGCGGCCATGAAGGGGCGGGTACAATGGACGGCTTCTTCGGATGCGAGGTCGAGGGCGGTGGATCGGCGTGATTGAGGAGGGTCTTCTGGTACTCGGGGGTGCTCAGGCGGCGGTTCTCAGCTTCGGTGGGGTTGGAGCTGGCAGCGGAGGATCCTGTAAAGATGCTTTTCACCTGCCGGCTCATGTGGTTAGCTGTCGCCGGGGAGTCACGACGCAGTCCGAGGGGCGTGGACCGCACAAGGAATGCTGGAGGAGCGGCGGGGCGGAGGCTACCGGGGCCAGACTAGTCGATGGCGGAAAGCTGGGCGGGTGGCATTCACGCTGCAGCGGGGGGTGACCAGAGCATGCGGCGGGCGGGCATGGGGCATGTGGAACAGGTGGCAGGTGGAACGGAGTGAATTGGTGAAGCTGCGCGTCTCCGGCAGTCGAAGCGCATCTCCCGTGGGTCTCGACTCTCAGTCACGGCACGGCTATCTGCCCGATCTACAGCGGAAGAGGTCTAGCAGCATTGGCCGCGCGCAACCCCTACAAATAAATTCACGTCGTGGAAGGGAGACGAGAGACGCGCAGAGCTGGCTCTACACAGCACAGCTGAGTTCTAAGCGGCGCCTCGATGATACGAACGCGTGGGCGGGGCTTGCTTTTCATTCAGCTGTTCGTGTATGGCATCATGGTAGGGTCACGGTGGTGTCCTCGTCGTCTCGCCACATCAGATTGACGTCCGGGATTCGAAGCTTGGATGCCTTCAGCCGCGGCCATCTGAGACCTCCCTGCCGTCTGAAGACTCCTGGCACCGGATATCAAAACAGCCCGCGCGTGTCGGCCTGCAGCCAAATGGTTGTACCGAATGCGAGGTCGGAGTATAGTTAAGAAAGCTCCACGGTTCCGAGTGTTGAGTACTGTATAAGCAATCCAGCCTGTCACGTGATTCGAGGCTTGAACCTTCATTTTTGTCCAATGCCTAGAGGAAAGTATGGACGTGCTACTATAACAAGGTAATCTCGTTCATCGCTATCATAGCTTTCTTCGTAAACAGCTTTGAGCGAGGAGAAAGCAGTCAAGCAATCTGCCAATTAGGCTTCGTAAAGACGGCGCAGCAGACCTTCATGAAGACCCTAGAGAGGACCAGGGCAACCCTGTCGATGAAAGATGTTTCGATAACCAAGATGTCATGGTTGCAGGCCCTCCGCTTAGAAGTCTTCAATCTTATAGACAGCATATGCCGGCTCCTCGTACGGATGAGCTCTAGAATGACTGTCAGACCAGTGGACCCGCACTGTATCAAGACTGATGCGCCGATGTCACGGTCGCTTCCCGGGAAACCTCTCTCGCGATAGAGGATTGAAAATTGAAACTCACCCCTTCAAAGCCGCAACCGCCCTCCTCACAACCTCCTCTCCAATACACAGCGTCTCCACCCTCGCCTCCTCCACCTCCTCTAGCGCCCCGACCTTCCCGATATGCGGATTCGCTGTGTCGCCAGGCCGGAACTGCCCAGTGCCTGTTGCAACCCACGCGCACTCGGTGTAGTTCCCAGGCCCGGGGTAGCGGCCTGCACCTGCAGCGAATATGGCGGCTTTGCACGCGGCGAGGGCCGAGGGGGGAGTGTAGAAGATCAGGGTGAAGCGGGTTAAGGCAGATGTCATTGTGGGAATGTAGCGTAAAGCTGGCTATGGAGGACGAGGAAGCAGAGGGAGGGCTGAGGGTCTTAGTCACTGCTTTTGGATTAGAGCGGCGTGATGGATGTATTCAGAGGTTGGAGATGAGACGCGCTGAAGCATGGGTCTTCCCTGCTGGCACGTGCAATGCCGAAAGCAAGTCGACTCCATCTCTCCCCATCGAACACGAACAAACTCGGACTGAACTCACGGCCTCGCCGACTCAGCGTTTTGATCCTCTGGAGCGTATCTGAGTCAACCTCAATACTTCGTACACGCCACCATGCCAGCCAACGAGACACGAAAACTGACAGATGACGACGAACGAGACAGGGGAAGCCAACGGCTGTCTATCACGCCCCGAAAGAGATCGACCAACCTTATTGTCCGGAAACGGCGGACGCTAAATGGTGGTGTTTCGATATGTTGATGTTCCTGACGATAGCTTGAATCTGAACACGGTCACATGGCCATATAGCGGAGACTGAACTGGGGCTAAATAGGTGGATACCTGTCGAATAGGGCAAAACAAGAAGTCTATCACATTCACAAAAATCCTCCAATCCTAGGCCTCGTCGGCAGTACTCGCTTACTCTCGCTCTTCCAGGCTGATCCCTCTTGTTGTCTTCGCCAGCGACTTTCTCGATAGTCTACAGAGACGACACGAGAGTTACGCGCCGGGGGTTTGCTGAAGCGTGGACAGCACTGACACATACAGGCTTTCAAAGTGCCACTATTCTCGATAGATTCGAGCAGCTTGACCTATGTACTATCCCTCGAATTTTAATCATTTCAAAGGTCATTGTCGTGCCACGATTATGTCCAAAAACGTGGTCCCGCCGTTCTGGACAAGAACGCACGGCCGGGGAAGCTGTGGCGCTCTCACGTAGCCCAACCGCGCGCTCTCCGTCCTCCACGACTCTCTCCATCTCCTGGTTCGTCTCTATCACTAACACCGAAGTCGTCACGGCTGCGACAACTCTCGCAAAACAATATTCCAATGTGCAATCTTGCAGCCGGCGATCTCAGCTATGATTGCCCACCTCGGAAGCGCCGTCAACGTGCCGGCCCTAACCCATGACTGTGCCTATCGCCGTCCTCTCACGCACCATCTAGCCGATCCCATGCAAGGTCGTTGTGGGCAAGCCTGGCAAGTGGGCCTCGGATTTTTCGCTGTCATGATGGCTACATATTGCCCCTCGGTCGCTGCTTGCAATCTTTACTGCTATTGTCAATATGGGTTCTGCTAGACATCGGGCTCGACGTTCATCTTTCATTAATCTTTGATATATCGCCTCGCAATGGGAGGATCTCGTCCGGCGTGGCTGTCGTCATTGACGCAGCATAGGTCGAAGCCGCCTATGTTCTTAAAAATCAGATCTTCAGAACCGTTCATCATATGCACCATTACTTTGGCTATTTTTACTGTATTACACTCATTTTCCTTCCCTCTTATCCGCAGTCTCTCTGTGGTGCGTTCTACCTAAATGGAAAAGCTCGCTAAGTGTGCCAGGATATGTTCTTGTACTCGAGCATCGTACCCGTCATACCGTTTGCGCTGCAAAGTAGAGTTGGTATTGGCCTTGATAACGGTATGCAATTTTCAGTCTCACTTTTGTATCTTCAATATGAATCTTCAAATTCTTCTTTCAAACATCTGGTGGCAAGCCTTGCAATCGTCTTATAGAAGAGTAGTGTTTGACTTGAACAGTCCAAAGCTGGGTCTCTATCCTCATCGCTGTATACGGAGGAGCACTACTAGCATTCTGCCGTAAGCACTCACTCTCCAAACTCTCATGCTTGCCTACTCTGACGCCCCATCCAGCAATTTGTGGCTGGCTGGCCGACCAATCCTCCTCCCGCCGCTTGCCTCTGCTCCTGGGTCTCCTCGCCCTTCTCGGTGCAACTGTGATGCTGAACGTCGGTTCAAGTGTCAGTGTCCTCGTGGTAGCCAGGGTGCTTCAAGGCGCGTCTGCCGCCGTTGTGTGGGTCTTCTCTCACCCTTGTCCCTTCTCCGCTTTCCTCCGAGCTCCGAGTCATGACACGACTAACGTCATACAGCTGGGTTGTTGGTCTCGCACTCTTGGCCGATACTGTACCATATCGCTCTATTAGTCAAGCGATGGGATGGGTAGGCCTTGGCATGAGCCTGGGTCTCCTCGTCGGTCCCCTCCTCGGCGGGGTCGTCTTCGCGCGTGCCGGCTACAATGCCGTCTTCGGCATGTCATATGCCATTATTGGATTGGATATCATTCTACGACTGGCGCTCATCGAGAAAAAAGTTGCTGTGCGGTGGGATCCAGACGTCGAAGATGTTACAGGCCATACCGGAACTGCGAGTCTTAGGCAGGGCGTACACGAAGAAGAAAGGGACCCCGGATCCTCCATCGACTTCGAAAAGGCCTCGTCGCCATCTGCCTCGTCGCCATTCCGTGACTCAGAGAAGAACATCGAGAAAGGAACGGAAAAGAAAGCCTCAACAGCTTCGCTCCAGCCACCATCCCCAATGACAACCACATTCCTTCCTCCTCCACCCATCGCATCCCCCAAACGGCCCCTGCGAGAACGCCTACCCCCTCTCTTCTCCCTCCTCTACTCCCGTCGCCTTCTAGCCGCCTTATGGGGTGCTTTCGTCCAGTCCACGCTAATGACCGCTTTCGACTCTGTCCTAGCTCTCCAAGCTGCCAAAATCTTCCACTTCAACTCTACAGGCGCCGGCCTCCTCTTCCTCCCCATCGTACTCCCTACTTTCTTCGCACCGTGTACGTATCCTCTCCTATACACACATACTCCAGTTTTTCTTGCTGGCTTTCCCTTCGTCGTACCCAACCCTTTCACGCATCCACTAATGCCCCCACCCCTACCACAGTAATAGGTTACCTCTGCGACCGCTACCACCCCCGCTACCCCGCCACCCTCGGTTTCCTCCTCGCCTGCCCCCCCTACGTGTGCCTCCGCTACATCGACCACAATACGCTGGGCGACAAAGTCCTCTTCTGCGCGCTGCTGGCCTGCATCGGGGTGAGCTTGGCGCTAACGTTCCCGCCCTTCATGGCCGAGATCACGCTCGTCGTGGAAGCGAAGGAGCGCGCGCAGCTTGCGCAGGGGAAGCCCGGGTTCGGGACGCAAGGCGCGTACGCGCAGGCGTATGGGCTGTTCAACATGGCGTTTGCGGCGGGCTGTCTGGTGGGGCCGGTGTGGGCGGGGTTCGTGCGGGAGGGGCCGGGGTGGGCGACGATGGGGTGGTCGTTGGGGCTGTTGAGTGCGGTCACGGCCGTGCCGACTTTTTTGTGGATGGGGGGGTGGGTTGGGAGGAAGAGGGCAGAAGAGGGCGGGCTTGGGGGTGAAGGGGCGGTGTGAGTTTCTGTGTGGGTGACTGCATTGGTATTGGGGCATTTTGAGGGCGTTGGCGGCATTGAGCGTTGGTTTTGGTATACCTGGCATACTCGCCGCTTTGGCTTTTCATTTGTCCTGCATTGTGGTCGTGTTGCTGATGGCTAGCTAGAGAAGGTATATATTGCACGCATCCAATCTCAGCTGCTCGAACTCAGACTTCACACCTGGGCATACAGGTTTTGCCATATTTCCTTGGTCAGCAGCACTACTCTGAGGGCTACCAACCGACTGCTCAGTTGAATTAGATTGATCGAAATCTTGGCAGTCAATACGATCAATTGACCGCTGCCCAATTGATTCTGAATTCAATCGACTCCTTCGTTCCCATTAAGCTGAGCACACCAAAAGGTCCGAATTGGCTGTCAACTTTGACGACTTCTATCAATCCGTTTTGATCAACAATTTTGGGATTTCTCGAGGTCCGAGAGGTGATGTGAACCCGTCTTGGTGCCGACAGCACGGTCGGCCGACCATACGGTCTCCGTCGCCCATCCCCATGCCCACTCAGCAGCTCCGTCGACCCACTGAATCCCAACCAGGTCCGTCCACGCGCCCAAGAAGAAAAGATTTCATAAAGATGCCCGCGATCTCCTGCACGTCTCTGATTATCATGGCCTTCGAGACATCTTCAGCCGCCAGCCCCTCTATCATAAAGTCCTTGGTTGCGCGCCATCTGTTCAAGGCTCTGTTTTGGAGCGGAATGCTGCTGCTTCCCCTCTCGACATGGTTGATGTGCTGTATGACCAGATCCGCCAATTCGAGCGCATCATGCGACCAGGCTTGAAGCTGGGCAGGGCTGGGATCCAGACATCTCCGACCGACCTTCAAATCCAGATGCTTTGCCGAGTCTTCGCACGGCTTGCCATTCTCGTAGGTGTGGACTACGTGGGCGTTGGCTGGGCTTCCACAGCTCTCATCGTGCCTGCTGACGACCTAAGGAATGAAGTCTTTCAGCTCCATGTTTCCAGCTTTTATGGCGGCAGTTCTTCTTGCGGCGGGATCCATGCTTGCGGTGGCACTGTAGTATGGCTAGCCACTCCTTTCACTGGAGGTTATAAGTCGTCATCTGAAAGGTTTCAAATCTCCATTTGCTACTCTATCAGTCCCTTTCAACTCCTTTCGAGTACTGTTACACGTAGCCCCTTTCCCTGTTCTCCTCACACGTTCCAGCTTTATACCTTTGTTGACTCTACAATGTCTCAACACATCGCCTTCAACATAGACCACCGCTGCCCGATTCGAAGACTCCGTTTCGTGACTCAGATTAGCGGTAGCATCAGTGTTTTTGGACGCTGAGTGGCCAGAACCTCACACCACTTACTCATGGCTGTACTATGTAGATTGACTTGATTGACAGATCGGCATCGAACGAAGCGAGTTTGTCTACCCCTATTCTATCGACGATTATGCGAATCACAAACCTCCACCAAGACAGCAAGCCTCAACGCCCACCTGAAATCAAAACATACCTGTAATTCAAGCATAAACTTCACAAGACACTCGTGAATTCTAAAGTCTGCATTAGAGTATCATACAACCGTGCTAATCCACCCATTACCCTGATCCATGCATCGCCCTCCTCTGCTCATTGCACTCCTCCACCCATTACACTATCCCACCATAAACAGAACACACAATAACCACCCTACTCCAAAGAAAGAAAAGAAAGAACCAGAGAAACATAACCATGCTGTTGTTAAGTCATGTTGTTGTGCCGCTTTTCCGCCGTAATCAAGACGTCTTTTTTAGGAAAGAAGGGTGATAAGAACCGTGAATGCTGTCCGATTATCCATCATGTCGAGTTTTGCCGATGAAAGGTATGCTAAAGCTCAGCGATGAAAGGTAAGCCGAAAGCGTCGTCGTATGCTCCATCGTATGCAAAGTCGATCCGGTAAAGCGGTTTTCCAACCACCACCCTTTCCAACCGTTCCTTCAACCAAAACTTCCGAATCTTCCGTCTTCACCACACCAGAAAAGCCGTCCGCTTCTCTCCTTGATCCACACTCCATGCCCTACCCCCATGATACAGGTGAACTACGATCCAGTCTCTCGTACCACACCAGCCATCATCAATCTTCGCCGAAGCAAACAACCACACATACCTAATGATCAGGCTCGCACTTATTGCAGCTCGTAGTCAGCGACTCCACCGCCTTCACCACCTCATACACGCCGCACGGAGCCCTAGTGACCCTATTCTCATCGACAGAATACCCAATATACCGGTTCGGGGTAGTCCCCTTCGAGCCAGTCGCCGCAGGGGTCAGAGAATTCACGCTCGAGCTCTTGTACTGCGGAGGAACCGGGTTCGGGAACGGAGCCGTGCTGGACAGCGGAACACCAGCGGAAGCGACGCGTTGACCGGCAATACGACCGTAGTAGGCGATGCCTTGGTCAGATTGGCGCTTGCGAGGGCGTGGACTACGCTGCTTGCGCCCGTAGGTGGGATAGTCGCCCATGGCGCCATGGACTCTGGTGGAGCTGGGAGAACCTGTAAAGCCTGCTACGGGGTCAGCTACGTTTTGTTCCCATCTCGTCACGTATTCGTCAAGAGTTTCGATGGTATAGGCAGGTTTTATACCGGGCGAGGAATCGTTTCTCTCCCTCCGGTAAGTTCCACCTTGAGCGTGGTCTTTCAGTTGAGAAGGAGTGTTATCGACTTCGTGAAGTTGCGTCGCAAATGGGATGAAGGCAGAATCGGCTTGACCAAATTGTGGTAGTTGGTCTTCGGCGCGTCCGGCAACGTGATCATATGTCGCCTGCGAGTAGGTATGAAGGGACGCAATGCCCTGAAGTGGTCCCTGGTATTGGGCAGGGTGATCGATCGTCGCCTGTGGATAGACAGGACGAGAGGAAATGCCTAAATGCGATCCCTGATCTTGGATAGGGTAATCCATCGTCGCCTGCGGATACGAAGGATGGGAAGAATGCCCGAGTTTGAAAGTTCCTTCGACGTTCTGAGACCTGTCAATCTTATTCTTTAGCTTGTATTTGCTCTGCTTCTTCTTAGGACTACGATTCCGCGGGGGCGAGTAAGCCGGCGCCATCGACACCATCTCCATTGATGGATAGGAAGGGTAAGATGCTGGCCCTGTTGAAGCCTTCTGATGTGACGCTAGCTGCAAGGATGCAGCTGCATCAGCTTTTGATCGATAAGGAGACTCAAGAGTTGGTCCTATTGGTGCGGTTGGCACTGGCTGATACATAGAGTAAGCCAGGTTTTGATCTCTTGTGTCGTGGTAAAATGAGCTTTGATGCTGACTGAAGTCCTGCGGCCCATCAAAGGGAAGATCTGGATTGGCGAAGCCGGCGTTGTTCAACTTAGGTACAAACACAGGGGCCGTTGCCCGTAGAGAGCCCAGAGACGATTTTGGTTCGACCTTGGCTATTTCCTGCACAGTACCTACTGGTTCTTGCTGAACAGTTCCAGCTGACGGCGACCGGGAAAGGGGAGTGTTTGAGGATTTGCTCTTGGCCCAAGACTGGAGCCGTGACACTCTGCGAATGGTTGGGACAGGCGATTGAGAAGCGGTAGCCTTCGAAGATGCTTGCGTGGATGATGTCGTCCGTTTTAAAGCTTTACGGCCACGTACTTCACCAGGGACATTCTTGCCCATTCCGGTGGGACTGTCTCTCCCGTCGCTCGGAGGTGCTTTTGTTTTCTTTCCCGGTTTCTTGTTTGTAGAACTATACTCTCCGACGGGCTCTTTTCCAAATACAGGAAAGGTAAGACTAGCTTTGGGTTTATTGGAGACCTCAGCGGGCGGATCGCATCCGATAAAAAGCATGGATCCGGAAGAGTTGGTACGTGCGGTTCCAGCACTGAGCGTTGTAATTGCACCAGCACCTTCGTCTTCGTCAAAGATGGCCCCTTCGTTTCGTCGGGTGATAGGGGAAGTGCTCAGTCTGTCGATACGACCCTTAGGAACCGCGATATTCTCGATGTTGATAGTGACCTTGGCTTGCCCTTCTAATTCTGGAGACTGCACTGCTGATTCTGGGAGAGGAATGCGATATTCAGAGCCGTGGAAATCTGAGGCGGTACTAGTCTCAGTGCCGAAGCTTGCCTTCCGTACACTTGTCCTTCGATTTATGAATCCCATGATATCAGATCGTGCGCTAGATGAATCCGCCGTCAAGCGGCGAGATCTAGTCGTTGGCTGGGGAATGCAAGACCCTGGCGAGGATGGCGTGATTTGGGGCACCTCCGATTTCAGCTGTATTGGCTTCGGAGCCTTGGTTTCGTCGACCGAAGATCCAAAAGTGACCACAGAAAGCTTAGGCCGTCCAACCTTCCGCGGCTTGACGGTACTCACTTGGGAAGCGGCCTTTTGGCTCTTCACTATGCTCTGCTCAAACAATTCCACGTTAGCAAAGGTCAACTCAGGGAAAGGCTTCGGTTCTTGAATATTCTCCGCTGCAGTCGCATAGCTATGGTTGGAGCTGCTTTCAGAAGCATGACTCACTGGCGAACCTCGCGCAGTACCATACAGCGACTCCAGCGGAGAATGTGGTTGAGAACTAGCTTCTTTCGCGGTGGAGGAAATCGTAGACCGCGTGGGGGAGAGAGTGATCTTAATCGTGTTCGATCGTCTTGGGGTCTCGCAAGCCGGGGACGCGGAGGAAGAATCTCTGAGGACACTCTTCGAAGGCATAGATTTCAGCTTTCTGTTGGACAGAGAATCTGAATGCTTGGGCGGATGTTCAGCAGGTCTGCTATCTCCCTCTACTAGATCCAAAGCTTCCTTTGCAAGGAAAGTCGATGCCTCAGCGGTATTTTCCTTGCGTGATACTGCATCCCGCCTTCCTTTGATCGCCTTCTGGCGATCTTTCGCCGTCTTGCTCGGCTCAATTGGTGACGAATGCTTTGATTCACGCGCTGCAGCTCGCCGGGCAGTCTCCAAGTGTGGTCCTCTGGACTCAGTTGGGCGGCGGGATACCGATTTGCGAGGGCTCACAGGGCTAGCTATGTCGATTGAAGGTGACGCGGGAGTGAGCGTAGGAGGCGCTTCCAAAACTAGAGCGTTAGCTCTCGGATTAGGGCTGTACGTTGGGGATGTGGACTCACCCGGCGGCATGGAAAAAGTAGGGAATTGAGACAGTGGGCTCGTAGGCTCACCCGTTGGGCTGCCCAACCATACAAGCTCATCCAAAGATGCTTCCAAGGCGTCCATTTGAGAGTCGACTGGTTGGATTTTCTGCGAGTCGGTGTGATGGGTCCTGGGGTGCGCTTCGTGAACGGTGAGAGCGTCAGAAACGGAGCGACCATCGTTGGCAGGAGACTCTTCTTTTGCGCCCAGATCATCTTCAGAGACCATGTCTCCGATCTCTCCGGAAGGCTGCCCTTTTCCCGACTCGAAACGAGCCACGATTTCTTTCACCTTGCCATCATTCTGTAAAATGTCCGTCGTAAAACTCGAGAGAGCGGAATCCCCAAACTCGATGGATACTGTCAAGCCTGAGAATCTGTCGGTAATAGAAGCAGATTGCTGTCCGATATCCAGTTGAGACTCAACCGATGCGGTCGATCTATCCAATGATGTTGGGTGAGGTGCCTGACTTGGGAGGGCTTCTGACTCGCAGGCGGTAGCCATGGAGGGTGTTGTCTGGGCGGAGGATACTGTGTCAGAGTATTTCCGGGCAGACAGGACGACACGGTCTGATGATGTAGATGCTGAGCTGAAGTTTGATTGCGTGACGGTTGTGGATGAGACGTGGAAGAGATCGGTGTCGTCTCGAGGTCTCGAAGGAGCCTCACGCGATGATCTCCTTCCTGGTGGCATAGAAGAGGATCGGCCGGAGGGCAGTTGCGGTCGCGGTTGCCGGGACTCGCGCTGTGAGTCTGGGACGCGTTCTTCCTGAATGCGTGGAGCTTTATCACAGTAGTCCACAAGAACGAACTCCTGATGGCCGCAATTGGCGTGGTAAACATAATTGTAGTAACACATGTTGACGGAGATATGTCGCAGGCGTTGCCGGCGCGCGGACGTAGAGGTGGTGTGGGTTGTTGTTGTCCTGCTGGCGAAGGTGGAAGGTAGGCGCGCAACTCGAGAAGCGTCTACCGCGGCGGAGCGAGGAGCACCCTTGAGAAGACGAAAAGAAGAAACTTCGAGATGGCAGAGTTTTGCGGTGCAGCAAGTAAGATCTTTTGAGTGTGCGCAAGCCCGCTGGCAATGAAGGCGTGGCACAGCAGGTCAAGCTACGACGCGGGAGACCATAACAGCGGCTTAGGAGAATCTTGACGCCGGAACCGTCTTTCACGATGATGCTCACCAGCGGCTCCCACGATGGACTTTTGCGTCTGGTAGTGACTACTATCCCTAGTTTCAAAAAAAAAAATGACACCTATAGCATAAGCCACGTTCACCGATTCTTCTTGTAGTGCAATGCGCACTAGGCCATTCACATTTCTGCCACGCTTCATCCGACCTACCAGTCACAGTGTCCATATTTGAGGGCTACTAATCATGCCTTTTCACTTGGGAAGAATGCGAAGATCCCAAACCTTCCGATCTGGACATGCAATCTTAACTACCTACAACTGTATTTCATTCCATCGGCATCAATAGCCGACCATGGACTCACCTCGCCTCTGAAAAGCCCGTTCTACACTAGGTGAGTCCATGTGCAACACTTGTAATTCAACTATAACCTCCTCTTTTTCTTTGGGGCAGGTTTGGTCTCCTGAAACCGCTTTAACTCTCGCCTCCTCCGGTCGGCGATCTCCTCAGCTGTTTCTGGTTCTGGCGTCCGAGCCTTCGGCTTCAGAGGTGCCGCTTCCACTTTGCTCTCAGATCCAGTAGAATTATCCTGCGGAGGGTCATCTAATACGCGGGGTTTTGTTGTCGAGGCCATGCTCCGACCGCTGCTACTCTCGTGATCAACAACTGCATGTGGGTCTGGTGTGCGAGAGAGCGTTGCTCCTCTCGAATGCGTTGCGTCATCCTTCTTCCCGCCAATCTTGAAACGACTCCGCGCGGGTTTAGGCGGAATAGAGCTTCCTCTAGTGGGTGCGCTCTCGTCGGATACGGGCTGTCCACGCAAGCTTGGTATGGCATCCGCCTGCTCTTGCTGTGGCGTGCTTTCTAGTGTAGGTGCCTTCTTTGGTTTGCCAATCGTGAATCTGCTCCGAGGCTTTGGTGGTACCGAAATCTCTACTGGTACTTGATTGTCGATGTTTAATTTCGTTATGTGCTCAGTTGGGTTTTGGGATAATGGCTCCTGCTTGATTGCCTTCGGCGGAGCGTCCAAATCCTCGTCTTCCGTCGTCTCGTCGCCGGAATCGTCCTCGTTCTCAAGGTCCTGGCGGTGATTCTTCTGGTGGGGGCAAAAGTTTGATTTCACGTTCTCACGTGTTTCGGTTTTCTTTAGGTGGGGTGGCGTGGCTTGTCTCTAGAAACAAGCCCAGCAATCAGTAGGATGAATCATCAGCGTTTGCGGGATATGCTTCTTACCTGGAATTCATCGCCATCATCTTCGGTTTCCATGGCCTCATCTTCGATTGATTCAGCTTTAGTAGACCCAGCAACCTCTTTCGATTGGGAGAATTCGCTGAGATGGGTCCACCAAAGATTGTCTTGATCTCCGATCTCTACATCGCCCAAAAGACCCACATGCACATCAGTAGCCATATTTTCCATCACTTCATCTATCGTCGATGGCGTGACGGTGCATAATCTCGAGGTTGAGCGCCACTCATCTTCGTTGAAGGTGCGAAGCCCGGGTACGTGCTTGGCTGCTTGGTCCCGCTTAATGGTCTTTTTGGAGGCTCTCAACCCAGTGATACTGGGAAAAACGGTTGACAGGCCAACATTGATTGAATCTAGCTGATCGAGGAGTCTGGAGATAACTTTGTCTTTCTCTTGAAGATTATGGACCAAGTCATTTATCTGGCTTCTGTGCGTGAACGATGAGGCAAGAAGTGGCAGCGTCAATTGCTTGCTTATGTCTTCTGACGAGAGAAGTTCGAGGTGAAACTTCCAATTGAAGGGGTCCAGAGGCTCAGGCAAGACCAGCTTTGCCTGTAGGATTAGCTCATCGGTACCCTCTGGGATGATCTTGTGGCTATTTCCGTTGGACTGCTCGAGGGCGGAGGCAACCGTCTCCAGAAGATCAGCGAAATTCGACTCGTCGATATTTCCAAAGTGATTGTCCTCTGAAGTACCGCGCTCTTTGATAGCATGCTCGTCCAGCTGCTCAGACCAAACGCGGCTGAGATCCGTGACGTATATTGTGTACTTTCGTGATATGAATGAGGTTTTTAGGAACAGTGGGGGAGCCCGCGGTCCAGCATTCGAGATGCGTAGCCGCACCCAGGCCGATGCCTCCATCTTGCTGGGATGTGAAGTCCACGCGTCGTGGGTGCTGCTTCGACGAAAGACGCGTCTGATGCGAAGACATGTGGAATAGAGAGCGAAATAGTACGAGATTCACCTTAACATTCTTGACGAGACAGTTCACGGGAATGAGAGTCACTGAGGCCTAATGTCGCGAAGAATTGACATTGTCAGACGTGGAGTGTGAATAGGCATCCAGGTGGACCCTTGCAGGTGAGGATCGGACCGTCTTGGCAACCTTTCCGACGTCACGTCTCGGTGAACTTTCGCGCCTCACCAGCTCACCATCCACACCTCACTATTCTACGTCGCCTTAGTCCCTCGAAGCGGTCTCGAAGTCCTAAACCACCTCTAGGAACATCTTGCAACGTCTCGGAAAATGGACAGTCGAAATCCACCATGGCGCAAGGGCCCACCGCACCATCCGCCTTCGAAGAAACCCGCCCCTCCATCCGCAATACCAAGCAAGCGTTCAGCGGATACTCAGGAAGCGGCATGGGTGGCGGATGAGGATCGATTCGTACTGCAACAAGCAAAGAAGAAGGCTGCTATCCGAGTCAAGGGCGGGAGAGCCAAGCCAATCGACTGGCTAGCTGTAACACTCCGGATAATCGACCCTACCAAGAACCCATTGGATGATGAGGTTGACGACTCGGAACTGGATGTGGTGGACCCCGAGGGTGTGCTGGAAGGATTGAACGACTCTCAGCTGGAGGAGTTGGAGAAAGATATTGGCGTTTACCTGACCCTAGAGACAAATCGAAGCAATCAAGAGTACTGGAGTGTAAGTTTTGCAAAATCTACGTTCTGAACATGGCTTATCTAGTATAGACTATGAAGGTCATCTGCAAGGATCGTCGTCAGCGATCAAAGGCCGCGGCACCTGAAGCACGCGGTGTCAGCTCCGTTTCCGCCGATGTTGATCGCCTACTGGGTCCCAAAACATATGAAGAGCTGGAGGTCTTGGAAAAACAGATTCGAAAAAAATTGGATTCAAATGAGCCCATTGATGTGGATTACTGGGAACATCTCCTTCGTAGTTTGATGGTATGGAAGGCTAAGGCGAAATTGCGACGAGTCTCACAAGCAATCCTGAGCAGCCGGCTGGACAAACTGCGGAAGCAGCAACAGGACGAAGCAGACTCTGTTCGAGAAAAGCTTGAGATCGTCCTCGGTACGTCGAAAGCATCGAGCAACTCTACGCTAACCCAATACGATGTGAAACTCGATCCCGAGCCGTCGTTGAAAGTTCGTCCAGAAGACAAAGCTCTTGAATCCGTTGACGAGAAGCTATTTCTTGAGCAAGTAGTGCGTAAAATTGGTTCTATATTCTGATCTATCTGGAACTAATCGATAATACAGGTTGACGAGAGGCGCAAAGTTATCAAACTTGGCTACGTGCCGGTCCGCCAGAAAATGTCCGAAAAGGCCTCAAGTCAGCTGCCTTCGAGACCACACGAGTCAGCAGCTCTTGGGCCTGCCAGATTTGCGCTAGCCCGCAATGACGATTTTTCCCAGGCGACGACGGCGCTCTACGAGCGTGAGGTTGCACGAGGAGTCGATGAAAACGAAGAAATATTCGCCGGGGAAGAGGAGGTCTCCACTGCTAGTAAACCACAGTGGGCAGATAAGTATCGGCCAAGAAAGCCACGCTACTTTAACCGAGTGCAGATGGGCTACGAATGGAATAAGTACAACCAGACTCACTACGATCACGACAATCCTCCGCCTAAAGTGGTACAGGGGTACAAGTTCAACGTCTTCTACCCGGACTTGATCGACAAGAGCAAAGCACCCACCTATCGGATTGAGCGAGAGAACGGCAGGAAGAAAGGCCAGTCCTTCGCCCCCGCTGGCGAGGAGGACACCTGTCTGATCCGCTTCGTCGCTGGGCCTCCCTACGAAGACGTAGCCTTCCGGATAGTCGACAAAGAGTGGGACTTCAGCGCCAAGAGAGAGCGAGGCTTCAAGAGTAGCTTTGACAAGGTACGTCGTTGTGGGCTGCGGAGGGTGTGCTGTCGCAGCGGTGTGCTACGCCAGCAACGCAGGCATTGGGAAAGACATCCATGCTAACACTACGTAGGGTATCCTGCAGCTTCATTTCCAGTTCAAGAAAGTGAGTAATCCTTTTCAAATTGGGTGTTTGACAAGCATCCGAGCTAACAGTTGCAGATCTATTATCGAAAATGAACACGGGCCCAACCCGTCCTCGCTACTGCCAACCTCCGATGGCCACTTAATCCAGGGTGTGTTATATGTGAGCCTTATTCAACGGCTGTGCAGGATACACAAATCCATCGAACTAGCCGCGCCTCGGTAAATATTCCCATGGAAATCGAGTTGTTGGGGGTGCTCATGTGTATTTCAGCCACCCTCCTAGATGTCACCCCTATCCGAGTTACTACTGCTTCTAGAATACAGCTTGATATTCATCAATCTCGCACATCGGATGCATGTCCCTGCTGCGCTCCCCGGATTTGTGGGGTTCGCTAAAGTGACGCTCGTCAGAGATGCTAATTTGAAGTTGACGATTCGGATCATGTTGTCAGCCCATAAAGCGGCTGATCGCGGATGAGGGTCTCTTGCCGTAAGTGAATTTGCATCACGCTGGCTGGTATTCGGATTCTAGTGAGTCTCTTGATGTAGAAGGGCGGATACATGATGGTTGTGGGCACCCGCTCTCCGAAGCCCCGCCGGACAGTCAAGCTCCATTGTCGTCCAAAAGCGGAGAAAGCTCGCACGTGTGAGGCAGAGGGACAACGGCGGTTGTTGCGATGAGCAAGCCGGCGTGTAACAGCGCGTGCGCTTTGTTACTGGCGGCGCGGCTTAATATCGCGCCACGCTCTCACAAACCCCCCTGATGGTCGTGTGCTTGGGCACCATGGTGCAACACAGGGCGCGCGATTCCAGAAGGCTTGGGACGCATGGAACCCGGGCAGACACCTGAAGGCGGCGTTTTTTGCAACGGGCCTTTCCGTCTGGCACTTACAGCATGGGTTGCTGCACGCTCCCGCTCGGGGCCTGGCACACCAGTCACCGCCCACAAAGCGGTAGGACTGTGTTGGTCATCCCCCCCTTGTCCCTTTGCCAATTGGCCGGGCGTCGGGCTTGCAAGGCGTCCGCCGCCTACAGCAGCCTGTGCCGGATTGTCACACTCACCATGGAGAGAGGCTTTGATATCGGCCTGTTTGCTGCCATCGCCGGCTGCGGCAGGAAAATGCTCTTGCGCATGCGCTGGCAGCCGCTGCCAGATGACTGCGGTGCTGCTGCTCCCGATCTGGGGCCGTCCGGCTCGATAGAAATGTCTCAGCATTCGCTTCACTCTTTCTGGACGCCCTATTGACTACTCTGCTCGCGCCATCTTCAACCTTCGCCCCGTACCACCATTGGCGCTGGCATCGTATCTGGCCACTGCTTGAGATCTCTCTGCTCCAATCCTACTGCAGCTAGACAGCACAGCGGCCATGTCGCGCCCAGGCTCACCCCATCAGGCGTACCCTGGGGACCCCTCTGCAGAGGTCGGTATCACTGCAGCACCGCGGAGCCCCTTCTGTCCCAACGGCCTTCCCAATATTCAAAACCCTTCCTCTCCGCCCTCTCTGTTGGCTACACCGCGCTTCATGGCGTCCACGTCCTCTGCTCCCGCCAATTCTGGGGCATCTCGCTTCCAACCGTCACTGATGGATATCAACGAGAGCCTCCAGTGGCCTTCCGGATGCGATCTTTCCTTTTCTCAGCTTTCACAAGAGCCTTCCAACTATCAAATGACACAGCAGTACACCCCAGACTCCAGCGCCCTTTACAATTACACTGCTCAGCGGCTTCCCTACAGATCTTCATACAACATGACATACTCTCCCACAAGCACTGAGTCTAGCTGTCCTCGTACCTACACTGGCCTTGATCTAGTTGGCTCCGTAGGAAGCATGAACGAAGCGTATCCACCTTCTGCGTATCTCCTCGAACCTCAAAAATCTCAAGACATGCTGGACGTATCATCTCACTTCGCCCCTGGATCTATGTGTCAGTTCAAGGACGATTTCGAAGGCCAATGTCTACCCGTGATGAAGTCCGCAGATTCCAACTATGGTCATTCCCGATTCGATTCAGATATCGGTATGCCAAACAGCATTCCTACGCCAGAGCCTCAGGTGACTCCAATCGATATCTGTAAAAGCGAAACACCTCACGAAGATGCAAACGTGGACAAGGAGCAGCCGTATGCCCAGCTTATCTACCGCGCCCTCATGGAGCAAGAGGGTCACACGATGGTCCTTAGAGACATCTACAATTGGTTCAAACGCAACACAGACAAGGCTACCGACAAAGAAACCAAGGGATGGCAAAACAGTATACGTCACAACCTTTCGATGAACGGGGTAAGAGCTCTCAATTGCCGATCTGGGCCGTGCATGGCTAACATTTCCAGGCATTCGAGAAGGTCGATCAGCCGGTTGGAGATGCCATCACCCGGGAAGAAGCCAAGAAAGGCTTCATGTGGAGGCTCACGGATAGCGCAATTCGTGAAGGGGTCAAAAGCACTACCAGATACAGAAGTAAGCTACCGAACAAACGAGGCTGCAGATCGCAAAATCCTGCGCCACAGCGGCAAGCATCTGGAGCGAAGGGTGGCCAAGCTGCGAGGAAAGCTGCGCGTCTGAGACGATCAGAAAGACTGAGAGACACCCGCAGCGTACCGATGCACAAAGGCGACACGTATCCATCAAGGCCCGGACCATCATACACTCCATTCGATAATTTTACCCCTTCTGATCTTGCCACGGGGTACCCGGCATCGCCATACTACTGCCATTCCGAGATGGACTTCGGCACTCCCATCAAGCAAGAGGCCTTGCCATCATCGTTTGGGCAAAATCTGGACATTCTATCGGGACAAACGTATCCAGACTCACCGCAAGGGCTCTGTTCCGACATGCATTACCTTCTCCCGTACTCGCCGGAGGAACCCTTGTTCTACGGTAGCGGATCGGAATCTGGGAGTGAACCAATGACACCACCGTCACAGGACTACTGCGCTATGGACACGTCGATGCCACAGGAGCCCGCATGCTATACGGAGGCTGGCGAGATCTATTGATGTGGATCTAATCACCAAATCTGGGTAGCGCTTCATTTCACTGATCATATTCTCTCGCGTTGTCTGCAGCATTTTATTTTTTTTCCAAACCCCTTGACGGCGGCGGCAGTCCTAGCCAACTCATCATCCTGCGCTTCTGCATATTTCATGCATGGGCGCGCTCTAGTTCCATCAGCCCTCCAATGATGATGAAAGAGGCGCTAGGGAGGTTTTATAACGACATGTCACGACTCGGTCCAACTTCGCATCGCATCACCTTCGCATCTTTTCTTACTCTACTCGAATTTCTTCGGGGGAAATCTGGCTAGCTGCTCTTGCTCTGTCGTCACGGCCTCCATCTACTGAGCGACATTTAGACTTGTCTTCGCATAACGAATGTGTCTTTCTGCTCGAGGTCGTCTAAGAGATGAAACGGGATGTCTCTCTTGTACAGATCTGTACAAATACCCATGGTTCTTGTACTCTAGAACTGGCAGCTGGAAGGAAGGGTCCCGAGATAGAGATCAATGTTCATTACTGGTACTTTGTGCTTGCATCCATGCTCTCGGCTTCACTGCTGCTGACACCCCTGCCGAGTTCAGCATCAGCCTTACAGCGCAGGGGGGGTCCAACACCTCTCTCCCTCAATGGAGACACTAACCTTAACTTAGCATAAAGATGCCGATAGTCTAACCAACATTCAAGTCAACACCCGCAAGTGCCGAGAAATGCGACAGCCTCTTCTGGGGCCCCTCAGCCCGCCTGCTATGCCGTTGGTCCGCACAGCTCGCCAAGAGACACGGCACGGGACTTGCAACGAGTGCTATGTGGTTCGCGATGCAGCCACTGTCGCGATGGCGAGAGTGGCGGCCTCTCAGCTACGCCTGTCGATGCACATGAGCTTGCGGCCCACAGTTCGTCAGCCGTTACGCTTATCGCTCCCGTTGCCCCATTCCTACACGTTGCGCCTTTCAGCTGCAGACGCATATATCTCCGGTCTGGTCGGTGAGGTAATATCTCCGCTTTGACAAGGACTGTTCCACTGCTGATCTTGATACTCATGATTTCTCGTCCCATCGGGTTATGGAGGTGGTGTTCAGCCTTGCGAGCTGTAGCTGTAGGAGTCCTTGTTCCATGCTTCTTACTTGCGTCACAAGCGAAGCCACTATCTGCTTTGTTTATGCTCAGGTAGTAAGTATCACATACTGATTCATCGGCGATGAAGTAGTGGCTTGAATCTTTTTACATCTAGATTCTCGTTCCCGTTAATTCCTTCTTCGACTCCATGCACGCAAGCGAGCTTCCCCTCAACCCGACCTCCACTGGCTGACTCGTTCACCTGAGCATTGGTCCGCTGCGGACCGTACCGCGAATCCGCTCCGAAACGGGCCGGTCCAGAGCTGCTTGCACTGGCTCCCGGACGCCACCACTCTCCGCAGCGACCATGCAAAGGCGTAACTATGGTCGTCTCTCCCCTAACAGCCGCAGAAGATTTCATCGCCGCTACTTACGTGCTTTGTTTCGAGGACTGCTGAAAATTTGGAGAGAGGAAACGGCCTTTCTTCTCCTAATCTCCAGATTTGGAATACTCGATTACTGCATCTTGTCCTTGCCGCCTCTACTGCATACTCTGTCTCTTATCTTCTACACCCTGCCCCATTACTAATCATTTTGAACTTCCACGATAGTAAAGAGTCTCTACGGCTTCTAAAAGGCTCAGAAGTGCTGCTAGAGAACTTCTCATCTTGCGGTATTTAAGTTCCTAGCCAGCTATATGTCTTTCCAAGATATAGAAAGTGGCTCTATAGCGCCTTATCATAGATATCCGTACACTTGCCTGCCACTGTCTATGGGACTTTGACGTACTAATAGAAATCAAGGGCAGCGGACAAACTTCTATTCTGCGTACATCCTGCTAACGCTGTCTAGAGTAGCCTCGCAAAATTACTAGCTGTCTAAAATGCCAAACTCTTCTCTTATTCGGAACGCTGAAAATACCATGAGGCTCTTCACTCAGCGGCAAAAGAGTGTACAGATATCTATGACAAGACATTGTACTGACTACTAGTATACTCAGCTCAGAGTGGACCATACCTACAACATTGTCGATCAATCTCTAGACCATAGGCGGTCTTTGACGAAATCGAATATGAAGCTTGCTTAATCATGCAGCTGAGCATTTGCAATGAATGAAACCTGATTTTCTATCGCGTTCGCCTGCTATCTGACGACCGCACCAGGAATTCTTTCAGCTTTCATTTGATAAGCCACCAGTCGCCGATTCCTATTAACAACCAATAGGCGACGAGATACCTACACCTTCGACAACCCTGTTCTCTCGCCGGGCCCGACTCTATCTGCATGATCTCGGCTGGAACCTTTTCCTCCAAGTCGCGTAGTGAAAACATGTGATGCGAACGATCTTAGGTCGACGATCCCGTGTGCATCCGTTGGCAGCACTCGCTAGATTATTGGATAAAATCTGCATGTTGTTATGCACAAGAATCCGTATATGCTCACTTGGCATGGCTCCCTGTTGCGTCACATATGGATCCGATGCCTTTACTTCATAATACAGGCCATCCACTATCTCTAGCCTCTCTTAACTTAGCGTTACAGAGCTGTCAGATGGGGATCATGTCTCCCGGTGTGGACTATTGGCGCGGAATGCCTTCCGGGACCCCAAGCGATCGATTTCATTCCGAAACGTCACCTACTGGCCGAGGGAGTCCGAGCAACATCATGCCTAACCCTTTTGAGTTCTCTTACCAGGTTCACCGTTCGTAGGCACGGAGAAGCCCGAACCATCACAATAGCACAACAGCATCTCACGGACATGGTAATTTCTCTTTTTGCATTCTGCTGTGAGATCTCTGTCCTCATAAGCAAGGAGATTTGGTTTTCTTTAGCGTTCCGAACGCGGTAAAGCCTGTGGCGAAACGACCATCAACGCTGCTGACTTGGCCCCTTCACTTCGATCGAACTCGATCAAGGAAGCCCGAAAACCTATACAACTCTCGGAACACAGGCGCCAGAGCCTCTAGACCCTCCAAAACAGCATTTACACGGATCAAAGGGCTACACGATGCTCTCAAACGAGCCAGCTGCTTCCGAGTTCCACAGACCCAACGAAACCGCTGCGACGAGCGAGGGAGATCCTTGAGGCCCTGATTATACTCCATCAAACTGGATCAGTGATGATATATCACATATGCACCACTATGCGCGTTCGCTACCATTGCCAGCGTCAACTTTGTGTCACGGACACGACAGGATGAACCCCTGAGACTGAGTTAGACACTGGGCAAGAACAGCATCACCATATCTTAATCCATCTTGATAGACGCGAAGCGAGCTACTAATCGTTATTTAGGTAATATAGGGCTTAAGTTGGGCTCTAAAGCTGTCGTTGGCGATGCTCAAACCGCATTCTGGAAACTACCTTCACCCATGCTGCGACAGCGCGATCTTCAAAGTCCTCAAAGAACTAGATCACTACTCAAGAGAGGAGTTGGCAAAAGCTGTGTTGTAACGACAGACTCAACCATGTCCTACAACGGTTTCGACATTGTCCTCGACATCGCGGAGCCAAAGGCGCCACTGATGGAAATTGGCTTGACAACCACTACGGGCTTCGAGACCCTAATGAATACAATCCGTACTCCATAAGACATTACGAGAGAACATATCTTGAGAGGGCTATATGCACGGAAGTGATGGAATATCTGAGAAGCAGACTTGCTAGCGGGCGCAGAAGCGACGGTCGCTGGAAAGTTCGCGTCTCAGCCTAAAAGGGAGGCCAGGAAACCAATGCGTACCCTTCATACATCATTTCACGCTGATTCAAGACGATCATCCTAACTAGACCCCCAGTAACCTGAAAGACGGTATCTCGAAGTCCTCTGAGAAGCGGCTATGAACATACTGAAACAGCAGTGGGAAGCCCACAACCACGACGAATCCGGTTACAAAACAGTAGATTGGCGCACATCAGAGAAGTCATGTACGTTGTCATCAACAGAGCGAAAGTTGCATATCAGCTACGCTGTCGTCTAAATTCTCGCCAGCAGCGGATTCCTGTCTTCTACCACACATCGCGCGAAAACGAGGCACGAGAACGAGAGCAATGGAACAGGACACATCTCGAAGACACATAGCAAGAAAGGCCGTACTACTATCAATATCCTGTTTAGGAAATTATGGAAGCATCCACTCCATTGCGAGCTAATTAACTGGTCCTGTTCTCGCCGCATAGATGTCAGTGCTTCTCAGCTTTCCTTGCAGCTTCGAAACCATAAAAGAACAACTGCTAATACATACCTCAGTAGTCAGAAGAAAGTCTGCAACATTTCAGTGTACTCAAAGTCACCCGATTATCCAACTACACCATTACTTCCTTTCCCAGCCACGACACCGCATAAGGCACTACCAGACTGCCAACAAACCCTGAACCAATATCATAGCCTTGATCATATACCTGGCACACTAGAGCAGATATACTAGCCAAATCAATCACAAATTCAGCTACTCCCAGTCCCACGTCTGAGGCGGTCTGGAGAGCTATCAGGCTTACCAATACTGGCAATCTACAATTTCCAATAACAAATCAAGAGACCTCAAGCGGTGTGAGGCAAGAGTACACAGGCAGAAGAGCAGTCTGTCCGTCAAAATAGAACATTATGAATCAAGACCACGTATTCCTGGACTGCTACTTTTCGTTCCAGTCTTCAAGCAACTTCTGGGCAGTACATCTCACCTCAATCACAGTGGCAGAGTAAGAGTACGCCTGAAGCACCCAGTACTCATCACGAAAACCCATCCCAGATCTTCAAGGAGTACTGGGTATGACAGTTCCCCAGCACTTATCCCCACACCGCCAGACTCACCGTATCATGCCATGCGCTCCTCACGACAGATACAATGACACAAGTAGCACGTAGCACGCTGCCTCGCATCAATAGCTGCATGCACCATGCAGGCATAATATACGCAGGGCAGGCACAGGGCGCACTGAGGAAGCTTGGACGCACTCTTCGGCATCGAAGGTTTTTGTGCCTTGGATATGAAAATTGTGGTTCCTTTCACAGAAGACAGGATTTGAAACACTTTAGGTGCGTACAATACATAAGAAACAGTAAAGCACGTTTATTGCGAGAACCAATCGTTTTTCTGATCCCTATGGGTGCCGTTTGACTCCCACATTTGTCTCCACGAGCATCATTTCATTCCCGAAGTGATAGAAGCTTTACCCTAAGAGATATCCCCGGGTATCAAATTCCAAGATACCTTTCCCACCCGTCGTAGCTAACGTACACCTCTCTCGTCATCACAATCTCATTCCTCCCCGCCTCCGGCCTCTGCAACGGCAGTCCCCCTTCCTCACTCCCTCTCCGATCCCGCTCCCTCCGTCGCCCCCCCTTCTCAATCCCCATTACCGATTCTCCGCCGTAACCCTCATGCGATACGGGCTCTTAATCGCGCCCTCCTCACTCTCCCTTCTAGTCGACAAACTATTACCACGCTCCCCTCACTTTCCCCCGGCCCCTCCCCAGCCCTAAAATACCCCAGCCCCATCTTACTCCCGCTCCCATAATTCAGCCCCCCATTCCAGCTCCCCGCCGTCGTCAGCGCGCGTGCGGTATCCAGCAACCAGCGGAAGAGTGGTTTCAGGCTCGGGAGCGTGGCGGCGACGATACCAGCCCAGAGTCCGATGTAACTTCCAGACGTTGAAGGAATCGTTCATGGTACAGTCCATGTCGGCGAGGACGTTGTACTGCTGGACGGCCTTGACGATGGCGACGGCCGACGCGAAGAAGCCGAGGGAGAGGGTGAGGATGAGGGAGGTTTTGGTGCGCGTGTTGAGTTTTAGGGACCGGACGAGGAGGATGGGGAGGGTGGCGAAGAGGATGTCGTTTGCGATGTTGATGGCTAGGGTTGCGTAGTGGAGGCCGGGTTGGGAGGTGTAGGATGAGGTACGTGCAGCTGTTGAAGGGACCGATGTTGCGGAAGATGGTCTTGCTGTAGCACTTGGCCGTGCCGACGTCCACGGGCGGTGGTCGTAAAGTCGTGTCCCAGGCTGATTGTACTGGTATGCATTGGAAGATGAGGTCATGCTGCATGCGGTCGCGAATAGCACTAGGAAGATTGTCGGCATAGGGTCATGTTAATATGAGACATTCTATAAGGTCTTGATGAAGGGACTGGGATCTCTGCGAGTTCGTGTAACTCGACTCCTGAATGCCGGGCTGAGATTGAACCTACTAATAATACCGATCAAGAGCGCAATGCTAATTTTGACGCTTGTAACAGCTACCATGACAATAATGGAGTGGAAGAATAGAAGCTCAGCGAATGTCGTGTACATCCCCGGTGTCGTGAGCATCACCATGAAATGCTTTCCGAAGCCATAGTGCGTTTCGGCGAGGAAGTGACCAAACGTTGCGAGTCCCAGGACTTGACGGAGAGGTGAGATGCTGCCTTTAGGCATGATATAGAGGCAGAATGTAATGTTTGAGGGAAGGTTGAATAAGATAAAGGTGATATCAGAGAATATGGAGTGACAGTGATGCGTTGGGCACGCCTCATTCATGAAGAGAACGGGAACTGACATACCATTGCAATGACCATAATGTAGTCATCTACCCCAAAGACTCTCAGCATGACCGCCCGGACGTAGATGCGCAAGAGGACAGCTACAAATGCAAATCCGCAAAATACGCCCATGATGGCTAGGATCTGGTCCACTTCGCTGAAGGGAATATACTCAGGAGTCATGGGAGGAAGCGTAGGACCCGCCGGCGCCTGTCTTCCAACGAGCTCTTGGAATACCCAAGTCGGCATCATGAAGTCGTAGGAGGGAAGTCAATGCTTGATCTGAAGCAAGGAACGAAACCGCTCAACGATGGGAATGGCCCGCGATTAAGCCAAATCAAAAGAGACAGTGGCGAAGAAAGAGAAGCGATTGACGAACTACATTCAGAAGACGTCTTGTCCACCTGAATCTATATTATGATAGAGATCTTGGAGAATATCTGCGACATGCAGTCCGATCTGGAGAGCTTACCAAGACCTCCCGTATACCCATGACACCACATGCTTTCCCCATCCGGACGAGGTCACAGACTTCAGTGGCATACTCGCCGGCAAGAATAATCCAGGGAACACCTCTGGGATAATCTGGTCTGCAACGACTCTCGCCTTCAAAAACCTCCCAGCTGTCTGGGAGCTTCAGGCTCGATGCAACGGTGTTCAGAACTAAGGCAAGCCATCATCACCATGGCGAGATGTATTGACTCAATTTGGCATTGGAGACCGCAGCCACTGATCCCAAACGAGCAAGCCGTTCTCGTATCCTTGGGCTGTGGAGTGCCGCATGCTACTTCTGCTGGCGGACTCTCGCAGCATAGTTGAAGACCTGGAGGCCCGAAAGCTGCGGGGCTCTTACTTGCCTCTCTCTGAAGAACTGTGGTAATTCTGAACGGCAGGTCTAAGCTCATTCAGGCGCGGAAAGGGATGGCTCGCATGGGACTGCCAGTCGCATTGGAAGATGGCAAAGATCTACCTCGGCTAGGTTGATGGGTGCGGAGGATGCACTCCATGGTGGAGAGGGTGTTTAAGTATACAGGTGAAGGACCCGCCGACCCGGCCTGCTCGCTTGAACATCAAACATCAATTCGCTTAGAATTGGTCGACACGCCTTTCTCCCTCCTATCCGCTCAATATAATGATATTTCGACGGGGTAGAGACTCTGTGTCACTTCGTCTACGGTAGACCTATTCTTTTACTCTCTATCCCAATGGTCAATATTGGCAACTCTTGGTCCCGTTGCAATCGCAGTAGTCGCCTGAAACTCGGGATGAGCAGGTAGGTACCGAGGGGAGATGCCAGGACCGTGAGGGATGAACACAATGATCTTTCAAGATGACGGGAGATGCGAGGAATATAGCCTTTCACCCATCAAAGTACATTGGGGTACTTTTATCAGAAGAAACTATTGACAGCAGTCATGCCAGCGTATCTTTACCCATAGAGGTGCGATATGCACAACCCCTGGCGGTAATGCCACCGTCATTACGTTGTACTCCTTGAGTACCTGCTACTTTCCGCACCTCATACAACCCGCGCTGCACCCAGCGCGACATCTCCGCTCACACTGCCTCGCACTGGACTAAAGACGCCGACGCTGCCGACCTGATCCTCCACAACCCCGATCCCTACTGATTTCAAACCAACATACAAGGCAACTTCCCGGGGGGCTTTCTGGGCGCGCACACCAGTGGGCATTTCACTAACGGCGGCGACCCTGGCGGCGACCTCTTCGTGAGTCCGGCGATCCGGTGTTCTGGCTCCATCATGGGATGATAGACCGCGTGTGGTGGACGTGGCAGAATTTGGATATTGAGAAGGAGAAGGACGCGATTAGTGGGTCGTTGACGGTAAATAATAGTCCACCGAGTCGGAATGCAACGTTAGATGAGTGACTTTTGCATAAGACTATGATGATGTGAGGTAGCGCTGGCTTGTGGATAGCTTGATCGACTTGGGCGTGAATGCGGCCCCGATTAATATTCGAGATGAGACGAGTACGATCGCGGGGCCGTTTGCTACGTTGAAGCTTGAAGGGTATGGGTTTGAGAGAGGACGGTGGGAGAGGGAGGGGAGAAGGTGGCGAATAAGTGTTAGGTCTTCATGTTTGAGTATATACGATATACACCCAATGTTAAATGCTTTGGAGTTTAGGCGCTTCTTCGCAAATTATTTGTAGGTATGGCGATACGAATAAAAGTACTTAAAGACGCCGAGAGTTTCATTTGAACGTTAGTCTAATATTCATGTGATAACACTTATATCTCGACTGATAGTGTCTAACCTATCGGATTAGGAAAAACAGAAGTACTCATGTGCGTGGCTCAGCGCGGACGTGCTTTATGGCATTCTCACCTGTAGAGGAGGGGGGGTATACCAGAGAGTGTGCAAAAAGAACATCTAAAGAGCAAAAGACCACCCTCTTTCGAAGGTGTAGAAACTCTGATGGTTTACTCCGTGACAATGGACGTTCCGCGCGACTTTTCAGTCGAATCTATAGGAATCTTTCCGCGCGACTTTGCAGTCGAATCTGTAGGAATCTTTCCGCGCGACTTTGCAGTCGAATCTATAGGAACCTTTCCGCGCGACTTTGCAGTCGAACCTATAGGTTAGCCATAATGTCAACAAGGGCTGGAGTCGAACTCACAACCCTTGTGGGGCTCGTTGGTGGCGTTGAACCAACTGAGCCGACCGACCTGCTGTTCGAATTAGTTGGGGATTGACAGAATTAAACTAAATATATAGACTTACTCACGCTGTTAAGCTACAATCTTTCACCTTGTGGCGTTACAGCTGCCTAGGTGGCTTGTCACAGAGCTGTTGCCACAATATCCCTATAAACATGAGGTAGGTTTAAGCTGCAGTCACGTGCATCATCAAGCAATCCTCTCAGTTCATACTTCCTTCTCCTCACCCACCGCTAATTTTCCTTCCTCACATATTCAAAGCAGCGTTGGGAAAATCCACCGACCATGGACTCGCCCCATGCCCATTCAAAAGGTATTCCATTCCAATAGCTCATCTCACCTCGAATTTCTGTTCCACCTCTCCTGTCGCAAAAAAAGCGTAGACTGCGGAACATATTCACTTACATCTTCCTTTCCAGACGATGTCAAGGACACCTCTACCCTCCCACCCGGCTCCGCGGAGTCGCTCTGGAACCGCGAGGATCAGCCAATTCCGCCGTCCGACGAGCCCGAACCAGCGCGTAAGAACTTACCGCCAGGCTACCCGAACGTATGTCTGCCCTCCATCTTCTTAGTGCTCGTGGCGCAAAGAGGTAATCATTCAACCCTTCAATAGTCCCCTCTCCTCGGCTACATCCGCTTCGCCATGAACGGCTTCCGCGCCCTATCATGGAGCGAAATGCCCCCAACCACCAAGTCACCATACTCCGAGCGCTGGGGCAACGAAGCGATCAAGATCTTCATCGAGATCGCCTTTGACCACTTCGGCTTCGCACCGGACCGGGAGCTCGTCCAAAGGGCAGCTGCAGATATTGGAAGTGGTCCGGACATGACCGATTACCAGTTGTTCTTTCCAAAGGGGATGCTAGAGTGGCGGAACTTGAATGGTGTGCGGTTCGATGATATCACGAGGGCTAAAGAGTGGGAGCCCGACAAGGAAATTGCGCGATGGTATAACAGGCTGGAGAGAGATCGTGAAGAGCAGAGGCTGGACGGGATGATGAATGATATGATTGTTGAGTTGAGAGTTTTGCGCAAGGACTTGGATGAGGAGCCCGAGTCCTTGTCTAGTGCACAGAAAGAGCGCATTCGGGCTGCGTATCGAGTGCTGATGAAGTGAGCGGGGTGATGGCGTACAAGATTAAGAGGGATGTGTTCATCATAGTACTGGAATGAAATTGGCCTCAAAAGTTGTTCAAAGTATGTCTAATGCTGGAACACGAGGAAGTTTGCTAGTCAAATGACAGTGCTTGGTTATAAAAGGATGTATACCTTTTCGCCACCGCTTGGATAGCCCCAAGACCTCTTTGAAACCCTGAATATTAGGTGGACGTAAGGAGCACTATTTTTGAGCGTTAAATCCCTCGGGGCCTACTCCCGTCATGTTGAGAGTTTGCAAATAGCAGTCCCCAATGAGCTCATATTTCTTTTCCCGGCCTCGAAAGCGTCATAGGGCTGCACGATACATGGATACCGGTCGCCGAAGAAGAAAAGTACTAGGTGTATTCATCCTCTTCTTAGGGGTCTGTATGTAACGCTATACCTTTCAGATGAATACAAAATGTCCAAAAGATAGACACGAAGAGAAGTTGGGATCTTGGCCCAAGCGTCGAGCACACGTGATCCATAGCACTCGCTTAGCTTTGCAGGGGCATTTTCAACCTCCACACTTCGTCGACGACAACATATCGCGATCCGCCCGCATCCTCACAAACGACTCCTTCACAACCCGTCAACTCCCATACCCTCAAATCAAAATGTGCGTTGACTCCCTAAGAACTCTTCCCTAAGATGGGACTGCGCGGGGCCTGCATGAGGGCATTGATCTGACAAGCAGCAGGGAGAACGAACGCGGCGAGCTCGTCGACCTGTAAGAGCCCCAATCGCCTCACCTGGGTCATTCCAAGCCGTCTATTTTGAAAACCCTGCTAATTTCGATGATTTAGTTATGTTCCCCGCAAGGTACGCCTATATGACCGTGAATAGAGCCAGCCCTCGAAACCGACCTAACACACGAATAACAGTGCAGCGCCACCAACCGCATCATCAAGGCCAAGGACCACGCCTCGGTGCAAATCTCCGTCGGCAAGGTCGATGAGAACGGCCGGTACACGGGCGAGAACCAGACCTATGCCCTCTGCGGGTAAGACAACCCCTCCACACATACCTCGGAGCGGAGATTCGAAGGGCCGGATGATAACGGGAACAGATTCGTGCGCGCGATGGGCGAGAGCGACGACAGCTTGAACAGGCTGACGCAGAAGGATGGCTTCCTCAAGGCGGTGTGGAACGCAAGCCGGTAGAGGGTTGCTCTGCGAATGGAGTGGGGTGAGTTTGTCCACTATATCCCATGAGCTGCCTCGACATGGCGGGGACGATGGCTGGGTTCTCATGCTGATAATTTCTAGAGATTCTGATATGAACGGCAATTCTACGAGGTGGCCAGTTTGGTGACTGACGGCATGGCAATGGCGAAAGTGAACAAAGTCTTCGACTCACTCGGGATACGTAGCTAGGCTACCGGCACAATGCTATGACGACGACACTGTCATGATCCACCAAAACACCCATTAATCATTCAAGTTAACTATCCTACATGAAGTGAATACTCATGAACTCAGCTAGCGGCAGCAGCACTCGGATTCCACCCTCAAATCTCCTTTCAATTCATCGAACATCTGACCCTACAAGACTCCAATCAATATTTGGCGATCGCACTGTTCCTAATACGGGCCTTACCCGTTGATTGCCTTGCCTGCCCAACTACTCATCACTAATCCACTTAACATCAAATCCCGCTTTCACTGATCCGGCTAACAGAGCCAGCATTGAACCGACTCGGCTCCTATGCCTATTTCCCTGGCACAATTAATCCTTCGAGCGCCACTCTCGAGGCCTAGCCGGACCAGAATAATCATTTCACCCAAAGCCCCAACCTCAACCCCAACCCCCAATCTCCCCAAAATCCCCAAAATCCCGGCCCCCACGCACTCCTCCCGCGTTTGACCCTCCGGGCGTCGTAACCAGGAGACAACCAACTCGATCCTTCACTCCGGTGAACCCCAATGATCGCTGTTGGTTGCGTGCGATACCAAGGCGAGGCCGGAGAGCAAGACCACGCAACCCCGCCTCCTGATGAGCGCCTTCGACAGAGTTCCCTGTGCTGGCGCACAGATACGGGCGGGACATTTTCTTAGCTTGGGATCACAAATATTATCACTTGCACTCAAGACCCACGCAAGCTTGGACTGGTGATTATGGACCTGGATGATTATGATTATATTGTTTATTTGATGTTATGGGTGTTGTACAATCCGGACGGATCCCTTTCCGTGGGATCGGGTATCGTACAACGCAGCACCTCGCTCGCCGTCCAATCTGTGACGACAACCGCTACCTCCAAGCCATCCAGATTAGAGTGCCCTCAAAAGTACCTACTTCTCCACCTCCCCAACCCCAAACCGCCCCCCCTTCTCAACCGGCACCACAACCCTCACTCTCCTCCCCGCGCCCTCACCTTTCCCTGGCCCCTGACCATCCCCGCCCACAGATGCTAGCACTCGACTTGCCGCGCCCGCCGCCTTACTCTCTCCAACCCTCCACTCATCCCCCCTAACCGGCCTCGTCCTTTCCCTCTCCGCCTTCTTCCCTACCGCCTCCCTCACCCTCTCCTCCCGTCTCCTCCCCGGCACACAATCACACAAACACCCCTCAGTCGCACACGCGCCCTCCGCCATGGCCACATCCGCAAACCACGCGCTCAAGCACGCGGTATGCCCGCCATGGCCGCAGAGGGGACACCACGTCCAAAGCACCGCGCGGGGGGTCGCGTGCGCCAGCTGCGGCACACTCGGTGCCGCCAGCGCCTCCGCCTCCGCTTCCTCCACAATCCCCGGGTCGAGCGACGGCAGCAGCGGCAAAAGCGACGAGCGTTTGCGCTGCTGCCGCGAGACGTCCGCCGCCGAGCTGCGCAGCCGCGCCTTCTTCGCCTTGACGGCGCCCTCGAACGCCGGGTACGCGCCCCAGCACACGGGGCACGGCGCCTGCGCGCGCCGGCACGTCTCGCAGCGCATCTTGTCGCGCGGGTTGTTGATGGGGCTCTTGCAGCTCAGGCAGAGCAGGCCGAGCTGCGTGTCCTTGAGCGCCTGCTCATAGACTCCGGGGTAGAGGGGGTAGGCCAGGCGGCGGAGCGAAGCGGCGGCGTTGAAGAGGCCGAGCGCGTGCAGCTGCGCGTGGTAGGTGCTGAGGACGGCTTCGGCCTGGTAGGGGTTGAGGCCCGTTTCGAGCAGGGGGGTCAGACGCTTGGAGAGGATGGTGTCGATTTGGGTCGGGGAGAGGCCGAGCGTGGAGAGGTGGTCGGCGTAGGTTGCGAGGGTGGCGGGGTCGGTGGCGGAGTGGGATGTCCGGGGCAGCAGGGGCGAGAGCAGGAGGATGAGGAGGGACGACGTTTGAGCGTCGGAGAGGGTGTCGGTGTGGAATTGCAGGGTCTGGCGGAGGAGATTGAGCACGGTGAGCGTATCCGATGGCTCATCGATGTCGGCTGCTTGGAAGTCGGCGAGCAGGATTGGCTCGTCGATTTGTGGGTCTGCCGGTGGCGGCGCGCTGTTTGCTGGGGAAAGGCCGGCAGTGGGTCTGAGGGATTGCGGCGAGAGCACGTCGTCAAATGGGCCGTCTGGAACAATTGTACCACTCGCTTCCATGTTCTCGTGCGACATGTCAGCCGAGGCCTCCGAAAGTCCATCTCTGCTAAAGGCCTCGGATTCGGAGCTGTCGTGGCGAAGAAGCTGGTTGTTCCGCCGCAATGTCTCGATATCTTGGATGGCTTTGTCCCGACTTGCATATTCCAGATGCCGGTCCGTGTCATTGCGGCCCGTCCCTAGCCGTTCGACGGGCCTAGATTCGTTTGTGCCTGCCCCCACGGGCTTCGTGGTCGGAGAATAATCCACAGACCGTCCAAAGCTTCCGGTCAGCCCGCTGTTGCCAGGTTCTTGCGGCCCAGGCTGATTAGACTGCGTCGGCTGGCTGCTGCCGAAGCTTGATTTATCCTGCTGTTGCCACTTCTCGGGAATAGACCCCATGCTTCGAGGGTAAGACTTGCTGCTGGCAAAAGAGCTTGGCACTGATATTCCTCTCTGAGAGTCTGTAGAGGCCGAGAACATGGCGAAGCTTTCGTCCGAGTCATGGCGGTCCAGTCGCGGAGGGATCGCAATGCTGATCCCCTGGCTGCTCGGAGGATCCAGATTGAGCGGTGCCCGGGGGGCTGCCCGCCAGCTGCCGATCTGCGCTCGTCGCTCATCCAGGTCGTTCAGTGAATTAGCATTCCACACCGGTCCATTGAAGCTCGGTCGTCGCAGTCCGCTGGGTTTGATTGCAGTTTCCGGAGAAAGAAACCTCTCCTCCTGCGAGTGTGGGCCAACCGCAGCCGGGGGCAGGCTGAGATTCTCGTCGTGATCGGGGTCAGGCAATGACGGGAGAGTGCTGCCGGTTTTTGTATCCTGATACGGCCGTGCGAGGGGCGTGGCCAGGTTGGACGTGCTCTCAGGTTGCGCGTGATGGTGCTCTTTATCGGGACCATATATCGCACGAACTGCGGGGTTCGGGATGCCGCCGGGTCTGCCATGTGCTGCTGTGCCATCCTTGACGACCGGAGGCTGCGTGTCAGACGAAAACAGGCGCTTCTCATCGATTCGCCTCTTGTTATGTCTCTCTGCTCGATGTAATGTGGTTACAGCGACGGCCCCGCCAATGATTCTCCATGACTGAGCAAGTCTGTAGAACGCCGCTCTTTCGGCGTACTCCGCGTTCTGCTCAAACACACGGTAGAGGTCGTAGTACGACTCCAGCGTCGGCGGGTCGGGTAGCGGTATAGACTTGTATTTCTGCGCAAGGTAAGTGAAGACTTGTACGCTCATTGCGCCAGGGAGAGCCCCTCTGAACCCGACTTGGTTGGGCATCATAGAGTCACCAAGCAATTCCATGGACTCGGTTAGAAACATGACCTTAGGAGCGACGTCCGAGGAAGGCGGGGTGCTACCGAATGACCTTGTAGATCTGTTACTGGATGTCCGGCCATGGTGACGTCTGAACGAAGAGCTAAGAAAGCGGTCGTCCACACTGTCGTCTGCTGAGCTGCGCAGACTATTCTTTTCAGGGCTGTTGTGTTTTTCCCGGTCAGTTGTGTAGCTGTCTTCGACAGATGAGTACTCGAGACCCGACTGCCTTCGACGCGGCCTCTTCTGCACAAACCCGCCAACCTCGCCAGTCGGAGAGACGGCAATGGCCTGCATGTTGCGTCGATCTACGACCTTGGGCGAGAAATGGACGTCGGTCTGGGCAAAAACACCCTCTCGGCCGACAGTCCACAGGAAGTCCCTAGAGTGCCAGAGCATGTCTGACGGCGCACTGTTAAAGCGGCTTATTTCTCGGAACGGCAAGAAGGGACGCCTGAAGTCCCAGAGATGGACGACTGGGTGATCGCGATTGTATGAGGTGGCGAGCTGCGTGCACTGGTAGGCGCCCTGGTCGTGGAAATCGTCGGACCAATAGGGCGGCCGCCATCTAGCCTTGTGGACGGGGTACGGCGTGCGCAGCACAAATGCCGGCTTTTGCCTGCGGGTGTCGGAGGAGAAGTCCCAGATCTTGACGGTCCGGTCGGTGCTGGCGCTCAGCAGATGCTTGCCGTCCGGGTGCCAGTCGATCGAGGTGCATATCTTCTGCTCGTGGGCGTTGATCTTGAGCTTGGGCCCCTTGGCGTGGCGGAAGTCCCAGCGCTGAATCACTCCATTGTCAGTGCCAAAGGCAAACTCGACGCCGTCAGTGGGCGACCACTGCAGGTCGCGAATGCCCTCGCTCAGGCCGGCAAACTTCTCTCTGCTGGGACACGTCATGACATCCTTCCGCATGTCTCGCAGGTCCCACAGGCGCACCGTGGCGTCCTGGCTGCCTGACAGCAGCAGGTAGCCCTGATGGGGGTTGAAGGCGACCTTGTGCACCTGGCGGTGGTGTTCATGCAGCCGCGCTAGCTCCATGCCAGCGCGATTGAGGTCGTACAGGATGACCTTGCCATTGGTGGCGGCGGTTGCAATATGCGTGCTGAACTGGCCATGCGACCACTTGACATCGTGGATCTCCATGGTCTCGCGATGGCGCGTGTTGTGGGCCGCGTAGTTGATGATGGCGGCCCGCAGGTTGATGTCCTCGGCACACTTGGCATCCTTCACGCGGATCGTCTTCAGGATGTCGCGGCCGGCGATGATGGCGTGGGTGCGCTCGCGGTTCATGTCCAGGGCGGACATGTCCAGCCCCGTCTTGTGGCTCGCATCCTGCGACGAGCCCGAGCTGATCCTGCGGCGGTTCAGTGAGCAGTGAGTCTACGAGCGTCGACGCCTGGCTGTCTCCGTCTCCGTCGCCGTGCAGCGCCGGTACGCCCGGCCGCTTCCCCGTGGTGTTTGGGCCTCCATCGGTCGAAGCCGGAGACCTGTGACAAGCGGACAGCAGACAGTGACAGATGCAACTCACCCTGGGAGCCGGGGTACGAGGGGGTTGGGCCTTCCGACCGTCTTTTGGGCGCTCGTCGGCCGCGAGCCGTACGCCGAGAAGGGCTGCGACACGAAGCGCGAGAAGTAGCTGCGCGGCTGGCCGCCGTGCTGCTTTGCTGGCGGCAGCGGGGGCGGCGGAGGGATGGCAGACGAGGCTCGTCGCGGGTAGTCGGCCATGGGGGGCGTGTGCAGGCGGTCCAGTGGGCCCTGGTGGTGATGCGGTGAGCGTTGGGCGCGCTGGCGTCGCGTCTACGATGCCGGTTTCCAGTGCAGAGGGCCGGGACTGGCTGCGCAAATGGCAGGCCGGCCGTGGGTGATGGCCGCCGTGGTGTTGCAGCTGCACGCGGACGTGGAGCGCTCGCTGCTAGGGCTGCACCGGGCGGTGTCGCGGTGGGTACGCGGCTCTGCCATAGGCCTCGCCCGCGGGCCCTCATAGGCTCCCCTGGGGCGCCATGGAGGCCTTTTCGTGCGTGCATCTGCCCTGCCCGATCGCCGCGACCTGCCAAGCGCGAGGCAGGCCTCGACGCCACACCACCTGCGACTAAAACATGTCCATCATGCGACCGCCGCCGCTCCTCCACCGACTTCCCCAAACCACCCCCTCTGGCCCACTCTGATGTCTCTGTCGCCAGAGCTTGGGGCGACCGCCGGGACCATGATCGTGTCTCTTGCGCACCGCGGGCCCGCAGAGCTCGCCAGCTCTTCTCGTGCCGCGCCGTGGGTCCGCACGCTGCTGGTGCTGCAGTTCGCCTACCCCGTCCTTCTGCTCGTCTTCTTTCTCCTTGCCTTCACTATCCGCAGCATCAGGTCTGCCTCTAATGCTAGTCTTAATTGCGAGCCCGTCACCACCAGCGGTCCCGGCGGAAAACCGCTCCCCAACACCGACCCAACGCGCAACGCCCCCAAGGGCGAGGCCAAGGACGATGTCACTCGCTCCCAGAAGCTGCTGTTCGGGTGGCTGTCCATTGGCGTCGCCCTCACCTTTGTTGGCAACTCCATCAACGTCATTGTCCATGCCATCTACAACCGGAAGGAAGAGTGGTGGTGCGGCCAAAGCGTCGTGGTAAGCTTACCAGAGCTTCGAGAACGCTCTCTCCAACATGATCTACGCTAATCGACCGCTGACAGATCTATCTGGTTGGAGCCTTCTTTGTCTACCTGCTCTTGGTCATCTCGCTGGTCGACTCGAAGCCGACGCCGAATTCGGTCTACCTCGCCACTTGGTCCTGCGCCCTCGTTCTCGAGATCATCCTCCTAGCCGCCTCGCTCTCTATATACACGCACGCGCATCGAGAGAAGCGTGCAGGGAAACCTCGCCATGGACATCTTCGGTTTAGGATGACCGAATGGGAAATAACCGAGGTGGTGGTTGATCTGCTGCGGATCATCTTGCTCATAGCGCTGATTGGCTTCTACATCCTGTTCGTCACACTGCGCAACCGCAAGAAGCACGCGCAAGCCCAGAACGCGGCCGAGACTCAAGGGCTCCTCGCCGAAAGCCGTGCCGAGAACGGCGAGAACGGCCACGCCAATGGCGACTACGGTTCTACCCTCCCCGTCAGCGGACGGCATGCGCACACCGAAGGAGCCGGGCCTGGATGGAGTAGGCCTGTCAATGTCCCATCACGAAACTGGTGGGACTACATCAAAGGGTACCATGTCTTCTTCCCCTACCTCTGGCCTTCCAAGGATCGAAAACTGCAGATCATTGTAGTGATTTGCTTTACCATCGTCACTCTCCAGAGAGTGGTCAATCTGGTAGTACCAATAGCCGTGGGCTGGATCATCAACGAGCTCTCGGGTGAGAGTGGGCGAGGCGACGGTGGCAAAATCATGATGCCGTGGTGGCCCATCTGCCTCTACATTTTTCTGCGATTCATCCAGGGCAACAACGGCGTACTTGGCGCCATTCGTTCGTCCCTGTGGATCCCCATTGGCCAGTACTCGTATCGCGAGCTTTCAGTAGCTGCATTCGAGCATGTTCACGGGCTCAGCTTGGATTTCCACCTGGGCAAGAAGACGGGCGAGGTTCTGTCTGCCCTTGGCAAAGGCGCTTCTATCAACACCTTCTTGGAGCAGGTGACATTTTCGGTTTTGCCAATGCTCGTCGATCTGTGCGTGGCCATCGGCTACTTCTTGGTCGCTTTTGACGCCTATTATGCCCTGGTCGTCTCCATCGTGACTTTCTGGTACATCTACCTCACTATTCGCATGGCCCAATGGCGAGCTGAAATGCGCCGCCAAATGGTCAATGCGGACAGAGAGGAGGACGCAGTGAAGTATGCGTCCATTGTAGACTATCGTCGAACTGTGTTAATGATTATAGAAACGACTCGATGGTTTCCTATGAAACGGTCAAGTACTTCAACGCGGAACAGTACGAATTCAATCGGTATCGATCCGCCGTCGAAAAGTTCCAGGCTGCTGAGTATGGTGTCTTGTTCTCGCTTAACCTGATGAACGTCACACAAAACATGGTGTTCATGCTGGGCCTCATGATCACGTGTTTCATCTCTGCCTACCAGGTGACAACTGGTCAGAGCCAGGTCGGTCAATTTGTAACACTTTTGACTTACATGGCGCAACTGCAACAACCTCTGAATTTCTTTGGTACTTTCTATCGCATGATTCAGTCGGCGATGATCAACTCGGAACGAATGCTGGAGCTCTTCAAAGAAAAACCAACCGTTGTGGACAAAGAAGGTGCTGGAACGCTTCCAACATGCGAAGGAGACATTCGCTTCAACGAGGTGCAATTTTCATACGACAACAGGAAACCCGCTCTGCAGGGATTGGACTTCCATTGCGCGCCAGGAACCACCACAGCCTTTGTTGGCGAGTCTGGTGGCGGTAAATCGACAGTTTTCCGCCTCCTTTTCCGCTTCTACAACATCCTCGGCGGCAGCATTCAGGTCGACGGCCACGACGTTGTCGACCTTACCATCGACTCTCTTCGGCGGCACATCGGCGTCGTACCACAAGACACTGTGCTCTTCAACGAAACACTCATGTACAACCTCAAGTATGCCAACCCCGACGCCACGGACGAGCAAGTGTACGAAGCGTGCCGTGCTGCCAGCATCCACGACAAGATCATGGCATTCCCGGACCGCTATGAAACGCGCGTGGGCGAGCGTGGCCTACGCTTGTCAGGGGGCGAGAAGCAACGAGTGGCAATCGCACGAACTATTCTGAAGAACCCGCGCATCATCATGCTCGATGAGGCAACGGCGGCGCTGGATACAACGACGGAGCAGCACATTCAGGAAGCGCTCACGACGCTCGGAAAGGGACGTACCATGTTGGTGATTGCGCATCGCCTCAGCACCATCACTCGGGCGGATCAAATCCTTGTGCTCCACAAAGGCAAGGTCCACGAACGCGGGACGCATGCCGAGCTCCTCGCGTTGAAGGGGAAGTACGCAAACATGTGGGAGAAGCAAATCCAGGCGCAGCGAGCGGCGGAAGAGGCGAAGGTACTGAAGGACAAGGCGGACCGGCTAAGGCGAGAATCCATTCATGATGACGATGACAGTAGGAGCACCAGTCCCGTTGACAGTGAGGACGAGCGGGCAAAGGCAAGTGGTAGTGGAGCGGCGACACCTAAGGTTAGCGGGGGTGGAGGCCATCATCATGGCCACCACGGACACTAGCCCTGTTTGATTATCTTTTCTGGATTGTTTGGTGAGCGAGGGGCATGGTGGATCATTGGTGGTCTACTGCATTATTTCAGGAGCAAGGCCTGGCGGTTCTGTTGTTTGCGAGGGGCACAGGGGTTTATACAGCTTATTGCGCAAGCAGCATGGTACATATAGTCTTACCAAAATGCAGCGAGTCATGACAACGCATTGCTCCATGGATTCGTTGATTATACAGTGGCAGTGGATTCTGATGGGATACTTCGTAAGATGGCCTCATAATCACTTCAGAGAACTCAAAATGATTTCCGGTCGCTCTCAAGAGGATGTCGGAAAAGCCTTCTGCGGCAACTGCCTCGGTGGTGTGGCGTGTCGGATGTGTAGGTGATCTGGGTCAACGAACCCTGCCAAGCGACTGAATACCGATCTCGGTACCGAACGAGCGGGCCTCGAGGGAAGAATGTGTGTAGGATGGTGGTGGTGTGTGAAGGATGCTGCAGCGCTCTCGAGTCTCACAAGTTCATCTGAGGGAGATGTGGATATAAATCTAGCGGCCCATGGATCACGGATTTACAAGGGAGTTAGTTATATACGTATGTATTACTAACATCGGACGCTCGCTCTTCGCGAACCAAGCTATCCTCCGAAGCACCACTCGTATCCACCACCTACAGTAGCAGACACCCGCCGATCCGCGGCGATCTGTCTCACGCGTCCTCGCCTGCCGCGGACACGTTCGCCCTGCAGGGATTCCAAATTCAGGGCCTGATCAACGGCCCGCTCGGAGTAACCACCGCGCGCGAAAAAGCCGCATCCGTGGTCCGCCGGGAACAAGTTGCGTGCAGGAGTCGCGGCACAGCAGCGCAAAAACCGCCCGCCTTGCGGTCTCAGGCCGCTCGTTACCAGCCCGCCGGGCTGATCGATGGCACCGACAGCGCGGGTTCGGCCAGATCACTGGCGCGGCGGCGGGTTTTGGTGGGAGAGGGGGGACGGTTGTTCCGGTGAGGTGGTTGCGCCTGGTTGTTATCGGACGGTGCGATGCGGGGGGCAGCCTGGCTGGGACCAACGATGAGCGGTGCCATGGCCATTGATCTTGTGCCCCCACGCGAATACAGCACAGCAGGGCGGAAGTCTCCCGGCGTTGGTCGCTGCTGGCAGCTGCTGGCAAGAGTCGGTGGCACAAGTCGCGCCAGCGATCATGGACAGCCGGACGCAAACCTTGTTGGAGAGAAGATTGGAATTTGTGTGAAGAGGCGCTTCTAGCCTCAAACTTCCCCTCCCTCGCATGACACACACACCCCCAGCAGCCCCCGACGCCAGCCAGCTGCGCCGCCGTTTCCGGGGCACGTTACACCACATCCGGGTGGGAACGGCGCTCACTCGCTGGCGCCAGGACGACGTCAAAGAAACCCCAACGCAGTCCTGCGCGTGAGTGGACTGGAGAGAGCTTCACACTCTCTTGCTCATCTCGTCGTGGGTAAGGCCGTCTCCCGTTCGCATGTCCGCCCGAATTGATCGAGAATCCCCACGCACCGCCAATACGAAACGCACCCGCAATCCCCGAGGGCACGCACGTCAATCTCCCAGCGATCAACCAGCCCAGTACGCTCGCTAAGCGGACCCTGCGTGGTGCGCGGCTGAGAGCGGACGGCGCTGCCGCGAAGGCTGGCGAGAGGGAGACGGGGGAGAGCCTGGGAGCTGGGCCCACCCTGCCCACGTCGTCCTCCCCGTCGGCGCCTGGGAGGTTCTTGTCCTGCACCTCTGCATACTTGCGACTTTCGCGCCCGGAGTGTCGGTACTACCATCGTTACGGAACTGCTGTGTTTGAGAGAGGTTTGGGGATTTGAGTATCTCACGGTTCCTCTTTTACTTGAGAAGTTTCACCTGCCGGCCTGAGTGAGTAATCGCGAGGGGTTGCGCGTTATCGGAGGGAGAAAGGACGAAAGGGTGGCTGGCTGTCCACGGGCTGGGACGAGACGGACGGCACTATGGAGGGGGCCGGTGTGCAGATTCCAGTGGTATGTTGCTTCCGATATTCTCTTTCTCTCGGGTTTCTCAGGCTTCAATCACGGAAATATGTGGTGCTGGATTGGTTAAGACGTGCTGCTAGGTGTTTCTGGCGGTGGTTCGATTCTATGCACCCACCCTCCTCTCCTTTGTGGCAAACATTGAACTGCTGCATTCTCACCGTCTCTGTGATTGATCGAAGTAGAGGGCTGATTAGAATTTAGGACGAGTCGTACCTCGAGTACGATTACGATGCAGATGATGCGTCTTTCACGTCGTAAGTGCTCTACTGCCCATCACAGCTGCTACTGGGGCTCCGAACTGAGTTGCAAGAGAGGGCGGACGTTAGCGACGACCATCACGCAGTATCGATATGAGAATGGGCGGCGGTATCATGCCTTCCGTGTGTTTTGTTTCTCTTACCGGTCCATCCTTTCCTGAGCATAGGGGTGCTGATTAGTGGACAGGAGATGGAGAATACTACCAGCCAAACGACGAGAAGCAGTCGGATTATGAGATGATTGTGTAAGTGTCTCCGTTGTGATTCTACTTATGGGTGGTAGCTAACATGGAAGGGGACAGACATCATCTCTGGCTTCTCTCGCTCGACGACAAGCTCTTCCTCGCGCCTCTCAACAACCCACAAAGGATCCTCGATGTCGGGACTGGGACGGGGGTTTGGGCAGCGTATGTAACCCTATCAAACCTCGAGGTGCTCCCATCTCGCCCGATCAATACTAATCCCATCAGTGACATTGCGGATATATTTCCAGATTCCGAAATCATAGGTACGAACATCCACACAATCTTCACTATGACACGCAGTCAAGAATCTTTGCTGATGGGTGAAATCCAGGCACCGACCTCTCCCCAACTCAAACAGCCATGGCGCCGCCAAACATCCGGTTCGAAATCGACGACTGCAACAGCGAATGGGTGTATCCCGAGGACAGCTTCGACTTCGTGCACATGCGCAGTTTGTCTGGGTGTGTGTCTGATTGGCCGGAGCTGTATAGGCAGTGCTACAAGTAAGCCTATGCTCCTCCCGTCTCAATTCGGCCTACCCGCACTCCTCACGTCCACACTCGTGATTATACGAAAACTCAGAGAGAGAACCCCCGTTAACATGTTGGGCAGGCACATCAAACCAGGCGGCTACCTCCAACACTGCGAATTCGGCGTCAAAGTCATCAACAACGAGCCCAGCCCACAAACCGCCCGCGCAGACGAGATGTATAAGTTGTTTACCGAGCTGGTGTTACAAACTGGTGATATGATCAACAAATCCTTCTCGGTGGACCAGAGAATGCCTGAGCTGATTAAGGATGCCGGTACGCCCTCTCCCCCTGAAGCTTGCACATGCTCGCAAAACTAGAAACAGAAAAAGAAAAACAAAGCGACATAATCTAATACACACGACAAGCAGGCTTCGTCGACATAGTCGACAGCAAGCCCATCTGGCCCATCGGCGCCTGGAGCTCCGACGAGCGGCTCAAGGAAGTCGGCAAGTGGAACCAGCGCAGCTGGCTCGACGGGCTGGAAAGCTGGGTGTTGGCGCTCTTCACTCGACAACTAGGGGTACTTCCCGGCCCATCCATTCCCCCCTTTTCCCTCCAGCTCTTCCCAAGCGAACCTGATTGCTGACCCGCTCTCGCAGTGGTCCGCCGCCCAAGTCCGCAACTGGGTCGAAGAAATGCGCCGCGTCGTCCTCGACCGAAACTGCCATTTCTACCACGAGGTGTACGTCCCCTATTTCCCCCCCCCCCCCCTTGCCCTTGCGCCCGTCTCTAGATTTTCTCTAGTCCTAATTCTCCAAAACCCCAACAGGCGCTGTGTCGTCGCCCGCAAGCCGCTCGACGGCGAAGTCGTCCCCCCAGAACCCGCGCCATCGGCGTCATAAACTCTCTCCCTCTTGGCCCCTAGTCCACCCCCTCATCCCCACCCTCACCCAAACCGCGAGTGACCCCATCGCGTTTCTCACCCCACCTGTACTTTCTCCAAAATAATCTCCTTCGGGCGGCTTTTTTCCTGCCCATTTCCTGTTGGGGGCTAGCTAGATAGAAAGGGAGGAGGGCGCGGGCGCGGCTATTCTTGCTTTGTAGTTGGCATGTATCTCCAAAAACAACGTTCTTTCGATACGATATTCGCCTGGAAATACCCGGTCGTTGGTGTGTTGGTTCCTCGAATCTACACTCCGGCCGCGTGTGTGTGTGTAGGGAATGTGATGGGTTTGATGTTTTGGTTTTGCATGGTTGACTTTCATTTGAGCGGCTTGCTTGGCTTGGCTTGCCGAAGTTTGATGGTGATGGCAAAGCCTAGCTACCGTGAACAAGCTGCCGGGGATGCATACATGGTGAATTATAGAGATCCATAGTGACTTCTCCGAAGGGGGCTTGGTTCATCTGATGTAGGCCATAGATGGGTTTGTTTCTCACCTTTTCGAACAGTTTGATCCCTCGGATATTTGGAATTTCGAGATTGAAATTTTTCCATGATTGCAGCAGCTAGCACTCAGCACCCCAAATCTTGCCATTTCAGTCACTTCTTCGCACTCAGAACGGACATGAAATGTATTTGATGTTGATGTTTGATTTTCATTTGGGAACCTTGCTTGCTTGCTTCGTGATGACAAGCCTACTTAGCGTGGAAGAAGCTGCCCAGGACGCTTCTATGTTATCCGGCAGATAGCACCCCACGGCCGAACGTGGCAATTATGATAATACACAAAGACACCCAGACAGACCCAACGCCCTCGCCGTTCTATGCGTTTTCTCATAGCTCGTCATCGACGTCCATCTCCCCGCTCGCGTCGCCGTTTGCGCTGTTGTTGTTGCCTTTCGGCACCGAGGCTTCCTTGTCGATCATCTGGCGGGAGACGGAGACGATGTTGTCTTCGATGAGTTGCTGGCCGACGTCCTCCAAATCTGTGTAGAGTCAAATTTAGCGCTCGCAATTTCTTGAAATGCTAGATAGCGGGCTGGAAAACATACGCTTCTTCGGATCCACCTTGCCCACATATCTCGTCTTGAGCTGGTCCTTGGTCAGCTCCGTCTCCTCCTTCACCCGCTTCTCGTACCCCTCTGCCAGCCCGACCAGCTTCTTCAGCCGGTCCTTATTCCGCTCGCCCTCGAGCTTGAAATCGTCCATCTGCAGTGCTTCTGTCCACACGTGCTTATGCAGGTTCATGAGCATGTTCTCCTCGAGCCCCGTCTTGCGGTACGCGATGGCGATGGAGTAGTAGTGGCGATTGAGGCCGTGGATGAGAGCCTGAATGGAGGGTTTGTTCAGGTGGCCCACGTTGGACGTCGTCTGGCGCGGCTCGTGGCCCATCATGAGGGTCTGCGGGTTTATGAGGCGGAAAGCATCAATCACCACCTTGCCCTTGACGGACTGGATCGGGTCCACCACGACCGCGACGGCGCGCGGCGTCAGCTGCTCGAACGACTGCTGCGTGTTGATGTCGACCGACGACAGCCAGCAGCCGAAGCCCGGGTGCGAGTGGTACCAGCCGACGACCGTCTCGGGCCGCCCCGTTTGTCGCAGCATGTCCATCATCTTGGTCTGGAACACGGGGTCGACGGCCTCGACGCTGACGCCCGTCCCACTCTGCGGCATCGCGAATACGTCGACGACGCGGACTGTGTAGTCGTCCACGAACTCGCCGAGCATCAGGCCCATGACTTCCATGGGCACGCCGGCGCGGCCATGCCGTAGCATTTTGAGGAGGGCGAGCGAGGAGATGTAGACGGTTTCTGAGTTGTCTATCAGGTTAGTGTCCTGTTAATGGCAGGTTAGCATAAGCATTCGTAGGAATTACTATAGAACACGAGCGCATCGCAGGCTATCCCGAACAGGTGGTTGGAACTCGTCATATCGAGCAACTTTTGAGTTCGCTGGGCTTCCCCACGCAACGGTAGAAAGATGTACATAGATAGAACTGGTGAACGTACCTGCGCAGGACCGCCTCCCATACCGCCCATGCTCTGGGCGGCAGCTAGCATGCGACTTAACCGCTCCATGATTGTGAGTTTGTTGGAGAAAGTGGTGGTGTGTAAAGGTGGAGATTGATGAGCGGGAGGAGGGTGTGGCGACGGATGTATGAAGAAGATGGAGTCGAGGGCGAGGTGTTGTTAAGCAGTCAGTGAATGCCCGCCGGAGCTCTTGCCCACGCAAGGGCATGATGCCTGGTCGGCGTTACTGTTTTTCCGCGACCATGCTTGGCGTCGGCTGAACCCCGGCTCCAGCCTCCCGCCATTGTATTGTGCCCATCAAGATCAATTCGTACCACATCCTCTCTCACCCGCTGCCTCCTCCCCAGAAACTTGTATAACTCACTATACAGCAGCAACGATGGCCGGCTTAGGACCTCCTATGGACGAAGCGCCGGCAGTTACCACCAACGGCTCCTCACACGGAAAGAAAGTCGCATACTTCTACGATTCAGATGTGGGGAATTACGCATATGTCGCCGGCCATCCTATGAAGCCGCACAGGATACGAATGGCGCATAGCTTGATCATGAACTATGGCCTGTACCAGAAGATGGAAATCTACGTAAGTTTACTATATCAAGATTCCCTAGCTCTCAGTGCCTTACTCATCGAGCTCGCGGTATCGCATCCAAGCTCAATACGCCCTTGGCGAGCCTTCATTTGCGCTCGTAGAGCACTCGACACCCTTCTACAATAGTATACTGACTGTATCATAGCGCGCGAAGCCGGCCTCGAAGCTTGAAATGACTCAATTTCACACGGACGAATACGTCGATTTCCTCCAGAAGGTCACTCCCGACAACATGGATAACTACTCCAAGGAACAGGGTCGTTACAATGTCGGAGATGACTGTCCAGTCTTCGATGGTCTGTTCGAATTTTGCGGAATCAGCGCCGGCGGCAGTATGGAGGGCGCAGCGCGATTGAACCGGGGCAAATGCGACGTCGCTGTCAACTGGGCTGGCGGACTTCACCACGCGAAGAAGAGCGAGGCATCTGGTTTCTGCTACGTGAATGGTAATAACTATCCCCCAGCGCGAGGCTTTTTCTAGAGAGGATTGCTAACTTATTTTGTCCTGCACTAGACATTGTTCTTGGGATCATCGAGCTCCTCCGCTTCAAGCAGCGAGTCCTGTACATCGACATCGATGTCCACCACGGCGATGGTGTCGAGGAAGCCTTTTATACCACGGACCGCGTTATGACCGCATCTTTCCATAAATACGGCGAATACTTCCCAGGTACCGGCGAGCTTCGGGACATTGGTGTTGGTAATGGCAAAAACTATGCTGTCAACTTTCCCCTTCGCGATGGTATTACCGACGACACATACAAGAGCGTCTTCGAGCCCGTGATTAGAGCCATCATGGACTATTACCGGCCTGATGCAGTCGTTCTCCAGTGTGGAGGAGACAGCTTGTCGGGTGATCGTCTCGGCTGCTTCAACCTCAGTATGAAGGGCCATGCGAACTGCGTCAAATTCGTTAAGAGTTTCAACCTACCAGTGCTTGTCCTCGGAGGAGGTGGCTACACCATGCGTAATGTCGCGCGTACTTGGGCCTATGAAACGGGGCAACTTGTCGGGCAGGAAATGGGACCACAACTTCCTTACAACGACTACTACGAGGTAAGCCATTCTTTCTGCGTATAACGTCACATGACGTCCCTAACTTTTAACAGTATTTTGGGCCCGACTTCGAACTCGACGTTCGTCCCTCAAATATGGACAATGCCAACTCGCCGGAGTATCTCCAGAAGATTCTGACCCAGGTCGTCGCAAACATTAAGCGCACCACATTTGCTCCGTCGGTTCAGATGACGGATGTTCCTAGGTCCCCACTCGTGCCAGGCTTGGACGACGAAGCTGATGATGCTATGGACGACCAAGACGCTGACGACAATCCCGACCGACGCTATACGGAGCGATACATGGATAAGCACGTTGAGAGGCCGGGAGAGCTGTACGATGACAGTGAGGACGAGGAAGTCAATTCCAATCTGGGTATCCGCACACAGCCTGGCACCAAGAGGCGACGCAATATCATGGACTACCAAAACCCGCATGCGCCAGATGACTTCGATAGTCGACTAGGCACACCAGTTGGAGCACGAAGCCGTAGTCCCAACGGTGAAGCAAGCACTCGGGATACAAAGAACCCTTCTCCGGCATTAGGTGCTGAATCAGCATCGCGCGCCTCATCTCGAGCTGCTGGGTCTGTAGCAAACGGGTCTGCAGCAAAATCCCGCGCAAGCAGCTACAGTATCATGAATCGCCATCCACCTGGCGCCACAGACGACGATGGCGATGTTGACATGGATGAACCTTCAGCTCTCCAGCGTGATGACTCGACGTCTGAACACTCCTCTCCGGCAGCTCAAGAGACGAACCCTGCGGCAGCGACCTCGAACGACACCACTTCCACCGCCCCAATCAATACCGCCCGCGCATCATCACGCTCAGGTTCCCCGCTAGCCACTCCACCTGATTCTCCGGCAGACGATCAGGATGAACCTTCCACTTCATTTATACCTATTCCGCCTGGAACATTTCCCACTGCAACATCGGACGTCGAGATGGAAGACGAGGGTGACGAGGAAGTCCGACCGACGGCGGTCAAAGCCGAGCCAAGCGAATCTCTTAAAGAGCGAGACGATGGTATCGCAGAGCGGGAGTCGGCAGACACCAAAGCGGAGAAGGACACAGCGGCCACCACGGCCAAGGAGTCGTCTAGTTGATCTTGACTGCGACTTCCTGATCTTCAGGCAGCCTGTGCGAATGTCACGATACATGATTTGATTATTACGATATTCCCCAATCTTTGGGAAGCTTGAAACCTTTATTCAAGTTTCTAATTGCTTTTTGGGCGAAATCTGGTGTTAGGGATGGGACTCATGGTGAGGCTGCGATGGCGCTTTGGTGGCTCATAGTGCGTGCATATTTTGGTTTCCTTTTCTCTCCTTTCTATACTCAAGAGTAGCATGGGATGGAGATGAGGGGAGGCGATATTGGATTACTGGTGGCTTGAATGTTATTGACGCTGTACGTAATGACATTTAGCCAAGCTTGAACTTCAACCTTTTTGGTCTGATTGTAAATGCAACGGGTATGAACGGGTGAGGGCGTCGTGATAGAGTACATTGACGCTTGGACCACAGCGGTGAAATCTGACTTCATCTCGTAAAGAACAGATCCAAACCACAGAGCCATCGTGAGCAAACCCCAAATCCCCAACCGGCGCTGACGAAATCGAGTCGTAGCGAATATGAAAGCCGCAATTGTTATGTTCCCATACGATCAAGCGCCCCAGGGCCCGTATGATAGAATATCGACTCGACGAAACCCACCGTGCCAGACCTACGGAAAGCATCGCAAACCCTGATCTTCGGTCGATCCATCAGCCCAAAACTTTCTACTCCAGCTCTTTAATCATCAGGCGAAGTCTTGTTGAGCCCTATCATGTCCCTCATTGCTTCGGTTTCCATAGTCTGCCCGCGCGAAATGCCGTTGCGCCACCCCTTGAATCGAGGGCCACCCAAACGGGTACCTCGTTTTCCAGGCCTTATCTTCCTAAAAGACTAGAATGCCATTACTATGCTTTCTACTTCCCCCTGGGGCAGCGTTTGGCTGCCTAGGCGGAGTACCGTCATCGTGGAGCTATCATTGTGTACATCTCGTCCGAAATAGCGCTGTCGCCCTGTTTGTCTTTTGGTCGCTAGAGCTCACTACACGTAGGGAACAGCTCTTTTCCCATTTCCTAGCTTTTCCATTGTCCCGAACGCCTTTAGCATGAACTTTTCGACTTTGTTTGGGATGGTCCTTCGCTGCTTCACCAGAGCGCCTTCGCCAATGAGTTCTTCTTTTGGATATTTTTCGAGATTGCTTGCTTTGTTCTCCTGCTTCTTAGAGTACTCCACTGTGGGCATTGCGGGTTTCGTCGGGATGTCCTCTACCAGCTTAATCGGCGCGATTTCACGAGTTTCGTCGGGATGTCCTCTACCAGCTTACTCGGCGCGCCTTCACCATAGAGTTCATCGGTGGGTAGGACTTGTTCGAAATTGTAGTGCAATACATCGTGCATAGATGGCAGCTTCTCTATTCCATGCTTCAAATCATAGATTAAACCGTCAAACCTGCCCAGAGCTGCCCGGAATCCCAGCAAGCCTGGTGCGACTTCTTCGATCCTTTTTGCAAGGACCTGCCAATCTCTCCCGTGCCAAAGCTTCTTGCAGGATGAACAAGTAAATTGAGCAAGGAAAGCATGAATCATTTCGTGTAGAAGTGTGCTCAACCGAGAGACAGCTAGAGAGACTTCTGGATCTGAGTTGAGACTGGTCGGGTGTAACTGTATAGACGAATCGCTGCCGTATCCTAACGCCATGTCAGGAACTCCTTCGGCTTCTCGAATCCAGTCGAATTTTACTCGTCTCAAGGCTCCGAGCAGAAAAAGGTCGTTGAAGATGCTGATGACAGACTGGATAATTCCATGCCCGTCTGCGATAAGGGAGGCGTCTTTTATTGCCATAGAGTCCATCAATTCATTCTTCACCTTCTCCCATCTTTGCAACGCCTTCTTTTGGATAAGGTTCAGATCGGCATCCTTGTCGGTGATGTAATGGCAGGTAACCTCTGCCAGATAGGCCGATTCATGCGAACGGCGCTTCAGCTTTGGGTAAAGCCGTCCCTGAGGTAATCCCGCGATGTGACGATGCTTCTGCTTCTTCCACCATGCAACTACGATTCCCTCGGGACTGGGTTCTGGGCGCCCACAACAGATTTCGTCTTGACTGCGGACATACTCGATGAAGGCTTTGATGAGATTTTCTTTAAACCTTAGGCCGCTTGCCCCTAGATGGGTTTCTGCATATGCTTTCATTCTCATTTTGCTGAAGGCTTGAGAGAAGGGACTCAATACGTGAACTGGGATAGGCTCGGGAAGTAGGGCCATTTTCGGGGCCCTTGTGAAGCTTGATTCGAGTGCTTTTGTGACTGCTGTCTTCGCGACGTCGATTCTTAGAGGGAGAGAGTTTTTCGAGTAATCGGACCGGGCTGGAAGCGGTTGAATTTGTCGCAATTTTTGAAGGAGGATGGAGGACGGCCTGATATTTTCGTGCTGCTTTGTGGGATATGGGTTCCATGGTTGAGGCCTTGGGATCCATGGAACCAGTACTAGACCAACACATCATGTGTAAACCGCTTATGCGGAGAGATCCTTTCACAGGGGCGGAATAGGCTGGCATTACGCGTGTGAAAGGTAAGGTTGTCTGTAATACTCATCACCAAAATTGTCCTGAGCCAAGCCACTTGAGGGAATTTACCTCGCTTCACGTTTTTGTAACCTTTATTCTCCTACGTAGTACTCCTATCTCAAACAGAGACTTCTGGCCTGTCTCTGTACAAAGCATAGCTCTACGCACGGAGGCTCCGTGTCGTCGAGGCATTCCAAATCCACGCCGGTTTATCCCCACTTCCAGGACAACATCACGCAGTTATACGGCTGGAATTCAAATGACCAGATAATGCGATGCGAGCTCGTACTGACAAAGCGATTCATGTGTGGTCAAGGTCTTGTAAGACTTGGGGTCTCTCAATGCGCCTTTGGAGGATACGAAGAAAGCTTTCGAGAATTTGAATCTGTGACAAAGACTCAAGGTATTATAAGTTATGAGGCAGCTAAGACGGTGACGGTGCCATCCACCAAGTCATTTTAACTAATCCCTTGATCACAACGTTCAGAACTTGTCGGAACGACCCCAATCCGTCAGCTCTATCGACATAGTCGCCTTCGCACAGCTCACAGGATGGACATCAGACGCATGAACTTGAGCGAGTTCACCAAACACGTTCGTGATGAGACGCCAGATAACTGTTCCCACGAACCTTCGCACCAAATCCAAAAAACACACCTCGAGATCAAGCTCCATGTAAACAAACCAGCTGCTACGGGTAAGGTAACTTCAGTGCCCTTGCTCAAATCATATGAGCCAGTATATCTAGCAACGCAGACTTGCCAGTATATCGGCCGCCGCAGAACACAGATGTTCCAGATACAACGAGATACCATAGAGCGATTTATCTGCTCGCCCAAGAAACCAGGTCAGGCGACGCCCCTTGAGACCTTGTTCTGGCCAGCTCGCATTCTGTTTTCCCTAGCCAATCACGACGCCATACCGTAGAAAGTAATAATTAGGCATGCATAAGAATAGAGAAAACTATGCCTCACTCTATTACTAGAACCAAATAAACCTATTTATATGGGTTCGACTGTAAAAAGAGACCCTCGCATCCCGCTCAACTAGCAACTTACTATTCCAATAAAAGCGCATAGCTCCCCACTCCACCTTTACCATTCCGAAACACTACTCAGCCATTCGACCTACCCAACGCTCACGACCACGCTCAGTCCAAAACTCCAGCCATCCAACGTACACCTCTCAATGCGCTTCCATCACATCCTCCTCATCTTTACCATCGCTGCCAGCGTGTTTGCAGCACTCTCGCCCGAGCATATAGACTGGTGGGTGAATCTACCAGGGTCTTATAAAGTACCGGATACCAAAAAGGGTCCCGCCCCTGTTAATGTTAGATATTGCGAAAATGATTATCAGTGCCCCTCGCTTAAGGAGAGATGCATTTGCAGAGTGTAAGTAGGAATGCCTTACCTTATTAAAGGGGACAAGGGAGGTGGCTCATGAAAGAAACTAACAGGAGAGACAGGTGCTGGCATGAAGGCGACCAGAGGGAATGTTTCCATCATTGCTGCGATTATGAGCAGGCTTTGAAGGAGGAGAGGTTAACCAGATGGGTGGATGGAAAGCCCGCGGACGGAGGGGTTAATCCGAGAGGTCCAGGTCCAGGGACTAAAAGGAGGCTTTGTAGAAGCATAAGGGAACCACTTAGCTATAAGTAGGCTGGAAAGGTGGCGGCAAGGAGTAAGCGGAGATGACAGGTTGTTCATGATTCTCGGCAACTGTTACTCAGCGGATGTAGGGAGAAATAGTGGAGTCTTTGGAGGAGGCGGTTGGAGATCAAAGAACAAGAGGGTGCTCTCAAGGTCGCTCTATTCGATGGGTTTGTACTAAACATATAGTAATTTTAAGTATCTATATTAATTTTATAAGGGAGTGTTGGCAAATGGCCTTATTTAAACTCGAAGGTATTGCCTCAGAACTTTCTAGGGTTCAATATCTATTCGAATCGGTTTGTGGGTATTAGAAGAGATGTTGCGACTGGGCTGGTGAGGTTGCTATGACTTGTCGTCTTACGAGTTACATATGTTAGCGATGAAGAAACGAATGCCGAGCTAGACGGCCCTCATGATGCGGATCCTCGATCGGAACTTTTCCACACATTTGAGTAGAGCATGGCAGTGTCAGAACGAGCAAATTATGGCCAGATAGGTCGCCGCAAACATTTCCAAGAATGGGTATGATAGAAGTTTGCGCCTGGGAAGCGTTATCTTTTTTGCATAGTACTTTCCTTGTCTCCTTTTTGCGAGAATTACCATCTACACTCTCTTTTGTCACTGTTCCTGATTTTTAGCTTTTCGTGCACTAATACTGCTGGGCTTTCGTTGGGATTTAGATTTTTGAGAATAGTGCCTTTGTAAGAGCTGGTAAACTGTCGAAAAAGTACGAAAGAATGCGTTCTAACTACCATGTGAAGCTTCTAACGCATTCACATACGAACTTAAATTCAGGCTTACCCTTCTCAGACAAACCATCTCCATCCGGAACACTATGATCGCTAAGCCAGATAAAGCATATCAGTCACATCCATTTTAGCGTTACGCGTTCTAGCCTCGTGGGCGTCAGGGGGCGGATCCCGAAGCCGCTCGCTTGGGCCTCCCGCCAGCCACCAATTCTCAGCTGTCCCGCTTCAACCATTCCAACCCCAATGTGGACCAAGACAGCCAGCCACGCGCGGTCTGGGCGGACGCAGAAAGGCGAGAACCCAAGGGACCGGTTCCGAATTGGGACGGCGGGACGACGGAAGCAGCCTCAACGGGGCCTCCCTCAGCCTCGCGTACGCGTCGTGAGCTGAAGACCTTCATGTCAGTGCTGGTGTCGTAAGGGTTGGCGGGGTCTCCGTAGGCTAGACTCCGTATGGCTTTATTGGTCACGGTACTAGACGGCCGGAGGGGGAGGGGGCATTGGAGGAGACGCAAAGCTTGAGGTGGATTCGTCGGTGTTCAAAAGGATGGAGATGTCCCCCAGAAACAGAGCGTGAGTACCGAAGGCTGTGATATATCTTCATCTTTGTTCCGTTTCAGTCATCAGTCAGTGCAGAGGAATCTCATATACTTTACGCTTGTCCCTTCATCCCTCTACTTGTCCTCATTTATCTGTCATCATCTAAGTACCTATTCTTCCACCATGGCTACCCCAATCCCAACCAAACGCATTGTCATCGCCTGCGACGGCACCTGGCAATCCTCCGTCAGCGAAGATGAAAACATCCCTTCCAACGTAACCAAGCTTTGTCGCCACGTTGCACGCACCGGCACCACATCCAGCGGCGCCGCGATCCCTCAAATTGTCTACTACGACTCTGGCGTGGGCACCGGCTCCCTCGCCGACCTCGAAAAAAAGCGCCAAGGCGCGACTGGCGATGGACTTGCTACCAACGTCATCGAAGCCTACAACTTCATCGTCCTGAACTACAGTCCCGGCGATGAGATCTTCTGTTTTGGTTTCTCGAGGGGCGCATACACGGCCCGTGCTGTAGCGGGGCTAGTAACGGATATCGGAGTTATGGAACCGAGATATATGCAGATCTTCCCTTTCATCTACAAGGCTTATAAGGCGAATAAGGAGGGGAAGCCCTTTAGGGAAACACAGGCATGGAAAGAAGTTGTTGGGGGGAAGTTGTCGAAGAAGGGGATTGAGTTTAGTGCGAAGCCGGGGAGACGTACGGCGGAGGAGATTACGCAGATGTGGGAGATTCGGCCGCATGGGGAGGTCGCGATTCAGGGGAGCAGGAAGGTGAAGGTTGTTGGTGTTTGGGATACGGTGAGTGCTTTCTGTGATTCAGCGCGAGGATACACAGCAGCTGACCACGTTTGATGTAGGTTGGAAGTCTTGGAGTTCCAGATGGAAGGTGGATGGATAACGCTGATATGAGGACTTCGTATGGCTTTCACAACGTGAAGCTGAATGAGAGTAAGTATCTTATCTGGTACAAGAAAAGCTATGACTTGGGCTTTTCACTAACCTATATTAGACATTGAGCACGCTTTCCACGCTCTGGCTCTAGACGAACGCCGCAAGGCATTCAAGCCCACCGTGTGGTACCTACCCAAGAAACCCACAGGTAAACAGCCAGAGCTACTGCAAGTTTGGTTCCCGGGTGTCCACATCAACATTGGCGGTGGGTCAGATGACGGTATTAAAGACCACGCCGGAGATCTCGAAGGTTGGCCCTAAAAGTTCCCCCCTTTAGCTCCCATGTAACCTAACTAGAACGTAGGCATGTCCAACATCACTTTCGCCTGGATGCTCCAATGCATCTCTCCCCACCTCGAAATCGACCGAACTGCCTACAACCAAACTATGATCGAATACAAGCAATGGCTCGACGACATCGACTACAAGCACACCCTCCCCCCACCACCACCAGAAGGCATCAAAGAGACCTTCTGGTCGTACGTCCCTTACGTCCCCCTCGTCAACCCAGCTCCCACAGTCTGGACGCGCACGCCGCGCGGGTGGGGCGTCGGCCGCATGGTCGACAGCCTCACTGGCCTCATGTACAACTACGCCGGAGGCGTCAAACGCATTCCTGGTCGTTGCCAGACCGAGGTGTGGAATCCCACGACAAAAAAGCACGAGTGGGTTGAGATTGGGGAAATGGGGGTTACGAACGAGTTTGTGCACCCCGTGGCTGGGTATCGGCGGACGAAGTTCCCGGAGGAGAAGAATAGTGGGCTGGAAGGGTTTGTGCGAGGGGAGAAGGCGAAGGGTAAGGGGTTTGAGTGGAAGAAGAAGGATGGGACGAGCCTGCCAGAGTATGTGATTCAGAAGGCAGGGAAGGCGCCCAATTTTGAGCGGTTGTGGATGACGGCTGATGGACCTGGAGTACAGGAGATGGAGTGGTTGGCTGAGGTAGATCGAGTGAATGGGCTGTGAGATATTGTCCGATTGGACATTGCGACTTTAGGGGTGAGCTTGGTTTTTAAATGTCTACAGGTTTTATTTAGGAGCACCTTAGTTATCACCCCCCCTTTCTTTGCGTATCACCCCCCTTTTCTCTGCGTGTCACCCCCCCTATATTAGGCCTAGCTCCGGCCCGTATAAATATTGTTCCACCAATCAAACTCACCCGCTTGCCTCCGTGTCGACTGCGTAAAATGGAGAGTATGCATCACAAAACGGAAAGGCTGTATTATAGGCTGCATCATCTAGGCCAATAGGAGTCTATTCGCTCTATCTACTCTAGCTACTCTACTCTAGCTACTCTACTCTAGCTACTCTACCAGCGGAAAGCGCCTAGATGGCCACCACTGTCCAATTGCTGGCTGAAAGGAACGCCAACTACACCTGTATACCAAGGCCTCACAGCCATTGCTTCACCACGGACAGCCTCCTCCTCAGGCGTGGACATAGGGGCATCCTCAGGGGCTGGTTGGCTGTCGGGGACTAAGGAAATAGAGCTCTGAGTAGCTGTTGGAGTGCCTGCTTGTCCGGCGGAGCGATCTGGCGCTGTAGTTGTGAACTGTACAGGATTGTTGAGCACTACAATGGTCTGCTCGACCGCCGGCGTGCCTGTAGAGACACCTGCCATAGTAATTTGGGTGGCCTGTGTCGCAATCTGCATCGATTGAGTTGGTTCCTGTCCACCTACAACACTATCTGCTCGCTCTGCACGAGCAGTAGTCTTATGAGCTCGCCGGAGATGCGACGTTCCTCCACGTGATCCTGGCCCTCCACCACGCCGTCGTGCTCGCTGCGCCGGAGCTTGTTGATCAACAATTTCGAATTGAGATGGATCACGTCGAGTTGCATCAGCAGGTGCACGAGCACGGCCACGGCCACGGGTTGATTGACGAGGTGCAGCAGGGCCCGTTGGCCTGCCTTTACGACGCTGTACAATTGCCGGAGCCTCGATGAGGAGGAGAGGATCGATAGGAAGGTTTACCTCGTTTGGAACGGGACGATTGAACCACCAGTGCTGATGAACATCCTCCAGGACAACAGTATACGTAGATGTCGCTGTAGCGTACAGTTTTCGGTGTATTTCGTGACAGCAAGGCATGCCGTATGTCCCCCTGAATGTTCCATTGCAAATAGGATTGAAATCGTCCTTCTTGGCCTTCTTGACTTGGGCAGCGAGTAGCCTCAGGCCCTGCTCAGTAACCTGCTGAAGAACCCCAGCAAACTCAGGAATCCTAACCTCATGCTGAGGAGCTCTACGCTGCCGGCCAAGCTGATTCTTTCTCTCAACACCTTGGCGGTGAATGTATTGAGATAGCAGGGTGACTACGTCGTAGAGGTCGCCTGTCGAGATCTGAAGATAGGACTTAATACTGCCGTTTGAGCCCTCTAGCCGCGAGGTTATAGTGTTGCCAAAGTGCGGCAGAAGGCCCGTATGGTACGTCGCAATCTGCTGTCGAAAAGGCCACCACTCTTCGGTGAGGTGGTCGACCAGGGCTTCCTTGTGTGCATAATCCGATTGAATCTTGTTCCAAGCGGCTACAAACTCAGCCTCTGTAGGTTTTGATAGGCAGAAGTTAAGCTCGTTGATAAACCTCTTCCGATCTCTCTGAATAACATCAATCTCAGCTACTGTTAGCACTTGAGAGGCACGTGCTGGGTCCTCTAGATCTATTGTATCCGCTAATGCTTGCTCCTTATCCTTCTAAACAGTGACAGCCTTGCTGGCGATGTTCTTCTGCACGTGCCACTTGCACAGGATCTGAGGAACAAGAGGAAAGAACTCAGCCAGTGCATTCTTGAGTGCGAGCTCTTTATCCGTGATGAAAACGCCTGGTGAAACGCCTAGGCGCTGGCACACTAGGTAAAGCTCCCGCACGGCAAAGATGTAGTCCTCTTCTTCCTCCCCTGGGAGAAAACAATAGCCTAGCTCGTAGTTCCTGCCCTGGTTGTTGACGCCGTTGATGTGGAGGAGCGGCATCTTGAACTTATTTGTCTTGTAGGTGCAATCAAGAAGAACAACATCAGGATTCTTCTGGAACATCCGAACACTCTCCGGGTGCATGAAGTATAGGTACTTGACTCGGTTTACTTCATCTAGCTCGTATTTGTAGTGGTAATGAGCGTCCGGGTTGTCGTTGCCGTGTTCCTCAAGCACCTTAAGTATGGCCTGAGTTGGAGTAAGCCCCTTAAGCTTTATTCTCTTCCACTCCCATCTCTTGTTGTATAGGTCCTGCATCGTCACATCCTTGCCCTCAGCTAGGAGGTTGTTGAAGATAGCACCTACGGGCGTGCCTCCGTTGAGCTGATTGTATATAGTTCGGATGGTATCCTTATCGAGATCTCGGTGCGCAATAGGAGTTCCATCCTCAGGATTGTACGGCTCGTGATTGTGAGCATAGACCTCAACCTCAAAGAACCAATCACCTTGCAGTAAATCTCTTGAGAGGGCCCCTTTAAATAGGCAATTGGTCTTCTTTGTACGGGTGCGGCGCTTCCTATTAGCTGGCTCATACTCTCCTGCGCACTCGCATCGAACCAGCACCTTGCGCACCTGGGGGGGCATGCGCTTGTCCATTTTTTTGTTGTATTTAACTATGGCGTATCCTTCCTGCTTGGCCCAAGTGTTGATTGACTTCATGCCATCCTCTACGGAGGCGTGGCGGCCCCAAGGGGGCGGCCGGAGGGGCATAGTGTTGAGGTGATGATGTAGAGGAAGTGGTGTTGATGCATCGAGAGTAAGTGCGCAGGTAATGTAAATTCGAATTGAGCACGAGCGGGCAAGCGGGTGAGTTTGATTGGTGGAACAATATTTATACGGGCCGGAGCTAGGCCTAATATAGGGGGGGTGACACGCAGAGAAAAGGGGGGTGATACGCAAAGAAAGGGGGGGTGATAACTAAGGTGCTCCTTTATTTATGGGTTTCTTTTGATTCATGGGTAAAGGCTACGAGTGAGGAGCATGGGTGTGAAGGAGACGCCTCAGTTGGAGGGAAGTGATTTCATCTGCATCCCTTCTCTACGAACTTCTTCATTCCTAAATCTACTTGTCTTAAACCGCCCCTTCCAACTTCCAAACTTCGCGCACGTGCGATCTTCCAAAAACAGTCACAGTGGATTGTAAAAATCACGTGAAAGTCACGTGCAGCGAGGGCAAAATGAATATCGCACTCCCAAATTCGCCGCTGCCGCTGCTGCATGCCTTTCCATCTATTCAAATCTTACGATTCGCGAGTGATAAAAGTTCGTGTCCAATATAGCCCATGCCTAGCGTTTTACCATCCGGTTGCAGATATTCCCCAAGAAGGCCTCGGTGGAGTCCCTTTAAGAAAGCGAGGAAGAGCCAAAGGGTACTGTCCACAAGATAATATTTTATGGTATCACACTATTAAAGAGCTGCATAGTAAGGAAAGAGCATGTTGAAGAAAGGATGTTTTTCTATCAGGAGGAGCGATTGGTTGAACTAGCTACGCTCATTCAAGAAGCGTAGTCATTCAATCTACAAGGTATTTAAGAAGAGAAAAGGTAGTAGCAGGTCCGACCACTCATCCAGTTCTTGCTCAGGTCGGTCATTGCGCAGCAAGTCGTCGATCCTGTTGACGAGAGCATCGAACTTATTATTAACGGCATCATAGACTCTGACGTCGACTTGCTGCTCAATCTCAGCATCTACTGCGTCTAGATCTAGAAGGCGCTCTCTTTCGGCTTCGATCGTTTCGATTTGACGTTGGAGTTCTTGGTGCATGTCCCTAAGTTCCCGAAGAAGCCCAATAGCCTCCTCACGCGCTGATTCAGGGACTCCAAGCACGTTCTCCGAAGGCGCGAATGCGCGAGGTTCCTCCAGAAGTAGCCGCCTGCGACATAATGGACAAGTTGTGTTTTGGCCATGCTGATTTACCCAGGTTTCCAGACAGTCTCGGCCGAAAATGTGCTTGCAAACTCGTGCTTGAACCGCACCATTATGCTCAGAAAACTCCCCGAAGCAGATCGCACAGCACTCATTTTCTTCTGTGGGAGTATCGCAATGCTCCGCCAAGCTGTCGAAGATTATTTTCCTTACTCGTTGGCCTCCGTATCCTGCAGCCGGGTTAGCATAGCGTCAAGCACGGTGTTGACGATGAATATTGAAATGGGATGCTGCTTCCTCAGCTGTCCACCATGGGGGAAAGCTTAAGCCGTATGAAATGCGCTCGCTGGTTGTGTGTTGAGTGTGATTAGGTACTGGTGGAGCAAGCTCGTTCAGCTCTGCTTGCAAGCGGTGGAGGTAGTCCATCCCATGCTCCTGGACAATCGCAGCGACATCGTCAGCCACCTATCCAGCTAGTCTGAAGAGATCCCACCTTTCAAGATATTCATGTGGAGCTACAACGCCCTCAGGAACGCCTTCGTTATAGCGCATCGCGTGCGCTCTTCTCCGGACTGACTGCGCGTAAGGAACGAGTTCTCGTGCAGTGGGAAAGAACTCACCCATTCCGCGGTACACGTTGAGCATGTCTGCTAGGTATTGTTCTGTTGTATCTGGATCGCGTCGGAATTCATCGTGTATGATGTTCCTTTGAAGATACATGAAAGCGCCTAGGAGCTGTCCTCGGAGCACCCAAGGCTGTTCAATTTGGCGCTCATGGTGGGCCTTGAGACTAAGGTATGATTCGAGGATATCTAGGTTGAGATCCGGTAGCTCGATCTGGTCCATTGGTGGTATGTAACCAGCGTCGGATAAGCCTATGTTTCCAGCCATGGTTGTTTGTGATGTCGATTCCAGGACGTTGTATCGGTTTTTGGAGTGTGTGTCGGTCTAAGAAACGTAGGTCGATTTTCGAAGCACGTGTCGATTTGGGAATTGTAAGCGGACGATCAAATGAACGTAGATTCATCTTATATATAAGATCAGCTACGACATTGTGGATGAAACGAAAGACGGTTTTGGGATGCATAAAAAATACTTAACATTGTTTGCAGCTCAAAAGTCTATAGCTTCGTCTTGATAAAAACATTGTTCAGTAAAACGGAGCTGGGCCGGGTTCGTGTTACAGCGCCTCTCCAAAAAGAACACGAGAGACACTTGGAGAAGAGAAATGCTTTTGGAGTAGTAATGGTACTCTCCTTTTCGTCACGGCATGTGAGTCCGGTACAGTACCTAGACATAATTCTGTGCACTCTTGCTTGCCACTTTTTGAGATGCTTTATTGTATTATCAGGAATTCGGACAACATGTCAAATCCAAGACAACGCAGACTGGAGCGCTTCTAAACAAACGGTTAGACCGTTTTGTTCGTGGTCGTTCAGTTTTTCATCTCAGATAGCCGGAAGCAAGGTTAGAGCCAATTGATAGAGGGAGTGCTAGAACTAATGTCTTAATACCGTACCTTTGTACATGGATGGAGGGATGTGTGCCTTCCATTTCGGAGAAGACTCATTGCCTATGTCCTTTCGAGTTTGGCGACTTAGTGGCGCCCCCTATTGGCGTCGAGATCTATGGCTAAAGCGAGGCGCTCTAGTTCACCATCCAGAACCTCAACGTCAGCTCCCGGCCAACGCCACCACTTCTTTTGTATAGACGCTTGACGCAAATAGGTTTGACGCGTTCAATATTCAGGGGACGCGCCGTAAGGCATAAACATGGCCCTATGCCTTATCTTGAGCTCACCTTCAACTTCAAGTCCTGCCGTTCGTCTGTCCTCTTTCCTCCTCGTATAATTCAATAGGATCGGAATGTGACGGATTTGTGGGATAGAGCTCCCAAAGTACCGCTCGCCTGAGATCGCAGTATCCTTCGTGGTCGAGGGTACCAGAAATCAAGCACCCGAAGCACTACAGCCATGAAGAAATCCTCCAAAGCTGCAACCAACTATACCTGCGGCCTCCGCAAGCGCACCTTCTGGATCATATGTGCCCTCACCCTCGCTATCGCAGCTGCAGTAATCGGCGGAGCAGCAGGCGCCATTCTCATGAAAGAAAAAAGCCGTCATACCTCATCACCAACCATCCAACCATCCTCAACTTCTACACCCGTCTCAACAACCACTCTTCAACCCTCCTCAACGTTAACTTTTGCATCCCCAACTCCCACAGCAGTGACTATCGACTGCCCGGGCTCGGACAACACAACCTTCACGACCTCAAACGGCGAGCACTGGCTCCGCAAATGCAATGTCGATTTCGGGGGACCGATACCCGTCAATGGGAACTACAAGACGTATTCCATAGGCGAGTGTCTTGAGATCTGTGCGACTGTGACGCCAAAATGCTACGGGGTGACGTGGGTATACGCGCAGCCGCAGGGGGTGGGAGACAGCTATTGTTGGCTGCATGAAGAACGATTAGAGGGCGATGGGGTGCCGAGGAGGGTCATGATGGAGAGCGCTGTGTTGATTGATGGATAGAGATGCGATGTGATGGGTTGTATGAGGATGAATGACGTCGTTTGACGTTTGAGTGCTACTCAAAGGTAATCAGGACCACCCCTGTGTCTCAAACACGAACTTCAACCTTTTTGTAATGTAGGCTCTAGACATCATTCTACTCTATTTGTGTTACACGAGTCTCTTGAGTAATGCGCATATGCTTTTTTGTTCAACTTCCTACGTCAAGACTCAGCGCTAATTTCTCCATGGTATATTCTGCGAAGCGCTGATATTCGTAGCCTTAAGTTCGGTGCACTATCCATCCATCTTACTTGTGGGCGTGTTATAGTACTGCGGGTTGGTGTTAGCACTAGAGTGTATCCTTAACACATAAACCTACCTCCTGGCATAATTAGCAGCACACTACGATGAACTGATGTAAGCAGCGTTTCTCTGTTTCGGTTCTATACAAAGTAGATACTTTCAAGCCACCAATCATATCAGCGACCTTTCCCAATCTTGTAAGAGCTACTTCCTCTTTTATCATAACTACTCATGACCCAAGACCTAAGCTCCATTCAGGGCGGATCAGAAGCGTATATGACGTATACGAATCTCTGATCTACGCAAGGGTAATTCAGCTATTATAACTCTTCACCATCGCATCTCAACTTACCAATCGCTTTTTCATTTCTTTCACAAAACCTTCGTCATAATGACTCCTAACAGATCCGTCATCTTCCAAAAAATCGTCGACGAAGTCCTCATCCCCAGCACCCATCTCACCATCCAAAACCGCCCAATTGACCTCTCCCTCTCCCCTCCCGATGGCGGCCTTCTACTCAAGAACTACTACCTTTCCGTGGACCCCTACATGCGAACGCGTATGGAGGCACCATTCTCCAAATTGCGAGCCGATCTACAACGGGGGCGTCGCCAAAGTGCTCAAATCGCGGAACCCAAAGTTTGTTGAAGGCGATGTTGTTTGCTTCTTCAACGAGAAAGCGCTGCCGTTCCACGAGTACACAGTCTGCGATGCTGCGATGGCCGAGATCCCGTTCAAAGTGCATAATCCTTACAACGTTGACGTCCGCCATTTAGTCGGGGCGCTTGGTCCCCCGGAGTTGAGGTCGTATGGGTGCCTTTATGAGATCGGGAAGCCGAAGGCGGGCGAAACGATCTTGGTCTCCGCGGCTAGTGGGGCGGTTGGGTAGCTTGTTGGGCAGCTGGCGAAGGAGGGTGTCACTGAACAAGGAGCTGTAGGCCGTGTACGTGAGGCTATATACAAGAGGTGACACGTGCCTGCCGTGGCCCTCACCGCTACTCCCTGACAGAGGGGTTGAGGGCTATTGGGAATGCAGGGAGCGATGAGAAGCTAAGGTATATTGTTGAGGAGCTGAGCTTTGATGGTGGGTTTAATTACAAGACGGAGAAGGCGCGGGAAGCGTTGGAGAAGCTGGTGCCGCAGGGAATCGATGTCTATTACGACAACGTCGGTAGGCCGGTGTTGGAGGCGGCGATTTGCGAGATGAATTAGATTGGAGGGATTAGTGAGTAGTGTTCTCGGCTGCTGTTTTCGGAGGACGCTTGCTGATAGTTTTGGCGCAGTGTCTTTGCAGTATGATCTGCGACTACAATAAGAAACCGGAAGATCGGTACGGCGTGAAGAGTCTTAGGGAGATTTTCATCCGCCGCATTACTATGCAGGGTTTTATCGTCGTCGACGAGAACATTCTAAAGCACTTCCCCACGATGCAAGAGACTATAGGTAAGTGACGCGCCGAAGGCTCGATCAAGTTCAAGCAGGATATTACGGTAGGAATCGAAATGCGATCGGAGCCTTTTTAGGTACGCTAAAGGGTGACAACAATGGGAAGGCGCTAGTGCAGCTCGCGGATCTAGACAAGGATTGAAAGAGGGACCACTGTGCCTCGTGGAAGATTGAGATGAAAGTTCCTGGGGAGCGCGATTTTGCATGCTTCTTAAGCTCATAATAAAGTACGAAGTATGTTGATGCAGTCGAAAGAGATTCAGTACACCGAAAAAGTTGATGAGATGTACAATGCTTGATATTTTGAACTGGATAGGCGGTCAGACGCGTCACGCTTTCCTTTTCTACGTTGGGGCAGTCTACGGTCGGAAAGACACTGCATCCGGTATTGCGTTAGACTTTATGATCGGTGACCTCCACTTCATACTGCCTATCGATGGCGATTTGGCCTCTTCGTAGGTCCTCGCTAACCTCAGACGCGTCCAGTGGATGCAGTGCCCGCGTGCGATAGTTCCCGTATGTCTCGCTGTCATTTTTATTGAAAGGGACCTGAGATGTCTCGGATCTGCGAGGGCTGCTATCGTAGCTTGTTACGCTGCCTTTCCTTGTGCTGTCGGTGTCGGATCTACTTCTTGATCGAAGAGAATGCATAGATAGCTTGCTGTGGATACTATTCAGGACGGAGTCCATAGAGCGCCCTTGGATGAGAGATCTTAGGGTAGGGAGACAAGCTGCTAGCAGTCCGGCTTGAGTTTCCACCATGGACCAGAAAATGAAGGCCGTGATGATCAAGTCCTGGTCGTTATTCGGGTTGAAGGGGTCTGCAAGACGTCAGTCGGCTTGGATACGATCTAGGAGAAAGAGCTACATACGTTCATTCTCCCAAACAAACCAGATTAGTTTTATCATTGATGCCACTACCGCTCTGTAATGATGATGTCAGTACAAGAGATGGGTTCCAAGGCACAACCCTTGACTTACAAACTACCGGTAAGAAATATACTAATAACCGCCAACTTCTTTTTCGTTGAAAGCTGTAGCTTCCAGACCTGCCCCATTCTTAGTCTGGTGTTCTACTCCATTTCGAAGTTGACGTACCAGTGGAATTGGAATGAGTATGATAAGAGCATCGCATAGAAACCCTGACAACGACAGAGCGTACATCATCATCTGCGTATCAACACATTTCGCAATGATGTCGGCGCCAGCACCAGCCCAGTAGACATCGAAAGTCGTTCCACAACCAAACACGTACGCGAAGAAGAACCCGACCGTCCAGGTAAACACGATCGTAAGCATAAAAGTTATCGCTATCAAAGGAATATACCGAGAGAGTCCATAAATACAAAAGATACGACGGTAGAAGCATAGAATGCTTCCCTTGATTAAACCCAAGGTTGGAATTGCTAATGTGATCACGATGAAGAAAGTCTGAAGGCTAATTAGCGCAGTACTAACAGATAGCAAGACGTATGTCCGTACCTTGGCTGTGATGGTGATGATTCTATTGGACTGGTCGATTGGCGTTCTCGAAACGAGATCACGAGCTTCTAGTAGAGCAGGCGTAGGATATCTTACGGCTCTGCTTGCAACACCTGAAATACGTCAGTTTCAAGGTTCGTCTAATAGTCCTTGTAGGAATACCATACCCCACCAGATAGCTGCACACATGCCAAGCATCATAACCTGTAGATTAGATCGCGTTAGCCCTACGGTATGCAATTTACGTGATCTTTGAGGAGGTTCACTCACGAGAGCCGGAATAATCAACCAATCGTCAATTCTAAGTGATTGCTTCTGCCTTCGCCGAGCATAAAACCGCAGCCCAACAGCTATGACATCTAAGATCGCAAGCACAATAGATACCGGGTAAATGACATCGGGACCTTGGGTGAGCATCAACATTGTGGCGGTACAGTAATTTCTGGTCGAGAATTAAGATATGGACCAAATGAGTTCTTCGAGTATGTATTTTGTAGCCAAAACGGAGATCCAAAGCTAAAATTATGAGACAAAAATAGGGCAGAGAGTTCTGCCGCACATTGGTTGGGTGGGAATGTACGCTTGCTCTGCTGTTGAATTACAAGTTCATGAAGAGACGACGGAGCTCAAGAGCGAAGTTCTGTCTTAGCCCGAATAACATAAATGCCGAGTCGACAGCTTACTCTCCGAACTAGAGCTCGTTACGGACAAATCTGTGGCGTGTACTTCCTATGCCTCCTTGTTCATTATCAGGGATCAACGTAACTTCTCAGCTGCTGGGAAGCAGGATTTTCGTCGTATGTTCCTTGTACGGCGTGTCCATTTTGGTCCGGCGTACATGACCACGAACAACACTCCATGCCAAGAAAAATACCAACTGCTTTTTGCCGATCGCGTTGGTGGCACAAAGCCTAACAGGACAGCGTTTAGGAATCCGATATTTTAGGATGTTTCCCCCAAATGTTCCTCTTGTAGTCTTCAACACACCGAGAGGCTCGTCATTAGTCTCAACTCCGTTGAACAAGGGTCTTTTCGGGGAGCACAGGTGCATGATTTGCAGATGTTTCTACTGAATTGGCAGGGCGTGGCCTTGCAACTCAAACCGGCGGACTCAGAGGCGAACGTCACCAGTCGCTCTCTCCGCCATACTCCATCGCAGACCTACGGCTCCATCCAATACAGGTATCTGAGAGCGGAGAAGTCATGGGTGTGAATATGGACGCTGTTATTCCCGGCCTTAATACCACGTGACCGTGCCAGTTGCGTGAAACCTCACTTTCTGCTGACGTCACTCTCGCGTTAAACATCAATCATCTCAGGCACTTTTCGAAAGAGATGGTGATGCTAGAAATTAATGTCGATAGGGCGCGTTTGGATGTATTTGTGGAGCACGGAAGAAAGTGCTGAGGTAAGTGGTACGTAGTTCTAAGTTTCTACTACGTACCCGAGTGCCCGGGCACCAAATACTCCGAACAATATTCTCCATAGCCGCACAACCGCATTCCCGGCTCTCTGCATCCCCAAGCATCGAATCCTCGTGCTTGTTTACTTCACAACATCCCGTGGGTTAGACACGAAGGTGACAAGGCCTTCTACATCATGGCCTCGTCTGCTAGTCCACTACCGGACCTGTTATTGGCAACAAAATCAGATGAATCGGAAGCACCAACACCAACAGATGAGTGGGATACCACACTCTTCGCATTCCACGACCTAGACTACGTTCCTTCTGGATATGGGGGCATTCTAGCTCCGTATATCGAGACTGGACCCGGGACTATGCGCGCCGCTGTCAAGCTTATGGGCCTCGACCTCGTGCCGAATGCGAGTCTTCCATTCGTACGACAAGTCATATGCGACCTTGGCTCTGGCGACGGCGAGTTTCTCATCGGCCTGCTTGGATATGTCAATGCCATTACCAATACGACGACTACTAGTGCGGTTCATGGCATGGGCATCGACTACAATGCCGCGCTGATCGATACAGCGAACGTGAATGCAATATCGGCCGGGGTGAACGCGACATGGCTGATCTACGACTTCAATGAGGACCAGGAAGATCTTGTTGGTCAGCTAGTTGCGGAAGGTGTCACCCATGTGTTTACCTACCTTGTCCCCAAGCAGCTTGCGCTCAAGACTGTGCGGGCTATTCTGACAAGATTGTGCGAGAGTGGGGTGATGGTTTGCTGCCACAAGTTCCAGCCGAACTACCTAACAGCGACGAGACGAGACACATTGATGGACTTGGCAGTGTACGAACACGCACCTCGCGTCGAGGCGGGCTGACGATGAAAGCTCCAGGGTGGTATGATTAAAGTAAGTCTTGAAACCCTACTCCTTTTACCCGAAGGGGCTTTCCTCGGTTCATTCTTAACTTCTCTTGAAGAAACCAAATCCGCTTCATTGATCTTATATTGGTATCAAAGCAACCTTTGCACCGTTCTTGTTCTCAAAAGTCGCCCTCATTTGCTCCGTCCATGGCTTCTCATCGCGACTCTCTAAGCTGGCGAACTCTCTCGCGATTGTGACCACCGTATATGCGACTTCCGTGAACACCAGCCGCATAGCGGGGCAAATACGAGGTCCTCCCCCGAAAGGCACGTACTCCCAGGTGGGACAAATCCTCTCCCAGCGTTCTGGCCGGAACTCCTCTGCATCTTCCCCCCAAAAAGATTTGTTGCGAAGCATGCATCGGAAGTTCATTTCGACTATCTCTCCCTTCTGAACGTATAAGGGTGCCCTACCGTCTCTTCCTCCGCCACTGGGGAGAACGACTGACTCAATACACTCTCTTGAAATCATAGTAGTCACGGGAGCTATCCGATGGGCTGTTTCATGTTAGTGTGGCCAGCGTGACTCGGTACGAAAACTAAGACCCACCTTCCCGGTATATGTGTCCTAGATACTGATAGCTCTTAAGCAGTTCATAAGTAATCGGCTGGTCCTTTGTAGGTAGTATCTCCGCTCGCAGTTTGTTCCATGCGACCAGATTCCTGGAGAGATAGAAGAAGATATTGCTTAGTACTATGGCTGGGCTGTCGAGAGCCGGCGTAAGCACGTTCTGTAGCTGGAAGCGGAGGGCCTGTCGATCTTTCGTGGTTTTTGCCATCTCATCGATCAGACGAAGACGTCCTCGTCCGCCACCTAGCTCGGTACTCTCTCTTTTCTCAAGGCGAAGTAGCGCTTTGTCGACGCGCTCGTCGAGGAAGTCGTTGACTGTTTGGCACGCATCTCGCCACTTCTGGTCTCGATGGAAAAACGAGGCACGACTTCCGATCATCATTCGAATTCCCGTGCCCCGCTGCGCATAGAAGTTCGCGTCCAAAAACTCCTTGTGTGCATCTTCTGACAGCAAAGCATCCAAAGATTCACCTAGGATGAATTGACTCGAAGTGTCTAGGCTCTACGACAAATTAACATTACTGACTTGAGAATATAGATGTCGGTCAATTTACTAGGCGTTTGAATAGTGGCATCAAATCCACCGTTGAACCATCACGCGGCAGCAAGCGCATTAGCCTTTGGACGTGTGTCTCCAAACTCCGATTCCCCAGGTTGGAGATATGAACGACATCGAACGAAGGCTTGATCAGAGCTCTGCGATTCGCCCAACGCTCCCCGTCAACCATTGTGATGCCATCACCCCAGAGGTGTGGGGCGGCCTTGATCCGAATATTCTCTACACCAAATTGGTTGAAGTGGGTGGCGTGCACATACTTCGTGATGTGTGGATCTATTGTTTTGATAATCGAGGCACCCAAGAATTTTGCCCTGAAGGTTTTCCCGTACGACGCGAACAGATTTTGGTTCAGATTGAGAAAAGTTTGGCTTTCAAGAGATTTCGTGTATAGTAACAACAGGTCAATGCCGAAGAACGGGTCTTTGTGAGGATACTTCGGAGGTTCTTGGCAACCATGACGCCGCATGGTAAGTATCCGAGCGGCAGTATGTACGATCCATTTCGTAATCCAGATCGCAAGGAGAGCGCAAAGAGCTAACAGAACAGGTGAATTTGTGGAAAACTTCATGCTAAAGATGGGAAAATGTAAGATGGCCTGGGATTGTCGTGGTGAAGAGCTTTCGAGTAAGGTGCTGCCTCGAAGTGACAAGACGTTGAAAGATTACCTATATCTAGCATACTCACTTATTCGCCGAAGCTTCTGTGGATAAACATGATCCCGTACTGTGCCGCAATCTATTTAGTAACCCCGGTGGATGATCGCCGTCGGAATCGATATATTCAGAGCTTGAAGATCCTACATCGGCGTCATCACTCGACAACCCTGCACTAATATATGCAACAACCAGGGTCTGTCGGCTTCATATACCATGCTAGTGGTACCCCCACCCCACCTGGTGAACCTTGATATATTCTACACGCAACGGGCCTCCAACGCGTCGCGTGTATTTGAGCAAAACTTCCGACCCCGATATCCCGCTTAACACCACCTTGCATCCCAGGGCCAGCCCCGCTTTTTTTGCCACAACCGTATGTATGATGATCACCTCCATTGTTTCGAGGAATCTCAACCAATCCCACTAAATCGGACGCGACACAACCCCGTCAAACCCAGAACGAGTGGTTGATCCTCGCGTAAAGCCCTTACTGTGACCTATTTCAAGAGCTTTATCATCATTCTTGACAAGAGCCGCTAATCAAATGGTTTCTTGTGCTTTGGGTCTAAGCCCGAAGGCTCGCTGGCTCCTCAATTTGGACAGCTTCCTCTATTATGAAACATCCGAACGGGCTTTTCTATCGGAATTGGTCCTGATCTTCTCTTTTAAGATCGACAGGGGCTCCAAATTATCGCATAATAGATTCATCCGGACGTTTTCCTTGCCTACTCACAGCTGATCAACTACAACAGCCGTTTCACTCTCGCGTTATCCACATCATGCATTCAAACGGACAAAATTCGAGTTTGCAAATAAGTATTACAGCGCGCCGCTTAGGCTACGCTACTACTTAAATCAAATCGCCTGAGATAACGCTTTTGAAATCTGCTCAAATAATGCACCTCCGCTGTGTATCCCTAGAATTGACAGTCCCTTCTGCTACAGGCGCTGCTCACATAGATCAGTAATTGGGGATAAGAAACAACGCGGTGGAGCACCTACCATCTGCAGAGCATCCTTCACTGGCGTCGACTGCATCATCTCTGGCAATAGCTTTATTTTCAATTGGAGCAGCAAACGCGATAGCTTGTAGAGAAGCAATCACGCCGATGAAGTATATTGTGAAACGCATTTTGGGCCTTCAACTATTAGCGGAGCAGAACTAGAGGGTACAGATGTCATACTTCTTACAGAACTTTCCTAGTTCGTTTGTGTAAATGCTATCTAGAAGTTGGGATATAATCTTACGATTGTGAAGAGAGGTCTTGGGTTGACTAAGATCACGCTTGGAAAGAAGTCTCTACTCCTTATACGTTCAACCTAGAAACATGGGATCTGAATTGTTAGGGTATCTTCTAAGCGAACTTGGAATTCTCGGACTAGACCATTCGGACAATGACATGTCTCAAAACTATAGACGCCGCATTGAACGACAATGAAATCCGAAGACTTTGCACATCAACATACCCCACAGGCATCTTGATGGTTGATCAAGAATCTGCCGCCAGACACCATCCTGCTGGTAATCTGGGCCGGCTGAGATAATTCCAGGTACACCGGCGAGTAAGTATCGGAGGTACGCTGTCGTATTTAGCGAACCCTGGCATTGACCAGGGTCTGCCACGAGCCTATCACTCCGCTCATAGAATTAGCGGCTGCACGTGTTCGTTGAACACCGACGCAGCATTTGGTCCCAATTTTCGGTTTCAACCCTTTTCCTCAAGTCCGTCTATTCATCGTCATATCCGATGACAACTTTACCGGCAAATTATTGAAACAATTTTATAACATGCTCCAGGACTCCACCCCACCTCCCTATCCTCTGATCAGTCGTTGGCTACCAAAACATCAGACTCTAGTCATTTGAAAGAAAGCCACGTCTATCTCGCTCATTTCTCTTGTATCCCATATATCCTGATTGGGTTAGACTTCACCAACAAAGAGCAGCGCAAAATGGGCCATGAAGACGTACCCTTAATAGAGGAAGAAGTCCCACAGAAAGAGCACTTCAATGACCTCCACAAGTCATGGAGAGACACGAGCTCATTGAAAAATACAGAGAAGCGAGCACATTCATTAAGACGAGTTATCGCCGCCTACATCGTGCTGCTGCATTTTCTCTGTATAATTCTCTCCGTCACGGTCATATGGATGAAATTTCCGGCCGTCTTACACATGAGTGGCAAGACCACAACCGGTAAGATGTCTCCCTTTTATATGAACAAGGTCTTAGATTCTCACTACGGGCATTCATAGATTGGGTACCGGTCAAGTACGAGATGCGACACGAATACGCCTCGGACCACTCTTCCAGCAAGTATTCAGGTCTCCCAAATGACGACAATACTCAGGCTTGGGACGACCTTATCATGCGTGAGCCATCTCAGCGAAGTCCTAGCGAGAAACTTTTTCAAAAACTGACGCAGCCAAAAGCAACTTTCTTCAACACCTCGGCAGACGAACTCGCCCAGGTAGGAGAAGAAGTCGACAATTCTGTGCGTCTCGCGGATGGCGGATACATCGCAGGACTAGGAGTGTACCACGATATCCACTGTCTAGTACGTCTTGCCTCCCCCTTACCCAAGAGCGCCGCTGACTCCGCCAAAGAGGCGACTCCGACTCTTTCTCCACAGTGATTACTACTATCCCCCGCTTACAGAAGTAAACCTTCGCTATCTCCGCAAGCACCTAGGTTTGCATACCAAATTCTTTTAATTAAGGATTAGTTCCGTCTCCAAGCTTCTTTTCAGGTCTAACGCAAATCAGACCATTGCATCGAATCTCTCCGAAAAGCAGTTATGTGTAATGTTGATACAAACATTTATACGTTCACATGGGACGACACCACCGCAGCGGATCATCGGCCGAATCCGAAGTCGAATCAAATGCGGAAATGCACGAATTGGGAGGCGGTGGAAGGTTGGGTGACCAAGCGGCATGTGCCACTTAATCCGATGCTGATGAGGCCGAGTGGGGTGAGCGATAGGATTCATATGGTTTGATGATAAGTATGAGAATATGAGTGATGGGAGAGGTACGTTAGACTTCAAGCACCCTCCACGCATTTCACCATAATGAAACGTATCGGGCTGATGCTAGCCAGGGAGATACGGTCGCAGCCCACAAGTGACACTAGTGTTTTCTATTCACCTTGGGTGAGATAACCGAGTTTGCGCATGATTCCTACGAAAGACATTGGCGACCGATTTCATCGAATCCAAAACATTTCCTTTGGCCTTTTTCTGCTTTGAAGTCATCTCCTCGAAGGGTGGATCCTTCTGAATTGGTGCCCGCTTATGCCAATCCGTGTAAGGATCTCTCTCTTCTGCTGGTTCCGCCGCTGGCGCCTCCGCCTCCTCCGGGGCCGGCTCTTCTTCTGGCGTATCTCATTTCTTCTTTTTTCGCCCGCCTTTTAGCTCCGCCAACGCCTGTTTATGGTGCAAGTTTTCTCCGTCACGGTAGAAGTGGCCAGGTCGCATGCACCCGCCTTTCGATTGGACGAGAAACCGCTCGCCGCATCGCCGTCCGTTCGGAAACTTAGCGTCTGGGGGCAACTGCGCGTCGCAATAGGCCATGTGGTACTTTTCGTAACACTTATCCGATATTGGACCGTTGCAGATAGGGCTAGTCCAAAACTAGTCTCACATGTCGCTTCTTAGTAAATAGGAGTATCGAAACTTACCAATAATGAGACTTTGGGGCTACAGCCCCGGTCTCTTTGTGAAGCCTTATTTCCTCCTCCGTTCTTCTGGAATCAAAGTTTTTTGGCCATTGCTTAGAATCAGAACTGTTCAAAGGGTGCTTTTACTAGAAGGCCGAGGCGATGGTATTAAAATAGTGGTGGTATCGATACAGCAATGGCTTTAAAGTAGTAGTTTTGTGGAAGCAGTGGTGGTATGGGTGGTAATAGTAAGTTAAATATGGGACTCCTATCCATGATTTTATATCTCTAATGGGGCGGAAAGCGTCAGTGTTCAGACAGTAAATCGAGTCCTTCGTTGCCATAATGGGCAGACGTGAGTTACGCCTAAGTTTAGTGTCGGCGTTCCATATATTTGCAGTAAATGCACAGCCAACCTCCTATAGCATGTCACGCTATTCTCACGAGGTTTGAGAGAGACTTTGAAGGTGTCGATTCACTCGAGCCGCTCGAGGTCAGCCTTGCTTAAACCTCCCAGGTTTGCCCTCTCTAACCTTCTTACAACCACCAACGCAGACCCACCCACACCAAACCTGCCCCGTTCATACCCACATACACACACACTAGGTTCAGTCTATTCAGTCTTTGATTTTCTCTACAAAATGGAATCCAATCGCGGCCACAAGCCGCACAACTGCATGAGCAGACTCCAAGCAGCTGCGCACAACTTCCAACAGAAAGCCAAAGACGGGGCGCAGAAAGCCAAGCGCAAGATCAAGGTCGCTGTACACAAGTCGGCCGATGCTCTTATACCAGATTTCCTTGCGTGCCTCAATGGGGCAGGCAAACTACGTAGTAGTTCACCTCCAGGCCAGATTCCACAGACCGCTAGCTCATTCACCTCATCCAAAACCGACCTAGTACTATGTCATGCACACAAGCAGGATCATCTCTTGCTATCTCCCACGGCAAAAAAAAGGCCACCCCCGTCTCTAGGAAAGGGGAATCACGAGTTTTTCGAGTCTCGGTACTGGGGTCGAACCCGCGAAATCCCGTCAAAGGCTATCCGGCGTCTTGCATCGGAAGTAATTGACCCGGAGGGGCAACTTGGAGGAATCGGGGTGTGGGTGTTAAGCAAGAAACAAGGGTCCTAAAACACAGTCTATCCATGGGTTCAAACTTCCCATTAAAGTCCCTTCTGCAGGGCGCGCCTCACGATGGACAATAGCAGATGTGACCAACCTTCGTTCAGAGGCTCTCAATATGCATTCGAAAGCATACAACGGTCCCTGTACCCTGCGTCTGCCGCTACTCGACGACCTTGGAAAACGAGATTGAGGCACCCTATATTGTCATGGACGCAATGGAAGGCGTGCCGGCGACTGAAGCCTGGCACCCTAGTGGGGACATCACGGTAGACACAATCCAGGCTCGGTTCGACCTCTTACAGTCCCTCGCAGGAGCGATGGCAAGTCTGCAAAACCTTGAATTCGATAAGGCGGGTATGTTTGACTTCGAGAACGGAGACCTGGAGAAACCAACAGTCGGCCCCATACGCATATGGCGTGAGCCCTCCGGCCTGGAGCTATACGAGGAAAATATTGAGGATTTACTGGTTGTTCGACAGACCCGCATCACTCCACCAGCATCGACGGCTCGACACTACTTCTCATCAGTCCTTGACTCCCGGAATTACGATCTCCACGATGATGACCGAGGTAGAGGAGTGATTAAGGTGGCCGAGAAAGCTTTGGGGTACCATCCATTCCGGAAATATTTGAAGCCACACTTACTACAGGACGAAACTGAAACCTTCGTAGTTCAGCACCCGGATTTCAACCTGCAGAATATCCTTTGCGATCCTGAAACCCTCAAGATTACAGCAATAGTCGATTGGCACCTCGTTAGGATAGTTCCGCGACGTGTCGGCTTTTCTGCAGTCCCAATATGGCTTCGGGAAGACTGGTTACCTTACTATCTGTGGCCTATCTCTTCTACCCTAGCCGTCAATCAGTTGGACATGTACCGCGATCACTACGCGAAATGCCTGTCAGAGGCCATGGGCGGGGAATGAGACTGCGTCTACACGAAGAAGAGCCAGATTTACACCGCCATGGATGCGGCGATCTTTAAAAATGGCTCGCTTGAGATTGCAGACTTTGCTGATAAAGTCTTGCAATACATCTTTCCCTGCCAATCTGCTATGAGTTTGGCCTGCCATCTTGGTGACGAGGAAGATTGGGGCCCATGTGAAGAGTTGCATGAGGAATGTATGTCAGCATTTCTTGACCTTGAAGGCCGGGACCCTGACCATGATTCAGATGAGAGCGGGTTCGAAGCCGACAGGTCGAACTCACAAGCAGCTGACGCGGAGTCTCAAACAGCTGTATCGAAGGGAAGCTGCTTTGGAGATAGGGGCACTGGGTTTCACACTGAAGTAGACTTCGATAACGTAGATTCGAAGCTTAGGACGGGATACAAGAAGAGTTGAGAAATCCAGGGGTTCTGACCTACGCCATGGACGCGCTGAAACGCTAGGTCATTCACTAACGCAGCTATTACGATCTTTAGACGACTTTCAAAGCATCCGCCACTCTCTACACTGATCACAGCAAGACAGGGTAAGCGAGCAAGCAGGCAAGCTTTCCGTATTACGGTTCCCCCTTGGGTGACTTTTCAAAGGAAATGGATCGGAGGAGACTACGGACAGTCTTTTAGTAGGAGGAAAAGAAAAAGATTGGGGTTTTTTTGTTAGCATTGTTTTATACTCGGCCAAAAATAATACTGCTCATCTAGCCTTTAGCTCCGTAGTCAGCTTCCTCCATCACTAATCAGCTAATACAATACTTAATCCTTCGGTATGCCACTACGTGTTGCTCTCAACTCCACTGGCAAAGGCAAGAGTATCTCAAATTATCAGACCCCAACCCCATGCCTCTACCACAAGTCTCCACAATGTTTGCCGAGTCCACGACTTCACAAGGTGCCGGCACGTTTGATCATCACCGATTCGCTATGTATCACATCGGACCTCTCGAGGCTAAGCTTACCAGTGCGAAGTTAAAATGCTGCAAAGACTGGAATGAAACAATAACATTGTGATTGCTGGCGGAAACACCAGGAGTTCGTCAGATAGATTGAAGTGAACATGAGTTTGTATTGTAGTGAATGTGCGAGCTTATATACATAATTGAAAGGAGAGTAATGTGACTAGGTGTAGCTACGTAGTTCGGAAGCTGATAAAGCAGCTACGTACTCATACGTACTGAAGCCGTATAGATCTACGCTTACTGTGGATGTAGAGGCGGAGGTGTATGCCGAGCCAACAGATCATACAGATCTACATGAGGATCTATACAAAGGTAGGTCAAAGCTCAAGAGGAATTCCAGCAGTCACATTATGCAGTCATGACGAAGGCTTCTTTCTGTCTTTGCGTCTTTGTTCGATTTTTTAGTTGCGCTGTTCTACCTCAACAACAACAACAACAATAACAACAACATCATCATCATCATCATCATCATCATCATCATCATCATCATCATCATCATCATCATCATCATCATGATACAGCTTACATATCGAACTGGCAGATAATACTACAATTCCTCTACTGATACATACTAACTCAAAATATGATCAACGAAGCAACTCTTACCTCTAACACATACCTAGATGAGAACGAACTTCGAGAATGCATATCCGAGGGTGTCGGGATGATTCTCGCGCGCTGGAACCACAGGAAGCAGCCTCTTATATCAGTGGAACTGGAAGCCTTTCCTCAAAATGAGCTTGGTCGGTGTATCAATCCATGGCGGTATAGAAGTCACAAACCCCATGATCTTAATTGGAGACCGATCAAACGACGTCTGCCGAAGCCCCTCCCTTATTCCTCGCGATGTGCCATGATGAGTAGTAAGGCGATAGACTACATTACTGAAGGTATGGGGAATCTGAGCCTTGGGATGAGTCCAAAATGGGAAACTCAAACAAAGAGAACGTACCCGGCTATGTTCTCTCTGTTCCACATTACAAAGATCATTGCAAAGGCCCGGGAAAGTGAATCGACTGAACTCTCAGACGCCCTCATTGAGATCTTTGCATCTACTGCTGTCAAAACCTTCACGTCGCGCTGCAAGCATAAGTATCCCAAGGCCTGTCGCTATGTTTACCCAGGTTGCCAGACCACAGATCTGTTTGATGAGCACGACATGCGCACTAACGAGGGTAAGTTCCTTGACGAGGTGGTCCGATTTCTGGCCGCCGAGAATATGGAACGAGTCAAGAGTTTCTGTTACAAATTCGATCGAGAGCGCCTCCCGGACATTGTGCGGATATATTACGATAACCCCTCAGACCCCCTTGAGATCGTGGACACCTGCGGGCTGTTCCAACAAGAGGAAATCGACTTTTATGGCCGCGAGTTCCTTTGGCATGCGCTGAACGAGATGAAGTCTGCTCTTATCTGGGTAGCTGAATCTCAGCAAGAGCAAAAAGCGGACGGAAGCTCCAACGAGTTACTCGCAGCTGCGACTGATGACCAAGACGAGGAGCCGCTGCCAAAGGAAGAAGAGCTGATATCCTCTGATGCGGAAGATATACAGTCTGGTTCGTCAGCGTGTGCTATGACATTGACTGAAGGTTCTACAATTGGAAACGAGAACTCACTGCCAAAGGGGAAGGAGTCGAAGCCGACAAAGAATTCTGAGCAGGCGAGGAAGCCTACAACACTTGACGAGGAAGCCACGCAGCCTGATTCGCAGAGTAAGGTCATAGTCGAGGGCCCCTTGCGCATGAACAATGACCAATCTCCAAATGGAGAGAGAGCGGAGCTGACGAGGAAGCCCAAATCCTCCAAGGCGGAATCCTCGCAGACTGTCTTGCCGGATAGAGCTCCAAAAAAAGACCCAGAGTTTAAGAGCAAAGAGAAAAAGCGAAAGGGAACGAAACCAGAACAGGAGGAAAAAAGGCCTAAGCAGAAGGAAACGAAGCCCGAGCATAAGAAAACGAGCGTCGAGCAGAGGGAGAGGCAAGCTAAACAGAGGAAAGTCGAGCAGAAAGTAAGGAACCCCGAGCATAAGGCAAGGCAGCCTGAGAAAAAACAAGACAACCCTGGGCAGAGAAAAATGAAGCTTGAGCAGACGGAGAAAAAGCCGAGAGGCGCGAAGAAACCCACGCAGCAAGCCGGGCCGTGCCGCAGGAAAAACCAAAGCATCAAAACGTCCCTAAGCATCGAAATGCTCCCAAGATCTTTACTAAATCCAGGCATCAGAAAAGGACAGAACGCAAGAAAAGATGATCCGGGTTCACGAGCGCTTTAGCGGCCTGCTTCAGTTACGCTTGGTATGTTTCCAATGGGAAGTAGTGTTTTGGCGCCACATTCTGAAACTATCACTCTTATATAAATCTCAATCATATTCTTCAATCTACAATCTTACCTTGCTAAAACACTGCTTTCGAGACAAACACTATTCAACAGTAATTTCCTTTCGGATAATCGTGCTCGGAAGTTCAAAGTGTTGCAGTATGTCACCAAATAGCACAAAAAGAGAGGTATTGGTAGGAAATACATTGTATTAAACAGAAAGTAGGTTTAGGCCATCTGACGCAAATAAGCGAAGTAGCATTTTGTAAGTGCGTTATCGCCCTAGAAGGGGATTGAAAGAGAAGTGCCGCAGCCAGCTATGCTTGAAGTGATGCCCGTTCACGGTGACATTAAATTCAAGAACTCTAGCCTTCTATCGAAAGCTTCTATTTTCAGCCAGTAAAAGGCCATCCATGTCACGGCTCCTCCGGTTAGCTTTTTCAAACTTTGCCAGCCCTCTGGAGTGTTCACTACCTCGCCGTATCTCTCCACAGACGGGAAGAAACTCTCAATACGCTGTTGGAAGAAGTCTTCATAGACCTGGCTGCAACTCACCATTTCTGTACCCCAAGGTCTCTCCACAGAGACACTCTCAGGGCCGATATTGCGTTTTCGGGTCACTTGGCTGGGGCCGAGATAAAGCCCGGGCTCCTGTGAGATGACTTTAACGTCATGCCAACGCGGCAGCTTCGCCGCGAAGACAAAAGAAGATGGACCAGATTCCAGTTCACAGTCATTCTCGTGTATGATTTGAATCCCGAGATCTTGCAACATCTTTTTGTCAATCTCGTGGAAATTCGGATCCGAAGCGAGAATCTTGAGCTTCCGACCGCCGTGTGCGTCCGAGAGATATTCGACAATGTCAAGGAATATCACGAGCTGGTTCAGTGTGGTATTCTTGTTGTACTGCCCGGGGCGGTGCTGGTCCGATATGCTGCCCATGCCGAGTAGAACTGCCGTATCAATGAACTGACCATATTCGAATTCTTTGCAGAGCAGTGTTCTTAACTCGCTTCGAAATCTAGAGGAATTCCAAGCATTCTGACATCTGATGAAGTGCATGGCATAGTGCTCACCTGGCATTGGAAGCTCAGCCTGCTCTTCCGTCGAATACTTTTTCGGCCAGTAGAAGCACATTGACTCTACGGCTCCCAGCGTCAGGCGCTCCAGCTCCTCCCAGCCTTCCGGAATTGCCTTCGTCCTGTCAATATTATTGATCGCGGACGGGAAGACTTTCTCGATACAGCCGTGAAGGAGAACTTCATAAGTCTTTCTTTCAATCGCATGGTCAGGATGATAAAAGAAGTTAGGCCGCCCTTTCCAATCGGGACCAAGATACAAGCCGGGGTTACGCGAGACGATATCAAGATCAACTTCAAATGGAATGTGTGCCGCAAATACAAACGTAGATGGACCAACGTTCCATTGGTTTTCGTAAGTTGAGTCAGCGGAGGACATATCGATAATCTCGATGTTGAGACCTCCCAAGAACTTCTTGTCGATATCATCGAAAGCAGGGTCCGAAGCGATCATCTTGATTTTCTGTCCAGACTGCGCTCCTGACAGGTAGTCCGCAACATCGAGGAATACTAAAAGCTGGTACATGCGCTTTGCGTACCATCCAGGACCTCGAGGACTCTTCATGCTGCCAGTCCGAGTAGAACCGCGGTGTCGATGGCTCCGGACCGAGCTCGAAGCAATTTTTGAAGATCCCATGAGAATCGAGTGGCCTTCCATGCCCTCTGATGCTCTTGAAATTCGAGCTCGATAGGCTTTACTGTCTCTGCTACGATTGGCTTAGGCCAGTAAAAGCACAACCCGCTCACGCTCCTCCACCACGGTGTCCCTGACGCGTCGGGGAATTTCATCTCCGAGTGTTGTTCGGCGAATTTCTCGAAGGAGTCTCTCCCTTGCACAACCTGAAGCCAAACTTCTCTATCCGCTGCTCCCGAGCAATTAATTTGCTGATCGTAGAATTCGAATCGTTTCTTACAATCAGTACCCAGGTACAGGCCGGGACGTTGACGGACAACGCCTGCTTCAATATCATGGTAAGCGTAGGCCGAGAAGACGAACGTGGAGGATCCGACGTGTCCTTGGTAGGTGGCGGCATGAGGCACTACCTTCACGTTGTAATGATTCAGGATTGTCACGTCCAGGTCTTCAAAGGAAGGGTCCGCGGTGAACATGGTGATGCTCTTTCGTGGTTCGACCTGGGCTTGGATATTAGATACGAACTTGATAAGATCAAGGAAAATGACCAGCTGACCTAAGAAAGGGCGGTGACCCTCGTGCTCATCGTCTTGGAACCAATAACAGCCTAGGCCGAGCAAGAGTGCGTTGTCGATGGGCTCGACGTGATTCTGGACCACAGCTTTAAGCTGCGTTTTGATAGCATATGAGAATCTGGAGCTCCGTCATTCCTTTTGGTACGTTTCGAACAAGCTTATTGCTTCCTCGAACATTTTCGATGCGCTTGCGGATGTCTGTGACTTCTTTGGCTGGATTGATCGTGGGCGGACCGCTCGCTCGGGCGTTCAGCTTAGTGTTCTAGAGCCGGGATGGTTTTTCCTAGGAACAGATAGGGGATGGAAGCGTACAAGGACAGGTGTAGAAGATATACATATATGAAATGAGGAGTCAATCCTCGCGCGTAGCTACGAATTAACAACAACACCAACGTTGTGAGATCGCTTACATTGGTTCTTTGTCCACATTTTCTCTGGGAGGATTTGATTCGACTCTCTAATAACGAGAATTGACGGCATTGTGTATGTGGCCATTTTGAACAATGTGTCTCAGAGCTCCCACCAATGACGAGTCGACCATTAGATTTGGTGTAGGCGTAATTTTCGTGATTTTCGTTGATCTTGAAAAAGGGGAGGGATATTGGCACACCCCCTAATCACTTCGCGCACACCCCCTTTTTCACTCCACGCACACCCCCCCTCTTGGCGCTTCACCACCTTCTAATTGGCTCGGAGCAACGCGGAGCTTCCTCTGGGCATTCACCTTTACGTCTCTCTGCACGTGATGCTATACGCGAGGCCGTGCGTGAGCTCGTACGTGAGCTTGTACGTGAGCTCGTACGTGAGCTTGTACGTGAGCTCGTACGTGAGCTTGTACGTGAGCTCGTACGTGAGCTCGTACATGAGCTCACATGTAAGCTTGTACGTGAGCTCGTAAATAAGCTCGTACGTGAGCTCGTACGTAAGGCTATACATAAGGCCATACGAATCGGCATAGCTATATAGCCTCTCCGTTCTACGGTGCATTCTTTCCAATTCGTGCAGGCGTATATACAGCCGTACGTGAGTTCATATGTAAGGCCACACGAATCGGAAAGAATGCACTGTAAAATAGAGAGGCTGTATAGCTATGCCGATTTGTATAGCCTCACGTATGAGCTCACGTACGGCTAAGTGAATAAGAAAGGCTACACGTGCAAATGCACGTGAGAATAGAGCTCCGGACGAAGCTCCGAGCCGCTCCAGCCAATCAGAAGATCAAACGAGAGGGGGGGTGTGCATGGAGTGAAAAAGGGGGTGTGCGCGGAGTGATTAGGGGGTGTGCCAATATCCCTCCCCTTGAAGAATGCACCTCTGGAATTAATGGGAACGCGATTATATTTTATGAAGGGAGAGCACGGCGACCAAATAAGTACTCTTAAGCGTAGGGAATACACGAACAAAAAAACAGCAAAATCAATCCCACTGGAACATAGAATATCCGCCCACACTAAAACCCCCTGATAGCCCAAACACTACCTTTCAATGTTATAATGCGGGAGATGAGAAAACTAGATCTCAGTAAACACCTCTGTGCGTTCGCCGAAACAATTCACGATATTCACTTTAGATTAGATATTCGAGCATCAAGAACACCTCGTCCCCGCTCTATTCAATGGGCCAGATTCTCAAGCTCTATGGATTAGCCAAACATAGCTTTAAGAAATTGAGATTGATCCAGTGAATCTCGAACCAGACCATCTCGTCTCTGCGCGCTTACTGATTGAGATTCGAACCATCCGACTCTTATCTTTCAAGTCTCAAGCATATTCAACTCAGCCTTTGGCCTATTTCTTGCGTTTGATGAAGTCCTGGGCAGTTACCGCCAGTGCCTGCCTCCTCGACTTGCGCCCAGAATTGTCCTTTGGAGGAGTCGATTCCTTTTCTGTATCCTTGGGAGTCGCCGGCTTCTTGTCCCACTTCTCGAAAGGGCTGCGACCCTGGCTGAAGGTCAAGAGCACGCCATCCTCGGTCTCTTCTTCCTCCACGATGACCTCGAGCTTCCCACTGTCCTCGGAGTCATCATCGGCGTCATTCTTCGCAAGTCCCTCGTTGTCCTCGGGGAGATCATCGTCCCATGGGGCCATGCCTAGGTACATCTCGCGAAATTGCATCTGGATGGCCTTGTTGGCGCCGTCGCGGTAAGAGTGGCCCTTGCGCATGCATCCTCCTTTAGATCGGACCAGGAATCTCTCTCCGCATTCTCTTCCCGTGGCAGGGTGGGTTTCAGTACAGTTCGCCAGGTGGAGTCTCTTGAAGCATCTGGAGGAAATCTTCTTCTTGCAGTACCCACTATTAACGCTGTTAGAGATAGGAGCGTATGATAATTAGAAAGAGGGGGAAATTAATTACCAGTGATGACATCTATTGGCTGCTGCACCGGTCACTATGTTTCTAGCGTTGCAAAGGGGCGGTGCCATGGTGGTGTAGGAAAGTATTTTTTGGAGTAGTAGGGAGTAGGGTGGTGTGTTGAAGTGGTTTGAGAGAAAGTGGAGGCATCTTAGCATGAAAGTCTTCTTAAATATAGGGCTAGGGGACCCATTTAGTGAATGTTCGTCGTGAGCAGCCTTGCGAAAAGAGTGATTCTATTCCCATACATCGGCCGCAAAGAGCAGGATAAAATATGCGGTGAATCCACTAAGAAAGCTCTACGAAAGCTGCTCTTGAGCAAGATCAAGTTGTGCGGCTCCCTTGTTCGAAAGGGTGACCGGTTCGTGTCCGTGGAAGACTCCACTTAGAATGCATCCGCCTCCAATTTCCCTTCCTTCATCATCTCCATCCGATCAAGGTTGAATGACGTCGCAGAACGACCATGAGGCTAAGCGGCCACTTCTGGTTTTTTCCGTGGCCTCCTCCACTTCGCAGAGCACCAGCGCCCTGCTTGAGCAAAGGCCGATATTGGGGCCCGACGAGCGAGATCGATAACGCAGCTTTAATGAAGCTTGCTCTCAAGATCATTGATCCTGAAGGGGAATTAGGAGGAGTAGGGATTTGGGTAGGAGACAAGAAGCAGGGATCCTACAGCACTGTCTATTTCCTACAGCTGATTACAGGTGATAAGATCGCAATCAAGGTGCCGGAAGTGGGCTATATAGAGCGCTGGACTCCGGAAGACGCCTACAACCTCCATTCGGAGGCAACGACGATGCGGTCCTTCAGAGAGCGTTGTTCAGGATTCCTGCTTCCAGAAGTTTACGCCTACTCGACGAATCTCAACAACGAAATCGGTGCGTCGTACATCGTCATGGAAGTAATGGAAGGCGTACCTACTTGCGATATCTGGCGTGGCGCATCCACCGAGGATATAGATGAGCAAAACGTCGCCCAGAATGGGTATAACTTGCTCGAATCGTTGGCATATTCTATGGCTAGGCTGCGAAGCATGCAGTGCCGCAAGACGGGCACATTCTACTTCGAAACCGACGATAACTTGGACAAGCCGAAGATAGGTTCTATCCACACTTGGCAAGATCCGTCCGATATCAATGACCATATAGACGATATTAGTATCGCCCGCAAGATCGTAACATTTCCTGCTAGGCTCTCCGCCCATGCATATTTTCGACCGGTGCTTGTTAAGAAATGGGGCGACGACCTAGACGTCGAAATGAAGGGTGCCTTGAAAGTCACACTCAAAGCGCTGGAATGCGAACCATTAGCCCGATCATCCAAACCGGAGACCACCGAAGAGACCTTCGTTTTACAACACCCTGAGTTCAACTTGCAGAACATCATCTGCGACCCGAAGACCGGGGAAGTCACAGGAATCATCGATTAGGACGGGTGAAAATCGATCCTCGTCCTATCAGGTACGCTTCAGTTCCGATTTGGGTTCGAGAAGACTGGAAGACACGCCGTATGGCTTGGGCTGTCGTTCCTGTCCTTCGGAGGGCTTGCTGTCGGAATTCCCCATTATCAGTTTCAGCGCCCAACGCTTTCACTTTCTCAAGCTGCGGTAAAAAGTAATGAGAGATAATGACTTAGGAATAGGAATCGTCGATGTCTTAAGGTATACGGTTGCCTGCTGTCCGAAGCATAAAGAGTCCAAGCGTTTTTTTGGGTGGCCTGAGTGTTTTTTAGGTGGCCCGAGTGTGTCTTTTATAGGTGGCCCAAGTGTAAATTTCTCTTGGCCTCTGGACTCGACACTTTTTGTCCGCATAGTCAAGACTTGCCTGACTTGGCTGTCCAAAGTATAAAGGGTCCGAGCGTATCCTTGGTGGACCGAGTGTGCTTTGTTGCCAGGATACTTCATGCCGGATGAGTGGGAACACTCGATCGAAGAATTAGAGCATTACCGGGAGTATTATGTAGGATGCATGACCAGCGCGATGAGCGGGGACACAGATGAGGACTGCGTGTACACGGCCAAGAGCGCCATATATACTGCTTTCGAGGCGGCAATGATTGGGGAGGGCCATCTATTAGATTTTACTACCACGCAGTCAAGGCGCGAATATACGATGTCGATCGGAGATGAAATTGGCGCGAGGGAGAGCACTATTGGGGGAGTGCCTTTCGAAGTTTTTGGCTGCTAACACCCCGGATGAAGGTAGCTCGGACGAGGGTACAGAGGCGCAATAATAGTCCAGAACTCATTGAATTTCTAAGGCTTGATTGAAACGATGGCCCGTTCTTCGCGGCAGTTTGCGTACCATAGTAACAGCAAACAAATTGCTAAAGCTTTGTGTATACAATGTATTGTTAGCAACAATGAGCCTTCGCTCCGTTTGAACAATGTATAGAGCGCATCTCGCTGTACTATCGCCAACTCGCACAATGTAACTGAAGCATTTAAACCAAAAGCAACATACTCATCTCCTACCAATTCTTCGCTCTCCAAAACGTACCATCACACTGAAAGCCATAAAGTCAACTCAAAGCTTTCAGGAAAGTTCCATTCAGATGTTCTTCAAGAAACCCAAGCAGAGAATCTTCAAGAAGTCGCAAACAAAAGGCACTATCCCTACGCCCCACATGGAGATATCAGATGTTTCCGAGAGCACTTCTTCGTTTGACAGCGAGGAAATCTTCTGGGGAACCACAAGCAACATCTACAGCAAAGCTCTGACAAAGCTTGCTTTGGCTAGCATCTACCCAGAGGGCTAGCCCATCGAAGTGAGCGCCCGTGTTGTGAGCAAGCTAAGGGGTGGATACAACACGGTCTACGTCGTCCGTTTTACCACGGGCTTCCAAATCGTGATCAAGGTCCCAGGAATGGGCCAGGAGGGGCGATGGCGGCCAGAAGACGAACGAAACCTTTGCTCGGAGGCACTGACAATGCGTTACATCAAGAAACACACGATGGTTCCAATACCGGAGGTGTATCGCTATTCCGCAACGCTTGGTAATGAAATAGGGGCTCCTTATATTGTTATAGAGTTCGTAGAAGGAGTGCCAGCAAAGTCCATCTGGGGTGAGTCTGACCTTCTTGGTCGAACTGCTCGTGGTCTTGAAAAGTATGAGCAGCGTCGGCAAATCCTGTTACAGTCATTAGCGGAGGGCATGTCGGAACTGCGCCATCCTGAGTTTGACATGGCGGGCCGCCTAGAGTTTGACGACGATTCAGACACTCCGAAGATTGGTCCCGTGTTTCTCTCCGACGGCAAGATTGATAAGGCATCAGGTGAGCTTGTGCGAGAGATTGTAACCATCACGCCCTCCCGCTCCACATTCGAATACCTTGACAAGGGTTTTGATGAAAGATTCAAGCGATGGGAAGCTGACGAGGTTATTGTCCAAGGGGTATCCAGAATCATACAAGTAGCCTTGGATTGCAAACCTTTCACGGAAGATTATGAGAAGCCTTTCGTCCTTCATCATCCAGACTTGCACAGGCTCAACATTCTGTGCGATCCCGAGACTTGTAAGGTAAAGGCGATCATTGATTGGGATTGGGTGCAGACCGTACCCCGCTGCATCGGCTTCGCCTCTTTTCCTACGTGGCTTCAAGCTGATTGGAGAAAGGATGAGAGCGACATTTCCCCTGCCGTTTTAAAGGCCTATCGGCAGGACTACACAAGGTACCTGACGAAAGCTATGGATGGAGAAGGTGACTGTAGGTACACCGCAAAGAGTGCGATTTATGCAGCTCTCGATGCAGGAACCTTTGGCAAGGATGGACATCCTGTGCATTGGGTTATGAAGGCCATGCCGATGCTATTAGCTCCCATGTCCACTGACGAGGCTATCGTATGGCTCGAAGAAGGTGATTGGAGAGAGCACTCGGAGTCCATTACATCTCGCCTCGAAACCCTCTTGGATCCTGATAGCCTCCTCTTGAAGTAGACTCTGACAGTCCTCCTGATCAACTGAGCGCTGCCCCTTGAATATGTACTTAGGCGAACGGGCTGAGTAGATGGAGGAACAGAAAGGGACTTTGTAGTGTAAGAAATAGATCAACTGGACGTAATATTACTTAACCTACCGACGTGTTTCGCATCCTGTGTACGCTCTAACTATCTTGCTGTTCATTCACGTGACTTTGACGTGACTGCAGCACGGACCGTCGAGCAAGCTCAAATTCAACCTCGAGTCTTCCACAAAGCATCGTTTCGGCCATTTCGTCTGCCAAAAAAGCAACGCTTTTCCGAGTTACACGTCATCATCAAGCTAAGAATGCGGATGAAGTTTCTTCTCCGCGTTTCGGACGTTAGAAAGAGCGAAGGGCGCGTAGGGCGCGACCGAGATGACATCTTTAACTTACCAATAAAAGCTTCAAAGACGCCATATGCAAGGTTTTAATGCCAATCTCCTCTATTTAGTCACACCGCTTGCCCTAGACGGCACGAAGAAAAGGAAAATTTGGGCGGCAGCCATATGTTTCAGCGTTGAAAGCGCCACGGTGGTGGCCGCTACGGAACTTCGGCAAGCAAACTCAACAGAAGCGTGACGTAAAAAACCTATTAAACCGCATTCAGCTACTAGACCCAGTCATGGCGGGGAGCCCTGGAGGTTATTTATACCCCGCCTACGCCCACATTAATTTTCTCTTTATATTCATGGCATAATTGAATAGGATTCAGAACAGTACGCGAATTGGGGGCGTAGGCAGAATTTGATTCGTCTTGAAGAGTTCTCTATCAATCAGAAAATCCGTCACCATCTCTCTCGTTAAGTCAAATATAACATAATCGTCGCCCACTTCTCCACTTCCAGTGCATTTCCAGCAGCGGATGACACAAGACTACAACGGCAGCAAGCCAGGACCAGACTTCGAGTCGCAACGCCCGCAACTGTACAAATTGCCTACAGTGGATTATCATATCCCCCGCTTCCCTAATCCTGAAGACTCGGCGTCGGTAACAGAATGCCCTGCACACCCCGCTCTTGGAGATACCTCCCCGCCATACTCATGGGAAAATGAAAAGAAGGATGCGCCTGTGTTAGAGGCACAGTCTACAATCGGTCAAGATGAAGTAACGTACCCAGAGGGCGGTCTAGCCGGATGGCTTGTCTGCTTCGGAAGCTTCAGTGCTATGCTTGCCTGCTTTGGCCTGATGTAGGTCTCTCTCCTTTTCCTCTCCTATCCAACGGCACTTGCTAACAAGGTCCCAGGAACACCATCGGAACCTTCCAAGCCTACCTCAGCGAGAATCAGCTCAAAGAACTCGATGAAAGCACCATCGGCTGGATCTTCAGCGTATATGTCTTCCTTTCCTTCTTCTGCGGCATCCAAATAGGACCAATCTTCGACGCCAAAGGGCCCAAAGCTCTCATCGCCAGCGGCGGCATCATGCTGTGCGCCTCGATGCTTCTCCTTGGCCTATGCACGCAGTACTACCAATTCATGCTATGCTTCGGCGTCCTGGGCGGCATCGGGACCTCCCTCCTCTTCACCCCCGCCGTGTCCGCCATAGGCCACTTCTTCCTGCTCAAACGCGGCTCCGCCACGGGCATTGCTGCCGCGGGCGGTTCTGTTGGCGGCGTTATCTTCCCCCTAATGCTGCAACGCCTCTTCCCGCGCGTCGGCTTCGCCTGGTCGACGCGCATCATGGGCTTTATCTTCATCCTGCTCTGCACGACGGCCCAGCTCCTCATCCGCTCGCGGCTACCCCCGAAGCCTGGGCAGAGCGTTAGCATGGACCTGCGCATCTTCCGCGACCGCAGTTTCGCCTTCGCCACGGCCGGCGTTTTCTTCATGGAATGGGGCCTCTTCGTGCCCATCACCTACCTGACCACCTTCGCGTTAGCCTCGGGCGCCTTCGACCCGACCTTCGCCTACCAGCTCATCGCCATCTTCAACGCCGGCAGCTCCCTCGGCCGCGCTGTCCCGGGGTACCTCGCGGATAAGCTCGGCCGGTTTAACAGCATGGTCGCCATGCTCGCCTTCTGCGCGGCGACCACGCTGACGCTGTGGCTGCCGGCCGCCATCCTAGAGCCCGCCACGCCGGCCGCGCGCGCGACCATCAAGGCACTGGCGGTCGCGTACGCGCTGCTGTTTGGGTTCGCGAGCGGGTCGAACATCAGCCTGACGCCCGTGTGCGTCGGGCAGCTGTGCGATACGAGCGAGTACGGGCGGTACTATGCAACGTGCTACACGGTGGTGAGCTTCGGCACGCTGACGGGGATTCCGATCGCGGGCGCGATTTTGCAGGCGACGGCGGGCAGGTATTGGGGCGTCGTGGTGTGGACGGGGCTGTGCTATACGGCGAGCTTGGGGATGTTTGTTTGGGCCAGGGGGGGCAAGGTAGGGTGGAAGTTGGGGGTGAAGTATTAGAGCTCTTCTATCATCGAGAGGCTGGGGTGAAAGCCAACCTAAGGAGAAGGATGACGGAGGTTGGTGGGAGACGAGGCTTTATGACGGGTGTTTATGAAGGAGATGAGGAAATGGTTCCAGGGGAAGACGAGGCGTGTTCATGAGGAGTATGGGAACTTGGTTTCAGGGGGAGGTATGGTATCATATTTGGTGCCGTGACTACGAGAACTACTATTCAAATTGCCAAGATACCAAATTTACCAAAAAAAAAAAGCAGTGCTTGGCGTGATGAAGGTTGAAAAGTGTTGAATATACCTAGAAAGCACCGGGTATCTCGACGTTCTCCAAAAGTGCTAAGATACCGTTCTTACCTAAACATAGCTGAGGTCGGAAAAGTGTTGAACATAGAGAGCAATGGGTTGGGAAGGTCCGAGTAATCCAACCCACCAATATCCGTACCCCAATATACACTTCAACTCATCAAGAAACTCACGCCAATCACACTGCAATGTAGACCCCTCAACACACAATTACAACTTCACATTATTACACTAAACACTTAACCCGCTCTTCCCCCTCCTCCCTAATTACCTACCACTACCCCCCATTCCATCCCCAGTCCAGAACCATCCCAAAGATCACCTCATCCGCCCAAAAAGAGACTCTCAAAAACACCCCCCCTCGTATGCTGGTATATCGTTTCCCATCGCGATTTCGTCGTGGAAGTAAGTATATAATTCTCTCTGCCAAACCCGGCCCACCCAGCTCCACCATAGTCCTACCGGTCGTTCGTGGTAGGCGATGGGGCTGTCGAGTTATGACCGAGTTCGTGTGCAGATCGAATGGGAAGGCGGTTGGTAAGGTGCATGAGGTAGTAGTGGAAAGAAGACAAAACAGATGAAATCCGGTCCAAACTCCTGTCTGGAACGCTAAAGTGGTGATGACTGTGACATGACGTAGGTCCCCGGAACGCCGTGCGAAATGAGATCATGAGGGGCGGAGGCAGTCCTTTATTGGACACGTTTTCGAGTCGCTCACACTGTGACCACCCTCTTGTCATCCGCTAATGTCGTCCGCTAATGTCGTATCCGCAGCCGACTTGGCATCGTCCGGCGAAGCAACCGCAGCGCCATGCTCCGCATAGTCCAACAACGCCTTCGCCTCATCCAACCCTGAGATCGCAAGCCCCTTCTTCTCGTCCTCCTTGGGGATAACCTCATCCACCAAACTCTCCTCTTTGCTCGGCTTACTCGCACCATCGTCGTCAGCCTCTAGCATATCGTCATCGTCGCCCATCAGCGCTGGCGGCCGCTGCCGCATCGCACGGGCCTTCTCGAGCGAGATGGTTTTCTGCTGGTACGTGCTGGTGATGGTGGCGCTCTCATCGCGGTCGATGGTTGCTTTCATGAGAGCGGCCATCCAGAGGCGCCCTTGCTGGATGTTGTCGACGGCGAAATAGTGCACGATTGGCTTCGTGAACTGGACGCCCTTCTGGAGGCCACTACGGGGTGGGACGAGTTTGAAGATGAACATGCCGGCGATGTCGCCTTCGATGGCATTCGCGGAGGCGGCGTCGGTGGATGCGGTGGTAGGGATGGTGGGATTCTGTGGCGAGGAAGGAGATGAGGTTGCACGGGTTAGGGTCGCATGGAGGCTGGCGATTCGCTCGTTGTTGGCGGGGAGGACGCGGTGAGAGGATATGTCTATTAGGCCCTTTTCTTCTGTGTCGTACTCCGAGTAGAAGTAGGATAGGCGACGGCCTCGGAGGACAAAAAGGCGGGGTTTCCATGTTGTCATCAAATTCGATGACTTCTTCTTCATCCACCCGCTGTAGTCGCAGCCGACCATGGCATCCTGCGGTGTGATCTGTTGTCGCCCTCGCAGGTATGCGCTCGTTTGCTTCTTCGATTTCCGCCGTTTATTGGCGGGCGCCACCGACACTCCGGCGGAGCTACCCGTAGACTGCTTGCCCGTGTCCGCTGGCTCGAAATCAAAGCTCTTAGAGGTCCCAGATGGTGTAGTGGACCCAGTACGTGTGGGAGAGTGCACCGGCGATTCTTTGATAGGCGACGACGAGTTCGCACTGTTAGATGAGAACATGGCTTTCTCGCTGCCTGTTATTGCGTCCGATATGGCTCGAAGGCCCGCAGCACGACTCTTCTTGCCGAAAAATGAGTGGCTTGCTTTTAGTTCTGTTTGTATTGCCGGCGATGGCGAAGCTCGCCCGAAAGACGAGGCTTCGCTGTCTGGAAGGTGCGGTGATGCGATTGCATCTATGCTTGGTGATTTTCCATATTCAAGCTTCGTGACCGTTGGTGGTAGGTCGCTTCCTGGTTTGAGTGGGCGGACGAAGTCGAAGCCGCCTGAACTGCGCTGCCCATGCGCCTTTGCACTTGCACCATAGTAGGCTCTCGCAGCTGGCGAAACCGGACTAGCAGGCTCCACCATCGACTCCGTGCTTCCGATTCTACTGTGGCGCCGATTATAAGCTGACCGCCGTCCTGTTTCGGTGCTGTAGCTAGGATTGCGCGAGTGCACCGGGCTGTCTCTCTTCCGCAGCACGTTTCTCGCCTTGCGGTTGTCCACTTCTCCCCCCGAAAAGTAGCCACGATCGAGATCGGCAGGCGAAGCTGTAGTGAAACCATTTTCTTTCTGTGCGTTATCAAATGCAGCGCCTTCGGTGCTGATGGAATGCATGTGTGCTGAAGAGGACGGCCTTTGGATTTCGTGGTTAGAGTTTCGATGAGTCGGACTCCCCATGGTCCAACCTCGGTCGAAGGATGGGGTTTTCTTGTGCGAAGTCTGAACTGGCGATCGCGCCGACGCTACTGGGCCTGCTTGAGTTGCGTAGTCAATGGAAGAGTGGCGTCGGTTGTGGTTCATACTACGAACAGATGCCGCGGATGGGCGTGTCGGAGTCCCAGGACCAGGAGAAGACGGCGTGACATTCGTCAGAGGAGATGTTGCTTCCATGATAGTAGCAGCATGGCCCATGGATGAATTTGCTCGTGGAAGGGTTTGCCTTGATTTCGGAGGAGTCCTCGACCCTGACCCTTCCATCAGATTCGGGATCCGAGGAAGTATGGCGCCCATAGAGGTACTTCGGTTTCGAGGTAGGTCATTGGAAGGCTCTTCAACAAATTCAGACACGCTTCTCTGGCCCTCTCGAGCAGCTTTGACCTCCTGCTGCAACGACTTGATCTTGAGCCATGTCCGTAACCGAGACCCGACCGGACCAAGATCGAATTCCTTCAAAAAGACGGTCGCTTGATCCATAGCCAATAGCAACTCGCCAGATATCTCCTCCTTCTGAAATATTTCGCAGTGCTTCTTATCAACGCCAACATCTTCGAGATACTCGGCAACACGGGTAGGTGTCCATGAATTAACCTCCGCCTCGGTATGCAAGTTCTGATCCTCTTCTTCGTCGGTTTCATGGCCGTTTATGTAGGACAGACGATGGTGGCTGCTGTACTCGCTACCCGAATCATTCCCACTTCTCAAGTCTTTGGCAACGAGACTATGCCGGGGCGTGTGCATGTCCGTAATGTGCTCATCAATGACGCTCAGGGTCTCATTCATGACCGGACTGCCTTGGTCTCCCAATGATCCCGTCAATGCCATGCCTAGACTTCGCGCGGCGTTCACTGAAGGTTGCGAGACACGATTGGCCTTCGCGGAAGATGGAGGAGAGGTTGGGATCTGCAGGGGGCTTGTTGTGGCCTGAGGTGGGGTTTCTGTATTCGGTAGTTCCGCCGGCGCGGACTCTGTGCCGGCGGTGGGCTCGGGAACAGCTCGAGGGGGTTCGAGGGCAGGGGGTGTTGCTGCAGGTAGTTCCTGGGGTGGTGGAGGAGCTTGCGGGTCTGGGGAGGGCTGTGAGGTTTGGCGTGTGTGCGAGGCACCTATGGGTGGTGTGCGAGGTGCTGGGCGGGTGTAGACTATCCCGAGAGTTAGATTTAGCAAGATGGGTTGCCTGGTGTCGAGAGACATGATGGCGGAGTCTGAGTAAAAAGGGCCTACCCTCAGGGAAGAGACCGCTGCCGCCGTTCTGCAGGTGTCTCCCCAAGAACCAGCCGTCGCCAAAGTCGTCGTCGCGTTCAATGAGTTCAATGCGGTCGTTCTTCGCCAGACTCAATTCATCTGGACTGCGCGCTTGGAACCCGTCTGGGTGAGAGCTACGTCAGCATTGGACCTCGACGTAAATAACGCAACAGGCAGCTCGCGATATTGGGACAGTGTATCAACAATGGCGGGTGACGTCTGGGCAACTTACGGACGACGAGGAGGATGTCGCCGGGCTTCGCGTACTCGGTCTGGGTTCGTGCGGCCATGACGCTGGGCAGGACGCGGGCGTGGACGCGGGCGTGGACGCGGGCGTGGAGGGGGTGGTCGGGCTGCTGGCGCTCACCGTGCGGGCGTGGTGGTTTTGGACATTTCCTAGAGTGGAGCTGCCAGCAGGCAAAGGCGGTGTTGGTGGTGTGAACGCAGACAGCTGGCGACTCGGACAGGGCTCCTCTGCCGGCGACAGCTGCAGATGCGATGGAGCTGGCGAGGACGGGCAGCGCGTTGATGGCAGCGCGTCTCCACAACAGCGGGACGAGAGGCAGTGGGTGTTGGGTGTTGGGTGTTGTGGCTCGACTGGCGTGGCATTCGGGGTGGTCGTCAACGGCGGAAGACGATCCTCTAGGCGCAACGCCCGGAGCCAGCACGCCGCCAGCAATTGGAGTGCCGCCACACCGTCTGCCGTCCACCGTCTGCCGTCTGCAGCTTGGCAATACTCCGGAGCGAGGGGCGGGCTGCGCGCGCCGTCTGCCGTCTTTGCTTTGCCCCAGATCCACCGCCTGGAGTGCCGTCCCAGACGCAAACCACACCCGCAAGCGACACCACAGCCCGCCCTGAGGCTCCCTGGCTCCGCTTCTCTGCCCATCCCGCCCGCAGACCCTCTGTGCCTCCACGTCCTCTGCCATCCCGTCGGCGGCGAGCCCTGTCCACGGCCCGTCTGCTCCTCTGCTAGCCGCCGACAGCCTCCCCTCCGACCTGCAGCAGGCGCGCCATGACCTGCCGCCTTCACTGCGCTTGTCGAATGTCGCCGACGGCGGATCCCTCTCAACACCTTCCCCTCCTTCGCTGCAAGCCCTGCTGTCCTCGTCGCCATGGCAGGCTCCATCGGTGCCAATGGCGGCGGCCCGAACCACGTCTTCTCGAACGACGGCCTCATGAGCATGAACATATACCTGGCCACCCACCAGCAGAACGCGTGGATGGCGGGCCCCATGGACCGGCAACGGCCTCCGGTTGTCCCATCTAATGACCGCCTGCTGCCCCAGCGCCGAGAGTCGTCCGACAGACTCGCGCCGTCCAACTCAACCTCACCGCACCTCGCGAATACCATAGCACCCCCGAAGCACACAACCCCTCAGTCCTCCAATCTGCTTCCGTCTCCAGCACCCAGCGATGACCTCGCCATGGAACCCCCCAGCGCTCTACTGCGTCGGAGTCCAGACAGCTTCGGCAACGCGTCGAACCCTGCCACTCCTGCCACGGCAACATCAATGGATGTGGTGAGAAAACGCGGCGCTGTAAGAGGCTTTGTCCACACCAACAAACGCCAGGCATCTGGCGACATGTCTGCGTCGAGGCCCGTGCCACCCCAACGACACGTCCAAGTAGCACACCAGCAGCCCAATCAACCCTTCACAAGACCGCAGCCCGTGCAACAGTCCGAGCCTCCAGGTCGCTCACAGCCTCAGTTCCACCCCCAAAGCCTTGCAATGCCTCAGCATCAACAGCTGCGAACGCCGGCCAGGTCTTACAGTAACTCAGAAATACAGATCCAACAGCAGTCCAGATCTCAGCCCGGAACCCCAACACTGCCACCTTCTATCCCCAACCCGAACTACTTCACTATCGACGACTGTCAAAACAGGCTCCAGCTGCTTACGAGTCAGGTTGGCAATCAGCTCAACGAATATGACCGGCAGCGAATACGTGTGCTAGAGGATGCTCTCAAACGTCGTGATTTCCACTGTTTGACCATACTCCAGTACTACTGCATAGCACATTCATGTCCTCACCTGTTACCCTTGGGCCTGCGTACTTTGCCGGAACTGAAGGCCACCCTAGCGTGCTTGGCCGAAGTGCTGGGTTCTAACGACCATCTGTCACGTAATCTCGCTCTTGGATCCAACCAAAATATGTCGGTTGACCTCTCCCAATGGTTCGCGGCATATCCATACCCCCTCGCTCAAATAGCTGTCGATTGGCCAACTTGCTATCAATCGGAACAGGTCCTCGTCAGTAGGTTCGCGAAACTCTTCGGATCCCAATACCTCCCTCTCAAAGAGTACTGCCACCACAGGCGATGGCCGCCACTCGCAAGAGAACTCTACGATGTGCTAGGCATTAGCTCCTCAACCCTCAGATCAATCGTATGGCGCTGTATACGGCGAAGCATCTGGAACCCTATTCGAATGACGCAACCACCTAATATACCACTGCCGGTAGATCTACACTCCTGGGAAGAAAGAGCAGAGAGTCTTTTCGATCAGAATGAGCGCATGTTTATAGAGAGATGGAGCAGACAACCCTGGGATCCAACCAACCAACTTGGCAACGACGAAGAAGATAGCCACTATGGGAAAAATCTATACTTTCTTCTCCAGCACCTGGAGAGAACAGTTGAAAATCGGTCAAGACCAAATCAACAAGGGCGTCCGCAAGAAACAATCGCTCAATCGCCCACGACTCGGCAAGCTAATAGCACAGGCCAGCCTCAGGGTGTCAATTCCAATCCTCTGTTTGGATCACTGCCAAACACGGCACAGAATTCAGGCCAAAATGCAGGCATTCAAGGAGTTCATAATTCGAGGGCAGGCGAAAATGCGGCGAACACCTATGTTCTTCAACCTCGTCGTGATCTAGACTGCCCTCGAGTAGATGACGGGCATCAAGGCATACTTCGTAACGGTCCAGGACGTCCTCGGCCGAATGCCACTCCTGGCTCCATAAGTCTCACTCCATCCCAACAGGCCCCACCAAGGAATTCACCGCAATCAAATTTGCTTCAATTGACGGCGCGAGAACTCCAGCTGGCGCGACCGATATACCCACTACGCGGCTATCAACGGCCGCAGCCAATCGACCCAAATCCGGCAAGATCAGCAATTCATCAGGGCCCTTTGAGGAGTCCAGTCCTTATAGCCAATTATCTCAACGGTCTTGCATCGGATCTACTCTACCAATTCGTCAAAGGTTTTGCGGTACCACCGAGAATACTATCTACCAATCCTTTGGCTTTCAATTCGCCAAAGCAGGCTTGGACATTTTCAATCGATAAATCCAATTTTGCACGCATTGCAAAAGACACAAAACGAGAGACGTCCAATCCGGGCTCCCGCATTATTGATGAGTCCGCCGAAACGTACCGTCTCCGAAGTGTCAAATGGACTTCAAACATGGCAGTAACGGAGCCGATCTGGTTTACCGCAGACTCGGCATGGATTCCTTCTACCTACTTCAAGCTCAACGGGAAACGTCTCGAACCCCGCAGAAAACTCCACCACGGAAAGGACTTGCCTATCGACCTCACTACATTTCTAAGAGAAGGCGAAAATCAATTGGAAATCAGTACGATAAGGAAATCCAAAGGAGCAGCATTCGACTACGCTTTAGCAGTCGAGATCGTAGGAGCAATGACGCACGAGAATATCAAATCGCGATGCATGGAGAATCGACAGCCCGCTCCAACTGTGCTTAATGCCATCAAGACCAGCTTGGCGGGTCTGGATGCTGATGACGACCTATGCATCACGAGCAGTAGCATTTCTATCACCCTCTTCGATCCGATCAGCGCATGTAAAATCTTCGACATACCTGTTCGTGGACGAGACTGCCAGCATAAGGATTGCTTCGATCTAGAGACATTTCTTCAGACCCGGAAGAGGAAACAGCCGACATGGCCCGCTGTCGTCGATAATTGGCGATGTCCGATATGCAAAGCAGACGTACGCCCATCTAATCTTTTCGTGGACGGCTTCATGGAGGAAGTGCGCAAGACTCTGGCGGAAAAAACCCTCCTAGGCACGAGAGAAATCATCGTCGATCAAGACGGTAGCTGGAAACCGAAGCCGGAGAAGAGAAACAATAATAGCGTTCGTGATTCTGATACTCCTGATGGCGAAGAGGCAAAATCACCTCCGCAGTTGTCGACGGCTCTACCCACGCAGCCAGTCGCGCCGGATACGAGACCTCGACCTAAGCCCACCATCATCGCTCTTGATGATTGAGAACCATGAAAGAATCCTTTGCGTACATACTTTTTCGACTGGAACGAATTCTAGCCTGCTAGTACTCGCAGCTACCCTCTCGCTAGCACCATGCCTTAGCGTAACTCACCCCACCACACCTTCACGACTACACTAGCATCTTTCACTTTATGATCTAATCTTTTCCCATCTGGTTTTGGAGCGACCTTGGCGTTCAGCGGTTGCGGTCTTTCAAAAAAGCGACATATTCCCTATTCTTCCATTCACGATACCCTATATTTATATACCCGTCTAGTGTGGTTTCGAGCTTTTTCGGTGATGGCTTTTTCGGCTAGCTTGCAGTTATCTATCCTAACGACTTACTTCGGCTTTTTTCTTGAATGGTAGGGGAGGGGGGGAAGTGTATATATAAGAACCTGGTATGGTGGCCCAAACGATTTGTTTATTGAAGAGAATGAACTGGTTGTCGATTTCTTGTGGATAAGAACTTACATGGTATGTGATTGTGTGGTTCTGTGATGTGTGATGGGGCTGTGGGAAACCCTTGGCCTCTGGATACGAGCTGTGATACGGAAGTGGGATTCGTGGGTCTGATTCTCACGCTCTCTCACTCCCAGTCTGCCTCGGGGGTCTGAATCGCACTCCGCTCCAACCGATGCCCACTGGAACGTTCTCCATCTCGGAGTACCCCTCACTACTACCTGCCTGCTAACCTGATTCCTTAACCCAGATTCCCACCTCCTCGCCCTATCACTTCGCCGCGGGCCTCCGATTCTCACCCCGATGGAAATGACAGTTACACTAACCTCGAAGAGCTCCTTGCCAGCACGCTAGAGCACAGTCCAATACCAGCACCGAGCCACACCGCCATGTACGCCTATGTCACGTTGCTATCACGTGTGCCTCGAATACCTCTTACTCGACGGGGTATAAAGGGCACTGTTTCGTCGCTCGCAAATTATGAAGGAGCAGAGAGTGGGTTGAGCAAGTTTTGAGGTGAAATCTTCAAGACTATGTCATCATGGTGTGGGATTTGTGTAAAATACACCCGATTGGCCTATCACGAGTGGGGTGGGGAGTGTGTGGTGGACTGAGTTCGCATAGCGCAGCACGGAAATGGCGCTGGGGTTTGGTGGGAAGTCGTACTGCTGATGGTGGTGTGCGGAGTTCTGAAGTTCTGAGACTGGGTATCGATTAGGATAGATGGTGGAGGTTGGGCGAAGGCGACATGGGCGAAATGTAGGTACTCCACCAGCGCTGCTAAGCCTTTATGTTGATTAGAAGGAGGGAGAGATGAGCATCACCATCGCCTCATAGTACCACCCGCGCGACACCAACTCCACCACTACTGCTTCATGGTTGAGAACAGTCCAAGCCCTGAACCCCCCCAACTCGAGTCACGCTCCATCGCGTCTCACAGTTGTTGTTGTTAATCCACCAAGCCCACACTCAACCCTAGCAACCATGGGAGGTCGATGAGAGTGTGGATGATCTCGCCCACCCGAGGAGCCATTGTATACTAGCATGGCTCGTTTCACTCTACAGACATCTCCATCGGTCATATCCATGGGTGATTTTGAACTTCTGTGGACACTCTCCTCCGTTGAGGAGTGGTTTGGGGGTTGAGGGGGTTTATATAGTCGAAGAATGGCGGGCGGACGTGAATGGCACGTGAAAGGACGCGCTGTCACGTTACCACGACGACAAATGGCAAGGCAATCAACATGACAAACAGATATCCTATCCGTTATACACACATGGAAAACACACCTTATGTACCCTTCCACACCGTACCCTGCGTTCCCCGGGAATTACAGACCCAACCGGTGATGAGCGGTGTTAGTCCTGGGTCAACTGGAGGCCTGTTCTTGATGAATGCCCAGCGATAGTAATGCCAGCTTGCATCTTTCAACTACTCCCTACGTCGAAAAACATCTTGCATTGTCAGTTTTCTGGGCCGTGAAAAGTACCTAAAGTATGGACGACGATAGAGGACAACGAAACAGCACTGTCTGACAAAACCTCACCAACATCCAAATACCAAGCCCTAGAGCCTTAGCTGTCAACTTCCGACTTCATCGTTTCACAAACCTGGTGTTTCAGAGCTGCGGGGGAAGGCCCTGGAGTTCCTCCCCGGCTCGGACGCTAGGATGTGGCGGATTGGCTAGATTCCGGCTGCCGGAATGGTGGGTAGCTGCTTATTTGGATTTAAAACCGTCATGCAGGAGACTGACAGGCAGACGCTGACATTGTACCTTAGTACAGTGTGCCGGATCTTTCAATAGGGGAATGAAGTGCGTTGTCGTATAAGACCACAGAAACCGGGCTTGTCTGAGGAGACTTTGTTTTTCTCCCAACTCTTTACATACTCCCAGTTTTGACGCATCGCTACTAGCAATCAATCCTAGCAAAAATGGCTGCTCCAGATTCCGCATCGACGAAGGATCTCAGTGGCAAATGGGTCATGGTATGCTCGCCTCTTCCTATCATTACTCTTAGCCTGCATGTTGAGCACTTCTCACTCGTCCTCGCAGAGCAAAAGCCTCTCCACCGACATGAGCGACGTCCTCGCGCTGCAAGGCGTTGGCTGGCTCCTCCGCAAAGCCGTCAGCGTGGCGACCGTCACGCTGCACATAAAGCAGTACCCCGACGCCCACAAGCCCGAAATCGCCCACATCGACCTCGATCAGATGGGCACGGGCGGCCTCAAAGGCTTCCCGGAGCTCCGCACGGTGGACGGCGAGTGGCGGCCGCAGTCGGACTACGTCTTCGGGGAGCAGAAGGGGCGCACGCGCTGGGCTAAAGTGGCAGAGTTGAAGAGAGAAGATGGGCCGGAGGGGACGCAGGACGCGGATGTGGAGTTTTTGAAGAAGGGGTGGGGGGCGGAGATGGAGACGGCGGACGCGGTGGATTTTGTGGTTCTCAGTGATAAGAAGGGGTGGACTTGCTGGCAGGTCTGGGGGTTTACGGAGGTGGAGGTTGAGGGCAAGAAGGAGAGGCGGCATGTGAGGAATTTGGTGGCGCGGAAGGGGAAGGATGTGAAGACTGCGACGGTTGTGTATGACTATGCGGGGAGCTTGTGAGGAAGGTGAATGTCGAGGAATGGGATGTATTGAGTACATGAATATGTTCCGCGAGACTTCCCATCGAGCCAACTCTTCTACACGCCTTGTCATAGATATCCGCACACTCTCCTAATGTTATGGTAGAACCGGCGGGCAGCGAGAACACTTCCAAACTGCGTACACCTTACCGACGCTGTCTGGGGTAGCCTGGCGAGTTTACTGAATGTCGAAAATGCTGAGATCCTCTCGGACGCGGAATGCTGGAAATACTATAAGGCGCCTCATGCAATGGCAAACGAGTATGGATTTTCGTGACAAGGTACCTAGGTATTGCAATAGTGCGCGCGTTGAGCGCGCCGGCGTTTCGGGATCGACAGGCCAGTCGACGCGTCGATGCAGTCCCTTCGCCTTTGCAATATTACGAAGGATTAGCAATGAAGATGGTGGAGATGAAGACAGTGAGGGGGTGGAAATGAAAATGCTGAAAGGTGCAAGGGCATGTCACGAGGAAGATCTACGCAAGGAGGTGGGAGGCCACAAGGCCGAACCCCAAGCTTCCCAAACCATCTAGCTGCGGACGTCATCTCGCATCGCGTTTTCCAACTTCACCACATTTCGCATCAACAAAGCCCCCAGCAGCCTGTAGTCTTTCCCCATCCGACATCCTCACAATAACTTCCAGTGCGGCATCATGTCGTCGTGGAATCCCGCAAGCATGGTCTCCAAACTCAATCCCTCCCACATGAGCCAGCAGCAAGTAGAGAAGCAGCTCAACCAAGCCGCCGAGTACGCCCAGCAAGCCGTCGACGCGCAGAAAGGCGCCGAGGAAGCCAAGCGACGCGTCGATGAAGCCGTCGACCCGGAAGCCAAGGAAAAGGCACTCAAAGAGCTTCGCGAGTGCGAAAAGAAGGCGAAGAGTCTGGGGAAAGCGGCCCAACGGCTCCAGAGTGGCGCCTGGCAGGGTGGTTTTGGCGGTGGAGGCATAGGCGCCGGCGTGGGCATGGGTCTTGGCGCAGTGGTTGGAACGCTTGTGGGAGGCATCGCAGCGATTCCAACGACGGGGTTGGGGATACTGATTGGAGCGGGGACGGGCGTCATACACGGGCCGTGGCTGAAGTTGCCGGATGGGAAGCAGATCAAGATCCCAGGTGGGGAGAAGCTGAATCTCCCTGATGGGGAAGAGGTTAAGGTAGAGAATGGAGACATGTATAGGGCATCAAATGGGGAAAAGATTGAGATACCAGAGGGAGACGAGGATTCGGTAAGAGAGGTGAGTCAAAGAAGCACAGGTCGAAGGAGTTTTTATGCTTACAGCCGAATGCTGAATCTCATCAGGACTCTCCGATGGCTCAAGAAGGGGCGAACCAACCAGAGCCCGATCAACCACCTCCATCGCAGCCAAAGCCTAAGAAAACGCCGCGCAAAATCGAGGTGCGAAATCACCGGAAGGACGAGGCATCTTCTCAGACCCCCGAGAACCCAGAGAAGGCTCGAAAGAAGCCTCCGAAGCTCGAGAAAAGGTCGTGAGACCGTCCATCTTTGATGACCAGATGACAATGTATGAGACAGGAAATACTTTTCATTGACAAAACTGCATATCAACCGCATATTTCCGCATAGCGAGTCTATAATTCAACTCTTTGTAATTCTATCTAAACAAATGAGCATCTACGAAAGGAATGAGTTTGAACTGCCCAAAATTCTTGAAAGTAAGATCTACAATCTATGTGTGTGCCTGTCGATCTAGTGCAGACATTTCTTCTCACAAGGGTTGAAGCTCTCCTAGAAAGCAATCCAGCAGAACCAGCGCGCGAACGTACCGACCTCCTAACTGCTATTCCAGAGCCTCAAACCCCTTCAGAACCCCATACCCTTGATCAGGCCCAGCCCGCACTCCACCAACGCGCTGCCATTCTTGAAAAGCGGCAGCGAATACAACACCGCCGTCCACAAACACCACAGCTTCCAACTAACCTTATCCGCCACGACTCCCCTCTTCAGCAACACCCTGAACGCCACCAGCGCCCCAAACCCACCCGACACCAACCACCCGGGCCAGCTCAGCTGCCAAAACGCGGGACAGACGAGCGACCACAGGAGCACGGGCACCGCAATCGCCCACCGCGCGACGGCATCGCCATGCAGCAGCGGCAGCGTCAGCCGGCCCGTGGCCGCATCGCCCTCGACGTCCGGCAGGTCCTGCAGCGACAGCGACGACAGCACAATCGCGCCGATCATGCCGATCCATGTGTACGCCGTGCTGTTGAGTGCGTAGCGCCGGTATCCCGCGGCCACCGTCGTCGCGCCCGAGCTGTAGCACATGAAGCCGCAGGCGTTGATCAGGTTGCGCACATGGAAGTGCTCGTCGGCGGCGCCGAGGTCGTTGTACATCCACGTCAGCACCATGAGCGCCACCGTCTCGGGCATGCCGCCGAGGAGCCAGCTCGCGGCGAAGACGGCGGGGATCACGGCGAGCAGGAGGCGGCGGGCGTCGGTTTGGGTGAGGCGGCCCGCTGGGAGGGGGCGCCAGGATTTGTTGATGGAGTCCTCGAGGACGGATTGGGGGAGGCGTTGGTTGGCGATGCCGAAGAGGAGGACGTTGAGCCAGTTCCAGATAAGCACGAGGGGGATGCGGGAGATGATGGAAAGGACAGTGGGGTGGGGGTTGGTGGTCAGAAGGGGGCCCGCGAGGGCGCTGAAGATGCCGAAGCAGGTTTCCGGAAGGACGATTGAGGCGATGTCGCGGCGGGCGAATAGCCAGATGGTATACGCGTGGTAGGCGAGTGGCTTGTTCTCGGGAACCTATTAAGTATGAGAGGTGTATGGTGGGGATAGGCTGAGGATGAGGACTGACCTGGGTGGGGGTTTTCTTCTCCGTGTCTCCCTTGGAGAGTTGCTGGACTTTGGCAACCATGTTTGCTAATTCCTCCGTTGAACGGTAAAGTTTGATAACGAGGGTACAAGAAGAGAAGTCTATTGGTCGAACGAATCGAAAAGAGAGTGTTGAGATGAAAAGAAAAGAGCTGCTGGATCCAAATCGATGCATTTCATGACAGTTTATATCCCAACTCGACGCTGTTCACACTTCTCTCCCATCATCATTTTCACGAAGCTACTCCAGAGTGCTCTCAACTTGTTACCTCCTAAGTCTCACCATCTATCCTCATGCACGCACATCACATATCTAGTTCCTGTGACGGAGCAATTCCATCACATCACCAAGTCAAAAGAACCCAATTGCAGCACTCCTTTCTAATCAGGGTCCATAGAAAAAAGATGATCCGACCCTAGGGTTCCGAAGACCTGGACAACGTCTAATCTTCCTCAGCTAGATAAATAATCTTATCTACAGCCCTTCTGTGGGAATTTTCCTTTATGTATGATTTTTCCTTTCTTCCCAACTTCGTTCCAATCAACCCTAGTAGACGCCGTTTCAGAGCTGTAAAAAGACTTGAAACATCTTACCCTTGTCGAGGGTCCACGGGAGATCGACCGAAATGCTATTGGACGACTTTCGTGTTTCCAGGATATTGTGGTCCCTAAGCCTGATCCAGTTCTCGGCGAGAGTTGTACCATTGCTTGTTTTATCGTGTGACTCATGTCTGTCAGGTTTTGCAGACGTGTTGTTGATCTTTGAGACTTGGCTAGAACAGTACGAAAGCGAGAAGTGCTCGCGATACGAGCAAGTCCTCAATCTACAAGGCTCCTAGCTTCGTTTGCCTCCACCTCGCGACTCATGCTCTGGCAAACATATCCCGCGGAACCCGGTTTTTGTGATTTCCACGGCTGATACCTTCTAATCGCCGCCTCAATATCCCCGGCAGCTGGCCTCGCCCGCTTTGGCTCTGCTCGCATCTGGCGTGATACACTCCCTATACACGCCGCGTCTGTAGAAATCATCAAAAACGCTCGGCTCTTCGCGAAGCATTTATACGCTAGTCGGATCGGACGGCTATGTTTTCAAAAGACATGTCATCTTCGAGGAGCGAAGAACAAACAGTCTCACATCAGAAGAGATCAACCGCAAAGAGTCAGGACGAAGAATAGATGAAATGGGGCCGCTTTCCCACCCCCCTACCTGCGATGCATGCGTCAACAGCAAGCCTGGCATAGTCGACAGGAAAATTATACAAAACCATAAGACTTTAAGGTAATATATTCATCTACTCACGAGCTGACGGTTTTTGGTATATAGCGAGCATTCCAACGCACCCCAATGCTATCCGTAGACGAGCCCTAGACACCATTCTATGCAATCCAAATAAGGTTAAAGATGACCAAACGCCGCCCACACCCGATAAAAATCCAAGGCACCTCAAGGCTCATATATTTCTTGAAAGCCAGTCCGTGAAGTACACGCAAGATGTAGCGTTCACTGGACCCCCTTCTTCACAGATAGAGAATACGGGACATCTTCCACACGGAGCCTCAGTGAAGCCGTTGCCAATGCCGATATCGTCACCTCCTCTTGCGTCGGCACTTGCGCCGCGAACCGTCCGGTAGCCCATCGCACCCATTCGTTCCAACTTTCCGTCAAACACCATGTTGTCTAGCAGTTGCTGTAGATCTGGCTCTTGCAGCGTGAGGTTGTTCAGAAGGCCAGAACCCACGATGTGGTCGAGGATCGAGGCGCAAGTCGGGTAGTGCTTATAACCGGCAGGCTGTGGAATGAGAGGAAAGCTGTGCTGGCCCAGATAAGGACGGAAGAGCGGCGGGGTGCTCTCGATGTCGGGGATGCTCTCAGGCTCATTGGAAGCAGCAATGTCTTGCGCTTTGAGGACAGCGGCGCGCTTCTTAGCCAGAGCGAGTCTGTTGACGGCGCTCTTCTGCTCCACCCAGCTCTCTTTTTCGACGTACCTGACGACGATCTCGGAGATGGCATCGATGAGGTCAAGGTCGAGCTCGCCGTCGCCATGCCAGGGGCCGCCGACAATGTCCTCCGAGGCTTCGAGGCCGGTGAGGATGTAGTATTTGCGGGTGGGGAACTTGATGTTGCTGATGCACTTGACCAGGCCCTTGGCCTCGAGGTGTTTGAGAGTTTTGTTCAGCACCGCTTGGCTGGTCTGGCCTGTTCTCGATTTGAGGCTCTTGGTCCAGATGGCTTGCGTGCCTGTTGCTTCAATAGCGAGGTAGATTTCGCGCTCGTCTTTCGCCATTGACCTAAGGCTATGGTACGCATGTCAGCTCTGAAGCAGTGGTCCAAGTATCCTCATCGCACTTACGCCGCTGCTACCTCTCGTGGGCGGATCCTCCAGCATGGTGCTCCATCCCATTGTAGAGTCAGCATCAACCAGGACGCGACCATCTGCTGGATGATGAGCAGAAGCCCATTGCTGTCGTCAGTGACCTGCATGTCGGCCAGGTCGCGTTGGTGAAAGACGGTATCGGGGGGCTGCGCGGCGCATTTTTCGTAGAGCTGGTCGAGTTTACTGATGTTCGAAGCCTTGGTGGGCATGGTGGGAGATTGTGGCGTCGCCATCGTGGGCGAGCTTCGCGATGTCGTCGGCGAAGAGGTCTGGACTGACGGAGGAAGGACGTCGCCGTCAGCTGGAGGCGTGAGGTCACCGTATACGCATCAGGAGGGATGGAGAGAGGAGAGAAACGTGTGGGAATGAAATGGGCGTGGGAGTGAAGCTCGTTGGTGAATATGACTGAGAACTTTTTGGCGGGGTTTCGTCCCGCCTCCAGGTACCCAGCCACGAGCCAATCAGGTCCACAAATCCTTCTCATAGATTATTATATGAATAGTAGCTTCGTTCTACTGTACATAGTAGTAACTATACTATTGTTCATAGAAAGGGCTACGAGAGCCAGTACGCCCATTTTGTAGCTTTTAAGACTACCAATCCTGGGTATTGTTACAAGCAGGTCCCCAAACGCCTTATTCAGATGCATTAACCTGCTCGGAACCCATTGCCACGTATTCTGGATAGAAAGAGGGCATGTCCCCCTGGAAATGCCGTGCAATCCGTACCCAAGTATAAATTTCATCGCCGATACTCCCATTACGCAACCGCTGCGACGCATCAACCTTCAGATGTCAAGTACCGCGAGCCCCAAGTCCCGCAAAGTACTCACATCGCCCTATTTGTATTGCGCCAGCGGTGGTGCCCCAGGCTGGTTATGCATTGGGAGGCCCGCTTCACCGTTTCCGAGCTGCGCTTGCACGTCGGGTCGATATTTGATGTCCTGGTAGAAATTACAGATGTGGCAACCGACTTCCTAGATCATCGTTAGCACGAATTCTATGTCGCCGGAATAGCTATAATTCCAATACTTACATGCCAAGGCTTCACAGAGTACGGTATTAGAGGGACGAAGCAGAAGGTGAACCATTGCCTAGAGCGCAAACTTGTTAGTCGCAAGCGTCGCGAAGCGTTGGGACGGAGCCGTACCAGCGCTTGTAGACGTGGCCACTCTGGTTACCACAGTTCTGACATTGTACTGTGAGGTTTTCGGCGCCTTCCAGGCGGCTTTGGAAAGCTGCGCGGGATCACGTTAGCGTTGATGCTGCTACGTCTTTCGAGGGTTTCGCGTTTACTGTGATTGCCGCAAGTGAAGACGAGACACATAGTGATTCGTAGGAGCTTTGTGGAATAGGTGCCGAGGATTAACGTGCAGGTCGGTGGCGAGGGAGGTGAATGAATTTGGGGATGCGTGGATGGGTTGTCACGCCGCGAAGATGTTACGCGGCCGTTTGTCTTGGTGCTATGGCGAGCCGAGGACCAAAGTGACCGTCTTCAATTCCAAGACGTGGCGCAGTGTGGCGCAGCAGAAAGGCGAAGAAACCTGGGTAGAGACGGGAGACGGGACCTCAGCCGGTGAGAGGGACCTTCAAACGGTACCTTTGTAATGTGATGTACGACTCCAATTATTAGGTGCTAATTACAGTCCTAGTAGTCGCTCACGTGTGGAACAAATAGTGCAATTTCTGCCATAACGCTTTCCAACCATATCCCAACATGAAGTCCAACTGTAAGCGCCCGTGAATCGAGAGTGATATCGCAGAGAGAAGTGGAGTATAATGGTATTGCCAAGTAACCCTAGCTTCGTCGACGCTCATTACCATCATCAACCAGTCGTAGTGGCTCGTCGGGCTCGTGATGCCGTTGTCCCATGTGCAGCGTCAGGTCGTCTCCCATATCGTAATTCGTCCGTGCGACAGCCCGTCGACCGCTTTTTGAACGCCGAACGCCGCCTCTACTGCGTCTTGAAGAGCAGAATGGCACAGTGGCCCAGGTAGAAGTAAATGAAGTGCTTCGTTTCTGAGGGCGTGTCAGCGTATGCTTAGAGGGAATGCCATCGAAGGTGGCGCACCATGTGTGACGAAGCTTCCAAAGTTCCTCCCCACGATACAATGCCAGGTGGCACCCTTGCGGCTATCGAACTGGCTCATTGTAAGCTGACTGTCCTCGATGTGCAAGGTAGACTGTGCTTGGCTCACCTCCTTCTTGATGTACTGCGCAATATCCTATTCAATGCGTTAGAGCTTTGTTGAGTTGGACGACGACAGAGCCGTGAAACACGCGCATGCGGCAACGGAAGCCATACCTTCTCGATGTTGTACTTTTCCATGGCTTCTTGGGCTGTTTGACGTAGTTAGCCTTCATGAATGGCGAGCGGAATGCGACTGCGGACGATTACATACCAACTTCGACGGCTTCCTGCTGCATTTCTTCGCTCTGTTCCCGGCAATTGTCAGACGTGCTGGGTACTTCAGTGAGCATAGATCATACCATGTCCGCAGACTTGATTTGCGCTGTAGCTGGTGGTGTTAGCAAATGTTACAGGCCACGCGCTGAGGCAGACCGCGGAGCTGACCTTCAGGCTTCTCCTTGGAATCCATATTGGCAGACCGCGGGGCAGATTTGATAGACAGCGACGAGGGAGAATTCATGGGCACGGGCGGGAGAGAGGATGCGCAGGAGCGGCAGGCCGAAGGGGTGAATGTCGTGGGAGTTAGTGAGTGAGCTGCCGCCTGCTCTCGGGGGTGCGCGGTCGAGGAGGGACATGTGAGGCCGTTTGGCGCCGCCTCCAGCCCCCCGCAAAAGTAGCACAGCAGCCTCGAATTCTGCCAAGCCCTATTCGACAAAACTGTCGCTGAGGACTGCCACGACTGCCCAGCGTTTCGCGACTTCATTCGCGACAACAAATTGCACCCACCCGCAGCGCCATGGCCTCGTCGCGCATCTTCGTTCGAGGCCTCCCGCCCGCCATCACTGAGGACGAGTTCAAGCGTTACTTCTCCTCCCAGCAGCCCATCACCGACGCAAAGGTGCTGCCCCACCGCCGGATTGGCTATGTGGGCTACAAATCCCCGGAAGACGCTGCCAGAGCCGTCAAATACTTCAACAAGGCGTTCCTCAGGACGTCCAGGCTGTACGTCGAGATCGCTCGTCCTGTGAGCAGCCTCCAGTCTTTCTGGACCTACGCTCGAGCTAATACGAAATTTTCTTCAACAGATCTCCGATCAACCGCCGCCGAAGTCAAAGGGTCGGTCCGCAAACGATGGTCCGTTCCAACCAAAGCTCAGTGGAAGCAATGGGCCCCCTATTGAGAATGCATTGAAGCGCAAGAGGCCCGGCCAAGACGCCCAATTGCAACCGTCCAACCCAAAGCTTGAGGAGTTTCTGCATGCCATGCAACCAGCTTCAAAACTGAAAAAGAGGACTGTGGAAGCGGCATTCGCAACATCCGAAGCACTTCCCAGCGTTGATGCCGCCGAAAGCGACGACGAGTATCAAGTCGTGGCGCAGAAGTCGAAGAACTCTGCACCTTCAGAGGGGCCCAAGAAAAACTCCGACTCTCCGCTAGCTATCAGGAAGCCCCAACGAGATGGACACGATGAGAGGCTAGACATTCAACCTGTTCATGAGGCACCTATACGAGCGATGCCAGACGGACCGGTCTCCGATGCCGACTGGCTCCGTTCACGCAAAAAGAGGCTACTGGATCTCGAAGACAACGGAGATGACGCTGCGAGACCTGGCGATGCGACAGCTCCAACACAGCAACTGGATGTAGTTGAGGTTATCGAAAGTGGCGCCGCCGAAGTCACAGCCTCTACCCTCCTAGATGAGCAGAACGGAGCCGATGAAGACGATGGCGAAGATGCGAATGAAACTAAAATACTGTCTACTGGTCGGTTGTATCTACGGAATCTAGGCTACGCTATACAACTACCCAGCGGCGAAAATATCGAAGAGGAACTTCGAAAGGATTTCGCGGCGTTTGGGGAAATTGGAGAGGTGAGCGCGACTTCAGTTTCTTTGTATCCCCTTATATGATGAACTTCCTGATAGGGACATCTTATGCTCTGCAAATGATGTTACCAGGGAGACTATTTTAGTAGATGCGTCTCGTATTCTGAAACCAAAGGCCCAAGGATCCTGCAGAATCAATTGTCAAGTCCAGAAGGAAGTCACTGACATGCTTTGATCAGGTTCACGTCCCGGTGGTCGCGGCTACGGGCCAAGGGAAGGGATTTGCATACGTCCAGTTTACCAATCCCGAAGATGCTGTCAAAGCCTACCGCGAGAAAGACAAGAAGACTTTCCAGGGCCGCTTGCTTCATGTCCTCCCTGCCGACGCAAAGCGGGAAACGAAGTTGGACGAGTTTGAAATCTCGAAGCTTCCACTCAAAATGCAGAAAAAGATTCAAAAGAAGGCTTCTGCGGATAGGCAAACATTCCAATGGAATTCGCTGTACATGAACGTACGTCTGCTGTGATATGATATATTCTAGAACAGGAGCTAACATTTCGCAGCAAGATTCCGTTCTGTCTTCCATTGCCGACCGATTGGGTGTTCGAAAATCTGATCTCCTTGACCCTACCTCGTCCAACGCTGGTGTGAAGCAAGCTCAAGCCGAAACTCACCTCATTTCAGAGACTAGGGCGTACTTTACTGAGAACGGAATTGACTTGGAATCCTTCAAGAAGCGAGAGAGAGGAGATAAGGCTATTCTAATAAAGAATTTCCCATACGGCAGTGGTAGCCAGATCAGAGAGCTCTTCGCGGAGTATGGTCCAATTACGAGGTTTCTGCTCCCTCCAAGCGGTACTCTCGCTATTGTCGAGTATATGAATGCCCCAGACGCAAAAAAGGCGTTTGGGAAGCTCTCCTATCGTAAAGTAAAGGACTCGATTCTATTTCTTGAAAAAGCGCCGAAGGACCTTTTCTCCAAGCCACCTCCTTCACTCGGTGCTACCACGGAAATTCAGGCTGCGACCGTCGATTCAAAGAAGGGACAGCCAAGTAAACTGTCTGCCACTGACTTGCTCCAAAAGGAAGACCCATCGCCTGAAGCGGCCGACACCTCCACGCTGTTTGTGCGAAATCTAAACTTCTCTACCACGAGCGAGCGTCTCACAGAAGCGTTTTCAACTTTGGACGGATTCTTGTCCGCCAAAGTCAAAACGAAAGTCGACCCCAAGCGTGGAGTCTTGAGTATGGGATATGGTTTCTTGGAATTCCGCACCAAAGATCAAGCAGCAGCGGCACAAGTAGCGATGACTGATTACCTTCTTGATGATCACAATTTGCTTGTCCGAGCATCACACAAAGGGCACGATGCCGCTGAAGAGCGTCGCAAAGAGGACAAGACTAAGAAAGGCGCCGGGAAGCAGACAAAGATTGTCATCAAAAACTTGCCATTCGAAACTGACAAAAAGGATATTCGTGCCCTGCTCGCCACGTATGGCCAACTTCGGTCAGTCCGGGTGCCAAAACGATTCGATTCTCGAACAAGAGGTTTCGCCTTTGCTCAGTTCAGCACCCCACGAGAAGCCGAAAACTGTTTGGATGCTCTACGAAATACGCATCTCCTCGGTCGTCGCCTTGTGCTCGATTACGCGGAAGAGGAGGGTGAGGATGCAGAGGCAGAGCTTGAAAAGATGCAAAAGAAAGTTGGCTCGCAAGTCAACAAAGTTGCGCTGCGAAAACTCACCGACACGGGACGAAAGAAGTTTAATGTGTCAGGCAACGACGATCTGGATGAAGCTTAAATGTAGCAAGGGTGTACAGTATAATTTGCAGCGCGGCACTATCAAGTGGCGCCCTAGAATCCTCCTTGCATCCCCCACTTTTTCACGACGCGGACTATATCCAGGCTCAACAGTGCCCCTTCCTTTCAAATATCGGTATACGGGTTACGCGGCCGGCACGATCTCATAATTTAGCCCTTCTTCAGGTGGCTTGCTCGTGACCGACAGCTTATCAGGCACACGCTCGGTCTTGCGCGTCTCGCTGCCTTGCTGAATATGTCTCGACCGCGCAAGACATCAGTCAGATACACATTGACGCTTGTAACCTGTAGCTTGTTTACATTCGCCAGAATTCCGGGCCGCTGCAAAAGCATTCCCCCGCCACCCATCCCTGGCCCACCACTGTGAGGTCTCCTCGGGAAAAGGCCAATGAGAGATGGGTTGAGAAGACGGCAGCCCCTCTAGCCCTTGCTAGTCGTGCCTAATAGAGGGCAGCCTGGCATTCCATGATAGGGAGGATGAGTGTAGTAATTAGAGAGTCGTATAGACGCAAGATTATGTAGCCTGGTGTCGATCGTCTCGATGGTAACCTTAACCGCAATGGTTAGGCAGCACCTCCTCTCCTGACTGGGTGTCTAGAACTCATTATAAACAAGACGTGGTGCTCTCGTGCATCCCCTCTCCCCGCCTACATTTCTTCTATGCTTCATCAAGTCATTCCTTAGCCCAACTCTCTACGTTCCTTCAACATTTGACTCGCCCACCGTGTTCACTCCAACAGCTATCAGACATTCTTACCTCAGCCGCTCATTCTTAGCATCCATCGCATTCCCAACCTCATGGAACTGCGTCGTCATTCGTGCGTGCTGCCATCGAATGCTCCAGCGTTTGACAGCTTCTCCAGTCGAGCCGTGACAGGTCGAGTCTTGCAGGAACGATGTGGCAACCGGCAGCATGAATACCTTGACTCAGACATCACGGCGAGGAGGAAGTATTTCCCAGCGTCTCCAGTCGAGAACCTATACAGGAACGGCATCTCGACTTACGTTAGCTCGCACCACGGTGGCATCGCCTCCCACCCTGACTGCAAGTCCGAGGAGCAGATAAACCGTGAGACTCAAAAAGTATGGCGACTGCTGCAGCGATGCGGGGCGTATTGCAAGTATCGAGATAAGCCAACTAAGGATACCCGCGAACTCGTGAAGTGGCCGGAGCATATGGAGTATGCGTTCTTCAGAGGTTCGTTCACGTTTTCACACTGAAGTTGTCGTCCATTTAGCACTTTAATAGACGGATGTTGAGAAACGTTACAGGGCTAGTGAAATATGAACCTATGGGTCGGCGAAAGCTTCTGCTAGATGGCAAACCTCGCGGTCGAAATGAACTGGTGGCAGACTCGATAGAGAAGGATACCGGCGAGGCACGAACGAGAAAACAAGTTTCCAGTCATATCCAAGTCCTGAAAGACAAGCTCAAGGATGAACCACTTGGTGAGTTTACCTTCTCCGCTGGCTTGTCGCTCCACTAACATCACCTAGTACTCAAATACATGTCCAAGGATGACCTCAGCTACCGCCCTCGTCATGCCGCTGGACATGGAAGCACTGCTCATAGTCGCCATGCTGCAAACTCGGCCAGACACCGTCAACCGTCAACGCAATTCAGCTTCCAGCCAGACTTCCGAACGGCCACCTCTAACCGCTACTTCACCCCCTACGACTTCGAGATGTACGTCCGAGACACCCAAGAAGACCCCCCCAAGCACATCTACACCTTCACCAAGTTCCCCAAAGACACTTCCCCAAAACTCCCAGACGTCCACGTCCACGACACCCGCCACTGGCGCACCCTCTACCCCACCCTCTCCCACGTCCCCCTGGACCGCTTCGCAGACTGCGACATCATCGTGTGCGACGCCTCCATCTCCGTCATGACCGACACGCTCCCCAAAGACGCCGAGCTCGCCATCCAGCTCGAGCTGCGGGGAGAAGCCTACCACGCCAACTTCTCCGCATTCGTGGCCCGCACCAGCCTCTTCAGCGCCGCCTCGGCCACGCGCCCCAGCTCCGCCACCAAAATCAACACGCTCGAGCCCGACGCGGAGCTGGGCTACAACAGCGGCCTGCCCGCCCACTTCACCGTCCCCTTCTGCAGCAAGTTCTGGGCGCAGAAAATCCACAGCCTCAACACCCTCCTCCGCCGCGCGCAGGCTCACCACGACGCGGCCGAGCGCGCCAAGATGGAGGCGCAGGTGCGCGCGAGCTTGGAGCGGCTCACCGCCACGCAGGAGATCTTCGCTGTACCCAAAGGCGGCGAGAACCCCGTGCGCGTGGCCGCGATCCTGTGGCGCTTCTCGCAGACGCACCGCCGCGAGGAGGGCAGGGCCGTCTGGCGGAGTGTCGTGTACAGCCCTGCACAACACCAGCAGCAGCATCAGACGCAGCAGGTCCTCGCCGTCCAGCCCGCGATACCGGGGACGATGGTGGAAGAGCTCTACCCCGTGTCCCAGCACCCGCCCACCGCGTACCCGGCCCTCTCGTTTGACCTCCCGCCGCACCACCAGCAGCAGCAGCACCCGCTCTACGACCACCTCGCCCTCCCCGACGCGGGCGGCGCGCAGCACCACCACGCCCAGTTCGACCTCGACGCGCTCTCCGCCGTGGCGCTGCACGGCGCGTTCGCGCTGGCGTCGTATCCTGCGCACTCGGGCTCCCAGGGCCTGCCGAGCCTGACGCACTCGTACGACTCGAGCATCGACCTGCCCCCCCCAACGCAGCACCAGTCTCAAAGCGACCACAACTTCAGCGTCGTTGGAGGAGGAGGAGGAGGAGGGGTAGGCGGGGTGGGCGGGGGCATGAGCCACAACGAGCTCGACTTCACGGGCGGGAGCATCAGCATCCACCTCGAGCCGGCGATCGACCTGCCGGGGTATCACGAGCTCGACGTCGGCGGCGGCGGCGTCTACAACGCGCCGCTTGGCGGGTTTGCGCGGCCCGAGGCTGGGGGCGGAGGGCATGGGCAACAGCATAATGCCGGCAGTCACACGGATCTCTTCACGGTCGAGAGTGCGTTTGCGCGGCCGTGGGGCACTTATCAGGAGCTGATGGAGCGGCTGGAGGGGTGTGAGACGCAGCCGCCGCATGGGGGTGTTGGCCAGGAGCATGGGCAGCAGGGGCTGGATGCGGCGGGGGGGCATGAGGCGGGGGGGGGGGGTGAGGGGGGCGGGTTGTGGAAGCTGCAGAGTCCGTTTGCGGAGGAGACGGGGGAGGAGGGGAGTGTTAAGGAGGAGGAGGAGGGTAGTCAGGGGCAGGGGCGGGAGGATGGGTTTGATGGGCGCGGGCATCATGGGGGGATTGGGGGCTATTGATTCCGCGGTCTACTGTGAGATTGCTTACAGGTTCAGGAAGAGGAGGGAGAAAGGGGTAATGGGGGTAATGATCTTGGATCTCATTCTGATATTGGCGCTGTTTTTGATAGAAGCTATCTGTTCCGATAGCTACGACGTTATCGGCCGTAATACCCATAATACTCGAGGCATCGCTCGTTCAGACCTCTATGATCTACCAAGCTTTCCAAATACTGTTCTTGTGTGCAATGAATACCCGAAGTGAAGATCATGCTCGTTATGCTTCCACTGTCGTGTCTCCAGTAAAGAATGAGCCCCTGACACCCTGCAAACCAAATGCCCCCTACATCTCTCTTCACGGGCTCTAACAAGAATGATACTCCTCATCCTCACCCCCCTCTCCAATCTCCACCTCCCCCTTTCCCTCCCCGTCGCCGCTCCCCTTTTCCTTTTCCACCCTCTTCACCCCCAACACCCTCCCTACTAATCCCCTCCGCCTCTCCAACACCCCCTCCAGCTCCACAGCCGTCAACCGCGCACACTCCTCCCGCGCCGCCTTCTTCCCAAACACATGCCTCGCCGTCGCGACCACCCCATGCTCGCCCCCGACCCCTACACTCCCGGGGAACAAACTACTCACCGTCCACAGCCCCGGCGCCAGCTCACTCGCCTCGGCCCACCGATACACCGGCTGCGGTAAGCCCAGCTCTGCGGCAAGTGCCAGCACCCGCGCCGCCGAACCTCCACTCGCCCCGCCCGCAGACAGCTGCACTGCATCCTCCGACGACGCAGCCGCTTTCCGCTTCCTCGCGGCCGCGGGCTCGTGCACCGCGGGCAGCTGCCCCTTCTCTCTCAGCCAGAGCACAGCCTCTTTCGCAGCAGCCGCACGCGCCGCTTTCTTGGATGAATGGAGGACGCCGCGCCCGCCGAACGGCGCGCCGGGCCGATGGCTCTCCAGCGCCAGCTCGGCGGAGAAGCAGGTCCCCGTTCTGAACTCGGCGAAGACGGACGCGGGGAGCTTGGCGCCCTGGCAGAACTCCGTGAGGATGCCTATGTAGTTTTCCTGTGGCTCGTCCGGTTCAGTGGGGGTAGTGGTAGAGGAGGAGGGGAGAGTGGGGGTCGGGGTGCGTTTTTTGGTAGCTTTGGACGGGGTGGCCAGCGTGCCGGCGGCTTCGAGGGCGGCGATGAGGCCGAGGCCGAGGGTCGCGGCGGCTTCTTTGGCTTCTTTCTTGGAGGTGCAGACGCCGGTGGTGGTGAGGCTGTGGGCTTGGCCCCCGGCGTGCAGGGTGAGGGTGCAGGACCAGGCGGGGAGAGAGGCGTCGCCGTCGAAGGAGAAGGCGGGCTGCAGGATGGCGAGCGCCTGGCAGCGCTGGAAGAAGAGCTGGGTGTTTACGGAGGAGCGGGTGGAGATGGGGATGGGTTGGGGCACCGCCGCCGCGGAGCCTGGTTGAGGGTTGGATTTCGGGGTGGATTGGGCGCGGGATGCGGCGGCGGCGGCGACGGCGGCTTCGTGCTGTTTCTCGAAGTCGTCGATGCTGAGGAGGTTCTGGAGGAGGGCTGGAGTGCCGGGGACTGAGCCCCTGCGTGCTGGATCCATGGATGGCGGCGGGGCGCTGGTGGAGTTCTGGCTGCCGAAGGAAGATTGGACCTCCATCTTTTTGTATCTTCCGAAGCCCGGTAGGGGCGAGGTAATCAGGCTTGGTAAGAAAGTAGGATATGAATGAGTGTTGGTGCCTACGCTGGTGTATGTATGAGGCTGGAACCTGGACTGAGAAGAAGGCTGAGGTGGGGTGCTGGTTTGATCTGCATCACCCGGGGTAAGAAAGACGGCAGGTCCTCCATGTTTGTGCGGAGCGGGCCGAGCGTGGAAACACGGGAGGCACCGGGCGTCTTACGCCTAGTCATGGCAGAGCTGGGAGCTGTTTGACGGTGGATGGAGTAAATGGTGGTGGATTGTAAGTTGGATCGAGGGTATGGGCTAATCAGATGCCCTATCCGTCACGCCTACTATTTCAAGGATGACAATAGCATACGGGAGGACCTGAGGCGGCGATAGGCAAGCGTACACGAGCACAGATATAGTGTGTATGCCTTGATACTCATCAACCAGGCTGTCTCGGTGGTGCACCTGTCTACCACTGCTTGAAGTGCTTCAACAAGTTTCCACATAGCCTAGACTAACGAGCTTTCATCCCGCATAGAGTTCTGAAAATGCATTGAAGCAGCCCAAGCAGCGGCATTCACGCGTGGAGTGCCACCTTTTTCATTCCCCGCGTGCCAGGCTATCACACGGATAGAAGCGACCGTTCGTCACAGCAGGCCGTGTTGAAGGGAATACTCGGTGAAATACTCCCAAAGTTCCAAGCAACGTCACATAGAGAAACAAGTGAAGCCACTTGAACTCTGTATTGGCTACTATCTGCCTCTGCTTTTGCTCCAAAATCAAGTTTTCCCCGGATTACAAGTGCTTTTACAGTGACACGCAATCTGATCTCAGATCATTGAACCCTTCTCATGATTGCATCTCCATAGTCTCACCCCCGCAAGATCATTCCCTAGCTCCAATCTAGTTCCACGCCCGTTACTCACCTGAAAACTCAGCCCACTAGAAACCTCACCCCAAACACGATCTCCTCCTCCCGAAATACTCCACCTTTCGCACCTCTCACCTGTCTAACTGCCTCTCCAGCTGTCGGCGCCACGTTCCACGGACCTGCCTTCGCATAAGTGATGACGCAGTCCTGGCTCAGCAACGCCGGGTCAAAAGGCGCGTAGTCAGTGATGGACTGGACGCTAGTTCTCCGAGTCGAGACTTGTGTCTGAGGCGGTGGTGGCGGTTTGGATATTTCGGTGGCCTCCCCTATCTCCTTTTCCATTCCTTCTGCCTGTGCGGGAATGGTGAATCCCATATCCTGGGGCGTCGTGGGGTTCGAGGGAGCTGATGAGAGCGGCGAGTGTGGATGTGTTTGCAGCCTAGGTAGATGGGTACCGCTCTTCTCTTTCTCTTTCCCGTTCACGTGCGCAGTAGGAGAGAATTGCATATCCACCGGCGTCGAGACATGCGATGGACCTGACGACAGTGTCGAGTCATCACTTCCAAGCGACTCGCGGGCCTTTGGAACCAAACGGCTAGGTACTGAAGTCGGTGTGTTAATCAGTGGGCTGGGAAGAAGTGTTGGGCCATAAGCCGTTGGATTTGGAGCGCTGCTGATCCTAGGTCTGACTTGGATAGTGTCTTGAGGATTGGGATTCCTCATTCGGCGCACCGCACTAGCCCTGGCTTCGGTCTGCACGTTCCCATGATCCAGATTTGGGACATTTGATTGAGCAGTGATGTTGGTACTGCCACTCAGCTGCCTGGATGATATATTTTGTCTCTGATTAGATTGCTGTAGCGGATTGCCGACCGTCTGGGTTGGGGGCTGCAAGACACGCATACCAATAGACAGACCTGGTTGCTGCAGAGAAGTCCCCCTCCCCTGGTCGGTTTGCTGGAGAGAAGTGCGCATCGTTTGGCTTGATTCCTGCACGAGACCAGGATCAATCGGTTCGGGCAATCGTGGTACGATAGTGCCCCATCTTTGACCAGGTTGCTGCAATGGAAAGCCCGCTGCCTGGTTCAATTGCTGTATGAAGTCACCATCATCAGGCCCATCCAATTGCCGTAGAGAACCAGACGGCTGTACGAAGCCTTGCATCCCCTCCATTGTGTTTTTACGCTTCTTTGATTCGGCATCACGCTTGCGTCGATCCCGGGCTGCAGCTATTTCAATGGCGGACACCCCAGGCACTACCGGGTTAGACAACTCGAGAAACTTTTGGAGATCTTCACTGGAGCCATCTAGTTGCCATGGAGAACTAGATTTCTGAACGGCATGCTGAACCCCACGCATCATGTCTCTCCGCTCCTCCGAATTCGCAGTTTGCTTGTAAAAGTCTTGAGGCAACTGGCTCTGCCCTTCGAGAAGCTCTCGGAGCATTAGATCCTCAGAAGAACCATCCATTTGGCGTTGAAAACGTGACCGGTTTCCGAAGGCTTGAATATCTGGTATCAAGGTGCTCTGCGTCTTCGATTGTGCAGCCCGCTTGAGCAAGCCCTCTACTCCTGCTGCTTCCAAAGCACTGTCGCGTCGCGACGGCTTCGTGGATTCAAGCCATTCAAGCGCTGAATCCTCCGTCATTAGTTGATCAGACGCGTCGAGAGAGTTGGCACCACTTAGATCGAACTGCTGAGTTGAAGCGCCCAGTCTCTGTTTTGGTAGAGCTCCTGGTATTTGAAGTGGTGGAGCTGCTAGTCCCTGATACGTCTGCTGGGGTATACCGCCACTGCTCCGGCCAAAGGGCGCTGTCGTGCCCCATGCGTATGAGTGCGTCTGCTGCGGTGAAACCCCTACTCCCTCATGGGCCTGAGGTGCTGGACCTCCACCGCTTTGGGCCATCAGTCCCCACATGTTCTGACCTGTCCGCTGCGGAATAGCTCCATATCCTTGATAGGTCTGATATGGCGAAAAGCCACCGTTCTGCGGAGCTGTGACTGCTAAACCCCACATATCCTGGCTCGTCTGCTGCGCAACATTCCTAACCACTTGGTCCATCTTCGCGGACTCAGCCGGCGGAATATCCGAACTTTGTCTTGCTTGAATTTGCGACAGCAAGTGCGTGGGTGTTGGCACCACCCCGGTGGCAGGCTTAGCGGGTTTGGAATATCGACCTTTTGCGTTTTTCAACGGAGAAGATGATGGAGGAGGGGTTGCGGGATCGTTATTTGAGCCTCGTGGAGCACCGCTGCGTTTCGCCGAGGGATCCACATAGGCACCAAAGCCAGGAGTCTCCGATCTCTGGATTCGCGACGAACGACGAGGAGGTGGAGGCGGTTTGGTCGGGGACGTGTTCGGCATATGCAACGGAAGACGGTAGCCTGTCGTCAGGAACTTGTCTACTACGGTCCTCTGGCCTGCTCTGATGACCACACGGTGGAGAACAACGCTTTTTCGAGGAGCTGAACTGTAGGCGAATAGGTTTGTTGCAGTTCTGGCGCCGAAAGGCATTCCGGAGAGGCCGAGTGGCAGTCCAGAAGGGTTTGAAAGGGGGTTGGTGAACGATGGCAACTGGATCCGCGGCTCGAAAGGATCGTTCTCGATGAAAATCTTTCCATCTTTGCGATCGGACCTGGCCGTAGATGGTAACGTTAATTCTGGGATTGCGGTAGGACTTGCGATCCCAATGAAGACGCCTCGGCGAGAAATAGCAAGTGAAGAAGGTGGTGTAGCTGGAATTAGCAAAGGAGTGATTGGCTCCACCGTCGGTCTAGCCATGCTGATTCTCTCCGAAACTCGTTGCCGTTTGTTGTTTCTGCCATCTGATGTAGGAAGCGAGCTACGCCTACGCTTGTTTGGACTACTTGAGGCAAAGAAAGAGGCAGGAGCCAAAGGAGGGGGCATGAGGTCCACAGAACTTGCCGGCTGGGCTGAACTGTTCCGTCCAGATCGGAGCGACATGTTGAGGGGTGGATTTGTGAGAGAAGAGCGACGATATGAAGAAGCTCTGGCAGGTTCGGGACCTTCAACCGACTGAGAGGCAACCGCCCCTTTACTGCCCAATGTCCCCATTCGCATTTGTCCTCGTCTATGGCGGCCATCCTCATCAGGGCTCGGGTAGTAGTCGCTAAAGGATGACGATGGCAGAAAGCCGCGCAGGAACGATGGTGGTGAACCTTCTTTGTCTGGATGAAGGCCTGGGGTCTGAATAATGTGATTAGATGACAAGATCTGCGTAGACTGGGCTTGCTCCGGTGTTGGATCTGCCTGGGTATCTGGTTGAATGGGGTCTAGTACAGTCTCATCCACTACGCCCTGCTTAACCTTTATCTCAATCTCCCGGCCTTCAGCAAGAGACTTGAATTTATCGTCTTTGAATCGAGTAGGTTCCTGTATGTAATGAGCAACGTTGGAATTTTTGTGCCCTTGTCCGACCGAAATGATAACCTAGAACAAGGTCAGTCCGGAGCTTCTTAATCCGCAAGCATATAGTATAGAGAGGCCATATACATCAATCACGCCAAACTTTGGTCCTCCGGGTTTTTGCATAGCCTCCACTGCACTCGGCATCTTCATGTTCGCCAAACTCTCTAGGTAATCCCCTGACGGAGGTCTGTCGCCACGCTTGTTATATCCGAGGATGTTAGCCTCAGCCAACAACGCTGCCCCAATCTGGCTCCAGCGCTCTTCCGTCGTGACACTGCTCAAAGCCTTTGACTTCTTGATGGTTCCTCGCAGCGAGCCATCGGCTTCTTGTCCAGGCGGGACTATAACCCAGGGCCGCTCCATCAAGTAGTGGAACCGCTCGCCTGAAAAGACAGCGCCGATCGGGCAGGTGTACATATGACGGTCTCGGCCAGGGATGAATCCAGAATTGGCAAAGACACCGTTGAAGAAGACGTCGATTTTGATATCTCGGTTTGTATGCTTGACAGGTGCCATTGGGTCGAAGAGGAAAGTCTCAGGGCTGATGTAGACCTGGAGACACAGTGCTTGCGGAGACAGCACGGTGTCGGGGGAAGCCGCGGGAATGCTATTGATAGATTGCCTGCTACGTGTAGTGATCGAGACAGGTCTAGCATCGTCTTGTGGCCCGTCCTTGTCTTTATCTCCTTTACTGTCCCCTTCGCACGAAGCTGGCGACATCAATATCGTCTTCACGGTGTTACTCCAACGCCGTTCTGAGGCTCGTGTGGTATGAATCTCTTGACCAAGGCCGTCCCCGAATAGGCCAGCGCCGGCGTGGACCATAAGGAACGGCATGTTGCCATGCTTCCCCAGAAAGTGGACGCGGCCACCATCCTCTCCATTGTCTAGCGGAACGCCTACGACAGTCTCCGCTAGTATTCGCCCTTCGCGTAGCACTTTCTCCGCCTTATCAGCGTACTGATTTGACACCGGCCCTTTGCGTGTGGTCGGTTCCGGGGTGGTGGCAGCCCTGAGGCTAGCGGCGCAGAGTTGGACGTTCGCTTTGACGCAGTGATAGCGTGGCATGGTGTCGGACAGGAGGAGCGTGTAAGGAGCGACAGAAGAGGCCTATGGCCGGTGGAAGGAAGGACGATGACGCTCGCGTGGTGTTGAAGAGTGTGGAAGTAGCGCGGAGGGCCGGTTGTTGTCGAAAGTCTAAGGTGAGGTCGTGGGCTCTCGCACCTTCCTTGAGACGAAATGGAGGAAACCCAACCCAGTCAATGCATTATCTCGTGCCAGTGATGATCTTGATTCCCGGCCATAGCTTGGTAACGCGTACGGAGATGCTCTCAATGCCCGTCTTCTACTCTATCTGCAAGACCTCAGAAATGATAAACAGACCTTGACGTCATCGGAGATAGAAGCACCGCGTCGGGCACCAACAGGAGATGTGGCTCTACGGCAGAACGGTATTAGGACCCGAGAGCGGGCAGGCAGCAAGCATGAGCGCAGAAGTCAGTGGCATGAGAAAAATTTGGCCGAATTCGAATCTCTTCCTTTTCGTGATGCTGTGGAAAAACGAGCGAGCGCCACGGCTTTACAAATGGCATCTGAGGTCTCTGCTCTAATTGAATAAAGGCACTGCAGCATAGCATCATCTCACCGCGCTCCTCACCCCAAAGAATTAAAAAAAATAACATCCAAGGAGCAAAACACCACCCTCCTCGGTGGAGGGTGTAGAAAGACTTTAATATTTTCTCCGTGCCCAAGCCATGCTCTCCAAACAGAGCTACATGCCGTAAGGACAATTCCCGAAAGTACTGGGGTCCACATTTAAACCACCCAGCCAGTGCTCACTGGGGGGCTCGAATGCGGTCCTGGTGGTCAGACGAGTTGGCGGCGTCGGTCGGTTCGATTGGCTCGGTGCTCACTCGGAGGGGGAGGAGGCCAATTGAGCTGCTGGTCGAGTTAGTTGGATGGTCCTCAAAATGTTCGAAATATATAGAGGTACTCACCTCACCTCAAATAATAAAATCATCTTACCTTACAGGAGTCATTTAGTTGGCCGGATAGATTTATTCCATCTTACCATACATAATAAGTTCATCTTATCCAGCTCACCTTACTGTACTTCGCAACGTGGTGGTCGGAGTGTATAGTCACGTGACCATAATTGAGGGGAGAAACATCGCGAAATATTATTATACCTTCTCTCGTTATAAGAAACGGAGCACTTACTACGGACTGAAAGAAACAAACCCTTCAAGCCTTGAGAATTGAGACTTCCGACGGCCAAGAGAAAACTTCTTTCTGTATCTAGGAAATAGAGTTTCTCACGGTCGTAGAGGATGGAGCTCCCAAACTTTTCTTTTAGGGAATAGAGCCATTTACCGTTCAAAACCATCCGGTCACCACGGTGTCTCATCGGCATAGTTCTCTACCAGCCAGAGCACGCTAGAAAGCGCGTTCAAGATTTAAAGAAATCAAAACTAGCCATCATCACATGGCTCAAAGATTCATACCAGACCTCCATAACCATAAATTCATCAAGCCGAGCTCTCATGTCATCACGATACGAACCCTCCTCTCACCCATTCGTGATAATCCCAATAGGCGGTCCCTCAACACTCTCCCCCAACTCCCCAATCGTCTGCTCATACACCCTACCTATCGCCATCTCCCACTCGTCCTCCTCATCCCCTTCCCCTTCGCCCCATCTACCTTCCCCATCCTCCTCAGTATCCACATCCACATCCATAGCCCCATCATCAACATCCGTCTCCTCCCCCCCACCACCATGCCGCCTCGCCATCACCTCCACAACCACCACCCTCGTCCGCTCCACCAAACTCTTCATCCGAATCTTCTCCGTCGTGCTAACCCCCCTCGCCGCAATCCCCGGCAACACCTCCCCAGTCTCCGGATCCCTTCCAACCAGCAGCGCCGCAAACGCCTGGTCCAGCTTCTCCAGCAGCCCAAACATGCTCCCCGGCGCCGCGGGGAACGACGGCAGGAACTCCGTGAGCAGCAGCGCGATGCTCAGCAAGTACGGGATCTGGAAACTCGCTGCGAACGATCCGCATTAGTTCAGCTCGCCCCAACAACAGCAGCAGCATAACAAGCCACGGAAAACTCGTAGCTAGGAATGGGGAGGGCAGGAGGGTGGCGTACGCGTCGCAGACACCCACACCACATCGACTAAATCATTCAGATCCCGCGCCGCGCTGCGGAAGCTGTGGTACCCCTTGACTCGGCCCGCCAGCTCGTCGGTGAAGGCGCGCTTCGCCCATCGCCGCTGCACGAGGAGGAGCGTGGCGTCGACGTAGTGGATGAACTCGGATTCTTTGGTGCCGCCGCGTTTGAGCGGCTGGGCGCGGGGGTGGGGGAGCGGGGAGTGGAGGGTGGAGGAGGCGGCGATGGAGGAGGCGGGGGGTGTGAGGGGTTGCTGGGATAGGAAGCCGGACATTTTTTTGGGGTGTGCGCGGTTGGTGATGAGGGATGAGGGAGTTCTGAGTAGATGCTGGTGGCGGTTCAAGGTGGGTAGAGCTTATTGGTACGTTGGTATGGTTGCTGGGGGTGATGCACAAACGTGTTCGTCATCGCACATGTATGCAGCTGTAAAGGCAGGGAGAGTAAGAGGGGACCAAGGCGAGGAGGGAGGTCATGGAGAACGTCACGATGGTTCATGAAAGAAAGGTGGGACGTCAAGATTTCTTGGCAATATTCATGCGTGAGATCGGACGACTAATCCAGAAGCGGTTAACTATCCATGTTTATAGTTTCTCCGGAACCTGAAAGAGATTTTATTTGTAGTCAGGAGATTATCTAGATCAAGGCCTGCGTTTGAAGACCATGTGTGTAATGCAAGTCACGGGTCATAAGGTATCTCGTAATTGTGAGAGCAGGCATCAAGCCGCTTGTTTGAAATTCTCTCTAAAGAAACGCTAGAACCTAACAGCAAATTGGGGGTATGATCGTGAGAGACACATGTTTGCGCCCAGAGCTGCGCGATTTGCAGGGAGACGTGCTGCAGGCTCTGTGTATGCTACATATACAACCACCTCTCCTTTGTACGCAACACCACTTGTATCGAGTCATGCGCATGCTTATGGATAAGCAACTATCGCACACCCTGCTGGTCGCGCCACCCGAAAAGGACTCAAGATAGACAATCAATTGTGAAAATGGTACTTTTCGAGGCATCGATGCCTCCATCACACCAATCACCAGTTATTGTGGCTGCCGTGACCGAAGTGACCGTTCGCCATCTTCGTCGTATATTCCACAAGCTCGGCGGCCTCCTTCTCACGCTGGGCCTCAATCTCGGCATACTCTCGACGCCCGGCGCGTCGTTGCTTGATGCAACAGAACACGATGCCCAGAAGGCAGAGGACAGCGACACCGGCTGCGGAGGCGACGATAGCGAATTGGGCGGTTTTCGAGAGGGCCTTCCAGCGGCCGGTAACACCATGTGGGGTCGTGATTTCCTTGATGGCTTTCGATTGGCCCCTGTGCTGTGTTAGTGAAGGTATTATGGGGTGTTCAGATTGTTGGGACTTACTCGGTAACTTTGATGCTCTCCCAGCTGCCGGTCATGTCGCCATACGCGTACTCCTTGCCAGAAGTGAAATCTTGGACGTAGATTTCCGCGACTGTCATGGTGTAGGGGCCATCGCCATAGTTTGTAAGCCCGCCAGCCCATTCGATGGTACCGTTACTATTGTCCGGGTCACCACCGGCCCAGATACCGAGGCGGACGTTCATTGGCGTCTGGGGGAAGTTCTTGCCACCGAGCGCATCACTATAGTTCAGCGTGCGTACGGACTTGTCGTCAATCCACCACTCAATCGCGTCCTTGGTCCAGTGGACGGTGTAGTTGTGGAACTGGTCCTGGGGCTTGTCGACGGGATAATAGATAGCGCGATCGTAGGAAGTAGTGTTGCCTTTGCCAAAGTAGTTGGTCTCAACGTGGGTGTGGTTGCCGCCAATGAATTCCCAATCGACTTCGTCAAGATCATCGGACTCGAGAACGATACTGGAGATGACACCCTGGCCGGGGGCAGCTCTCATGATAACGGAGACAACACCAAAGAAGATGTAGAACTTGGACTGGATGGTAGGCGAGTCGTGGCGTTCGTTGATGGTGAATTCGCCGCCGGCTGGGGTGTACTTGACTTTGCCATTGGTAGCATTCCAGATGCTGGAGTCGGCGGTGGTGGTGTTCCACAGGAAGGTGGCATTGCTTCCCAGGGCGGGATTAGTAGGGCAGCCGGTGGAGTTGAGCGGATTGCAGGCGGTCCAGGTCTGGGCGAAGGCGGCAGGCAGCAAGGCTGCGACGAGGGCTAAGTAGAGCATAGCGAGAGGGCGTAGATAGGCGGAAAGGACTATTAAGGAGTGTGGGGGCTGCGCGTATTCCAGACACGCGCTGAGATTCAATTGCTAAAGGAGAGACTGTGCAGCGCGAGGCTACTGTAAAGAGCGACTGTGAGAGAGCGTGGTGAGTGCGGTGAAGGGGAGAAAGCGGCGGATGGGCGAAGATGGATGGCTATCATCGTCAGGGGGGCACTATGCCCATTCCCGACGCGCGGGAACACCAGGGCGAGTTTCAAAACAGAGCGCGATAATAGGGTCATCAAGGCGGTGCAGCGTGGACGAGACATGGTGGTTGTGATGCTTGGATTGAAGTGTAACTACGCAAATGTGCATTTCGGCGAGGAATGCTCGCGGCTGATGTTGTTGAAGTCATGCTCGTGTCCGGCTGCATGTGCTCTGCAAATGCTTTGGGCCTAGCGGCTGGGCGAGCTGAAATGCCAGCCAACATGCAACATGAAACATGCAGCATGCCAACGGGGCCCTCGAAACGGCGTCAACATGTTGGCCAGATGGCGCCCTGGGACTGCCGCCGGGCGCCGCAACACGGCCAGCTCACACTGGAGGCCCACACATTCGGCGCTTTTCACTGCCATCCGCCATCCACTATCCACGATTCACCGTCTGTGCCGACATAGGGCTGAGACCAGCATCTTCGCGCCCGCGTCCTCGCTCCAGCAGCCGGCCAGGCCAGGCGGCCCTATCACACGCACTGCTCGTTTGGAGGCCAACACTTGCACGAGTCGATCAAGAGAAGGCTATCGCGTGTGGGACTCGCTCAGAGACCCGCGTCCTCGGGCTTCTGTTGTACAACACGCCAGTGCAGGCGAGCTCGCCGGCGGCTTCCAGGCTTCGTTCCCCTCAACTTCAGCTGAAAGTCTTGCTCTTGGCCCAGCACTCCCGGCTCCTTCACGCCCTCATAGGCCCCAGACAATGTGGAGGCTGTCGATGCAATGGTTCCCTGGCCGTTGGCTCCACCACTCGGGCGCGGTGCAGCCGCCCGCCTGATGAGCGGCCGCTGGGGGCTGCATAGCGTGGCGGGGATTGGTGTTGTGCCGTCGCGGCTCGCCAATCACGCCGCTGCAGCCACCATTTACGCGCCTCCTCGCACGACTCCCACCAGACAGCGTCTCTCTCGCTCCCCATCCAGCCGTCATGCTGCAGCTCTACCCGCCCTCCCTTGCTGCTGGTGTGCGCCCACCGCTGCGAGAGAGCGGGCGTCCGTTTCATCGGGACGCGTGCTGAGGCATTCGGCGAGATATAGCCCTGCGTGTAGCCGCCTGCGTTGTCCTCCACCTGCCATCTGCACCCTCGACGCACTCAAGGCTGCCCTCCTCTGCTGTATTTCTGCGGCACAGCCTGACATCCACCACTATTTGTAGCTTTCTTCGCCCCAACCGTTTCTTCATCGTCTGGCATCTGTTTCAATTTGCACTCTTTCACTATGGATTTCAGGTCAAGAGCGCAGTCGCCCCCCAACTCGGCCTCAACCACAGGCACCAAGAGAACCCGCATGTTCATGCCCCTCTCCAACCATGGCATGCCGAGGACCCCGCTGCCCACCTCTCCAGGTGGCAGTGTTCGCTCGCATCGCTTCGACAAGGCCGAGAAGTCTCCCGGCAGCCCAGGATCCCCGCCCATGTCTGCGAGAACCTTTGCTACGTTCTTCAGCTCCAACGGCTCTGAGGCTGCCTACTCCCCAAAGGCCTCTTCATACTACACTGCCTCCTCTCCCAAGGGGGCCTACTCTCCACGGGCACCCTATTCTCCCCAGGCCCCCTACTCTCCCATGTCACCTTCACACTTTTCTGGAACTACACTTGGCGGATCTCCAGCGCCTACGCCATCACTACCACCAATTCCTCAATTCGAGAGAGTCCAATTTGAGAAGGTTCCCCTCTTCGACAACATTGAAACTGTACACGCAAAGCGTCGCAGTCGAGGGCCGGCATCAAGTGTTCCTACCTCCCCAATTGCCGAACCCGGCACTGTCAGAATCGATGCGCGGATCCCCGAGTTGATGGAGAAGGAGACAGAGCTCGAGGCCCCGCCCAATGCCATTGGACCTGCTGCAGACCCTGCCATTACTCAAGAAGACCAACCCGCATCGAAAGGAGCCCTCACGAAATTCAGTCGGAGGGTCCGCGCCGTGTTTGGCTCCAAGCCGGAGAAAAAGGCCGAAGCCAAGCGAAGGTCCAAGGAGGCAGCACAAAGGGACCTTGAACGGGCGGAGGATGTCCATTGGACAGAATTGTGATTCGCGAAGCCTCAAATCACGACGTTTAAGTCGGCTTGATGGCAATCATACCATTCTACATATCCTTCATCGCCCACGCCCAGGGTACTCCACTTCTCTCAAATGACCCCACCACAGCCAAACATCATCTACATACGCCCTCGCCGAGAATCTCTGGATCCATCTACAATTCCCACCCTCTACAATTAGGCTTTTACCGCCATTAGCCATCTACACCCATCCCTCAGCTCGCGTTTCGCCAACCATAATTCCACAACGAACCAAAAACTCAATACCCTTGCTATTCACGAACTGCTATACCCCTCACTCCTCACGGAGGCCACTTCTTTCCTTTGTCATCTCTCCTATCTCATCATCGGGTCGGCTCTCTGAAACTGAAAGCTATAGAGCATCATTGCTTCCATCTCCTTACGGCTAGGAATTGCTGCGTGCAGGTCCGTCAACGGTCTCTAGTCTGCATAATGTCGGGTGTTTGGGGCGTTCTGATATTGGCATTCAACCGGCGGGATTAACGGGAACGCCTACGTATCGCATCGGCTCGGGGGATTTTTATGGGGGCGGGTTTATTGGATACCTTACTATCAGATTGAATAACTGCTGTTTATCTGTTTGACTGCCTCAATTTACTCGACTGCTGCTTGGTTGTGAAGTGTTTGAAACCCTGTTGAGGCCGATTGGACTGATATGACCGCGATGCTATGGCTGTGCGTTTATTTGGATATTTCGTGCACGGTTCTCAGGACCGCGAAACATCGGTTTCAAAATCACAGCGAACCAGAATGTAGCGTATCCTGCTGGGAGCGTGAAACAGGCGAGGTTGTAATTCTCGCATTCTCGCCTCTGACATCAAAGCTGATCCGCCCGCAGCATGCCGAGCCACCTCAGACCTCAGACCGCGCTATGAGGAGATCGAACGAACGAGTACCGCGCTCGTAATCGAGTAGCGTAGCAAAATCATTGTGTCTCGAGCAACCGGGCGCCCCCGACCATGCTGCAGTCGGTTGAAGGATGGATAATGGCCATCTCGGCGTTCACGTGCTATCACTCCTCAAGAATAAAGGGATTGTGTATGATAGAGCAGGACAGTGCAACGTCACCTTCAGCCTTCACAATACCATTATCTCCTCACCCCCCCAGATAAAGAACCTCCACCCCCAACCCCTCCAATCCAGCATTTTCCACACATCCCCCATTGTGCAAAAAACCCCTTCACAATGCCGCTCCTACCTATAACAACCTCTCCCCCTCCTCCACCCCATCCCAATCCCCAACCCACCCCACTCCTCGCTCCCTCAAGCCCCCATTTGCAAAGACAACCCCCGACCCCAACCGAACCAGCCGGCCTGTTCGGCTCCATCTTGCAAACCCGCACACCACCAACCCACCACGTCCTCCACACACGCGCCGATGTCCAGCAGCCCCACCCACCTCGCCGGCCTCGCCCTCATCGCCGCGCACCAAGCGCGCGCCGCCCGCACCGCGCGGCAGATCGAGGACGAGAGCCATCAAATGGGCCGGGGGTTTCCGTGGGCGGCGCGCGACGCCGCGGGCTTCTGGTATGTAGCCGTGTCGGATCGCGATTCCCATGCTGACAGCGCCGTAGGCCAGCAGCAGCAGCGGGCTGCGTCGGCGGGGTACTGCGCGGAGTCTGACGATGGCGGCTACGAGACTGACAGCAGCGTCTACAGCACCGACGATGGTGAGGACGAGGTCGGATGGGTGCAGGTGGGCGCGGACGAGTTCGTGCGCACGGTGGCGCCGAAGCGGGCGAGAGCGGCGGCTGGTGGCCGTGGGCGGAAGCGCGGATGGGTGGACGATGAGGAGGAAGAGGAAGGCCCGGCGCGGAAGAAGGCGAAGACGCGGCATGACAGCAGCGAGGTGATTGCCCTCATCGAGCCCTATCCCGTCTATGAGATGCGGGTCATCCCCGCGTGGGAGTGGGCGCGCTGGAACCAGGTCTGGGACCAGGTCCTCGCGTGCGTCCGCGCCGCGGAAGCCGAGGAGGCGTATGAAGAGCGCGTGCGGTATGAGCAGCGGGCTGGAACCGCGTGGGATCCGGATGTTGACCGTGTGCACGTCGATGCGTGGATCTACAAGCTCTTGCGGGATGCGCAGGCGGATGCTAATACGATCCCGCTTGCGCCTGGGTTCCCGGCTGAGAACCACGTCAGCGGATTCGGGCGTTGCGGCATCGATCTTGCGCACCCCCTGAAGTGGGTGGAGGTGACAGGCGGGACGAAAGCCAGGCGCAACTCGAAGCTGCTCCAACGCCGCCTTGCTAAGCACCATTACCAAGCGAGCGACGCGGAGGCGCTGTGGGCTGAGTCCCGCGACGAGTTCTTGGATACGCAGGGCGCGTTCGGCCCTCAGGATTGTGCCACCCTCCCCGACGCCCTCCTGTACCGCCTCGCCTTCCCCTACGAGCTCCCCGATCGGCAGCCCCAGCGCAACGCGGACGGCTCTGCGGGTGCTACCCTCGCATACCCACTCCACAGCCTGAATCTCTCAGGCCACGGCGGGACAGCGCAGCAGCGTACCTCGCAGCTCTTTGCCCGGCGTTGGACGCGCTATCTCGCAGAAAACATCGAGTGGAGCGAGGAGACGCTGCGGCTCTACCTCGCCCACGCCGAGCAGCCGATTACTGATGTCGAGGTCGCGGGCCTGGAGGAGAACTACGGCCCGTGCCAATTCTGGGCGGAGAACTATGGGGTTGACTGGGATGTGCTGGATTTGCATGTGCCATGGTGGACCGAGGAACTCGCGCCAGGGGAGACCGGCGAGGAGGGCGATGAGACTGATGACGAGGGGCCTGTAGAAGAGGTTGAGGGCGATGCACTCGCCGAACTCTTCGGAGAGTTCGTGGATACCTTCTACGATATCTGTGAGCAAGGGCTCGACTTCATCGAGCGGAGTGTCTCGCCTGAGTCTGACATGTCCGAGGATGAATTGGATTTCGAAAGCGATGCTAGGTATTGCGCGGGAGTCATACTCGGCGATATGTTTGCCGCGGAGGTTGACAGCGAGACGTCCGCCGATCAGGATGGTGGAGTATTTCTCGATTGGTATGAAGACGAGAGCAATGAGACAGATCTGGATTAGATCCGTCCACTCTCGCACGACTACAAAGGTAAGAAGGGCTCTTAATTGCTAGGTTAGGACCTAGCAGACTTTAACAGTCCCCTTGGGAAGAGTTTTGACTTTAGCATTTCTTGCACTGGTTCCTGGAGTTGGGGTAAACGTTGATTTTCTCTGCAACTCTTCAGGAAATCCTGAAATGCTTTGGAGGTCGGATTCTCGGGGTTCTGGAGTTCTGGAGTTTGAACGATAGAAAAGCAAAAAAAAGGGAACAATCTCCGATAAAAAAAAATATTATGTACTTCCATTTCGTGAAAAAGCGACTGTATATTTCATAATGTGTTAGGTAGCGTGTTGGGCCTTGCAATAACGCCCGCTATAGTATTCTCGCTATCCTTTCAAAATCTAGCATTCTTGTCAGTGACCAGTCCAAAGGCTGCTTTCCTTTTATGTCGTCACGCAAGGGTATTGATCCTCCACCATACCACAGGGTTGTGATTTCGATGTGAAGGCTCAAGGGTTGAAACGTGACACCTAGGAGTAAAGTAAGTGCATCTTCTGATCATTGATACGAGGAAAGTATTACCTTACTGGAGGAGAAACTGCGTGCATAACTCGCAGGTGGGGTAAGCTGTTCGAATGGGTAGTGGTCTCACACATCAAGTAAGTACGAAGTACTGATGAAATGAACATGGATCGCTTTCATTCGTTACCGCTACACTCGCCCAGTAGCATTCCTCATTTCATCGTGGGCCAAAACCCCTGAACGCTCCACAAACCACGCTCGATTCGACTACGCTGAAGGCGCAACATAGCCCTCCTGATGGCTCGTATACCCCTCATCCTCGTCCCCGGTCGTCGCCTCACTCGCAATACTCTCATGCAAGCTCGGCGTCTTGTCTCCCCTTTTGCCCATCCGCTTGATCGAGCTCCAACTAAGCCCACTCCCCCTGTTATCCTTCATTCCAGACCCCAGCAGCGGACTGCTGCTAACGGAATCAACACTCTTCGTCATAGCACCATGGCTGCTTCCACCATCCTCGTCCGTTTCATCAGGCGTGCCAACCTCGCCGGCTTTCTTGACGGAGAGTAGGCTTTTCTCGTTCGTGAACTTGTGGAGGAATTTGGTGGTGCTGCCCTTGCGAGCGAGCTTCGTCATGAAGGACTCCCTTCCCACACTGCTCGGGGCCTGCGACTCGGATGGCGTTTGCGAGACGAGGCGTTCGAGCGATTCGCGAGGTGACGACGTCGACTCATCTGCGGCAGTCGAGATAGACCGGTTGTCTCTTGATCGGCGAGGACCCATCGGGGACGAGGTATCCTTCCCAGAGTCCACAGCTGCGGTCTCCAAAGCGAGCGCCTTCTCCTTTTCCTTGCGTGCGGCCTTCTCAGCTGCCTTGTCAGCCGCTTTCTCCGCCTTCGCCTTCTTCTCCACAATCTTCTCGGCCTTCTTGGCCTCCTTGACTGCTTCTTTGTCAGTTTTGTTTGATTTCTCTGCCCAGGAAAATATACTCTTGAAGTTGGGCGCAGTCGGATTCAGCTGTTTAGGCGGAGTTGGCGGCACTGGCGGTGGCATCATAGACGCTGAAGACTGCGGCCGCGTGCCGATGGGAGCTTGGGTCGGGGACTTGGACGAGTTCGGGAACTCGTCGGTGACCTCGCCGAAGGGGATGCCATCGTGTAGGAGGCTCGCTGTTGAGCCGTTGTACTGTACCGAAGGGCGACGCGAAGGATGTCGCGACCACGACGATGTATTAGCAATGCTCCAATCAGCACCCAGCGGACTACTTCTCTGTCCAAATCCATCGACGGGCCACCCAAAGCGCTGCTGGCTTTCAGTGGAAGGCCGCGGGAGGAGGCTGACTTCGCCAGATTTGGTGGAACCCTGTCGAGGTGATGAAGGCCGATTCAAACCCAAGCTTGATGACAGCCACGGATCGCCCTTGGAGCCAAACATGTTGAACGCCCTCTTGCGAGTGGCGATATGCTGCTTGTTATTTTGGGTGTCTTCCGTGACGGGCTTGTTGCGGGTAAATGCGTCAAACCACGCACCAGAATAACTACCTCGCCTCCGCTGCGTTCCGATGGGGTCCAGGCCGGGCTCCTGTCTAGGCATAGAGTGGCTTTGAGAGGATTTCAGCGAGCCTAAAGGTGGCCCATCGTCGGAGAGAGTTTTACCACGCTGTCTGTTCAATCCGAAAAGGTTGCCAAAGCGAGTTGTGGGGTTCCCGTTACCAGTCGCCGCCATTAATGAGCTTGATGTAGAGCGGATAGAACGCCGGTCACTCTCTATCAGATTCTCGGCCGCGCCTGGGATGAACGCCAAGTGACTGTTGCTATCTCGTGGGCTTGCGAATACACTCGGTGACCGGCTTTGAATGGACACTGGAGAACTTGGACTCTGAATTGGCTCTAGTGTTTGCGGTGCACCTAATCCTGGGAGAGCGAAACCGCTGGTTGGATTGTGAGATGATAAGCCAGAACCTGAGCTGTGTTCATCATCTTCATCGACGTCGGCCTTTTCCAGATCATCCCCGAAAAGGCCCGACGGGAGAAGGGCACCAGCTGTTGGACTCATCGGTGCCCCACCGGTCAGTGCTTCTACCTCTGCTGGTGAAAACGACGTATGCGCCAGCGGGATCGCCATACCGTTGTTGATGTTGAAATAAGGTGTAGGATTGGCAAAAGAAGGGGAAATGCTTGAGATGCTGGTGTTAAATGGGGGTGCAGTTGTTGGAACAAATCCTGCCGGTGCGGCTGAAGCGATAAGCTCGTTTCGAAGACTGCCAGTTCGTCGTCGGCTACCTCTCCTCCCAGAAAGCCCTTCCATAGGCATGGTAGAAAATAGATGCGGTTGGCTGGCGCGGCGTTGCTCAAGATACTGAAGTCGACGATGGGCCTCTTGATTAGCACGCTCGGCCTCGGAGAAGAGGTTCCATGCGGTCGCGTAACGTGACTGCAGAGCTGCCAGAGTTTGCATCCACATCTTGTCTTCATCAGCCTCGGCGGCTGGGGTGTGTTCTGGGTTCTCATTCTCGTCATCGCCACCTTCAATTCTCTTCTTTTCCTCTTCGAGAGTCTTAATCTGGATCCCCTTCTCATGGATGACTTCTTCCAGGCTCTTATTCACTGAAATTTCCTTGTCATGTTTGTCTTTCAAATCCTTGATCTTCTGTTCCGACGTGTTCAAGTATTCGATACGGTCATTCTCAGCCTGTTCAGCCTCTGCCCGCATTTCCTGGATTTCGTTTTCCCATCGCACAATGTCGTTTCTCAGTTTCCTTCTCTCGTTTTCCTTCTGCTGCAGCGACTTCTCCTGGGTAGCCCTCCTCGCCTGTGCGGCGGTATTAGCTCGTTCTAGACCTGCCACCTCTTTTCTCAGATCGCGACTCGCATCTTCCCTCTCCTTGAGCGCATATTTCTTTTCGTCTCGCTTTTGGCTTAGCGATGCCTTGGTGCATTGGAATTCCTCCTCTTCATCTGCGATCTGCCGTTCCACGTCGTCGACTTCCTGGCGAAGAGCCTCCAATCGTTCAGTCAGCTGCTGTATGGAGGTCTCGGCGGCGGTGGATTCTTGGGCATTGTGCGCTTGGTCCGCAGTCTGAGAAGCAGGAGAGTTCCTTCGCGCAGCATCAACGCGCCTCACGCGAGATTGGCTGTTGCTATGTTCGCGTGCCATCGGGGGTGGGGTCGGTGGAGAGATATGGGCGTCGCCAAACGTCTTGCATGGCCGCACAACCGGCGCAGGGTTGGAATCCTTATCATCGCCATTGTTTTCTTCCTTGTGGGGCGAAGTGTTGAAATATTGTCCAGAATCGGCGCGAAGAGTTCTCAGGCGGAGGGGAACGCTCGGGGCCTGGAAGCTGGCTGCATTTACTGTAACTATTCGAACTGTGTAGTGATGGTCCGGCTGCAAATCTGTGACTGTGACTGATGTTTCCAGCGGCGATAGGTCGTCAACTGTAGCGCGTCAGTGGAATCAGTCATCTGGTTTTCGCGGAACTTACTGTCTATGCCGTTGATTCGCACGAGGTATTTTGCGATTGACGAGCGCGAATCCGGCGGCTTCCAGTGTAGCAAGATGCCATCCGCCTTGATCCCAGCAAGGGACACAACCGGCGCGACTGGCACCTCCAGACCAAGCAGATGGACAAGTTCCTCCACGGGCTTCGACAGGACTTGATAGGCACGAAATGCAACCCTGTGTTCCGTAGTCAGCGATACAGTTCCTCTCCTGCCTCCATACGACGGCCGCGACTCACCAGAACAAGGCCAAGCAAACACACGCCGTCTTCAGCAGCCCAGCCGAGGAGAAGACGGATCCGTCCATGCCGTGGAGGGCGGCATTGGGGTGCCAGTAAAGAGCGTAGGGGTAGTCGGAAAGCATAAGGGAGAATTGGAAACAACAACAGGCGGAGTGAGAGTCGTTAGAGCAGCAGCCACAGCCTTGGGGGGTCGCTCAGGCTGTGTTTGCGGAGTAGTGGAGTATTTCATGCAGTCTCACGGCTTGCCGTCTGCCGTCGTCGCCCGTGGCATCGGGCCGAGGGACCCTAGTTTCGCTGGGGCCTTGGCGGCATCTATCGGACTTTGGGTTCCCATCAGACTGGCGCATCCTTCAAACAACGCCTTCAGATATCCACCGGCTGCTTGCTCTGATGCTGGGTCGCGCACTTCTTCTCTTGCATTACAAAGTTATCGTTCTTGAAGCTGAGCCTTCCTTTCATAGCCGGCTATTTCAAACGCCACTCCGCTTTGCCCCGGCCCATACCCAGTGACCAGCTCCCGTGGTCCTTGCTGCCAGCCTCCACATTGCATTGACCTCGCAACCTTCACTTCTCAACCACGCTACATTCCCACACTCGCTGTTGAACGCACCGCACTATACTCTCCGCCTGTCGATTCCTCGATCCTCCGAACCCCACGCTCCCAGCTTGGCCCATTCCTATCGCGGAGCATTCTTGGGCGACCCGACTAAACCGACGCGACAGCGCATCCCGGCTACTCCAGCCAACGCTGGCGGCTATAGCTTGAGCAGTTTGCGGACAGGAGCTGCCATGCAGTACGTACGATCAATTTCTGGCTCCGTCTCCAAGACCTGGAACTCGATCAATCCTGCAACTCTCAGCGGCGCAATCGACGTCATCGTCGTTGAACAGGAGGATGGTATGCGCTTCCGCCCACCAATAATCTAGACACCAGGCTGATATACGATACAGGATCGCTGGCGTGCTCACCCTTTCATGTCCGATTTGGAAAGTTCTCGCTGTTGCGCCCTTCGGAAAAGAAGGTAGGGACTTCCTCTCGGTCCAGCCCCTCCCGGGGAATCACATGCTAATTTCCGTCCAGGTCGAATTTAAGGTCAACGATGTAAAGCAGGACTATTCGATGAAGCTTGGAGAGGGCGGGGAGGCCTTCTTCGTTTTCGAGACCTCTGCAAACATCCCCGTTGACATGCAGACGTCGCCTTTAGTATCCCCGGCCTCGAGCCCAGAGTCGAAACCGCTAGAACCTCCTCCCAGCCGCGGGCTACTCGAGCCCGACCCTTTAGACTTAGACGCACAATTGGACGGGCCACATGGTAGAGTGAGAGCGCAATCTTCAGCGCCCCCGCTGGATTTGGGGCCAGAGACTGGAAATGGGCATGGCCGAGGGAGATCGAGCGACTGGGCAGGCATATCTGCTCCCCCGACCATGGAACGAGCAGCAACCGACGAAGTCCTTCCCTCCACCAAAGACGCTTTGCAAAAAGAATTTGACACAAAGGAAGCCGGTCCTACTCAGATAAAACCTGACGTTGCGACTGCTTGGAATGTTTCCGAGCGATCCACTAGCCCACCCCCTATATCACCCACCGAAGCCAAATCCCGCGCCATCAAGCTTTCGAAAAAGTTACTAACTTCTAATATACCGAATCGTGTCACAGATAGTGGAGATCTGATGTTGGATATGACAGGATACAAGAGCAGTGAAGAAGAGTCATTGCGCGCGGAGGTTATTGCCCGCAAAATTCTTTCTGAAGAGATTGAGGGCAATTATGATATCGGTGCGCTTATTGGAGCAGACGAAAACGGCAATCTTTGGATATATAGTAGCGAGGAAGCGAAACAGGCTGCTGGTCGGCGGGTAGCTCTGCACACTCTGAACGAAGATGGACTCCGATCGTCGGACGCGATATCGGATCCTGGATACCACAGCGACGATGCTCGCGCTTCAGAATCCGAGTATCTTGCCTCGCATCTTCGTCGAGACTCTGATAGCGCTGTGGGACTCACAACACCACCTGAAAGCCCTGATCCGAATTCTTCTGGGGATCCAAACCGAAACTATGCGAAAACCCTACGCCTCACAAGCGATCAGCTTAAGTCATTAGAGTTGAAGCCCGGCGCCAACTCTGTGAGCTTCAGCGTCAATCGGGCTACATGTTCAGCTTTCATGTACTACTGGAAGCATGATGTTCCCATCGTGATATCCGACATTGATGGCACAATCACCAAATCCGACGCCCTTGGACACGTTCTGAACATGATCGGTCGCGACTGGACCCATCTTGGCGTAGCCAAACTTTACACCGACATTGCCGCCAACGGCTATAACATCTTCTACCTCACCAGTCGCTCAGTTGGACAGGCCGACACCACACGAGCCTATCTCAACGGCGTAGTCCAAGACGGCTACCGTCTCCCTAAGGGCCCGACCATCATGAGCCCGGACCGCACAATCGCCGCCCTCCGCCGCGAGCTCTACATCCGCAAACCCGAAGTTTTCAAGATGGCATGTCTCCGCGACATCATGAACCTCTTCGGCAAGCCAGCAGGCCAAACGCCCTTCTACGCGGGCTTCGGGAACCGGCTCACGGACGCCTTGAGCTACCGCTCCGTCAACATCCCCTCCACCCGCATCTTCACCATCAACTCCAACGCCGAGGTTAGCTTAGATTTGCTCACGCTGAATAAGTACAAGACAGGTTACGCGAGCATGCGCGAGATTGTGGACCACTTCTTCCCGCCTGTCGGGCTGCTTGTCCCGAATGGCGGGGAGAACTTCACTGACTTCAATTACTGGCGCGATCAGCCCTTGGATCTGGACCAATTCACGGACAGTGAGAGTGGTGAAGACGATGACGAGGATACGGAGGCGGGCAGTATCAGGAGTGAGGATGAAGGCACGGAGGGGCTGGGAGAGGATCTTGAAGCGAGCTACTTCTCACGCGATTCGATTGACGAGACTAGCGGGCTTGAGGATTCAATCCTGGAAAGCGTTGAGGGGGATGAGATGGTGCATTCGGCGATACTAGAAGAGGACGAGGGTGGCGATAGTGAGGAAGATGAAGACGACGAGGAAGCGGATGATGCGGCGCCCGGGGACGAGACTGATGAGATTCTAGACCGTGCGGCAGAACGGCTGGAGGCGCTGGACTTGGCGGATGAGGAGACGCCGACGCCGGGGCTGAAGGAGGATCCAATGGCTGCTCTGAGTGGCTCGGCGCCCGTGTCTGCGAGAGCGTCGCCGGGCAAGAAGCAGGCACGGAGGGAGGAGATCGAGCAGGCGGTATGATCAAACGAGAAGGAGCCGTTAGATTCGCATTATTATCGACATCGAAAGTACCAAGCGTAGGTGCTCAAGCATTTCACGATCGCTTTGAATTGAGTTACAGGCATGTGGAGGCGCTGATGGGGAGAAAGCGGACGGACGCAGCCGCAGAGACGCGGAGTGCGGGGACTAATGACGGGATGCTGGCTGTTTCACTACTGTAAAACTCATGGATCAGGCGTTGGGGCTTTGGGGCATGGCGGCGGCGTTTTATATATTTTAGCCATCATGAATCTTGCAGCGAATACGCGGGAGCTTTCAACAGCTTTAGTGAGAGTTTGGAATATTCATACGTCCTTGAAATCTTGGAGAGCACTTTGTCATAGCGTAGATGTGATTTAAATGACTTTGGCTTGTGAGACTTGGGATTGAGATACGAATCGGGTGTGAATTTCGATCGTGGTCGAAGATTCCCAGCCCTGGAGATGTGCGGGGGCAGTTGATGCCAAGGCTCGCAAATATTTTGAGTCAGATTCCACCTCGATTCATCCACTGTCTTGCTCGACAACGACAGCATTGAAGTAGAAAATGGCGAACTCAAAGTACGTGGTTATTGTAGCGATTTGAACGGTGTATATGCTAATCTGGGCTAGATACGAGTACGTCCGTGCGTTCGAGCAACCAGACGTCTTGCTGCCGAATACGTGGATTGTGGTGAGGATCGATGGGAGAGGTTTTCATGGGTATGTGCACTTTTAAAGCTATCTCGGCATCTCCTCTATGATATTGCTTGTTAAATTTTAGGCGAAAACATGATGTCTCGTTATTTAAGCGGAGTCCCTTTTTGAAGTCGATATTTTCTGCGTGTTTCTGATTCGGAAGAAAGCTTCTTCGTAGTCTGTAGCTGACACAAGACCTGGCTTAGATTTACGACAAAATACAAGTTCAAGAAACCAAACGATGTTCAAGCGCTGGAGCTCATGAACGCAGCCGCTGACGGCGTGATGCGAGAGTTGCCGGATTTGGTGGTGGCCTATGGGGTTAGTGATGAGTTCAGGTATGTCAAACCCCCTTACCCTTCCTTCATTTATCTGTACTCATGTTCAACTAGCTTTGTGTTTCACAAGGATTGCACGCTGTTCGAGCGGCGAGCGAGGTATGTAATGCTCGAACCTCTTTTTCAACGGATGGAGATTCTGATGAAGTCACAGTAAACTTACTACTACGATTGTATCAACTTTCAGTTCGTATTACGTCTACTTGTGGCCGAAGTATTTCCCGGATGCCCCTCTTACACCTCCACTGCCTAGCTTTGATGGAAGGGCGGTGGTGTATCCTAGTGCGAGGAATTTGAGAGATTATATGAGTTGGAGGCAGGTTGATTGTAAGTCTATGATTTCTAATATGTCTCAATGCAGATCTGATATGTAATAGGCCACATCAACAATCTCTACAATACCACCTTTTGGGCTCTCGTCCAGCTTGGCGGTTTGGATGCAAAAGCAGCGGAAAAAGAGCTCGTGGGGACTTTATCTGCTGATAAGAATGAGATCCTCTTTTCGAGGTTCAAGATTAACTACAACAACGAGCCAGATATGTACAAAAAAGGGAGTGTGGTTTTTCGAGACGTAAGTTTGGGATCCAAAGTTCTTTCACAAACACCGCGGCGATACTGATAAAACCAGTTCGACATACCTTCCACGGCTCCAAACGCCTTGACGGAAGCGGCCGCAATACCGCCAGCTTCAGCCTCCACAAAGCGGCTATCCTCGCACCCACCCGATGATGCAGGACCTCCCCAGTCACTTTCGAAAACAGCCACCGAGAGAGATCGGAAACGGCGTGTTAAAGCTCGCATCGTTGTAGCACACATCGACATCATCAGAGATGAATTCTGGGAGGCTAGGCCTTGGATTCTGTCTGGAAAGGCTCCATGATCGCCTTCACCTCAACCAAATCTAATCTTCCGTCTCGTTACTTCAACGATCGGAGCTTCGTCTACCACGAAGCTATGCGACTTGCCATCTTCGAGGGGATCTAAAGGGACGCAAGTGTGCCCTAAGTCCACAGTACCGATTCTCTCTTCAAAACCATCATGCTCTTCGAACACCATTAAGAATCGAGAATAGCGCTCCTCCGTGAAACAGAGCCGTACATTACGATGATCTTGTCGATCCGAAATTACCATGCCTTCCCAAACTCGGTTCTCTAGAAGCTTTCGGGAGAAACTAGACCCTGGTTCGTCCATCTTCGAGAGACGCAGCGGCGCATACCCATCGATCCAGTGCTTCGTTCCGCCTTCTTTGTTCAGGATACTCGGGTGCTTCTCTTATAACTTCATCTACCGAAGAGGGATACCGTATCCTTGCTACATCGTTAGATTTGACTCGAAACGAGACCACATATCCTTCGATATGTTGACATCACCCCTCGAACCTCGAACCTCAAAAACTGCCTTACAACCTGTTCCCACACTAGCTCTTGTCCATCGATCCGCTCGCCCCAGAATTCTATCATTTCCTCGTCGACAAATTCCTGCCATTTCTCTCCAATACTATCCTGACCGAACTCCCAAGGACCTATTGATCGTGTACGATAGCTCTCGCGGGTAGACTCATGCACCTGCCCAACCCAGCCAGTCCACGACCAGCTCGGGAATCCTTGTCGTCTTCTCGCAGGCGCTGCATGACTCCAACAGAGTCCAGTAGCGAATTGAGCCCCCCGTGATTTGGTAGACCATCTTCTCCAGCTGTCAGACCTATACGCAAGCGACTTTGCCGTTGTAACTATAGGGACACCCTAATATTGGAATACTGGGTCTTGTCTCTGAGTGAAGGCACTGAAAATGCCTAGCATCGCTTCCAGTGCGTCTGAATCGTATGATAAGGTCCTCGCAGAGTACTCTGCAATTCGGGTCGCAACATCCCATGGATACTTTCCGAGCCCGTTGTGTGGAAACAATCGCTCTTCGCCAAACTCTCGGAGGCGTTGTCCGTCTTTCGTATGCAGGCTTTGCAGCGGTTTTTCAACGCTTTCGCAACAGTTCGTCCCGCGACATTCGTAAAAGACTTGGTGGTCTGTGAAGATCAGAAGGCGTCTGGAGAGTAAAGCTTCCTGATACGTCCATGCTCTCTTCATCCACCGAGAGTCTTTCAGGGCCTCCTTTATGTGTGGCAGTGTGGAGACTACCATCTCGTTCATGATCTCTGCATGCGGCTGGACAAAACGAAACCGACTGCCAACTCCGGGAAGGCCATAATCAGCATCCTCACCTGCTGCAGCGACCAACGTTACTTGGGCATGGGCGTGTATCACATCCATATTCGATATCTGCGCATGCCTTTCGGCTCCATCCCGAGGAATACAGTACCGGCCAACCCACAGATACCGAAATGCTAAGGAGCGAGTTGCCACAATCGCGTCCTCAATAGCATTTGGAAACCTCTCGGGCAGACAGTCTGTTTCAAGCTCCTGATTAGCATCGCTGCCACAAGCCCCCCACACATAGCTGAGTGCAACATATTCCGGGTCACTCTCTGCCGGAACTATCTTTCTCGAGGCACAATCAATGAGACTGAGCCATTCCACCGGCTCTTGTGTGCGTTTCTACAGGATTCTGCATGATTTTCGAGACAGAAATCGAGCCAGCCTTTGATGGCCGCAAAATCAACGGCCTTTTCATCTATCCGGCGGAGAGAGAATTCGGACTGATTTTGAGTCTGCTTAGGTGTAGCCAGGCCTAGCGTACCGACTTGATACTGTGTTCGGCTGTTCTTCAGCGGAGCCACGGACTTTTGCACCTTGGAGGCAAATTTGGAGTGCAGGATGCTGCTAAGTGCTTTATTGCGCATGTGGGGTAGACCTTTCCGGAGAGCTTTACCTCTGAGCTTGTGGTAAAATACACCGGGGCTTGGGACTACGCATAGTCTTGGTTGGGATCTCTCGTCGGAGTCTTCTTCTAGCTCGGCTGGCGGCTGCATTTGACGGAAGAGACGGCAGAGCTGGAATGCTGAATAGTGGGTGCCGCTGGCGGTGTCGTTTGCTTCGAGTGGTATAATTACAAGTTTACGGCATTCTTTCAGTAGATCTGGCCGGTTCAGAGCAGCATAGTCAGTGCAAAGAGTGCTGTCGATTCTTGAATCGTCCATTTCGTAGGCGAACGAGGCTGAAGCCATTGGGTGCGATGATTTCCTATCGTCTCTCAAAGGCTACGAATGAAGGACTCATGGAAGAAATACTTTCAAGCAGTGCGAACTCCAGCTCAGGAAACAGATATAATTTTTGAGAGGAACGCGGGGCGTTGGATGTTAAGAATGGGAATAGGCGCCCGCGGTCTGCACAGCCTCAACGCCACGGCGAGATTGCGCATGGTGAGCTAGATAGGAAGAGCATAGTTCAGCCTTGCCCCACCTCATTTCATCTCATATCTTCGCACTCTTCGACCGTTTCTTATTTTTTGAACACAGTGATTGCTTGCATACGTGCGGATTCTCAATTCTCATACTATCAAGATGCATGCCTCTAGAACCGAGTGATGAAGGATGAGAAAAGCGCGCACCACGTTCAAAAGTACTAAAGCCCTTTAATATCACAGCAAGCCTCAATACAGTATTTATTCAATCTCGATGCTCAAGGCAACCCAACTCTGCTTGTTTCCCGTAGCCAATCTTCCCGGCCATCTCATTGAAGCATCGAAGATCTCCATATTCATACCTTGCGCGGGTTCAAGACCTAGGTACACACTGTCAGTAACCATTTTACACTCTGTTGGGAGAACTCACGACCCAACCTCACGCTTCCACCAGAGACCACTTCCGTTCGAGGCGTCGACGCTTGGCGGCTCGGCTTTTGCCTTTGCCTCTGCATTACGCTTCCACCAGAGCCCGCTCCCGTTTGAAGCGTCGACGGATGGGGCCTCGGCGTTGCGCTTCCACCAGAGTCCGCTCCCGTTCGAGGCGTCGACGGATGGAGGCTCTGCTTCCCGGGTCTAGACAGCGTCAGTATGTGTTCCAAGGTCTCGAATGAGCAGGCTATAGACCTTCAATGGGGCTGCTGCGGCGAGGGCTGCGAGAAGCACCGGCATGGCGATGGCAGAGGTGATCTTCATGGTTATGTTGGAAGGCCCTTCTTTACGGTAGGTTAAAAGCTGATAGAGTTTTCTGTGATATCACTTTTTCGAATGTGTCCCCCGCAGACTATATCTTGTTCGTCATGTTCTTATGCTTACGATCTAGTAGCCAGACTACAGGTCCAATCAAGCAACGACTAAATCTTTGTCAACACGATCTACGAGCCCCGGGGGCGACCTTCCCTTTCGAACCCGAGGAAGAGCCTATCATCTGGCACCTTCTGTCACGATCAGTTGATACCAACAACCTCAATTAGGCTTCCCGAACGAGTTCATGGGAAGCTAGCAAATGGGGAAGTAGTACACACCAACTCGCCTTGATACGAGGCTCAGCTCAGAGCCGATGCAGAGAAGCGAATACCGAAAATCGGATTTCAAATACGATAGGCAACTTAACAAGCTCTTGAAATAGCATATGCTGCTGAATACTTCCCAGAGTTGTCGTCATGGCACTATGTGAAGCCTTTTTCGGCTCGGAGTCCAATCCTTTTCAGTATAGGCGTGGCAATCGTGTTACCTCCCTACATAGGCAATAATGATTTTGGATCAGTAATATATCTGTTCTTACGCCATCAACTTAGTATGGACCTTAATAGTTCATATAATGAGACATTTGGCAACACCGCTAACCTAAATGGGTAGGACAAATTGCTCGGATTTACGGTAATTTCCACTATCAGGCTTATACCTCCGACTACAACTGAAGTACTGACACACGAATGCTCTATTGTCCATAGTGTGAACAACTTTGATTTATTCGACATGGATTCCACATCATATAAGCCATTGCAAGACAACCGGGAGAGCGAGGACCAACATTCGGATGATGAGAAATTTTGGGAAGAGGCGCAAATACGACCCCGAAGTCTCTGGAGACAAAAATGGCTTATAGGTGCAATCATTCTACCATGGTGCCTTCTACTTCTAGAGTCTGTCTTCATAGCGGACCAAGGCGCTGGCTGGAATTGTAGCTCATGCCCGCCATCTTCCCAGCTGCTCTATTGTAAGTCTCAATTAGTAGGTTTGTGATATTAACCGTGAGGCTCACAATGCCCCAGCTCCCGCACAAGATGCAGTTCACTATGAGATCAAAAAGTTCAACCACGGCTTCAACGACGACATTTCTCCATTACAAGGCCCGCCCAGCGATGAACGTGACAAGCTGTGGGAGGATCTCTACAACTGTACGTCCTAAACTCATCTCCCTCGCACCCATGGATCCTCAAGCCCACGAATCTGACCCGCCGCAGTCGGCATGTCCGCAATCCCCAAATCCCAAGCCACCCTCCTCCCCAACCGCACCGGCCCAATCCCAGGACTAGACGGCCAATACCTCGTCGAACTCGACGTGTTTCACCAACTCCATTGCCTGGTACGCCCCTCCCTCCCCTTTCCACTTCTCCTTTCCCCACAGCTTCACCCCCAACTAAGTCTAATATCTACAGAATAACATACGCATGTCCCGCTACCCCGACCGCTACACCACCATCTCGCATAACGGCATCCCGCACGACTTCGCCGACAGCCACGTCGAGCACTGCATCGACAGCATCCGGCAATCCCTCATGTGCCACTCAGATATCTCGCCACTGGTGTGGCAGTGGAGCGAGGAGCAGAACGCGATGCGCATGCATGGGGATGTCGTGCATACGTGTCGAAACTTCGATGCTATTAGGGAATGGGCGCGGGCGAGGAGGCCGGAGGTGGCGCTGGATCCATTTGAGCGGGCTGGGGGGGGGGGGGCTGGGGGTGGGTGAGGTTTGGAGGGGGGTTTTCGCTTTGCAAAAACTGTAGGACGGTTCGACAAGGGGCAGAGGTGGGAATAGGAGGTTTGATGAGGGATAGGGGAGGTGAGCGAGGGCACTGGTGGAAAGTGAATGGGTTGAAGTTTGCTCACGAATGTGAGATTAAAATTGATGATTGAACTAAGAGAACTAGTACAGAACACAACTCCTTTCAGCCACGCTCCTAAACTTTTTGTTACCTCTACACTAATCTTGCTTCTTGGGGTGCTCTAAAGTTATAGATATTGCGGATTTCGAGCTATCTTAACGAACTCTTTAGTGTTACAAGCTAGCGCACTTTGATGATGATTGATCACGGCTTTGATCACGATAGAAGAGGGAAACTGTAGAAGGCGTAGGTGGTGCACATAAAATTCCGCCGGCACCACCCTTTAGCCTCATGGATAAAACGCAGATTGCGCCACGCCCATCGCTAAGTCCGTCAGTCCTTTTTGCCTAATTTCCAATTCATCCAGCCCAGCTGCTTATGAAGTTTATGATCTCCACTTCGAATAGCGCACCAAATCCCAACAAAGCCCGCAAAGGGCCATGACGACGCTAGCCTTCGAATCCAAGACATATTTCGCGTTTGTGTTAACCGGCCTACGTCAACCTTCACCTTGTCATACACCGTCGGTAGAGTCGTGGCCGAGTAACGTTGTCTCAGCTCCTGGTACCACTTCTGATCGTAGAGCTTCCAAAATTCCTGTTCTGTGTAGTACGTGTGGGAGTACAGGACCTTGCGGCCGCCCAGCTCTGTGAGACGCTCTTCTAAATGCCGGTTCTGGCGTATAAATGCGTCCATATCCGTGGCAGCTAACCCCCAGAGACCAATGTTGAGCATCGGCTGGGGTGATCCGCCTTGTTTAGAATCAGTCGTATTGGGATGAAAAGTCGGCGAATCCACGGCACGTAGTGGGCAGAGCCAAAGAGGCCAAATGCCGAGCTCCTGAGACGTATAGTCGATGAACGTCTCGGCGGTGTCGTAAGGTAGTGAAAGGTCCTGGATCATGGTTCTGAAAGACATGTCGCTCCCGTGCAGAGCGCGGTACATCATCCGGGTATGCATGAAATCGTTCAAGAACCACCGCGTGAATCGATTGAATGGGACGAAGCCAAAATATCTGAATGCTTCTGCGCCGACCCAGAAGCCGCCCCGGTCATAACGGAACAGATACTCAGCAATTGGTATGTACTCGGTAGAAGGGACCCCGGAAGGCTTCTCCTTCACATGGAGATAAAACCAGGGATCCCAAGGCCCACTGAAGGTCTGCGGGCTTTCAGACAGGGGAATGTCATCGGTCAACTGACCAGTCATCAGAACTGCGTGAGTTTGGGAGAAAATGATACCATCCACGTAATCGTTCTCTGGGTTCTCTGTCGCGTGCCGGAGAGCGGTGATCGTATCATGGATGGTCGAGTATCGATGGTAGACAATTTTTACGAAACGTCTTGCTGGGATGAGACTCAGGTTGCAGCACTACAACCTAGGATCAACAACTCATATGCCAGAAAGCTACTCTCCGAA